GGAGGAGGAGGAGGAGGAGGAGGAGGAGGAGGAAGCAGAGGTGGATCCGGGCAGGGAGCGGAGGGAAAGGGAGGGAAGGGGGTTGTTATGAGTTGCATTGACTTGTTGGATGGGGTACGCCTTCTCTTGCATTATCAAAGCTGAGGTGGATGCTTGATTCCTGAGTGACCGGAACGGGACCTAGCTCAGAGAGATGCTGTCGTGCAGCTGAAGGTATCCCGGCACGATCGACGTCGTCTATGCGGCGAATACCTTCTATTTCAAATTCGGGGCTGGGCCCTCCCTTGCTCAAGTGCGCGACGCGATCCTGCCGCAGCGCTTCCGGACGATGCGCTCGTTGAAGATCATGGTCGGTTTTGCGTACCCAGGGGCTTCGCTGCTAGCATCACTGGGCTTCGCACCTGAGTGGAACGAATTGTGGCAGGTGATTTCAGATATGCAAGGGCCGCAGCAGCTACATGTTGCGTTCCATGTATACCAAGGAGAAGACGCGAACAAAATCAAAGGAGACGGAGAACCGCATATTGGAGCCCATCGTGCAGGTGGCCGGCATGAAGGATTCCAAGGACTTCGCGACATGGCCGAGTCACGAAGAGTGGACGCAGGCGCCGTTCGAATTGGTACGACCTAAGTCCTAGTCGTGGACAGATGTAGACAAGAGGCACCGGCGCTGTTACGCCAACTACAAGAACTACGTCTACGAATCAAACACTATCTCGGAATGTTTTGAACGTATATACATTTTGGTAACCGATCATCACTCATAGCGCATTCTATATTACAAACAAACATCATAAGTCATAGATCATGCCTGTGTAAAGAGAGGGTTGACATAGGAAAGAAACAAGAGTCACAAAAGGGGTCATTAGGGCATCATTAGTCGTCGGGTATCAGTCTTCCTCACAGAGAAGTCGGGATGGGCAGCTCGCTCAAGGACTTCACCAGACCCCGGAGGGCGGGGTTCAGCTCCTCAGCGGCCGCTTCCAGCTCAGTCACCGTCTTGGTCACCTCGCGTCCAAGCTGGCGGATCAGATCGTATGTGGCCTGCAAGGCCCCGGTGCGGTGCAGCAGATCCAGGATCTGGGTCTTGCTTTCCGTCGACAAGGGCGCATTTTCGGCCTTCTGCCGGTAAATACCCAGGATGACCGTCTTGGCGGCCGAGTCCAAGTTGCAGCACCGCACGATCGGGTAAACGATCTTGCCATGGTCCAGGTCCTCGCCGCTGCCGAGCAGGCCGAGATATTCATGGCGGATCTGGTACCAGCGACCGAGCAGCTTGGCCAGGGGCTCAAAGTCCAGAGAAGAACCTTCCATGCTGGCAGCCTGCATGAGACGCACGAGCAAGCGGAAAGTGGAGCCTGACTTCTGATCCACCATGGTCAGGTACTCTTGCTCAGACGGGGACTGGTAGGTAGTGCGCCAGTCCAAGTCCCACGATTGGCCAATAAAGCGGGCCTCGAGCTCTTCCAGCAGACCGTCCAGCATACCAGGGCACTTCAGGCTGTTGACGATCTTGGCCACGCGCACGAAGGTGTATGCCGCACTGTTCATGCACTGAGCCCGGCCAAAGACCTGGTGGGCCGGGGTGCGCTGGCTGCGGTGGGTCGCATTGTCCTGAATGTCCGCCAGCATGTGGGTGGAGTCCTGCAGTTCGTTCATGATCTGCTTGATGTAGGTCAAAGGGCGGTTGGGAACTTGCAGCCAGCCGTTGAGTGCGCTAAGCAGCTCGCTCTGCAAGTCGGTGATGGCAATAGATCTCATGTAGCCAGCCGGAGCCAACAAGGGCAGAGTGTTGAGTTGAACGATCGGAGCAGGCTCTTCCACCAAAGGTGTCCAGACGGCCACATCTTGGGGCTCCTCGGGCTGAGCCGCTTCCTCCACATGTTCGGCTTCTTGCTCCTGGCCCCGCTCCTCTTCATCTTCATCTTCCTCCTCCTCCTCCTCCTCCTCCTCCTCTTCATCTTCGTCCTCTTCCTCATCGTCAGCGTTGGCGTCTCCTTCGGAGTTGTCCTCTGCGGTGGAGGCATTCTCCTCCTCATCCTCCTCTTCATCCTCACTCTCCTCGACTGTGTCAGGAACGGCATAGCGGGGGGTGTTCTTAGACCAGTAGTGGATACCGGCCAGAGACGAGCCAAGCACTTCCATCCACTTGCGCAGCTTGGGAGCCAGGTCCGGGTTGGCCTGGTAGAGTGCCTCCCGACGCTTGACAAATTCTTGCTCATTCTGAATGATGAGCTCCTTCGTCTTGGCAACAGCATCCTCCTCCGACATGTTCTGGTGTTGCATCAGGAACAGAATGACGTTGGCTACGGGGCGCTTCTTGGACTCCCGCTTCTCCTTGGACCAGCTGTAGTAGTCGTTGGTAAAGAACATGGTGCGCTCGGCGGCATCGAGAGCATCTCTCACGATGGCCTGGTCTTCCTTGCCCAGGCGGGTTCCGTGAGCGAAGCCCATCAAGGTCCAGTACACACTGCAATGTTCATCAGCATTGGTTTAATCGGGAGGATAACAAGAGACTTACTCAATGCCGGCGTTGAGACGTCTGCGGGCCACGTAGTCGTCGAGGTTGGCGCAGTTCTCCGCGGTGGGAACCTCGGGTGTTACCAGCCAATTGCTCCGATAGCTATCAATGATCTCGTGTCCATCAATCTCTTTCTCCGTGATCTCCGCCACAGCCTTTTCCAGCAGCTTTCTTCTGGCTTCGGCGCGGGGCGATTCCACGTGCTCCTCGGGCTTATCCGTCGTCTGTCCGTTCAATTTCCCCTGGGCTATAGGCAGCAGGTTAGCTAAGGCCGGTTATCCATGATTGGGCATCACGTACCATCATGCAGGCTGCCGAGTTCGGTCAAGTAGGCGACTAGTTCCAGCCGCTCAGGCAAACATTCGGGGTAGAGGAAGCTGGCGTAGTTGCCGACGGGGCAGGACAGGTAGCTGGTGGGCTCCTTGCCCTCCTCGGAGTTGAGAGTGGCAGTCAAGTCCTGCACGAAGCGGTCACTGCCGCGTTGGGCGACATGGTCGTACTTGTGAATGCGGGGGACGAGGGTGGTGAAGCAGCCCTGCAGCTGCTCTTCACTGACGGAGAGGGGCTGCGAGTGGGCCCAGATCTCAATGGGGTCGCTAACGGTCTGGGTTGGGGAGCTCGGCTCGGATTGTGCCGCAGAGAGGATCTGCACGGCGCTGCTCTTGCTTCTTCTCCGCTTGTGGGATAGGATGTGCGAGTATGACTTGAACATTGGTGTGGCGTGGGATGCGAGGGCGCAAGGAGAACCAACAACGACGAAAGCGATAAAAGAAGAGGTTTGATGACCTGTATACCGACCAGGTCTATAAGATGAAGCGAATCCACGAAGGAAAAGCAAGATGATGAGGGAAGAAAAGAGAGAAGCTCAGACAGACGATGGACAGTCAGTCATATATAGCCGAGGGGCTCCTCTCCGCTTGGGCCATGTCCCCTCTTCCAAGGAAGCAAAAAAAAAGTCGCTAGCAAAGGCACTGGGCAAAGTCAGCCCATGGCAGAATTTTTTTTTATTTTTTTTTTTCGCCTCTTCAAATGAGTAGCGATAAGGCCAGCATGGACCTCAAGCTGGTCCGACAAAGGCGCAAGAGAGCATTGGAGCTTCGAAGGAGGCAAGAAGCTAAGGTAGAATGGGGGAAGCTGATTGGCAGTGGAGCAGCGGCTACGGGCGTTCGTTCCGATTTAGTTTCCCGCCGGCTGCTCTTTCGTTCTCTTTTGTTCTTCACCGCTTCAATTCCTTTTGCGCCCCGGCCGAGGATCCCAGAGAGTCGATGCCATTGGGCCAGCTCGACGCCCAGCCCAGCGATGACGATATCGATGGAGATCCCCTTCATCTGTCTCTGGCAATGGTGTCGTTGGGTCTCCCTGGGTCGGGATTTGCTGGATGCGTTGGTTGGTTTCTGATGGCAGTCCGAAGAAACAACGAGGGGGAAGACAAAGATGTGGGGGAGGGAAGTAAGTCAAGGGAGGAGAAGGAAAGGAAAGACGCGTCGGAGAGTAAGTAAAGTATGAGACCGATATGGTTTCGTGGTTGCTGACGTGGATACCTTGATTAGCATGACAGCCAATGCGATAGACCAGGGGTCCTACTGGAGTAAGGTATGTACTGTACTGTAGTGCGTACTGGAGATCATCCAAGCTCTTCAGATTCGGAGTAAGTTTTTCACTGGACTGAAATCGATGGATTGTCAAGCATGACAAGAAGGAATGATGCGATGAAGTGGGGGAGTGGAGAGAGAGAGAGAAAAGACGTGAAGGAGATTGGCTGGTCACGTGCCCCACATCCCTCCCAATCCGGCATTCTGTCAACAAACCGGAAATTCTCTTCGCTTCACGAGTCTCTCTTTGCTGTCTGTCTCCCCTCCAACCGTTGCACTTGCATTTCCCTTCCTCATGCTCATGCACCTCTAGGCAAGAAGGAAAAAGAAAATTTTCATGGTGGGGCATGCCGGTAGATCAAACCGCCCAGCATCCCACTTTCTTTCCTCCCCCCTCCCAAGAGAGTAAGAGAGTGAGGCTGGTGGTGGTAGATAGTAGATACATCTTGACCACCAGAAGGATTTTGGCCCCATCCACCTGCTAGATCACACTACACTACAGCAAGAGGATTGATTGAGTCACTACTTACTAGACAACCAGGTTACCAGGGTATCTGGTCTGGTGTGATCATCTGAGATTAATCCCACCGCGGCGCATAGACCGGAAATAGAACAGACCCGTTCTGCGATAAGCTGATCGCCGCACGATCGCCGTCATGCATTGCTCGGTTGACCCTCCGGCTTCTGATGCCACTATACCGCTTTCGACCACTCGCTTGTCGCTACAATAGAGTTTCTTGTATACTTTTGGGCATCACAGGGTACGACCTCGGAGTACTCTCAGAGTGCCTATAAACCACCACATCTGCGCCCCTTGAAGACGATTTGCCACCACCACGAAGATCTTGGGCAACCTCAATGTGGGAACACGTCGTCTCGAGATGTCGATTTGGATTACACGATCGATATCAATCTCAGTGTCGATTCTTGTGCGAGCACGGCAGGAAAAGTAAAGTTCGAGCTTGTGTACTCGGCCCTCGTGGCCATTGGTCGCAGCTAGAGTCAGGTGAAGGGATTTTAGATGCGAACATTGCGCGTGGAACCCACCCTGCTAAACACTAAACCTTTGTCTGCTAGCGTTCGAGGCAAATCGCATTGATGAGGCTTGGCTGGAGTGAAAACTGAAAAGACAATGGACTGAATCATTAGCTAGGCAGTTAACTGACTAGTTAGGGCTGTAGGTGGCTGACAAAGCATTGCATCACGGGCGAATGGATGGCCCCAGGCAGACGTCGGATGAGCGGTCAAGGAAGGGTTGACAGGACGAAGGGAGGGGCATCAGCCTCGTATCTTCCACTGTTTTCTTTCTTGGACATCTCCACAATGCCATTGCTGTCCAGCAAGCAATGAGCTTGAAACGCTGGGGCTGCGGACCTTGGAGGTAGGCAGCTCCGATACTTCGTGGACTGTTCATTCATGTTGTACTCATCAAGTCAGGGACTCTCTCCGTCTTCAGTATGCATTCCTGAGCAATGCTCCTTGTTCAGGCGAGCGAAAGGCAAGAGTCAATCCCAGCGGTCCTCTCTTAGAGTGGGAAACTCCATCTGCAATCTTCTTGCACCAAACCCTGTCTTTTACCATGACAGAGAGGGCCGCTGGGATTGACCCTTCCCTATTGCTCGCTTGAATTAGCAACATTGCTACCAAGGAAGCGCACAACCAAATAAGCATCTTATTTCAATAACAACTTCCACAGAAACATATTCGTTCATCAGAAACCTACAGTCAGTGACTATAGTGCCATCAATCCTGGAAGATTCCCTGGACCTCTCCGAACAAGCCTTCATCATGACCAACAATTCGACTCGACTGCCGCGCACCGTATACTGGGGACGGAATTTCCAAACAGCGGCACTTTACGGCGGCCCTTGACACCGGCTTGATATCGGGGATCGTAACCATTTCAGAGTGTCTAGTGATAACTTCCGGGAAACACACCTTGACAAAGGCGCCGTGTCTAGTATAAATAATTCACACACCAACGATCCATAGCTCTCTCATTTTACTTCTTGCGCATCCCTCGTTGGCGTCAGTCTGTATTAGTTAGATAGCCGCCTGATTGTTTTGTCTACCATATCATTACCGTTTGTGAAAGGAGAATGTCAACACCATGGAGCGGTGATTTGAGCGGCATGGCCGAACGAGAGCTCAACAATTTGGCCGTGTGGTCTGAGATGCTCGATATGGATGCAATCGGACCGAGCTTGCTGCAACACATCTCTGAGAGCTTGACTGAGCCGGCGAGGCAGATGCTGCAGCCGGTGTTCACTCCTCAAGGAGAGTCTGTGTCCAGCCCACGATTACACGACTTTGCAGCGGCGATGCGCTGCCTTCGTACAGACATGACTGCATGGAGCATTGCGAAGCTTGAAATCCTGGCCTCTAGCTTCGACCCGATATTTTCGCAATTCCCACGTCGCCTGCGCATTGAAGGCTCCCGCGCGGGTCCGAATACCCCATTCTACCGTCGAACGCCCGGCCAGTCGATCTGGAACTCAATGGGTTTGCCAGAGATACGCAAGCTGCGAGACCTGATCCGGTACGCGTTTACCAACGTCAACGAGTTTGAGTTTGTGCTCGGACCCGAGGGTGCCCAGTTCAACGATATGGTCAATCCCGGGGATGTGCCCAGAATCATCTTTGACATCCTGAACAGCGTGCAGCGTCCAGTCAGGGCGCTGTATTTTGTGATGGAGGACAGCAGCTGGTACGTACAGCACAACGATGATTTTTACGCCCCGATGCTGAGCCAGAGGGTGTTGGAGAGCCTTGAGACCGTCGTGATCCAGTGGCCGTACTTCCCAGTGGACTTCGAACACCCGATGTTCGGCTTGTTCCAGAACCTCTTCCACAGCCCGCTTCAGCACTTGACCCTGGAGGGCAAAGGACTGGACTACCTTTTCCCATCCGTGCAAGCAGCCCTTTTCGCGCTGCCCTCGGCGGGATGCGGCCTGCGGTCGTTGACCCTCAAAGGCTTGTACGTGTCCGACCATGACATGTGCGCTTTGATCCCCAAAGTGCCGGTGCTCGCATCACTCACACTGGAAGACGTCCACTTCAACGGCAGGTGGCCGGATTTCCTGCACACCCTGAGCAATATGTGCCCATACCTGTCGGAGTACAACTTCACCGATGTTTTGTGCTGTGGGGTCTTCGAGTGGCCGCGTCCTCCCTTGATGAGTTCGAGCTACCGAGGACTTCCACCAGATACTCACATGGACTTGCTCGCCCTGGCCGAGCTTCACAGTCGTCATCATCTACGCGGCGCTTGGGGAGTGTAAAAGACCTACCTCCTAGATTCACAGTTACTTTCTGTTTGTCTTGCTAATTCGTCACCTCTAGGTATGCGGCTTGGGTACGATCAGCTTCAGCTGCACAACACCAAAACAACGAAAAACAAATCAACACAGGAAATGTATCATATATCGAATTAAAGCTTCAGTAAACTGTGAAAAAATGACAGCAGATCCATCCTGACGAGGTACGCGGCCGCTTTTTCTCCCCGATCGGGTAATTTCTTATCTGATCATGGATACATGTATCGGATAATCCCATCTCTCTTCCAGTTCACCTGAATTACAGCCTAGTGTATTAGCTATCTTCCTCAAGAGGTATCTCCCTTAGACCTATCAGGTACATCAATCCTATGACTCGAGATACACATCTAGTAGCCCAACTCCTAGCAGCAATACACATCCGATGCTCGGCAGCCGAGGTCCAACTAATCGGAAGGGACGGACTCCACCTGCCCAAAGCAGTGTGCGGGAGCGAGACATGACTCCCGCCGATGATTCACCCGCGGATTTAAAGATAAGATCCCAAGTATAGATACCAATCAGTTCAGCCCTCACTTTGTCATACTAAATTCGCATCACTATCACCACCACCATGGTTAGTACCACTTTCCATTCCATACACAGCATACCCCAATTAATCACCGCAGACCTCCACGGAAGCCCTCTACCTGGACGACGCCACGCTCGTCACCACGACGACCACCGTCCTCTCCTATCAACCCATCTCAGCACTGAGCGACCAAGACCGATCGCTAGCCAAGAACATCCCCCCGGAAGACTACGCCCTCACGACCCGCCAAACAGTCTTCTACCCGCAAGGCGGCGGGCAACCCAGCGACACGGGCGTGATCCTGGTTGCAGACAACACCAGCACCGACCACCCTTCCACCTTCGAAGTACACCTCGTCCGCAAGACGGCGGATGGCAGTATTCTGCACTTCGGGCACTTCATCCCTCCCGCCACCGCACTCCCCCTCACCATCGGCCAATCAGTAACCCAGACCATCGACGCAGTCAAACGCAACTACCACTCCCGCCTACACACAGCAGGGCACATCATCGGACTAGCGATGCGACTGCTGGCGCCGCAGCTGGGCGAGCGGAAGAAAGTGAAAGCCAACCACGCGCCGCGCGAGGCCTGCATGGAGTTCGAGGGGCTGCTGTACAACGAGCACAAGCCGCTGATCGAGGGCAAGGTCAACGAGCTCGTGCAGCGCGCGCTCCCCGTCACCATCGCCTGGTGGGAGGAGAGTGAGATCCAGAAGGCGGAGCTGAATATGGTTGAGGGGTTGCAGCTGGGTGGCGATGGGCGCGTGCGCATCGCGGAGATCGCCGATCTGGATGCTAACCCCTGTGGTGGTACGCATGTCGCGCATACCGGCTTGACGGGGTATATTACCATCCGGAAGATAAGTCGCCAGAAGGGGGTTACGAAGTTGTCGTATGAGGTGCCTGTGGAGATCTAGGGGAGGGAAAATTATGGGATGTGTATGAAGGAACTGCTTGCATTGGTAGTTGGTGGGGTTGGGGTTGAGAGAATGTAAGTATACGGATGATCGTAATAATATATGGTTTTTTGGTAAGCGTACTATACTTCTGCATTCCAGATTTGAGCATCATAGTATTTGAGGGAATGGTGCGCATGATTGAGCTGGTGACTGCGCTATCGCCGGGGTCGCATCTGGTCTTGAAGGCGGGTTTTTTGATCGCTATTCAAATCTCAGAGTAAGGAGATAAAAAGATGTTGGTATGGGATGATATCATGTACAAGATACGGACTTGATTACATCGATGCTGGTAGCAAACCCGCACTCACGCCAGACTTCGTTTCACAAAAGCAGCCACAGGCGCGGAATCAACCAGCCACGGCGAATGGCCCGTGGCAATGGTTTCAGTGGTGATCTGGGCCCCCTTCGAGCGGGCTTTCTTCACCATCAACTGCTGGACGAAGAGAGGAATGGCACGGTCATTCTCGCACAGGAGATAGGCGCTAGGGATGCGGGTGTAGGCGGCACTGGAGGCGGACGAGATCTTGGTCGCCCAGGCGTGCGGACGAAGAGTCTGGGCCCATTGCTCGCCGTCGGGGACATCGTGGAAAAAGAGGCTGTAGGGGTTGACGGCGGTGACGGTGCCGTTGGCTTCCTGCCCGTGGGGTGAGCCGGGGATTTCGGGAGGAAGAGGAAAGAATGAAAGAATGGCTTACATCGCGGTCATACCAGTCGGGAGGAACTCCGCCAAAGGCTCCAATAAGGCTCTCGCCAACGTCAGGGATGAAGGCCGAGATGAAGATCAATTTGGTCACCCCTCTGGTCTCGCCGGTCGCTTGTCTTTCGGTCTTGCTGAGGCCGTCCAGGGCGCTGTTCACGGGTAGTCCGGACCAGCTGTGCGAGATGACGACGACATCCTTGCCCGCGCTAACTTCCTGCTCGACCAGGGTCCGGAGTGCGTCGATATCGGGCTGCAGGTCTTGGACGCTGGTGGCCTGTTGGATCGAGGGGAAGGCGACAGTATGGGTGGTGTGGCCGGGGAAGTGAGTGGCCAGGGATTCAAAGGCCGTGGGCGGGTACCAGGCCCCAGGACAGAAGATCAGGGTGGGATTAGAGGAAGCCATTGGCCAGGGGTCAGGGTAGGGTATAGAGGATAGCAAGGGGCAAACCGGGACTGACAGGCGGCATTATATAAATAAAACTATCTCTTGGCCGCTGACAAGCACGTCCCAAAGTGCGCCTTGGCTTGTTGGGGGCCATAAATGAGGGCCCGTAGCCGATCTGACCAATTGTATAACCCTATCTACAATCATGTATTTTTTTTTAGCAAAGCGGCTGCTTCTCCATCTCGTCATGGTTTTGAGGGTGGTAGTGAGGGATATCTCGCTGCTCGCATGAGCCAATATCACATTGCGCTGTGCGTCATTTGAGGAGTTCTAGACTAGACGGTCAATTCTCAGACAGACCAGTGACTTATGCAACCCTATAGGGCTGTGGTTGGTCTATTGCCAATCCTTGGCCAGCAGCAGGGCACGTGGGCCGATTGGGGCCTGTCCGACGAACTTTGAGGATCGGATTTAATGCAGAAGAAATTGCTTATCTGATGTCAGGTGTCTTGGCCGTGCGAGCTTTAGATCGAATGGCCGACACCAAGCTTTGACTAGAAAGCTTGCTTCTCGAGATTTTTGGGGGCAATACGAGCTGGTACCATCAACCCGGCCGGCAGATGTTCACTCAACCTACCATTAACTTTCGTAGGCAGGAGAAAATAACATCATTCCCCCTTCATATCAAAACAGGCAGATATGAACAGGTGCTTGCCTTTCCCTGTCTTGCACCGATCCGTACCCTGGGCAAGTAGCAGAGGATGCATCGCCGAGAATCGCCAGGAAACAGGTTTGCTTACAGATTCCTCAAACAGGGATAGTGCAATATTGCTAGACATGGCCCACTCAAATTCTCTCGGCCAATGGCTCAGCAAATCACTAACACGCCTTGGCTTCCCCGCGTGCGATTCGCATCTCTCCGTCGGCCGCCGCCGGGATGACACCCGCACCCTCGATGTCACTCGCGGTATCTCGTCCGCATCAAGTCTGAGGGCGACACCTCACAATACCTGGTGGTTATGACCGGCACGACAGCAGAGGGGAACTTCGAATCACTTTGGGATGAAAGGCACGTTTTCACTCCATGGCCTCTGTCAGTGGTCAATATGCACCTTTCTCCATCGTCGGAGATGCAATTGACCGGGTCAGACGGCCTTTGCAGGGGAATAACTCCCCGGTTGATGCGGGCAGTAGCCGAGATGCAGGCTATATAAGGGCTATCCAGCTCGCGTAAAATCCACAAAAAGAGTCCTCAGACAACAGCTGGACAACAAGAGCTCGCCAGCTTGCGGATTTCCTGCTTCAAAACTGCTCCTCCCCTCTGCCTCTTGTGGCCGTTCATCCCAATGCCCTCTTCTTCTGTGATCCTTCGGGCTGCCTACGCCCTAGGCCTCGCGACGGGAACGTCAGCCTTTTCCTACCCAGCCGCCATCCCTCAGTCAACTCAAGAGAAGCAATTTTCCCAAGAATTCCGTGATGGATACAGTATCCTGAAGCACTACGGAGGCAATGGCCCGTACTCGGAGCGAGTTTCCTACGGCATTGCCCGTGATCCCCCCACCGGCTGTGCAGTCGACCAAGTCATCATGGTCAAGCGTCACGGCGAGCGGTACCCTTCCCCCGGAGCTGGCGAAGGCATCGAAGCTACTTTGGACAAGGTCTACTCGGCCAACGTCTCCGAATGGAAGGGCGACCTTGCCTTCCTCAAAGACTGGACCTACTATGTGCCCAACGAATGCTACTACAACGCCGAGACCACCAGCGGGCCCTACGCGGGCTTGCTGGATGCATACATTCACGGGAACGAGTACAAGGCTCGCTACGGCCACCTCTGGGACGGCGAGTCGGTGCTGCCTTTCTTCAGCAGTGGCTACAGCCGGGTCATCAACACGGCGCGCAAGTTCGGCGAGGGCTTCTTCGGATACAATTACTCGACCAGCGCCGCCCTCAACATCATCTCCGAGTCGGAGACCGTAGGCGCCAACAGCCTAACCCCATCATGCGACGTGGACAACGACACCTCGGTCTGCGATAAGCTCACCAACCTAATGCCGCAGTTCAAGGTCGCCGCTGCGCGATTGAACGCCCAGAACCCGGGCCTGGCACTCAACGAGACCGACGTCTACTACCTGATGAGTATGCTCCCCAACTCCCATCCAAGAACTCTTGCTAAGCAGTGTGTGCAGCCATGGCATCCTTTGAACTCAACGCCCGCCCCTATTCCGACTGGATCAACGCCTTCACGCAAGACGAATGGGTCAGCTTCGGCTACGTCAACGACCTGAACTACTACTACTGCGCGGGGTACGTCGTCCAAGTCTGCGCTCTATCGCAAAGCTAATCCAGTTAGTCCCGGCGACAAGAACACGGCGGCGGTGGGAGCCGTCTACGTCAACGCCAGCCTGACGCTCCTGAACCAGGGACCCGAGGAAGCCGGGGCACTCTTCTTCAACTTGTAAGCCCACCCTCATCTCCTTCCGACTCAGCATTCATTACCCATCCCCAACAACAAACATCGGACTAACCTTCCAGCGCCCACGACACAAACATAACACCCATCCTCTCCGCCCTCGGCGTGCTCGTCCCAACCGAAGACCTCCCGCTGGACCGCATCCCCTTCGGCAACCCGTACACAACCGGCAACATCGTCCCGCAGGGCGGCCACCTGACCATCGAGCGGCTAAGCTGCAACGCGACCGCACTCTCAGCGAAGGACACCTACGTGCGCCTGGTGCTAAACGAGGCCGTCCTGCCGTTTAATGATTGTCAGTCTGGACCGGGGTACAGCTGCCCATTGGTCAACTTCACGTCGATTCTGCGGGAGAGTCTGCCCGACTACGTCTCGACATGCCGGGTGCCGAGCGCGTATCCGCAGTATCTGGATTTCTGGTGGCGGTATAACACGACCACCGAGCTGAACTATCGGACTAGTCCCATTGCGTGCCAGGAGGGGGTCAGTTTGGATTAGTTGGTTGGGGTTCGATGCTTCAATATGAAGGGTGATTCATGAAAGTTTTCCTGTCTGTACTATCGGTGCACATGGGTGTCTGCCAGAGTCCTCTACTGCACCTACTGTCCGTACACAGCAATCAAACATAACCCATTACTCAATTAGAATCTACCCATAACAACCATACACAAACAACGCCCTCCCGGAAATATAAACCGAAATCAAATCATCCCTCCCTCCGTCTGGGTGACATAGAACGACTTCTGCACCCGGACCATCCGCTCACTCCCGACGACATCATGCCCCCACTCGCCACCACCCATTCCACCCCCGGTCCCCGTCAAGTTTTCCTGACTATCGCTCATGGCCCTGGAATGCGCATGCCCATGCCCATGACTCCCAGCAACAACCGTCGTCGTCGCCGACCGCGCAATCCCCTGCATATCAGGCCGCCACGCCGCGTCGACGAGCGCGAGCTCGAGGTCCTTGTCCTTCTCAGGGCGAGAGCGCGAGAGACTCGAGAGCGGGATGCTGCCGCGGGAACGCGAGCGCGGTTTCTTGGTGGTGCCGCCGCTGCGTGAGTAGGTGTAGGTGTAGGGGGTTCCGTCAGAGGGCGGGGGGGAGTTGTGGTCGAGGAACTTGCGGAGGAGTGGACGGAGCGTCACTAGACTGCCTGCTGTGATGCCTAGTCCGAGCTCGAGGAAGGACCAGATGTCGATTTGGTAGGTTGAGTCTATTTTTGGGGGTTAGTGGAGGCCATTTCTCTCGGAGAACGCTCATATTGCGGTTATAGAATTAAGTGTGGCTGGGAAGCTGGAAAAAAAGGGGGGTCCGGGGGTTCTCCCCCGGAGCGTTATGATTGTGGTATATCATGTTTAGGGTTGGGGACGTACAGAGAAAGTCCACGTCTTTGTAGCTTGGCAGGAAAGGAATGCGGATGATGAGTGCCGTGCAGGCCCTGGGATTGATATTGTCAGTATCGTGACTTCATGGGGAAGCGAAGGGCTACGTACACACAACCCATACTCAACGTCGCGCCCAGCGCGATCTTCGTCCGCGGGTTGATCTGCAGCTTGCGCACCAGCAGGATGGGCAGCAGTCCCAACGCAAAGTCACACGCCGCGCAGATACTGCTGTACACGTACGCCACAATCAACAGCACAGACGTGTCCAGACACTTGCCGCGTCCGGTGCGCTCCCAGAACTCCGAGACCGGGTGGCACTGCAGCACCATGAAGAACCAGAAGGTGAGACCGACGCTCACCGAGGCGCAGATGACCGTCCAGAGGATGAAGCGGTGGGAGCGGCGCACGGTGAGACGGAGGAGGGCGAGGGCGATTGACACTTTAGCCACGCCTGACGCCCACATGTAGATGCATTGGCCGAGCCACCACCACTGTTTCCGTCAGTATTCGAGATTTGGTCTCCCGTGAAAAGGAACGTACAAGCATGGCGCGGTGCAGCTCGTCCATACTTCGGAAATCGATTAGCCGGCGACCGATGCCTTCCATAGCGCCGATGATGGCGCAGACAGTTAGGAAAATGTTGAGGATCTGACGGGTCAGTATTCTTTCGTTTCACTCGATCGGACGAAGACATACCGTGGCGACGACCATCAATCCATCGTCCCACCCGAATGCCTTGATCAATCGCAGTCGGACATAGCAGCGCAGGCACACTGTAATGAAGGAGATCGCCATGCACACGACGGAGACGATCAAAATCTCCTTGCTTCGCCCTTCGAGGAGCATCATACTGGCGGTAACTAGCGAATCCTTTGTTCACACTGTCATTGAATTGTGGTTGACTCTTGAGGGGAACAATTGCTTTGTCGAGCCGTGTTAGCTGCAACACGTGGTGTGAGAAGGATTGGAGACTTTTATAAAAGGTAAGAACGTTAAGGACATGTCCGGTCGATACTAGTAAGACGCGACCCGCACAGCAGCCAAAGGGTTTGAGACAAAACGCAGGTCGAGCGTGCACGCCGTAGAACCTTAACACGAATATACTTCTCGAACGGAGGTGTTGTAGGCCGGTAGAGATTCGACCAACGACTGCTACTTATAATAGTAGGATTGGGTCCTGCCCAATTGGTGACGGTCGAAGATCGGTGACTGGGCCCGATACACAGGAGAAACAATGATGTGCCCGAAGGAAGATCGACGAGCGACCTGCTGACGGGCGGGCGATGCGGAACGAGACAGTCTACTTAAATGAACTGCAACCCGCGAGGGGCAACAGGGATGCTGTGTTTGGGACGTCGAGCAGGGCCCAGTCTCGCCCGTCGGCTACCCGGTCTTCCAGGCACAATACGAGGGTTCCATGGTTCTCACGGGGCAGGGAGCAGATTAGCGAGGGGGATCGGCCATGGCGACTGACTCGAAGAGGGGAAACTCCATGGTTCGTCGCAGGATGGAAGCTACGGGGTTAGTGTCGCGCTGGCGATGTCTGGCTAAGCACGGTGTTCAGCTGGAAATCGAACTCCCTCTGGGTTAAGGCTAGTCCCAAAAATCAGGAACCACGATCGTAATAATGGGCGAGGTGGGGTAGTGGCCGGGCGTCGAGCTGATAAACAGGAGTTCCGGCTCCATTGCAGTGTCAGATCCGCTAAGAATATCCCGACTCCCGAGTGTATCAGAAACTGCCGCGACACGAGGTTATTTTGAGATGGATGGGCCCGCACGAGGTTATACAACCTTTGAGTCGCGGACTTGTGCATTTGAAGAAGTCGTGACTTGAGTATCAGCTCCTGCGTATAAGAGTCCAATAACCATATGATCTTAATCTCGAGCCGAAATCGCCAAGGGGAGAGAAGCTGAAATGCGGCGATGGCTGGACTGGAGCCGAGCTTTCTAAAGCGGATAGCTGCGGAGTGCCCTAACCAGGACTTGACTCGGTGCTTTCGCCTAGTCACTGCCTCTAACCCCAGACGAGGATAGATTGTCCTGCAAGCGATGAAACCGGCAAGAGATCTGGAGCCGAGATCCCTGCACTGGGTCGACTGAGTCGAGTCCTGGACTTCTGATAATTTATCCGCGCTGCTATATCCCGCAGCGCACCTGCCACTGCGTGGTCTGGCCGGTGAGGGTTAGTAGTTGCGATGGTGAGATTTCATCTCTTGAGTCCACCGCAAAAGAGACGGATCCAACTTAACATTGCTTAGTATATTGGTCGTGGTCTTTTCTCTGCCTTGTCTTCATGCTTCCTAGCCCAAGAAACAGCTCCTCTCGATCATTCAGTGAAAATAATTACGGTCGCTCCCAGAATCAAGCAAACAAGCCGATCGGAATTAATCTCCAGCATCTACGTCTTACCTTGTGGCAGAACCTTATTTCAGTGAATATGCAATTCTTGGGATCTGAAGCCATTCATTTGGAGAAGTTTTCTAAGCTTGTCAGAACCTGGAGTCGTGAAATGAGAGGGATTCCGTCTCTGTTTCAGGTCTCGTGCAACTGCCTGACTAGGACTAGGCCCCGTTTCGACAGATCTACTTCCACCTGGGTTTTGTTTAACAGACAGCTCTACCTCCTTTCATCACTTCACTTCAAAATGTGCTTGTGGCTGCCTTTATGGTGGTGAATGTTTGAATGCCTCCGAATATGAGATTGCGAGGAGAAAACCAACCCGACTTTGGGAGATGGTCCGATTTGAGGCAAAGCTCCGAAGATGAAGCGGGAATTCCGAGAGGCCAGCGGCACGTGATCGGCTACTTACATGATGCTAATCAGATCGAACCAGATACGTGGGAGACTGGGAGTTGAACCAGGGAGTAGACCCGGGGATCTCTATGCCAAGTTATCGATGCTTGCCTTCAATGCCAGTCGCGCGCATGAAATGGGAATGAATGGGGATAGAAAGGTAAAAATATCTGGGGAATCCGGTACCATATGGTTCCTTTGCCGAATTCCCGCTCTTTGGGGATAAACAAAAAGATAAAAATAGGAGAGGCTTGCACTCGGTCGGATTCGAACCTCCGACCTCGAAGTGCGCAGCCATTTTCACCCAAGAAAACTAATCACAGTTGTATTACTGACTGAGCGCCTGCAGCTGAGTAGCACCCAGCTCATACAATTCGACCCCATACAGATGTCAAGGCAGGACAGCCCGGCTAGTGAGTTCCGCGCCGATCTACCATAGCAGCAGTACCATGGAACGAATCGTCGAGGCCGTGGTCAGACACGAGACCTCCCGCAGCCCAGTAGACCCCGAGTTGGGTTGTCTGTGAATGTGGACGGTGTGGCCGGAGTGTCTACTGACTACCTAAATTACTACTCATTTGTTCATGGCTACAGATGTACTGCAACTGTACGGAGCACATCCCTACAGTACATGCAGCCACCAGGGTCAAAGATGCCAGCACAGCCCTGTCAGCCGCAGCCCACCCGCGCCAAGAGGGAGAAGCAAGGCTGACAGCTTGCCAAGAGGGTGTATCCCCGTTACTCAGCACTGCTGACAGCATTAAAGGCCTCGTATATTAGCAGTCCACCAGTGAGGATCCTTCAACTACGCTGCGCCTCAGTGACTGTGCTGGCCGCAACCTGGCGGTGTCCGGATGCCATATATGTCCATCCTCACCCTGGACAGTCAGCCCTCACTCACTCCCACCCTACCACTACCCCAACCAACAACAAAATGACGACCACCATAGCACCCGCCGCGCTCAATGTCCTCTACTACTTCCAAAAACAAGAGCTCAAGCTCGATTTCAACTCTCCCGACCGTGCAGAGGCGTATCAGAACCTCAACCGCGAGGGCCGCATCTACGTCGCGGAGCCCACGGCCGTCTACCTCCCCCTGGCCCTGTCGATGAGCTACCTCCGCGATAGCAACAACGGACTGGTGATTGGCTTCACTACAGGCGCAGAGGCCAGCCGATGGTGCCAGACCGCCGTGCTGGGTCGTCTGCACTCGCCCAGCGCACCGCACGAGGTCCGCATCCGTCGCGCCTGGACCGACGAGGCCCTGGACCAGCAGCTCCAAGTGCAACAGTTCCCGCTGTTTATGCCGACGCAGGGAGCGCCTCCATCCCCGCCGGTTTCCACCCATGCCCACTCCAGCTCCAGTGCCAGTACCTCTGCCTGCGCCAGTGCTAGTGTTAAGCGTCCATCGGCCACCCCAGGCTCATCGCCGCATGCCCAGCCTGCCGTGAGCCCCAGTGCACCGCCCAGCCAGCAAGCCAAGGGCAACCAACCAGGTCATCGAGCCACCACTCGACAGGCCATGTCAATGCAGTTCCCCCCGCAGACAGCCGCCCATCTACCGGTGCCCGCGCAGCTCCTCCCGGCACCGCTGACCATCGGGACGCCGGAGCGAGCACCAGCGCCAGCACCGGAAGGGATCGAGCGTCGACCGCGAGCGAGTAGTTTCTTCTAAGATTGGATTTCTTTGTACAGGACGCATAGCATAGCGAGGAGTTGGAAGAGAAATTGTACTTGATTCATAACATACTGTCTTTGTTTCTCACTAAGCATAGCAATCATACACTTCGTTCCGCGGCCCGCTCATTCTCTCTCCGGCCAGGCGTTATAGAGTCCCTCCGTCACGGCCACATTCTTGAACTGCACCTCGCCCTCGCCGTTGTGGAAGAACCGGATCTGCGTCGAGTTGTCGTACCACGATCTATTGTCCAGTTAGTCATTGCCTTACAGATATTGAAGAATGGGGATTTACCTAGCCCATGTGCTCAGTGCGAAGCGACCGTTGGCATACACCTCCACGATCGAGTTATCCACCACGATGGTGAGGTCGAGCGTCTCGACCTTCTCCCTGCCATCCTCCACCACGTCGAAGAGACGCAGTTTTCCAGACTCGGTGAAGCTGTCGAGACCCGGGTTAGTCGGGGCGGCGGCACTGGTGTTGCTGCGGTCGACGACCAGCGACTCGTTACTGAACTGGTAGTAGACGGTAGTACTCTCCAGCTCGGACGCGAGGATCTCGAAGCCAGACTGAATGTTGGACGTGCGGGCCGAAGCAGGGAACTCCAGCTGCGCGGTCAGCACAAAGAATTTGGAGGCGGGCGACTGCTGGAACGGCACGACGGCGGCGGTGCGCAGCGTGCGGTCCTCCTCCTCGACGGCGGAGCTGTTGCCCAGCAGCGCGGCCTTGGTCTCGCGCGCGATGGTGATGCCCAGCGTGCGCAGGGTGGCCGTCGTGTTGTCCGACTCGCCCACCACCCACGAGACGCCCTCCTCGCGCACCAGGTCGTTGTCCACGACGTTCTCGATGGTCTGCACCTTCAGCTCGCGCGGCAGCAGCAGCGATCCCGTCCATCCCTGCGCGTACTTGGGGAAGCCGTCGGCCTGCTCGTACTGGTCGCCCGTCAGCCAGATGAACGCGACGAACCGATCGAAGTCCACGCCGCTGTTCTTCGACACCGCCGACGTTGCCGGTAGCACCTTGCCCGCCGCCGCGTACGCGGAGAAGCCCCAGTCGAGGTACCCGGCCATGGTGGGCGTGAAATGCAGCTTGCCGTCGGTGCCATCGACGCCAACCTCACCGGCCGCCCACAGCATATCATGGATACTGGAAACTTGCGGCTTGACCGGGGCGTTGGAGCCCTCGGTGCCGAGCGTGACGAAGACCTCGCCGGTCTTAGGGTCGTGGCCCTCCTCAGTGAGGAACAGCACATTGCCAGTCTCGAAGTTGAAGCCCCAGCGGCCAGCCCACGTGCCCTCATCGTTCGGGCCCCAGGTGGAGTTGGTGGGTTCGTGCCACCACTCGCCGAGATACTCCCAGTACTGGAAGTCGGAGGCGTTGCCTTCGTTCTGGCGGTACAGGAACTGCGAGGGCCCGCTCTCGTGCACGCCGCCGGAGATGGCCGCGTACCAGGGTGTGCCCTTCTCGGTCCAGGCGGCCTGTGCGAGCTGCGCCGCCGTTTCGTTGCCCTCCGCGGCAAGCAGCGCATCGAGGCGCGCGCTGCGGAAGACAAACGGGTCGCGGAACGCGGTGACGTCCAGCGCGAACGGGTGATCGGGGATGACAGGGCCCTGCGCGATCTTCTCGAAGCGGCGGCCGCCGTCGCGGGCCACGGCCAGCGACTGCGTCTCGCTGCCGCGGGTATAGGGGATGGACCAGTGAATGGGCAAGAAGGAGACAGAGGTGTACAGCAGGGTCGGAGTGTTGTTCACGCCGGAGGGGATGACCGAGCCGTCGAACACCGCCACGGGGTCGTTCTTGCCGCCCGGCTGGATCAGGAAGCTCCCGTTCGACGAGGTGTCGGTGAAGGTGGCCATGTTGGCCGTCGTAGCACCCGCGATGCCCTCGTTGTCGTGCAGGAAGCCGACGTGGAACAGCCCTGTGGCCGGGTCGGTGTAGTGGGCGCAGGGGTCACCGATCTGGCCCTTGGCCGGGAGGATGTGGGCGCGCGGCCGCCAGACGTTGAAGAGGGTGTTGTTGGGAAGGGTGCTGAGGTTGCTGGGAGGGGGCAGAGTGGTGTCCAGCTGGTAGGCGGCGGCCGTCGCAGCGGTGGCCGCCAGCGTGGTGGTTGTGGTGAGCTTCATGGCGATGATGATGCTCTGGAGGACGAGAGTGGAAAGAGTCTTGCCACCGGCCGTCCGGTCTGCTTTATATGTCTTTTGGGACCTCTTTTCTGCGTTGAATATGCAAACAGGGTCTCGCGTGTCATCATATGATTTACTCCAGGGATTCTCCGCGATTTCGGCGAAATCCCGCAGTTTGGGGCTGCGGGGGGCGCAATATCGCCGAGATTTTGCCTGGTGTTTCGCCGAGACAAGAGCTCTGGATCGCCGATCCAAGTCAAATGAGGTTAGCAAGACCAGCAAGAGTTGGCAGCAGGGCAAGTAGACGAGGATGGAGTTGAAAGTTGAATTGGAGAGGACTTGGTTTTGTTTTCATTGCGTAATTGGCGGTTGGGGGGGGAGGGTGTAAGAAGTGTGGCCTAAACAAGGGAGGGGAGGTTGGGGCTGGTTGGGGTTGGGCTTGGAGAATGTATGGAACAGAAATCTCCGAATGCGGAGGAAGATCGCTCGCTCAGCCCTAATCCAACTTGGACAACACTGGATAGTTACACTAGAACTATTCCTCGGTCATGACAAACTCCATGATCGACATGATACTCCCGACCAGTTTAAAGACACGCTGCAGGGTCAATCCCGGATGCGCGTCCCGACAAAGCTTCTTCCAGTCTTCCAGCGGGCGTTCCCGCGCATTAACCGTGGTGATCATTTCCATGTCCATGATGCTGTCATGCATTAGATCGGCCTGTTTCGACGAGGAATACCACAAGACCTACCGTGCAATTCTCTCTTCTCCTCTACCCAGCGTCAACGGCTCGGGTAGAACGCCCTCGTTCAGAATCACTTTACTACCCTTCTTCAACACCGGCACAATGTTCTTCAGGACCTCCACAGCCCGCGCATCCGGATGATCATGCAGGATGAACCGCAGCAGATACACACCTGCGCCCTCGTCCTTGGTGCCCTGCTGAGGCGTGAAGAAGTCATGCGTCTGGAAGGACACCCGCTCTATCAGCGACTTCGGTAACGCAGCACGACCCTGCTCGACTACTCCCTCTAAGCCCTGCACAACAAACGATGCCGCCTGATTCTTCGCTGCGATGGCGATACTAGCATGCCCTGTCGATCCCCCGACCTACAACATGACCCGTAGTCAGCGGACAAACCTATTCCTCGCACAGTTGTCAAAGAACTTACATCGACCACCTTCCCCGCGCCACGCTCCTCCCACGGATATGCCTCCAGCAGATGATGCACCCCATACCCCTCGGTAGACGTCATCCCAACCATGGTATTCGCGAACCGCCGCTCCCGCTCGGGGAACCGCGACAGATGCACGAACATGGGCTTCTCGGTCTCGAAAGCGACGTTGTAGGCGGCGTGGTGCAGCAACTGGCTGGTGCCGTAGCGCTCAGTGGCTTCAACCAGCTTGGCAGAGGCTGGGAAGGTCTCCTCGCTCGTGTAGCCGACCCAGTCGTTCGGCGCCGGCGAGCGCACCAGCAGCGCCGAGGCGGCGTTGTGCGCGACCATTCCCGGTTCAGGCTCGCAGAAGAGCCGGTTCGTCATCGCCAGACGCAGCACGCTCTTGAGCCAGTTTTCCTCCACGTTTGCCGTGGCGGCTACTTCGTGGAACGGGACCGCGTGCATCAGCGGAATGGCGGCTGCGATGTTGAAGTGGTAGGTCCAGCGGAGGGCTGACATGTCGTGGTACTTGGGGGGATCAGTTAGTTTTTATCATGGCGCAACCAGTTAGGGTGGATGGTTGTATGATATGCACCTACTCTACACGCCAACCAGCGGAGGTGCTCCGCGGGTCCGGTCAGGAACCCCGACAGGGTTTGACAGACATCCAGAATCTGCTGATGGGCTGCTTGAATCGATGCCGGGGCTACGGGAAACATGGGGGTGCACCGTGATCAAACGAGGGCTGGGGGTGGCCATTCGCAACCAGGAAGTCGTTGGCTTGCTGGCTGGCGTGGCTGATCTGCGCTGCCAGGTCGATCAGACTACAAGGGTTGGTGGAGGCCATGGTCAGGGATTATGCAGTTAGTGGGATTTGGGGTGAAAGGTAATGGATGGAGTGTGTAAAAAGCAAGTATCTACAGATTAACAGATTGGAGGAGGCAGATGGGGAGGGGCCTGAAAATGCCGGGGTCCCCTGTCTGGTGGGCTGGTGGGAAATTGATTGCAATCATTGCATGCACGGCAGGTGGACGAAGAAATGCCAGAAAACACGGCGAATTGCCTGCATTGGGAGTGGTTTGGTCCACTTTTGGCTTACAGCCAAGGATAAGCAGTGGCTAACAGTGGCTAATAGTGACTAAACCCCATTCAATCAAGTTTCAACCCACTTAAACACCAAACCACTAACCGAGAAAGTCGGCAACTCGACCTTCTCGTGCCGCGTTGCAACCCCACGTTTGTTGTTATGCCCGCCCCTTATGTTTCTATCTATGCACCCCATCCCCCGCCTTCTGCTCCCCCGGTGTCTCGTTAATCATTATCATTGGTTCTTCCTATGTGTGTGTGATAATGTCCGACCGGAGTAGTCTACTAGACCTTGAGGAATTCCCCGTGCACCATGTTCTTGTCGATCCCGATGTGAGTGTCGCCACTGGACACCCGGGACACAACAAGACTGATAAAGACCTAGGATGCGATCTCGGATTCGATGGATGATGAGGGCGATTCCTCCGATACGTCGGTTACTCTTCGCATGGTTTCTTTTGTGTATACTAAGCCTTCGTAGAGCCAGCTATGCAACCTCCTTGAGCTCCAGCGTGCTCGACTACAAGTGGGTCAATGGACGACGTTTCCATGCCTACAAGGAAGGCAGTATGTATTTTCTCGCAGAGGCCAAGTCGTGCCCTAACCGGTCGGACAGGCTACAAGTTCCCCAACGATGAGCGCGAGCAGAGCCGGCTCGACATGATCCACTGCATGTTCAAGCTGGCCATGGGCGGCAGACTGTTTCTCGCCCCGATAGCTGTCGAGCAGCCCTTGCGCGTGCTCGACATCGGCACGGGGACAGGCGTCTGGGCTATCGAAGTTGGTCAGTAACGACACCGAACTTGTTGGCTATGGTTAACAGCATGGTCAGGAGACGAATATCCGAATATAAAAATGGTAGGAGAATAAATTCAACGGCACCATGCACACTAACGTCTCCAGATTCTTGGCAACGATCTCAGTCCCATCCAACCGGATCTGTATGTTACCCTTGCCTTTCACCAACCCCACTAATACGTACAGGGTCCCCCCGAACGTTATATTCGAAGTCGACGACGTCGAGACCGACTGGCCCCCCCGTGAACCCTTCGACCTGATTCACTCACGATACATGTGCGGCTCGATCCAGGACTGGCCCAGGCTGCTCGGGCGGGCCTACGAGTAAGCCTCCCCTCCCAGCCCAACCCTCTGATACTGGCTGACAAGCGCAGACAAACCCGCGTTGGCGGCTGGGTCGAGTTCCAAGAATTCCACCTCGTAAACTACAGCCAAGACGGCACCCTGGACGAGCACAACAACATCAACAAGTTCTACGAGCTCCTGCGAGAAGCCTGCGACCGCATGGGTCGTCCCGTCACCATCGGGGGCAAGTTGCGCGAATACGCCGCCCAAGCTGGGTTCAGCAACATCCATCATCGCGTGTTTCCTTTGCCGCTGGGCACCTGGCCGAAGGATCGACGGATGGTATGTATACGCGGTTGTTGGGTTATTGAGGATGCTGACCATTGCGTAGAAAGAGATTGGGGCCCTCAACATGCTCCAGTTCTTGGAGGGGCTAGAGGCGTTTAGTGTGGCGACCTTCACTCATGTTCTGGGCTGGAGTTTGGAGGCGGTGCAGCTGTTCCTGGCGGATGTGCGCAAGGATGCGATGCGAAAGGGGGTGCATATGATGCATAATTTGTGAGTGTATTCCACCAGTGAGGGGGATTTGAGCTGACTGTTTTAGCCATGTGGTTTGCGCGCAACGATTATAATCGGTGGTTGGTCTGGATAGTTGATTGCGCTTTTGCGTTGTTCTGTATAGATGTATATTTTTCGAATATGGGTTGGTAGCCGTTCATGTAGTTCTAGTCTTCGATGGTTGTGGTCGAGAATTGCCGTAATGCTATGCTTTGGGTTAGGCCACATATATATGTCTCTTGCCCCAGAAGTACTGTTAGAAATAAAGTTTCTCGGGATATACACAGATCAAAGAATTTCCGAACCATAGCAACAACACAGAGAACAGCCTTTAGCTTCAATAGTGTCATTCGAACAGAAAATAAGTTCAGAGCTGAAGTAATATTATTGGAGGCATTCACTGAGTGAATAACTCATGCACTGTCAAAAGCTGGAACATGGTTGCGTAGTTGTGCTGACATAAACAAGAAAGGGGCAATGGCGCATCTGGGAGCGCGTCAGACTGAAGATCTGGAGGTGGCCGGTTCAAGCCCGGCTTGCCCCATTCTTTTTGTTTTTGTCCGAACGAATCTATTCCCACTTATTCCGACACAATCACTTATCACACTTTCTAAAGAGTTTTGCCATCCAATTGTCATAGTTGCGCCTCTTCTTTCAGGACTTTAGTGACTACTGTTAACAAAAGCTTGCAGGCTAGTGGAATTACAGCATAGAGATGACCCATACAAAATACTAACTCTACTGGATTATAATATATCAGGGCGAAGCAAATATAAACTGCCGTTTTTTTTTGTTTGCTTTTTCTTCAATTACTCCGACATAGGTGGATGTAAGAAAGGTTCAGGGGAATGACTATGCAAACAGTACCAAGAATCAGATAACAACTAGTCCACGCGGACTACAATCAGCAAGACCAGAGAATGCATCGAGAAAAGAGCGAGCAGTGCCCAGAAGAACTCCACGGAAAAGAACCCAAGTAAGGGCAAACCGAGGGATAGTCGTCGTAATACTTCAACAGAGAATGAGAGGCTCTCCCAACGGCGACAGCAGCAGCAGCGGCCTGTTCGTTCTTGTCCACCTTCTTCTTGTGATGCTGCGCAAAGCACAAGGTGCCATGGCCCTCATCCTGCCCGTGCTTGTCGTAAAGACGCACCGCTCCCTTGCAATGCTGATCCTTGTTCAGCACGGCCAATTCCGGTCCTGCCTCCTTGCTCTTACCGCCATGCGCGCCGCCTTTACTTAGCGGAATCATTTGCATCTTGTCCCCGTTCTTATACAGGTGAGTAGCACGAGGGTCCAGGGCCTTGGGCCATTCGTAGCTCTCGTCGCCCTCTTTCTGGCCTTGATCGCGATCTTGGCCTGCTTTTGCGCATTCGCCACGTCCTGTTTATTGAAGATGTGGTCGTTGCAGACAACCTCAATGCCTTTGTTGCCTCGCTCAGCAACATGACGACTGGTCAGACATTATTGGAGGCTGGTCATGTTGGTGGTGGACACCGATTCCTCAAAGGGGAGTGCGGAGGGGGCCAGAGAGGGGATGGGGGATGCAGCAGCGCTCAGGAGCAGGCCTTCCAGGGCAGCAGCTTTAAGATGCATCTTGTGGGATGTGTGTAAATGCTGTTGTTGGTCAATATGGAGTTGAGCTGAGTTGGACGCGACTGCTAAGTGTATCCACTTCATAGCCTTGCTCGGTATGTAGACCAGTGGTAGTGAGAGATATCTTGATGGGTCAAGATGGGGCCTTTTATAGATGTTCGACGAGGATTTGAAGAGCCGACTGTACAGCAAAACGTCGACCGACTGGACTGATTGTGTATGTGACGTCTTTTGCTCTCGGGAATAATAGCTTTGTTCCTTCAAACAGGGCTTGAAAGGAAAGTGAACAGCTTGCGTCTCTGTGCGTGGAGTATCTTGATTTTCGGAACAACAGCTTTGTTCCTTTATCAAAGCACAATCTTTCATTTTCGGCAAAGTTCTAAGGTGAATAAAGATTATCATGATCAGATACTATGCGCTTTGATCTTGTTTCTCAAGGGAATTGCTGGCCATGGCACACATTATACCAACCACCAACATATAACAATGGCAAGAGTCAAGGAACTACCTGCTATGGTAAACACCTCTCACAATGGCGCACCTATCTCTTTATGAAGAGTTCACAACGAGAGTAGAAGTTGTCATGGTCTAACATGTCCTCGATCCTGTTCCTTATAGTACTTCTTGACCAAGGTACACATTGTCTCAAACATCATCAGTTAGTAATGGCAAGAATCTAGGACTCCTGCAACGAGCTAGATTGCTTTGTCGTGCCAATCGGGCTAATCATGAAAGGCAACCCACAAAAACCTCCAGGAGCAAGCTCCAAGTGTGTTGCTAATTTGCTCGGAAAGTAAAAAGTAGATGAGTGGATGATAGAACTAGACGGCCAGATTTGGATACAACAATTGAACTGAGGAGAGTGGATTGCCAGTGACATGATTTACATTTGGCCTTTCCGAAGTCTGGAAGGAACGTGTCCAGGGTGGTCGAGAACACCTCTCGTGAATAGTAGATTGCTTTGGCCTTCCCTACGGTTGGAATTTGAGTACGGAATACCAATTCGCTTTTGACTCTAATGTCCTTTTCACACTTTATCATGTCACATTGTATGACATTTTAATCGTACTAGATCTCGATGTATTGCTAGCTATGAGAGGCTGAGAAACATTTGACGTACAATACTAAGTCAGGTCAGGCGAGGACTTCGGAACACTGGAAGAAAAGAGCAAATTCGAAGTCTATTTGCGACTACATGCTGGCTTACTCGTTCGACGCGAATCATCCGATGGGATCCATAGTGAATTGATGTGGTTGGAGAAGCTGTCTACAAAAGACGAGCCCAATAGACCATCTACGCTTCGATCATGTGCATTCAAAACCCAGGAATACATACATCTCGCCCATACTCTACTATCCTCTACTAATCAGATCTCTATTCTGTCTAATCCCATAGATTGAACAATCCTCTATCTTAGCCTTATTGAAAATTTGAACGGTGTTGTACCGATCACACCGATTCTTCAATAATTATCAACAACTATACACTGCCGCAGTCGGCGAGCTTTGTTCCTATTATGCTTTACATATGCCGAAAGTTCAAGCGAGTGACTGAAGCAACAAGCAAGACCAAAGAGTAAGGAAGAGGGGGACAGTCCCAAACAGCATCAAAGCTCAAAGCACGCTGGGATAAAGCCGAGATCGAAAAGGTCAATGGCAATTGCTTCCGTGGCCACCCTTGCCACCCTTACCCCCTTTGCCCCCCTTACCACCACCACCCCCCTTGCGCTTACACTTGTCCTCAGCAGGAGAGCACTTGTAGGCATGGTCGTCATTATACTGCACCACAGCCTGATACTTGAAGTGTTTATCCACCACCACAAACACCTTGCCCTTGTACTCGCCCTTGCCGTCGAATGCGCCGTTCTCTTCCAGGGGGTAAAGCATCTTGTTCTTTGAGTCTTTGAACATACCGCTGGTGTGTTTGTCCAAGGGCATGGGGTATTCCCCGTATTCCTCGTGCTCGTCACCGTGATCTTTCTTCTTCTCCTCGTGCACCTCCTTGGCCTTCTTGATGGCGTCCTTGACATTCTTCGTAGTGAAGCGATGATCGTGACACACGGCACCGGTAATCTTGGGGCCACCGCGCTCGAAGAGATTGAGATCGGCCGGGCCTTCAGATAGAATGGAGGTGGGATTGTTGCTGGGGACGAAGTCGTCAGGCGGGAGAGGGGAGGGAGAGCGGGACGGGATTGGGGAGGCAGTAGCTCCCAGCAGCAGGAGGCTGCCACCCAGGAAGACAATATCGGGGCGCATTTTGGCTTGATGTTTTCGAAGGGAGGGCCTTGAGGTTAGTCCTAAGGGGTAAGCTGAACTGGAGGTTAGTACTTTGATCAAAGTGAACTTCAAGTGAAGAAGCCTGGTCAGTACAACTGTATAGACCAATGGTCGTGACAGGGACCTTGTGTAGGGCAAAGGGGGCCTTTTATAGTCCGGTCAGAGTTTCTTGGGTCAAGAGAGCAGGCATACCGCTTAGCTCTTTGTATTCTAGCAGAAAGCATGGATTTGTTTGTCTCTCTCTTGCCTTGTCGCTATATTCCGAAGAGAGAAAATGGCTGTGTTTCTGTACCATTGTTTGCATCTGATATCCAATGTTCTTTGTTGAAGATGGAACAACGTCTTAGCTCTTTCTTCGGACAGCGCTTTTAGAAATTATGCTTTCACAGGCGAAATAGCCTGGCTTGTTCGTTGTGCAGAAAATGATCGTTCACATCTGCAAAATAACTCTACTGTTATAGCGCTGGACATAACATAAAATGATCACAAAGGGGATAGAAATACTCCCTTGATTAACAAGCGAGTTGCCTGCCTTCTAAGCTTCATTGATTCGAGCACTAAAGAGCGTCGGAAGCATAGGTACAAAGAAACAGAGCCTTGCAGCCCTAGCCCTGTCACCAAGGAGTTCAGTTCGCAGAGAAAGAGCACTTCGCCTGATGTACACACCCGATCTGCTGATTGACGATTTTGCCATGTCTCTTGTTAATGCTCGTTCTTATCTGATGAACAATCAGTTGATTGATTCGCTCGGCTGATGACCCGCTCTCGGCCATCTACGGCCATCGGATCTCCGACGACGGATTTCTGAATTAAATTGAGGATAACGGAAGGTCTAGAATACTCTCTAATCATGTAAGAAACACAATGGTTCATCTAAGCAATCGATTGAGCACGTTGTAAATATTTGTGGCTAATATGTTTAGAGTATTCGACGTTTCCGCGCCCGGAGATCACTAAACTAGGGCACCTTTCCACACGGAATCGATTACTTATATAGGTAAAGTGTCGGATTTACGATGGTAGTGGTAGTAATGTCCGAGAGCATTAGAATTTTCTTGGCTATCAGTCTGAGGGCTAAGCCACGAAGTTAATCCTTTGCACAGTTCACAGCATAGTCTCCTTTCATTATTAATGCGAAGTTGATAGTGTGAGCCCAGGCTTCTACGTCGGAAATCCAATATGCTGAGTATCGATCACAAACATGCTGTAATCTGACACTACGAGCCCTTGATCGAACGAAGCTGAGGCATCCGGTGGGGACCTCTCTCGCTTGTTTGGTTGCTCACTCTCCGATATTCCGAAGCAGCATAAAAAGGGTTGACCCACCTTCATTCCTTCAAAGATATCTTCATACTGCATACGCCAAGACTCGCGGCAGCATCAAAATATCGCCATAGTGGCAAATCCGGTCCACACCCCACGTAAAAAACTGCCAACCCAGACACTGTTCCTGTGAACATCCATCTAAACCTCCAGATTCCAATTTCCTACCAACATGTCAACAGTCATCGTTTTTGGTGCCACAGGCGCGGTCGCGTCGGCCACTGCTCGCACGGCGAAGGCCCGAGGAGCAACAGTGTATCTGGCATCGCGGAGCCTGAACAAACCCATCCCCAGCCTTAGCGAAGAAGAAGGGCACCAGGGGGAATATCGCAGGGTAGAAGCCGACCTGAGCAAGCCCGAGACAATCCGCCAGGCAGTTAGCAGCGCCCGCGCAACACGAGCCTTCGTTTACACCGTCTTCGACTCGCCCGACCACATGCGCTCCAGTCTAGAGGCCATGAAAGCGGCCGGCATCGAGTACGTGGTCTACCTGAGCAGCTTCAGCGTGAAAGGCGACCCAAACAGCGTGCCCTCCGAGGAGTACATCGCCTACTCCCATGCACAAGTGGAAATCAACCTGGCACATATCTTTGGCGAATCAAAGTACATGGCGGTCCGCCCGTCCTTTTTCGCCACTAACGCCCACTGGTGGGTGGCGGCCGCGGCCGATGATGGCACAGTCAAGATGGCGTTTCCTGGTGCTAAATTCGACTTCATCGTCCCTGAAGATATTGGCAGGGTCTGTGGGACTCTGCTGGCCCAGGAGACGGAGGGTACTCCTGTGCAGGGAGATCACCTGTCTCTGATAGGGCAGGAGGAGCTTGCGCTCGGAGACGCTGTTGAACTGCTTGGTCAGGCAACTGGGAAGAAGTTGAAAATCAGCGAGTGCAGTCAAGAGGAGGAGATTCGATACTTGGTCGGAAAGGTCGGGTTCCCGGAGCCACTCGCGCGTGCGGTGGTGGAGCAGAACCGAGAGCAGAGCCGGGGCCATGGGCTCGTCGATTTCGTGACCCATGCCGATTATGCACGGAATGTGTATAGGGTTACAGGGAGCCAGCCGACAGGTTTCAGGGAATGGGCACAGCAAGCAAAATAATACCGAGCGAGTCATTACAAGTTGTCAAATGGACTATACTATGTCTCCCTTCAAGTGTGGCTGCTTTTCATGTTCCCTGTTTAGGTTGCAAATCATGTGAAATACCTGCAGTTTTTTGAGCTATGTATGCACTTCAAATATCACAAATTACTGTCTGAGTTAGTCTGTATGTGAAATTCAAAGAGTGCAAAGAAGAGTTACTCAAGCTAGACGCCCCTATAATCGTGGCCGGCGCGACAAGCCTAGCCCTAGTCTATTATGCGTCAGTCTCCGAAACGGCATGGTTAGCACTTCCGTGCATTTTGGACACCATCGACGCCAAATGAGCAGACGATTTCATGGATGGTCGACGTCTGGGCGGGCTCGGAAAGTTCACCCACAGGAAGAAAGATACCCACTCATACTCGGTAAATTAACCTTTTGCGCCGAAAGGTAGTACGGCTAAATGCAGGTCTGCTTCGAAAGTGAAGTCCCGAGCCTGCTCATTCCTTAGGCAGTAAGATCTCATACTACGCCCATTTTACAATACTCTGCCAGTATCCCTTAGCACATAATGAGAAGTTCATTTCCTACAAGAGTCCAAGGTCAGAGACTGTACTTTGCTTGACTTGTTCCGGTAACCGAATCTGAAGACTATCTCCTACATATCATGACTACGAACAAAAGAATCTCTGGCAGGAAACAATAACTCTTTCAAAGCAATATCGCTCACAAAGCAACGGCCTCTAAGATTTATTCCTACAGTACAACGGGCCGAGCTATCTTGTCATTGACAATGACATTGGATTTCATTATCCCTCTTTGTCAAATTGACTGACCTCATTGTTTAAGCTTGCTATTGGGGACCATGTAACAAGCTTGTTGGGCTGCTGGTCTAGTCTATACCTTTATGAATATTTAAGCATATCGTTCACCCGCAGAAGAGACGTTAGATCTGTATTTCCTCCCACCGTCCTACATACGAATTCACAAAATAACCCATTATCATCATCCAGCAACCATTACCATGAATCTTCTAGGTCTCCCCTCCGAGCTTCTATGGAAGATTGTTGGTTTTCTCGAATATGAAAGTGAGATCAGCGCACTTGACCGTACTCATGGGATCCTGTATGATGTGGTAAACCCTATGCTATATCGACACAATGTGCGCTTTGGGCATAGCTCTGCCTTAGATTGGGCGATCATAAACCACTCTATACCAACCGTTCGGTTGAGTCTTGAGGCAGGAGCCTCCCCTCACGAGCGCGGCCCTAATGCTGAATACTCGCCGACGGCCCTAGCGGCTATCCACGGCGATGTTGCAATACTACAACTCCTTTGGGAACAAGAAGTCAATTATCGTGGGGATAAAGAATGCCTTAAACCGTCTTCCGAAAATAGGAAGCGCTTCGCCGGAATCCTTATGTTGTTGGCTGCAGAGCGTGGTCGTGAGAATATGGTTCGATTTCTTATGGACCACCTGCCGAGGAACGGCGATGTCGATTATCCCACTTTCCTGTGTGGATGTACAGCACTCTTGCACGCTGCGCAGGAAGGTCATCTCCCTGTTGTTAGGCTTCTGGTCGACGCCGGGGCCAATCTTGAGGCTAAAGATGAGGAAGGATGGACTGCCTTGAAGTTAGCAGCTAAAGATGGATACCATGACGTGGTGAAACTCCTTATTAGTCGGGGAGCAGATCCCATTGCTGGCTTTGAGGACAGCCAGACAACTCCCATCTTCGAGGCTGCTAAACATGGTCATTTTGAGACGGTGCGGTGTCTCCTTGATGCAGGAGTGATGGATATGATGCCGCCTTCGAGACTGCAGAACTATCCCATTGAAGCAAGTGCAGTACATCAGCACTGGGATGTCGTCAAACTTCTTCTGGAGGAAGGAGGTGGCTATAAACAGCTGGGAACAAAGCAGGGTAGTATACTTACCATGGCCGCTTCCCTCGGGGACATTGCCCTTCTTCGTGAACAGCTGAAAGGCTTCGCGAACGAAACCGAAGCCAAGGTAGATAACTTCGACCTGGAAAATCTCGTTACGTGGATAATAAATGCTGGTGCAGAATATGGTCATAAAGAGGTTATTCAGCTAATGCTTGATCGTGGCCCTCAACTTTTGAGTAAGTCCATGCACGAAGTGCTTGCCCTAGCAAGAAGACGAAATATTCCGCTGGCTCGAGCAGCCGCTAAGGGCTTTGAACCCATTGTGGAATTGCTCCTCGAAGCTGGAGCTAATCCGGATCAGCGAGACATAACTACAACAAGCGAGAAACCTGCACTGAAGCTGGCTATTCCATTCGAGGGCACCTTTCGCCGCCTACTGGAGGCGGGGGCTGACCCAAAAGAGCTGTGGTGGCAGGGAGACGAGGAGCCCGTCTCTGTAGCATCAACGGTAGTGGCCTCAGGGCTGACCGCGCAGGTGCAGGCGCTTCTGGACTGTGATATCGACTTGGTACAGTGCGTGAGTGATCCTGGTCTTCTTCTGTTAGCTATTGAAGGCGGCAAAGTTATGATCGAGTTTCTATATCAAAAACGGCAATGGGACCACTTGCTAATAGCGAAGAATCTCACACCGGATGAGTGTCAAATAGCTCTCGGCCTAGCAGCACATATGGGAGAGGTTGATCTTGTTCAGTTCCTGATCGACTACGGATTTCTTGCGCGGATCCCCGGAAAACCAAAAGTAGACCTTCTTGCTAGGGCTGCAGCTTCCGCAGGCAAGAATGCAGACCCTCGCGCCACCCTTGATCTGCTTCTTAAATCTGGGTTGAATATCGATAATGAGCTGGGAGGGAGCACTGCCTTGGGCCGCATCGCGCTTCTGGGAGACGCGACTGCGACGCGCCTGTTGCTCGAACGCGGAGCCAACCCACTACCACAGTGTCAGCCATTTGACTCGCCGTTATACAAAGCTGTGTTCTGTGAAAGCCATGACGTGGTCGAGCTGCTCTTGCATGAGATTGACGCGAGGCGTGAGCCTTGGGCTGTTGTTGCGCCTTATCTACAGGCAGCAGTGGAACTGACAGAAACAGCAGAGGCAAATGAAGTCCATGCAAAGAAAAAACTTCGGAAAGTGAGAAGGGCTTTGCGACAATGGTCATGGAGGAAACAATACCCCGTGGATCCTTAGGTCTGTTTTCGCAAAAGTTCGTAAAAGGATGTCCGGAGCTCTGCTCGGAACAATATCATTGCTCAACAGGGTCTGTAGACAGCGAATGTGAGCTAGTGGCAATGAGCGGTTGGGTTTTCTAGTTAACCGTTAGAAAGAAATCTTCAACTATATCATAGTTCTTATTTCCCGTAGAAGAAACCACCAAATTCTACAGCATTATTTCCCGTAGAAGAAACCACCAAATTCTACAGCACAGCATAATAGAAAAGGAAAGCAACATGAGTGAGCAGCTTCGAGATAGCTATCAATCTAATAGTTATATGACCTCAGGTAGATTAAGCATATCTTTCAGGGTCCTGTGGTGATGCGATTGAAGGCTACTGCTCTCAATTCCTGGATAATGATGCATGGGCGAACTAGGATTTTATCCTGCAAGGTTAAATGATCGCGATTGGCTCTTTTGTAGTGTGTCTTGCTTCTTCGCAGCCCGTGAATCTTAATTATCTTAATGATCTAGCGGCTAAAGCTACTTTTGCTGATTAGTGACGAGGAGTACCAACTCGACAAGGCCTACTTTAGATTCTCTTCAAGCTGTTCCGATCAGATGCTAGTATTCCAAGAAAGAGCCAGAAGCCACACATGTGGCAATGCCTCGCCCGCAAGTACAGTATAATCACGGAAAACTCGCCCAACAATCCTGGGCGCGACGAAGAAATTGGAAAAATACTCATACGACAATTCTTCGCCAAGCATGGCAATCGGCCTCTCCATTTTGGAGAGGCTAATGCGGGTCGAAACACATTGCGGCGTCCGGACAGCATGGAAAAGGCAATGATGGTAGTTTGGATGTTTGCATCTGCGTGGAAGTGAATCACCAGGATCATCAGGGATGGACAGAGGAGTATGGCTTCACTATTCTGGCTCTGAATTATCATGGGGGCGGTGGCGGTGCTCGCCCCGTGGAAGCCTTAAGGCATCCATCAGCCAGGGTCCTGTGTTGACTACTTAACCATGTAATAGTGACAAGTAGATAATAAAGATCTAATTCCTGTTCTTGCCCCGCTTAGCCAGCCCTAAACCAGTTATTATTAGGTGGAATCCTGAAGAGACCCCCTTTTTCTTTTCTCCACTCAGGAGAGAGTCTAGGCATCCAACATTTCCGAGTCTACCAAAAATTTCTTTCCTTCGTCAACAACAAACTAACTAACCCAACATCACTGTCAACCACATAACTCGCAAAAGCCATTCTCTTTCCAACCATGCAATTTACTACCTGGAATTAATGATTGCGATGAGTGCACAATTCAGAGGCCGTAACGCGCCTCCTCACCCCTCTCATGCGATGCATCCGCCGCCAGTTGTCTGCGGGCCATGCGACTAACGATGAAGCCCGGGGCAACTGGCTGCCCCCAACTTTACGCAGACCCTACCTGCTTACTCTGTCTACTCTCCTGCTACTGATGGCTGTGGCTGTCGAGGTCCTACGTCAGTACTCTAATCTTCACAATGGTGTCGCGCAGTTCAAAAACCAGGAAAACCTTTCACCGAGGGAATGGCGAGCTTGGACGGATACACCCACCATTGTCGGCCTGGTCGCCGTTGTTCTTTGGGAAGTTTTTGCTCAGGATGTCTTGCGCCTAGAACCCTACTTCCAGCTGGCTGGTTCCAGCGAGGTTCCTGCCAGTGTCCTCTTCATCAACTATAGCTTTGATGCTGGGATCCTCGCCCCAATCCGTGCCGCTCGGAATCGGCATTGGATCGTGCTATGCGTCTCTGCGATGTCGATGGCAATACATCTTGCAGTGCCGTCTCTGTTATCGGGCCTTCTTACCCTTGCCTCGACTGATATTGTGGAGACGAAAGCCCTGCATACCTGGCCACACTTGGTTGGAATGGAAATTCAGGAGAATTGGTTCTCAATCGAAGCTGCTCACCGGAACTTCTCACAGGAACCGCGCGGCAACCCTCTCGGACTCAAAAGCAACGTGAAGTATGCTTTGGCTCCTCTCTCAAATGTGGCGTATGAGAGTGATGCCTATGCTCTAATGAATTTGAACCAGTCGGTTTATTGGTCCGACATGACGTGCGTGAATGCGACTGTAGCTGGGACAATGCCCCATGCACCCAATGCTACTGCGACCAACGAACATCGCCTGTCGTGGGACCTCTCCAACATCACATTCCCGGACATTGGGTCGACTTCTGACTGCAACATTGACATCATGTTAGACAGCATCTTTCCGCTCGGTGACGGAAAGTTTCAAGCACGCCACTGGGCGCCCGTGCAGTCCGCCCCAGCTTCGTTCTCTCAATCCGCGTTCCGCGCTACTAAATGCATCTCTACTGGCTTTCTCGGTGTCATGGTCGAGGTGGAGAGTAGAGCGGGGACAATACTGAATTCGAACGCCATCGCCTTCGCATGCCAGCCAATCTTTAGGCAGTCAATTGCCAGCGTTTCATTTACTCGGGGAGTCTTTGATTCAGCCAGCATTGTATTAAACATTCCTACTGTCAGCAAATTGAGTACTAAAGAGTTCAGTGTGCATGGGTTCCAAGGTCTAATGTCATCGGATCTTACGGCGACAGAGCTTCCTTTGGACCAAAAGTTCCGTGTCGTTGTTTCTGGCGATACGGAGACTCTGCAACTGACCCAATATCAAGATACAATTGGTCACTTGTGGAATTCCGAATTCGTGGTTGCTATTGACAGGCTTTTTGATCGACAGGCAAATGCCGTGCGGGTTGATGCCAAATTTTCGATGTCCTTATTGACCATCGCAGTGACACCTCGGACCGCTGTGGCTGTCGAAGTCATTACGATATTGGGATCTCTCTTGGTTCTATATCTGAGTTTCGCATATCCCCGTCGCCCCAGACTTCTCCACAGAGACCCTAGCTCGATCGCTGCGCAGTGTCATCTCATTGCGCGTCTAATTGGTCCCGACACTCTTAATACCTTGTCTCACCCGAACTATCATGTCGCCAAAACCCGAGAACTTCGAAAGTGGACCAAGGGACTCTGGTGCAGATGGACGACTGGGTCCGTCGATCAAGTGATCGAAATATCTTCGATCGACGGGTCTCCTGCGAAGATGTGTGCCCGTCCAGCTGTTTCAGCACGTCGAGACCCAATGCCGCATTTCTTAACCCTTCCATGGTTTGTGATGGAATGTGTCTTGCTTGTTGGCGCAGTCACCTTGTTTGGGTTGACATATACATGGATACAAATTCACGCGATAGACTCCCTCAGCTCAACTCGATTCTTGGTAGCAGCAGTCTTTTTGGTCTATGGCCCAACAGTGCTTGCTTCGATCATGCGCTCTCTTTTGAACTCTTTGCACCGCCACCTGAGCGTTGCAGAACCCTGGATTCAACTAAGAAATGGTATGGTCACATCGAAGAAATTATCTGCGCCGATCTATGGACCCCTGTCAAGCCTCTTTTTGTCAATGCGTCGAGGGCCGCGACCCCCGGTTGCAGTATTGACTCTATCGTTAATATGCATGCTAAACCTTATACTTGTCGTTGTCAGTGGTGGATTATTTGAGCCACAGATTAACACTTACCTCGCAGCCTCTGGGCTCACCACTGCATACACTGAGTCATCTTTCGTCGGCCACACGTTGGACCCGGGCTTTAGGATTTATGACCGCAGTATATTTCCTCTGACGACAAATGAGTCGAACATACCGTGGGTTACAAGCCATCTCTCATTCCTTCCATTCACCATTGACATGGTTGAAGACGCTGTCGGCGTGCTCTATACTACCACCAGGCGAGGGATTGGCGCCAATCTCAAGTGTGAAGCTGTTTCGCCTGCCAACGCAATCGCCGACTATAGCACTGGAACAATGAACTGGACGTACGCTCCTGTGGACAATTCGACTCTCGAATGCACCCTCCAATTACCCCTCAATGTATCCGAACCTCAACGGACCACAATTCAGTGGGCTTGGCCCGACAGCTCCGACTGCCAGAGGCTCAATTTCTTCGTCTCCTCCTCCATCCCCACGAAAGGCAATTCAATCACCACAGCCATGTACTGCACCCCTCACCTCACTAATCCAACTTACGAAATCCAAGTCGACCCAAGTTCCTTGATCCAGGAACATACCCTTATCGCTAATGAATCACCGCTCACCACCGGCTCTTTCTTCGAAAGCCTGTCTACAGCCTTAGGCACGTTCAATCAGAACCTAGGCACCTTCATCCACAACATAACAACGCACCCCCACCCCCTTCCCTACTACCTTTCCTCTTTCCCCAACGCCCAAACAACCGACTTCTACCAGCAACACCGCCAGGACGACCACAAGATCTCCACGCAAGACCTGGCCCACGCAGTGCAATCTATCTATCAAAGCACATTCTTGAATTACATGACCCTCCATCGTGACGAACTCTTCCCCCCTGGTCCTCTAGTCCAGATACCTGGAAAGACGACTTACACGTTATGGGGCTTGATGCCCTCCACAACCTCCATCCTCATCATCATCGTAATCCTCTCACTGGATGTTCTCGCTCTCGTGACTGTGTTTCTATGCTATTTTGGACGATACGATGCCCCTCGCATTCCGAAAGCGGTTGGCTCCCTGATACCGTGGGTCGGAGGGAGAGAAGGGTTACGGAGGCTGAAGGATATGGACGAGCAGGACAACACAAAACGACAGTACCATTTCTGGCCTCGGACTGATGCCGATGATCAGACGACGTGGGTTTTGGGGGCGTTGGAGGTGGAGGTGGAGGTGGAGGCGGAGCGGGACGATGAGGGTGCCGTCGAGCTGGAGAGGATAGATTCAGGAGATTCGAATAACCACCACTCCTCTGCCGCTTGAGGCGCCAAAATGTCTGCCTTTGACGATATCAATGAAAGCTATACGAAGGTGCTGCGAATGCAATGGATCAATTAGATGTAACTTGCCTATACCATAATGTGATAATAAACTATAAAATTCTATCAACAAATTCGTGCAATGTTGCGTTGTTGACTTTACATAATGCGTTACTAAAACTCACCTTTGTTGCCCTTCTATCTTTGTGGGTTGTTTACACTGGTTTTGAAGTAGTAGAATGTCGTAGTGTTCCTTTGTTCTTCCAGAAAGTGCTGAATGCCCAAGTTTGGTAAGAATATATTATTTACTGTATGCGCTCTATTCGTCATAGAGCCAGCATTGATACGTAGAGTTTTGCCTTACAGGGGTAGCTGAACAAGCAATGGATTAATAGACGTAACTCAATGTGTTGCATTTTCGACATATATGAAGTCTCAATATGTTGGGGGCTCCAGGAGCTCAAGGTATATTACGGTCAATTTTCAAGCAAATCGTTCTTTTCTGTGCCCGACCGAGGCAGCCCTTGTCCGAGGAGACAGTCTTACACCTCGAGCACGCTTTAAAAGGAAGCAGAGATCTTGATGCTCGCGAGCTCATAATGAATAACCTACACCTTCTTACAGGCGCATTTTTGATTATCGACGGGCTGGATGTGCTCGAGGAATCACACATCAGCCAAATTCGCGACACTCTTATCGCCATCTCCCAGAGCCCGCAAGTATGGCGGCTGAAGACCGCCCTCTTCTATCGGGGGATCCTGGCCAGAGGTGTCGACCTCAGCACTCAGTGGGAGGGCACCATCCAACTTCCGCTTTCAATAGACCGGCTGGAAGGCGATATCGAAACCTTGGTCAATTACGAGGTGGATCGAAGACAACTATATCGCAAGATCACTGATAGTGCGGAGATGTTGAAGTGGATTAAGACGGAGCTGGTATTACGAGGCGGGCAAATGTGCGTATGCATAGGGCTTCAAGTGTGTGATTTGTTGGGGGCAAGACTAATTAATCATCAGGTTTCTATGATAGTCCTTCAGCTGGACTGCCTCTGGAACGATGTCTACAGTGACGCTGACATCCGAGACACATTGAGCAAGCTTCCACGAGAACTGGAAGACACATACAACCGTTGCCTCAAGCAGATCGTGGGAGTGAAGGACGACAAGCATCGGCAATTGGCTCACAAGATCATGTGGTGGATGCTGTGTGCAAGACGACAGTTGACAATTGCAGAGGCCCAACAGTTGGTCGCTCTGGAAGATAATGATGGACAACTTCACTCGGAGCAGTTCTTGAATCACGACCCGACTGTTTATTGTGCTAACCTTGTGGTTCTCGGACCTGGCTGTCCGCAATTCACTCATCCACCGGTGAAGCAGTTCCTCTCCGACCCATCAAAGCTGGGGCCGGAACTAAAGTGGGAAGCTCTTCTTCTGAAAGTGGTGAACTGTTGGGCCGGCAGATTAATCGGGAAGTTCATGAGAAGACCCTCGCAAGTGGTGACGCGTGGACGCCAGGATAATGACCTGTCGATACAGCCCTGAACGTGATGGGTGAGATCCTGGCGATTCCTTTGGTCCAAACGATTAACAATATTCCTTTGATTAAAAAAATCACCGATCTTCCTTTGGCCCAGAGGATCGCTGATATACCTGCGGTCCAGAAGGTCAGACATTCGAGAGATCAGGCTAGATACAATACCCAGCATGGGCGCTCTCGAGCCCTGTCCATCCACTCAGTGCATACTACCAATCCTAATGTTTTTGCCCCGATTCTGGATTACATCCGTGAAAACTGGCTCTATCATACAGCGGATATGACCCATGATGAGTTTCGCAACCTATTTTCCTATGTCTGTCTCGAAAGCGATATCTGGCTACCATGGAAAAGCGAAGGTAAATATGAGGTCGAGCATATTCGGAATCTCATCAACCTTGCAGTCTCAGCAGCCCATATTCCCCTTCTACATCTTGCATGTGATCAAGTTGAGAGAATGGGAGAACATGACGCCATTTTTGGGAATCCCTCGACCGCTGATTTACTCCCAATCAATGACGCGATTACCACAGGTAACCTCGGGGTGGTTCAAGTCTTACTGTCTTACTATCGTCGGCACATTAGCCTCGATCGCAGCCTAGAAGATGCGGTATTATACGCCGCCCGCTGCAACAAGAGTGAGATTCTACAGCATTTCCAGACAGAGCTGCCAAAAATATTCGCAGAAATCTCCACGATCGATATCCTCTTTGAAACCATTGTCACCAACGACAACCCTTCCCTCTTACAGTGGTGGCTTCGCACATTCAGAGACACAAAACGTGCGGAGCATGTTAGCCAACAACTTTTGCAAACAATCCTAGAGATATGCAAAACCCACACCGAAAGGACGGCGTGTCTTATCCCTCTTCTGAGCGCGTGGGTAAGGAGGGAAGGTGCCGCAGAATCACAAACGGCTCTTATAGACCGAGTGAACGCTATCAATCTACCCAAAGATTGCCTGTCAATCATTATTCTGGTTGGCAAAGCTTCCCATGTCAAGCTCGTCCTCTCACAGGAGGAGTTACTCACTCCGAATGATACGGATCGTCTTTCAGATGCCGCTCTAACCATACCGCTCGGCAATGCCTTACCCATACTCGAGTTATTATCCCTACACAACAGGAAGCAGGAACAACACTGGATCAAGGAATCAATCTTAGGGCCTCGGGATCAGTATGCCAGACGGCTCTTGTCCTGGCTTGAACAGCTCTTTTTTGCCATCGTGCCAGAGAACGGTACGGTTGTCTCGGACGAGCTGCAGGTTATCACAATCTTGAAATTGTTAGAGGTGCTCCCTGACAAGATCCTCGTTGACCTTCTGGACAACCATTGTCCGGATTGCCAGCTGAGAGACAGCTCGAACCATAATATCCTTTATGCGTTGGCGCATCGACCCATGGCACATGCCCTGCAGTCGCTCAAGGCCCGCAACCTCCTATCGCAGATGGATCTGAATGAACCCGATAAAGATGGCTGGACCCCTTTGCGCGTTGCAGCCACCCGCGGCTACAATGAGGTGGTGATCTTCCTTGTCGTGCACGGTGCCGACCCCCAGCGGCGGACCGGCAAGTCAGAAACTCCCGTTGCCCTCGCCCAGAACAGCGAATTCAGCCCGACCTGCGCAATCCTCGACCGGTGGGGGAATAGCCCCATCGGCATGTGCTATTGGACCTTCATGGAACAGCATGCGGCCGGCCTACAGACCATCCCAGGGGCGGGTTCGGAGTGGGCCTTGCAGCTCTCCGTCTGGCGCGCATTGGACAAGTTATACGGAAAGGCAGAGGATACCGGGGAGCCCATCTCGTCTGTGACGCTGGGTTCGTTGACCGCAGAAATTGTAATTACTTCCCCATTATCCTTTCAGGACGACTTATTATTCTACGTGAGGGCTCGACAGATGTGGATCCGGCATTGATCGCGAAAAGCAAGTCTACTCAGCACTGATCAGGTCTGAAGGCCATACAAAACTTTGTTTTCTGGCATGTCCCAAGCAAGGTAGCCGACCTTTGTATGCTGCTTCTCAAGAATGCTTCCGCAGCATAATACAATGCACATTTCTGGTGTCTAACTGCTCTCGTTACCTCGCAGGATGTTTACTGGTTTTGTATGCTTCACATTTGCGAATCCTGTGGCCTTTTTCAGATCAAAAGATCGAACATACTCTGTGATCGCCTCTTGTTTCTTTTGTCTCATCTATTCAGCGCTATACCAAAGAAGCTGTTCCAGAATGAGGTCTAGATTTGCGTTAAAGACCTCGTGGTTTTATACAATGGCATCGGTGTCAATAGCACTTATGATGGCTTATAGATTTCTTGGTTCTGTGCCCAGATGTTGGTACACTTTAGAGTTTGTGCCAGTGTACCCCAAGGCTCAGCTTGAGTATAAAGGGGGGGAAGCTTGTTCACGAGGAGCTGCATCTCGAGAGAACAGGGTGGTGCAGCATCAGAATGTTTAAGCTCGTGTTCTGAAGACAATCTTCCCATACACTAGCGATGACCGACCACAAACAAAAAGACCTCGGCAAGACCCTGGAGGAAAGCGGTCCGCCGCCCCCAACCCCTCCCGAAGTCCCCGGCATGCCCGCCGCAGCCAAGGTCGCCCAGCGCACTGGCGCCCAGGAGATCGAACCCCGACGGGCCTTGGCCACCACCCCACCGATCCCCGCCCTTGCCTCCCAGGGACGTGCAGTCCGACAACTGCGCCCACTACCTCTCCAACGACTTCATAACCGCCGGCTATACCGAGCTCAACCCACCCAATCAGCACATTAACGCCCGCTGCAAAACGCCCGCCCACCGTTCCATACGTGCCCGGGACATGTGGAGCTGGTTCCAGGTCAAAGCCCGGCGCACTAACCGCACAGTGTAATATAAAACCGGTTGGTAAGCGGTCTTCCAGCTCGATGAGCGCGTCTACTGGGGCAGCTATTTAATTGTCATTGACTCCGATTCGCAGAGTTGTTGCCGGCGTGGCGGTGGATGTTCACGCCGGCTTGGTAGTTGTGGAGAAATTCTATTCTGTTGCATATTGCTTGATGTTCATGAATTTCAAGAGGACGGCTGCCTGCTAGTACTTAGGGCAACTTCAAGGATATATTCAAGAGAATGACATCGGCCACGGGTCTGCCAACAGCATCGGAAAGTATTATTGATGAATAAAAAGCTTTCTCACCGTGTTGCGCTTTTACCACAGTGATGTAATCGGGCTTCTCGCCAGTATTGGCGTGCAAAGTGGCTCGTGATTAACCCTGAGACGAAACTAGATATTCTCGGTACATTGGAGCCTACCCTTGCTACAACGATCTTTGTGCACCTTATTTGCTGGGCGATTAGTCCTTTAACTATATACAACCACAGGGTGTGGAAAACAGGGCTTCTCGTCTGCTTAGCTATACTCAAACTATCTATCAAATATAGCTGGCTATAATTTAAGCCCTGCTTAAATTCCTGTTCTATAAATAGATAATATTAAGCTAAAAAATAAATACATCGGGTGGTTCAAAGGTGATATGCTCGAGTGGACCATATACCGGGTCAAATCGACTGTCTCAGAATGCTCGCCAGAACCTTTCACCACAGAAAAAGGTGGAATCATAATCGATAAGCGTGCATGTGCCTAGAAAAGAATCGATAGCTCTTTAAACTGGTAGGTTCGCGGATGTACAATGCGGACGAGAGGTTTTTAAGGTCTTATCTTCACTAATATCAGATATAGGAGGGAGAGCAACAGCAAGCCCTTAAAAACTCTAGCCACATGAATGTAGAACATGGCCTCAACACCGCTAGCAAGCCGCCTGTGGAAAGTTTCGACGACATTCCCTGTAGGAAAATCGATTGGGGGGACCGGGCGTTTCAGAAAGCGACAAAGTGGCTCCCAACCATCACGGACATCGAAGAATAACAATCTGCCCTTTGGCACTAGCTCATTGACTCGAGCATAATGGTCTCTGTATGCCTGGCGACCATTCGTCTCAAAATCGCCACTGAAGACGTTTTTCCATATCGTCCTCCAGGTTCGTCCGATCCACCGTGTTCTACCGAACAAGGCACGATCGGCCATTTCGAGCACACGTAGACACCGGCTATCGAGCAGGGGCTGAAAGGCTTTTTGCATGGACCTACTGAGAACCTTAGATTCTGAAACACACATGCACACACAAACACACACGAAGAAACGAATAGTAGGCTAGGATGTCCGTACGTGTGCCATTTATCCAAGTCCCTCGTGGTTAATATGACCTTCGCCGTGGGATAGGCTGCGATGATCTCTTCCGAAAAGCAGATCGCAGGGAAGTCCGATACGACCTCTTGCCTTTAGCTTTACCCAGCCAGCGATTAATAAGGGACGCATTATACCTGGCAATGACCTAAAAGCTGGTCGAATTCCGGCCGCCCAAATGGCTTTCCCCTACCGTCGTATTTTGCACGTAGGCCGGCAAGCCACATTTCGCAATCTCGCGGATTATCTAACGCTGCGGAGAAGCCGTGATAGACGTCGTGATAACCTAGTATTAAGAGGGCTTGTTTGAGGGCTGTGGACATGACACATCGCAGGTCAACATGTTATGATCTCGCAGCCACTAGATGCAAAAAGGGGAAGCAATGTTTACTGACAGTCTGTGCCCGTGCGACTCATCCCGAGAGCAAGGACTTCCATAGGAACACTGCGCCGGCACTTGCGGCGATTAATGTCCGTTGCGATGCAGTGGTAGTCATAAAATCTACGGCTTGCCATCTTGGAAAATCATGGATCGTTGATAGTGGCCCCCACTCGGTTGGTGCTGGACACACGTTCAAGCGATGACGGCTGCCGATGATTTGGACAGCAGTTGTCGATTATTATAGTGCTTGATTTGTTCCCGTAGCATTAATAGAGATGGAAGCAATGCATTGTAAGAAAGGGTCACCCATCGACTGCATGGGTTAACTCACAGCAGATATGTTCCTTGTACCTTTTCTAGTATAAGTAAGGAGGGACTATAGTTCTTCAGTAAAAGGCAAGAGGGATTAGACTTAGGAAGTAACGCAATTATACTTTAGCTTGGTCATGGTGTAGACTAATTCAGAAGTTTGCTTCTGGCTGGGGATTTGCAATAAACATTATTACCTCAACGTGCATATGGGCTTGAACGACTTCTTCGGTGGTAGTAACCGAAAGAGCAATGACACAACTCTCAACATATAACACTTAGCTTCTGTGCTATTGTGAAATCGACATGGATAAAAATAGCCTTGCGTTATCTCCCTTACATCTGAGGCCCCCAAGCTGCAGCCACAGACAAACTAAAATTTACCCTTTCCATATCCATCGGGCTCGGTCAAACTTAATTCTGCCCGATTCAAAGTGAAGAAGGTGACTATGTCTGGAAGGCCCCATCGGCGTCATCAAATGCCGCGCTGATCTCGTCTGCAGAAGGCTGGACCCTGCTGAAAACTTCCTCGGGCAGCTTAGCCTTTGCCGTACCTTCAAACAGCCTTTTCTCGTTGTGCAAATCACCCAGGTGGGTGCGGGCTTTAGAACCGAGCCCAGAGTCTCTGAAAAGAGGAGCCTAGAAAGACAGTCCATTAGCGAGAAGCGCTTCCCAACAGAAGATGGTAGAAGGGGGGGGTGTACTTTGGTCCTGGCCGACGCGATAGCATCGAGAAGGATCGGGGCCATTTGCTCATAGCTTTCATAGTAGCGAGAGGCCTCATCAGGTGTGAGGTTGTCGCTCTCCTCGAGATGATCGCGGGCAACACGAGCGGATTGTTTCGCAGCCTCAAGTGAGTTCGCGACTTCCCGGGCCGCTAGGATGCCTCCCTGGTAGTTGTCAAGGGAGGCCTTGGCCGATGTGATTTTGGCGCTCATATCGTTCATATTGCTGATCGCCTGCGCGACATCGGCTGCTGCATAGGCCAGTGGAGCCGCCTGGAGCGCGCTCATAGCAAGGACCAGAATATGTTTGCTGAAGCGCATTTTGATTTTTCGGGGATAAAATCACTGCAGGATAAGCAGAGTCACGGGCAATGAACAAGGTTGCTGAGATTCAGGGAAAGCAAAGGTTTAAGTATTCCCTGTTGGAATTTGAGTGTCACATGGTGTATCTTCGCTGGTTTTGGTCAGGGGGAAATGCATTTCTTTGTAGAGCCCTAATATTGTTTTTTTATAAGAAAACAATTCATGAAGATTTGGTATTTGGGCCCGTGGAGTCTGTCAATATTCAGCAGCTAGCGAAAGGACTGCCAGGTACTCTACAGTACGTACGTGATCTACATTCCTTAGATGAAAGGGGGTGGTGGCTGGCGAGCGCAACGCGGGCCAACAAACCAAGGCCAGTGTCGCAGGAATCCTGCCAGGGATAGGCCTGCAAGGTCTGCACAGCCCAAAGAGTCAAATCTTGCCTGACAATAATTCATCTAGACCAGAATTCATAAACTTGGAAGCTTTCCTGGATCTGTGTTCTGTGCCTCTAATCTCGATATCACAGTTATCACACGGAAGGCTTACCTCATTAGAATTCCCCATTACCATCATGGTTGACCAGCGCAGTTGTCAAAAGACTGAAGCATGCCTTGGTCCAATAGTTGGTTTCTCGTTCCCACTTAGCAAATGGCTGCTGCTAATCCAGACCAAGGAAATGAATAACAACAGTCAGGCCGCGCGGCATGTGTGCCTCGACAAGCGAAGGTGCGAGCTGGCGCCGCCTGTTGCACCTGTTGCGATTGTCGGAATTGCGATGAGACTGCCCGGGAAAGTCCGGACGCCTGAAGAATTCTGGGACCTTCTTATAAGCCAGCGCGACTGTTCTTCCGACGTGCCCAGTTCGCGGTACAATATTGACGCGTTTTACCACCCTTCCAAATCCCAGTCAGTGCGTACTCGACGTGGATACTTCCTCGACGATGAGTATATGCACAGCTCGGACAGGTCTTTTTTCCCGCCCATCCCAGGGTTCTCAGGTAGCGACCTGGACCCCCAGCAGATGCAGCTTCTGGAGGTTGTCTGGGAATGCATGGAGAATTCCGGACAAACTAAGTGGCAAGGGAAGAGGATCGGCTGCTATGTCGGTGTTTTTGGTGAAGATTGGCATGAGCTAACGGCGAAGGAGCCCCAACACGTTTCGCGGGAGCATGCATTTGCAAATGGGGGTTATACCCTGTCAAATCGGGTCTCCTATGAGTTTGACCTAAAGGGACCGAGGTAGGTAAATCCTCTGAAGGATCTTAGATGACCTCATGTACTAAGGTTATAGCGCAACCATTCTGACAGCATGTTCCTCGTCCTTAACGGCTCTGCATGAAGCCTGCCAGGCCCTTGCCACTGGGAGCTGCGATTCAGCAATTGTAGCAGGCACCAATATGCTCTTAACACCTTCTATGAGTGTGACAATGTCTGAGAATATGGTTCTATCTCCAGATGGGTACTGCAAAGCTTTTGATTCGAGTGCAAATGGCTATGGGCGTGGAGAGGCTGTGAATGCTATCCTGATCAAGCCGCTCGAGTCGGCACAAGCAGAGGGCGATACTATCCATGCAATTATTCGTGGTACAGCAGTGAACTATGATGGAAAGTCTGCCAGGATCTTTGCACCAGATGTTGACAGCCAAGAGCGACTGATATACGATGCATATCTAAGGGCGGGGATACATGATATCTCTCAGACTGCTTTTGTAGAATGCCATGGGACTGGAACGAAAGTTGGCGATCAAGTGGAGACAACAGCCATCGCTCGGGCCTTTGGTGGGAAGGGTGTGCATATTGGTTCTGTATGTATCGCCTTGTGTCGCTGGGACCTGGGGCTAATAAGCATGTGCAGGTAAAATCAAATGTTGGCCATGGTGAAGGGGCGTCAGGGTTAACAGCAATAATCAAAGCTGTGTTGGCCTTGCAGCATCGCATGATCCCACCCAACATGCACTTCAAGAATCCTAATAAAGCTAGTATGCGTGCTTGCCTGTGCCGGTACTCTCGATAATATCTAACGCCGTTCGTTTAGTTCCGTTCGAAAAAGGTGGCCTTCGCGTCCCTACAAAACCCACTTCCTGGCCTGTTGGCCGCAGGGCACGAGTGAGCGTAAATGGATTCGGAATTGGAGGAAGCAATGCCCATGTGAGACCCCACCAGCCCTGTGCCTGGCCAATGACTCATACGAAAACAAACAGGTCATCCTTGATGCACCCCCCGAGTCTCAGCAACTCTGCCGAACAGAGGTCAACGCCCCCGGCAGCTGTCGGGTTATTGCTGTGTCCGCCCGGAGTCCAGCCGCGCTGCAGTCACGCCTGGCTCAGATTCAGGCTTATCTCGTGGCAAGGCCCGATGTTGTCCATGACCTTGCTTATACGCTTGGAGCTCGGCGCGATCATTTGTCACATCGCGGGTACTTTCTCTGCGGCACCAAAGGCATCGCATCCGGACCTTATTTCAAAGATTCGGCCGCTCAGATGAAGCCCTCGGTGGTATTTACATTCACTGGACAGGGAGCGCAGTGGGCGGGGATGGGGAGGGAGTTGATGGACAACTTTGCAACCTTTCGGCATGCCATCCACGCAATGGACGAAGTCTTGCAGAGGTTTCAAACTCCGCCGACATGGAGCATTCAAGGTAGTTAAGGTCTCACTAGACCAACCTCTCTAATAGCGGCCGATCACTGATGCATGAATTGTAGCGGAGCTTCGGAAATCCGAGGATACTTCCCTGGTCAACAGGACGGAATACTCTCAGACCTTATGTGCGGCGTTCCAGATTGCTCTGGTGGATCTGCTGGCCAGTTGGAATATCAGTCCCGCTGCCGTGATCGGCTATTCCAGTGGTGAGGTCGTGGCCGCTTACGCGGCCAAGGCAATTTCAATGGAAACCGCGATCACAATCGCATATATGCGCGGATGCTGTGTGCAAACCTCGTCGTCTAGCGGAGCCATGGCTGTCGTTGGTCTGGGGAAGGACATTGTCGTGGACTTCTTGATTGACGGTGTAGTCGTTGCGTGCGAGAACAGTCCAGAGAGCGTCAACATCTCAGGAGAAAAGTCCAGACTAACGGCGGTTGTCAACCGCATTCTTGAAGCAAATCCAGAAACGTTCACGCGATATCTCGCGGTGGAAGTTGCCTACCATTCTCGTACGTTTCTTCCCGGATTCAACTGTGCTCTGATGTATTGGCGCTAATCTGGTAACAGCTGATATGAAAGAGGCAGCTGCAGCCTTTGAAATTGCCATAAACCCCCATGTTACGTGCAAGAACACAATGCTACCTCTATACTCGACGGTCACGGGAAGAATGGTGTCTGACCCCGCGCTCTTGCATGCTGGTTATTGGCGATCGAATTTGGAATCACCCGTTCTGTTCTCGACTGCAGTTCAGAATCTTATTGACCAGCAGAGGGACCGCGTTCTCATTCTCTTGGAAATTGGACCCCACTCCACCCTCTCTGGGTCACTGCGTCAGATCTGTGCAGCTCGCTCAGTTGAAAACTACTCTTACGTCCCAACGGTTGTCAAAAATGCCAATGAGGTGCATTCTGTGATGAAAGCAGTGGGCGAGATATTCTGCCAAGGATTCCCCGTCGACTTCGCGAATCTCTATCAGTATGGAAAGCTCCTTACAGATCTGCCCCTCTATCCCTGGGATCGGCAACGGAACCATTGGAAAGAGAGCCGCATCAGCCATGACTGGAGATTCCGCAAACATTCGGTTCATGAGCTCCTGGGCGCCCAGATGCTGGAGACCAGCCCCCTGGAGCCGGCATGGCGAAACCTGCTCAGCTTGAGGAATGTTCCATGGCTTGCTGATCATAGGGTACTTGGGGAGTGTATCTTTCCCTGTGCGGGATATATTGCCATGGTCAATGAAGCAATAAGACAGCTGTCCAACACACTAAAATGCACGATTCGCAGTCTACACGTCAAGACCCCGCTTGCTTTACCCAGTGCCGATAGCACCGTGATAGAACTAGTTACCACAATGAGGCCAGTGCGAATCAGCGATCGTCTTGATTCGAGATGGTACGAGTTTTCCATATCTTCTTACGACGGCCACGAGTGGACCAAACATGCGACTGGGAAAGCTCTGGCAAGCGCCGAGGATTTGAGAAGTACTGCCCTGGAGCCGCCGTCTTTTGAAAGAGCTGTCTCCTCGCCGATCTGGTATACCATGATGGCAAATGTGGGGCTGCAATACGGACCACACTTTCAGGGCCTCGAGAAAATCACTGCAGATCCTGTTCGCTATGAAGCAAGCGCCACGATCCGCGGACACACCATCCAAACAGGTACTAGTCATGCTCTTCACCCTACTTCAATTGACCAATGCTTGCAATTGCTCAGCGTTGCAGCCACTCATGGAAGATCTCTGCATTTAACAAAGCCTTACATTCCGATGTACATCGAGGAGGTCTGTCTTGGTCATAGTAAGGACTTTATGGTAGCCATGGCCTCAGGAAGCACCGTCGCAGGGAGTACAGGGCAGGGCAATGTTCAATTGATGTCAGAAAAGAGTCCTGTGCTCGAGATGCGTGGAGTTACTCTGATTCCACTGGATCTGGGTAGAGGAAGCGAGACCTCAGAATTTCCGCTCTTGTCTCACGAAGAGTGGCGACCAGATCTGGACTTGTTGCCTAGTCATCTACAGTTGCCCCTATCACAGGACTCGGAAGACACCATGGAACTACTCTTTAAAGCTATCGGAGTTTCCTTGCTGCTTCTCCATCGCAGATTGATCGCTATGGTGTCGTCTTCGGGTCTCTTGCAGCGCGACAAAGCATGGGTGCAGCAGCAGAGCAAAATATTAGCCGCGCGAGGTATCTTATGCGCCGCCAACGAGGAGGCCTGGGCTCAGCTTTGCAGTGAGAGCTTAGAGCAGCAGTGGAATGTCTCAAGGAAGAAGCTTGAAGCTAAGGGATTGGCCTTCCTCGTGGAATTTGTCGAGATAACAGTACAAGAAATAGCGGCCGCTTTCGAACAGTCACCGTGCGCCTCGATATCGATGGCAAGGGAAAACGCACTGCGCAAGTTCAACGACTGGGTCCCTTCACTGAGCGGCCTATCACACTGGCTTTCTCTTCTTGGGCACAGCAATCCGTGTCTCCGCATTCTCGAAATCGGCGGGCAAAAGAAGTCCTTGTCTCCTTTTGTTTTGCAGAACCTAGCCTCTGACGAGAACGATCTCTACTCAAGATACACGCGGACGGAGAAGTTCAGTATCGACAAAATGGTCAAAGAACAACTGCAAGGTTATAGTCACATTGATTTCAAGTTATTCAATGTCGACGAGGAGCCGTCAGTGCAGGACCTCGAGGAGAATAGTTATGATCTGGTCATTGTAACTGACGTGAGTGACGTGTTCTCCTCTACCGTTAGCCACTGACCATCCTGACACTTGTTAGTTGGCAGCTCAGACGGCAATGCCGGGGGCAGCGTTAAGGAATATTAGGAAGCTTCTCGCCCCTGGCGGACGGCTTCTCCATCGTGAACTTTGCCCTAGTAAGCTCGGATTCACTACCTGCTATTGAACTAAGGTTTATTAATAGTGTTTAGGTATACCCAGCATGAAACATATCCTGGTCAGCAGTTAGCCACGCGTGCCCGTAATACATTAAATGACGGGACTGATTTACTGACTCGGCATCAGGATCCATTGGAAAACTCACCTCCCGAAGCTGTCCACCCGGAAGAAGTTTACGACAATATTATCCCACTCGAAACTTGGGACAAGGAACTTCGACATGCTGGCTTCAGCGGGGTTGAGGCAAGTGGATATGATGGCAATTCAAGGTGTCATCTGTATCGGACTTTCGTGTCACGCACACACTCCGAAAGCCGCAAACACGGCGGCACAATCTATCTTCTCTGTCCTAGCGAAGAAAATCACAGTGTAAGATTCTCTGAGTTCAAGAAACAACTGACCCGACTTCCCCACAAAGTGGAGCAATGCACTTTAGGGGATGAGATCCCGCACGGCCAGCGGGTCATATCACTTCTCGACCTAGATGGCCCGTTCTTCTCCAATATAAGCGCACAAAACTGGACTAGGTTTCAGCAGCTTATCCTTCTCAAGCCTCAAATCATTTGGGTCACCAAATCTGTCGAATTGAACTGCGAGAATCCAGACTTCGCGCTTGTCATGGGCGTCTCGCGAACGGCGCGCCAGGAACAGGAGATCTCTTTTGCGACGTTGCAAGTCGACAACTTTGACCCGTCTTCGGCCCAAGCATTGGTGGCAGTATCGCAGAGGTTCTTTAGCTCGTCACAACAGAATAAACTAATTGATATGGACTATGAGTTCGCACTCCGTGATGGCTGCATTCATATCCCACGGACAAGATGGACCTCTCTTACAGACAGGTTACAACACGTTCCACGCCAGAATGCGCCCCTACATTTAGAAATTGGCTCTTACGGATCACTGCAATCCTTATTCTGGGGCGAGTCCTCACTTGAGTCATTGAAGGATGATGATCTTGATGTTGAGATCCTGTATGTCGGGCTCAATTTCCGCGTAAGTTGCTGAAATTGTCCCTGACGGATCGGTCGTACACTAACTGCACAGGATCTCATGGTCGCGCTGGGACATATGGGAAAGAAGGAGGAGCTTGGTGTCGAGGCCACGGGCATCATCAGACGATCTGGCTCCAATGTTGGGCACTTGAGGCCTGGGGACCGCGTGATGATATTGGGACTTGGCTCGTTCTGTACCCGCAAAGTCTTACCGGCCCGTCGATGCGCCCGTATCCCATTGTCTTTGTCTTTTGAAGACGCCACGAGTATGCCTGTTGTCTTTGGGACCGCAATATATTGCCTCAGAGACATCGGTAGGCTGGAAAAAGGGCAGGTGTGTATTATTACATTAAGTCGTACCAAAAGCGCTGTTGCTGACACGCAATAAACAGTCCGTCCTTATCCATGCGGCCTGTGGAGGGGTCGGTCTGGCCGCGATACAGATCTGCCAGATGATTGGGGCCAAGGTAAGTCACCGTGACGGTTCTTCTGTGCGAACTGCTAAGTAACCCTTTCCCTCTCTCTCTTTCCCGCCCAGATTTATGCAACAGTCGGAAGTGAGAGAAAGGCTCAGTATTTGGTGGACAAGTGTGGTATTCCACGATGCCACATTTTCAGCTCTCGAGACCCCTCCTTCGCCCGCGAGTTAATGCAAGAGACCCAGGGTGAAGGTGTAGATATTGTGTTGAATTCCCTCGCCGGGGAGCTCCTCCATGCATCGTGGCAATGCGTGGCCGAGTTTGGGAAGATGATTGAAATTGGCAAGCGCGACTTTCTGGAACATGGCTCCCTAGCCATGGACCTATTTGGGCGCAATCGCGCGTTCTTCGGCGTAGACCTTGTCCGGCTTCTGGAGAGGCCAGAGATGAGCACGAGGTATGTAGTTATGACAGCGCCAAGTGTGGGGTAGTTGTCTAACTCTGAAACAGGCTTGTCCGCCAGGTCTTGAATCTGTACGACGAAGAGAAAATCCGTCCTATTCGTCCCCTGAAGGTGTTTTCCAGCATCGAAATGACGGAGGCATTTCACAACCTCCAGCTAGGACTTCACCTCGGCAAAATGGTTATACGGACGCCCGAGGCATCCGAAAGGAGCCTGATGGCCCTATCGAGACGCAATTCGAAATTTTCACCTTTACTGACTTATTTCCTCGTTGGTGGCCTCGGCGGTGTTGGCCGGGCGATAGCGACTTGGATGGTAGAGCGAGGGGCCCGACACTTCCTTTTCATGTCCCGATCAGCTGGTACTACAAAGCAAGACCAGTCATTTCTGCGCGAGCTCGAGCTTCAAGGGTGTACGGCAATTATGTTTCCAGGTGATGCGTCAGTGCTGAAGGACGTGGAAGCCGCCATCGAAGCTTGTTCCCACCCGATCGGCGGCGTGCTCCAGCTGTCGATGCTTGTCCGGGTGAGTAGAAGCTGATTGACAATGGCCTGCGAGCGAGAGATATACTAACAAAGAATGCAGGATCATTTCATTACCGAAATGAGCCACGACAACTGGAAAGCAGTACTCGCGGCCAAGGTAGATGGCACGTGGAACATACATCACGCGTTGGCGGGCAGAGACGCCAGCTTGCACTTCTTCGTCGTTTGTGGTTCCATCACTGGAGTCATGGGGAACGCAGGGCAGGCCAACTACTCGGCGGCGAATACTTTTGTGTCCTCGTTTGTCCAATACCGGCTCCAGCAGGGCCTACCAGCCTCTGCCGTCAACCTGGGGGGCGTCAATGATGTGGGATACTTGGCAACCCAGAACATCAAGCTTCGGGACCGCATGGCCTCCGCGTCGGTGCGACTATTGAGCGAGCGAGAAGTTCTCGATGCCTTTGAGGTTGCCATTTTCTGTGCGGAATCCACGTCAGCGCCCAGGTTCCTCGGTTCGCTACACGCACCAAATACTCTCACTGTTGGCATGAGTAGCACGAAGAGCATTGCCGACCCCTCCGTCCGGCCCCTCTGGGCCCCCGATGCCCGGTTTCGCAAGTATTTCGATCTGGACCTGAAATACCAAATGTCGCGTGATCCGCTCAAGCAGGCACCAACCGTCCAGCACATAATCCATGACATTTCGAAGGATCCCGATATCATCAAGGACGCGTCTTGGAGAGAAAAGGTGATACTCGAATTGATCAATGCCCTGCAGAATTATTCGATGTTTGCTCGGGGACAGGACCCCCAGCAAATAGCCGCCATGCAGATTGACTCTCTCATGACACTTGAGATTCGGAATTGGTGCCGCCGCTATGTGGATCTGGAGCTATCTCTACTTGATATCACGAAAGCGGGGACTATAGAGGGGTTGGGGGACCTGATACTTGTCACTCTTCGAGCCAAACATCTTGCCGAATAGGGGGTCTCTGGCTGGTAGCGCGCACTGCGGTATATCGTATTTACTACTGAGATTTTGCCTCTGAAGGGAAAGTCATATCGAATGAAGGAAGTTTAATGCTTAATTACGGTGCTGTTAAAGGGCGTAATAATTACCATGGTGCTGACAAGTATAATCAGAAGCTTGTAATTGCAGCAAAACAGTTCACTTATCAAAATCACTTTCGTTGGAAGGTAGCAGTTCTCTCAACTCGTAAAGTGACCGCATTGATCTCGTTTATTGAATCTACGAGACCATGATAGTTGCTTAGAAGGTTATCTGGTACTTCTGAGTTTAGAAAGCATTCTTATCAGGTAACCCAGGCATTTGTGACCGTGGAAACTGAGATCGACTATAAATCCAAAGTCTGTAGCCATAAATGGGGTGTCAAAGAAGACTTCTCACAATTACAGTCCTGTTTCTGTTGGGGGCATTCCGGATACGTCCTACTCCGCGCCCATACTTAAGCGTTCTCCCCCGTCTGCACCCGGGGCCTACCAATACCCATCACATCAGGTTTCGCAGCAGAGTGCTTCTTATGGTGCTCCTAAGCCCTGCAGGCATGTATGATTTCCTTTTTTTTACCATATCATTCTCGAACGAACATGTATCATATGATGTTTGCGGATATATCTCGTTGGCAAATATCTGCCGTTACCAACCATGAAACAGGGATCACGTGGACCAAGTACTATAGTCACACATCGATTGACCCTTGACTACATCAAGAACTCATATGTCTATATATTTTTAACATCAGTCTATCATAATAGCAAGGATGTGCTGCGTCAAAGCGGGGCTCAGTGTTGGCTGACAAAGCAGACCACTTCGCTTTCAACCCCACCTGTGCTTACGCTGCCAAAGCCTCCAACAGCGATGTGTATTTATTCCGGCTTCGAGCTTCTTGGTATCAGCTGCATTGCTCAGTATCTTCACCTAGGAGACAGGATTGCCGACTTTAGGTCCAGAATCCAAGATCTCGACATCGCACGCCACATCTATTCTCCGCCGATATGCCCCTCGCAACCGAGATTCAGGACTTTATCCTTCAGTACAAAAGCGACTGGGACTCGTCAGTGAATGTGGCCTGCGAGAAATTCTTTGAGTCCTATCACGCGTCCGTGGCTCCATCGGTTCCAAACTCATCGATCCGATGGGAACAGGATGTCAAGTACGGACCCGATCCGCGACATCGACTGGATGTAGGTGTTCAGTTTCCTGATCTGTGAACGTGCCGATATCATCACTCTTCTCGTGCTGAATGATCAAATGCTAATTACATGTGAGTAGATTTTCTGGCCTGCAGATGCCTCCGCAACAGAAGCGACCTGCCCCGTGGTTGTCTATTTCCACGGCGGTGCGTTCAGGGTCGGTGATAATGTCATCACACCGCACATGCACGCAAACATCGGTAAGAGCACTCCCTCTTACTCCCGTTGAAATCTCCGCGGCCCAAGAATTGTCTAACTATTTATCTCCAGGAAAATTCTTCGCTTCTCAAGGAATGGTAGGAGTACTGGGCACGTACCGTCTGCTACCCGAGGCTCGATTTCCCGACGGACGGGAAGATGTCGCTGCCGCGCTGACCTGGCTCTCTGACAATGCCCATCAGTACGGCGGCGACCGAAATGCGATTTTCGCGCTCGGTCAAAGTGCCGGTGGTGGACTTCTAGCCATGGCCCTGTTCAGCGGAAGGTTGGAACTGGATAAAGATCGGAGCCTGGTTCGCGGAGTTCTGTTGTTGAGTGCTGCACTGGACTATGATTTGACCAGGGAAGACCGGGGGAAGAGCATGGAGGCGTACTACGGAACGCAGGATCATGCTGCTATTCACGCCCAGTCTGCTCTTGGGACTTTCAAGAACTTGCCCTGGGAGGATGAGGTGGTCAGGAGAACACCAGACCTTTATCTCATGCTGGCGGAGTGGGATTTCGATGAGTGTGTGCGTAGTAACTTGGAGTTCCTGAGAGAGTACAGGACCCGGCGGCATCGGGTCCCTCGGTTCGAGGTCTTGCCCGGCCATAACCATGTCAGTTACTGTTTGTCTATGGGGCTGCCCGGGGACGAGGTTGGACCGAGAATTGTGGACTGGGTGAGACGGTGCTTGGAGCTGGAGTGATGTTGTGGACATATCATCTGTTGTGCAATGAGTCAATTATACATAACCAGATTCTGTGACGTATCCAATAGACAGATGACAACACTCTACATTAGTCAGGCCAAGGGAAGATCAGGGCTCACATGTATCTGTAGCAGGATTCAGTTTTTCGATGATTGGGCTTCGTACATTCGGTGGCAGAATGAACCGTTTACCAAAGCTAAGCTGTTTCTTGGATTCGATCTTCTAATGCGGTAAGTTAGGCGGCCCCTGGATCGTGACAAGCCAGTTGCCGTCGATTGTATGAATTAGGTCTCATCGAAACCAGCGGCAAAAAGGGTAGATGTACAATACTGTGCTCCCCTTACTGTCCTTGTTGGACAATATCGGGATGCCTCCCATGCTCGAATTCGACTGGTCCGCTTTTACTCGGTGGTTTTTCCATCTATGGTTGGGCCGAGGTCATCCACTGAGCGAGACCCCTGGTTCTTGGCACGTCAATGCACTGGTGACGCACGAGAGTACTTTCGTCGGTATCGTTTATTAGTCTTCAGCAGGACGCGAGCTGCTGTTGCTCATTAAAACGCAGTTACCAAACGCTTTGCGAAAACCTTGAATTTTCTTATCATCAATGGACGAGGTAAACACTGATATGATTCCTGTAGCAGTAGGTTTTTCTATACTGACTTCGCACAGCACCTAAGCCCATCTGGCTATGGATTAAGCCTCATAACCTTTTCAGCTTGTATCTTTTATGTCGCCCTTGTTGTGACGTCACTCAAACTCTTCATTCGTTGCTGGCTTTCGAAGTCCGACATCGCCGAGGATCTTTGTGGTCTCGGAGCTCTAGTAGCCTGTGCTGGGATGCTTGTAACAATAATACTAGGTATATCCATAACGAAAATCACCTAGCATCCGCTAAACCGTATAACTCGGTAGGAGTCCTGCGTGGGATCGGCCGTTCGAGCAAGGACGGCAGAATTGATTACACCGCTCTCGGAAAGGTTAGAGGGTCAGCAAAAGAGAATCTCTTCCACAGCTTACAATCCCCCTAGATACAACTAGCCGTACAAGTCCTCTATATCACCTCCGCTGCGTTGGTAAAACTATCGATTCTGTTTCTGTACCGCCAGATCTTTCAACATATGAGAACCATCATCACCATCACCATGGCAGTGATCGTGCTGATCACCCATCATTTTCATCTTCGTGGCAATCTTCCAATGCACCCCGGTGGGCAGATCCTGGTATGAATCCAAGGCCACCCCGGGGACATGCATATACCAGCTCATCTTCTGAATGCGATGTGGCCGTGGTGTTCCTCGCCAGTAATATCTGGATCACCGCTTTACCTCTTCGACCAGTCTTGGGTCAGTCGATTTGATATCCCGCATCGCTTCGCGCTGGTCCGAGCCTGCTAAAGGTCTTCACTTGACTCGCCGTCTAAGTTCCGGGATCTTACTCCTGTTATGCTCGACTGGTTTCTTGTACGTGCTTGATTTTATGCAATGATCCGTCCGACGCTGGGGTTAATACATCCAACCAGGACCTGTACTATGGCTACGATTCGTCTGGCCTACACCATCAAGCTCGACCGGGGCAACGATCCGACGCGAGACATCATGCCGATCTACTTTTGCTCCATTGCTGAGATATGCGTAACGCTGGTCTCTTTGAGCGTAGCATCTCTGCGCTTGGCGGTCCGGCGAAAATGGACAAGCCCCGCTCAGTGCTGAAACTCCGACATGACTGGACTACCTCAAAAAGTGATTGATGTCCATTTGAAACCCCCCGCCCAAGGTAACCTGACTAACATCCAAAACGGACTGTAGAGACTGGTGACCAGTCTCTGAGATTGTGAATGCAGTATAGACTTGGGGACGAATGTATCGCTGAGCTGGTGTTGTGGGCGCACTTTGTACCAAGGGAGACTCATAAGCGAAGGCGCAGGCCCTCCGAGGATAGATACCTTGAGTCCCTTGTTCCCTGACTGCTATACTCTTCATGTTTAGATTTAGTCTTTCACCCGTGAAGATTGCTGAAGTTGAGAAATTATAGTGGGAATTACTCTTTTATGCAAGATCGGATATGTCTACACAGTATTCCCATAGAATATAAAGTTCTATGCGAATCATCTTGTTCGGCCAGAAATTCTCAATACTAATTTCAGAAATAGATTTCCCAACGCCGCGATTTCCTGAAGCCTGTCTAAGCAACTCAGTGATTAGTATATTTCTTGACAGTTTCTAATCTTTAGTACCTCTTGCGCCTTTTCTATTTGGTTGATGAAATTATCCATGATAGTAGTAATCATTATTTACTACATGACAGAGAGAGGCTAGATTACCTTATTATGCTGCCCCTCTTCCCAAAACCGTGATCATGATTTATTATAGAGGGTAAAGAGTTCCAAGGACAAAGGATGAGGCTTAACGCCGGGTCGCGAGAATCAACGTCGCAGGCCAGCAGCCCTGGAACGAGCGGCCCTGGGCCAGCAGGCCCTGCATCTCCTGCAACAGCCCCGTAAAGGCGGCGGGATCGACGCTGGCGTGCGGGAACGAGCGGAAATGATGCAGGAAGCCCTCCCAGTCGGTCTCGAAGCGCCAGTCATCAGTGGTCTCCTCGACTACGACATCCGCGGGACCCGTGAAGTCTGGATCGGTGATCTCGTGGGCGCGTTCGGGCGGGAGGAGGCCGGTGATACCGCCGCCATTGGGGGCCATGTTCAGGTGCAGACGCAGGGCGCCCGGGCGAAACCAGCGCAGGTCGAGGGGGGCGACGTTGTAAGGGCCGGAGCTGCGGGCCATGACGTTAACGGTCTCTTGGGGGCGCTGGGCCATGCCCAGCAGCAGACGACCCCCTTGCTGGCTGATGCGCTCCCAGACGGCCTGGACGGCGCGGTCGGCGAAGCGCGCGGGGCCGAAGCCGGCGCACGCGAAGGTGCCGCCAGGGTGCAGCTGCGTCGCGATCGCCGCCATGGCCGCCGGCTGGTCCGCGAAGTGCATCACATTGGTCGCGAAGACCAGGTCCACGCTGCCCGGGCGCAGGTCGTCCGCCGCCTCGATGGGCGCCGCGCGGTAGCTGAACCCGTCGCGGCCGAGGTGCGCCTCCGCCTGCTGCACGTTCGTCGCCACGAGGTCCGACACGATGACGTGGGCAAACTGCGTGCGCAGCTCCGCCGCGTAGGGGCCGACCCCGGCGCCCACGTCATGCACCGTCCCGAACTGGCCGCCGTGATCCCGGTGGTAGCGGTAGATGCGCTCGAAGAAGCTCGCCGGCACCTGGGGCCGCCCGCGGCGGTAGTTGTCCCAGAAGCCCTGGCTGTGGGCGAACATCTGGTCGTTGGACTTGATCGGGCCAGTTGTGGCCACTGGAGGGGCCATGGGAATGCTCGCGGACGTCGCCATCCTGACTGGTTGGTGGTGATGGTGGTCGTTTTCGAGGTTCGATAGTAAGGAGTAACCAATCGGGACGGGCTTTGCTACTCTATGACATGCACGACATTCATTTTAATATACATAACCCTAAGCCGCGGCGCGGGCCATTGACCCTCGGGGCTCGGGGCATTCCCGGTTACCTACTAAGCATCACTCCCCCAAAGCATAATCAACCAAGGGTAATCAAGCGGCTCCATTGGTCCAACTAGTCCGTTAACTTCACAACGGCCCCGATCACCAGCCTAATTCTCGAAGCAAATATCGTAGCCCCAGAACAGCCCCCATCAAGGGAAAGCAGGAGCGCATAGCGTGCAACCACCCCCAGCGGACGAGCAGTTGCCGCACCTCCCCCAGTCTGGCTGCCCCCGCGTCCGCCTGCAGCTGAAACAGGGCGTCGTTGGTTGGGGTCATGACTAGCCACGTAAAAGGCACGATGGCGATGGTGGTGAGCCCCGCCACGAGCTGCGGCAGCGCCGACCGGGCACTCGCCCGCTGGCCGGCGGCCGCAATCCCGTAGAAGAAGCAGGTCGTGACCGCCAGCCCGGGCATCATCTTATGCCCCACGTCGTAGAGACGCACGAAGTGTTGCAACAAGTAGGAGGGCTGTGTCGCCGTCTCCAGCAAGACCGGGACGGTGATGAGGGACAGCCCCATCATGGTTCCTGGAGTCGCGGACGTGAGCCTTGCTTCTGACGAAGATCTATAGACGACCCCGAAATGATCACACATACCGGAGAGGAAAGAGCCGGTGATCACGGCACTGGCGTGGGGGAGGATGGGGGAGAAAGACGTCCCGTGCGGCATATTGAGTAGAATTGCGGAGGTGCAAAGGGTGGGAAGGTGGGAGAACCGGCGCCGACGGGGGTCAATCGCTGGGTTATAGAGGGGAATCCCCCCGATGCCTGGATCGGGGTTACATTCCATCCCTTCCGTTGGGCTAGAACCCCCTATGGTCCACCGATACGATATAAATGACATGTCACTCACGACCTCACTGGCCCCCACTCAGCCCCATTGATCATCTCAACCGAGGCGATGGCAGAACCCGCGGAGAAGCCCGGTCCATATCTCTGCCTGACCATCTGCGGCTACCGCAAGCCGGGGATGAGTGAAGAGGAGTACCGCCGCTACATGACAACGGTCTCCGCCCCGATGACCAAGGATCTGATGGTCAAATATGGAGTCAAGCGATGGACAATGGTACAGTCTCTCCCCCATCTACGACCGTGCGTGTGTGTGCCACGGGTGAATGACACAGACAGATTCATAACAGCACGGCCACCCGCGCGCTCATGGCCGAGCTGTTTGACTCGCAGATGACCAATGTGACGGACTTTGACTGCTTCAGCCAGGTGGTGTTCGAAAGCCTTGAGGACTACAAGCGCATGAAGCAGGACCCGTGGTATCGGGAGCATCTGTTCCACGATCACGAGAATTTCGCGGATACCAAGAGAAGCATGTAGGTCATCTCCTCTCCTATCCATATCTCCGGGCGAGAGGAAGCGGGGGTTATAACTCACGATGTTTGGCATTTCAGGATGACAATCGGGTGGATTGACGAATTTGTTCGACAGGGAGTGGCGGTCGACGGAATGGAGGCTTGAGATCGTGGATTGGATTTGCATAGATACTCCAAACAATGCACCGGGAGTAATTTTCTGGGTTAAGAACCTCCGAAGTAAATGATCCGAGGGTCCCTCCACCCGAATAGTTTGTAGCCGTTGTCCCGATGACGATGACGCCGGTCATGGTTATAAGCGTCTTAAGCAGAGGTCTACTGGGAAAGCTCAGTTCCAATTCATTGTTAGACTCAGGAAGGCTTGAGTGTTCGTGATTCGCTGAAGTATGCTTTCTTTGGTTCGGTGGCTCGTTTATAGTGGCTGTGCTCAGTTAGGCGTAGCAGCCAGAGCGCCGCAGCCGAGAGATTGTCGCAATAGTCCAACCAGTCGGAATTGCTGGAGAGACGGATTTGACATTCTGACCGACTACACCGATATCACACAGATCCCACCGGGAAAGCTGGTTGAGGTCAGTGGCCTTCTGCCTTCAGTCGATGGCGGCACTGATTCATCCAGTACAACCTTACTCTCAGCCAACAAGTCATTTCGCCCGATGGATACGAAAAACTGGGAATGGTGGTGAATGGGCAGGTTCCCGGCCGTGCGATCGAAGCAGATTGGGGAGACATGCTTCGTAAGTCTTGCACTCCTGGTCTGATTTAAGCAGGCATAACCCTAAGCGTGATAGGCGTCCATGTGCACAACAACTTGACCCTGAACCACAACGGGACCGTGATTCACTGGCATGGAATCCGGCAACTTGGGACGAATTTCCAGGACGGTGTCCCCGGGGTCACGCAATGTCCTAGCAAGGTACAGTACAGGCCAAGGACAGGGAGCGAATACGAAGAGATTGTCTGACTTTGTCCGGTTCTAGCCAGGCGAAACGCAGGTCTACGAGTTCCGACTCATGCAGTACGGAACCTCCTGGTATCATGGACATCTCAGTCTGCAGTGTGAGTCTCATCTACCAGTTCATCTGAGAGAAACATAGACTAAAGCGGGGGCACCAGACAGCAATGGACTCTTCGGTAAGTGTGCCTGGCCCGCTCCCGCAAGCTGAACAAGTGGGCAATGGCTGAATTAGAGGGATCCTACAGGGCCGCTGATTATTCATGGACAGTCGAGCTTAAACTGAGATGAGGACCTGGGGCCATGGGTCCTCCATGACTGGTACCACGACGACGTGTTCTCCTTACTATGGGTCGGAGAGGCGCATAATTCGACTCGTGGCGCGATTATGGAGACTACCGTCTTGAATGGACGGGGCAAATTCGACTGCGATCCCCGCAACAACACGCGCTGCACCGGCACCGGAGGAGACACTTTCGCGGTGATGTTTACGCGGGGAGTGAAGTACAAGTTCACGCTGATCAACGCGGGGAGCCTGCTAGAATACTCATTCTGGATTGACGGGCACAACCTGACGATCATCGCGGTGGACTTCGTCCCCATCGAACCATATGTCACGGACGCGGTGAACGTGGCGTTGGGCCAACGGTACGAGGTCGTGGTGGAAGCGAACGCGAACTTCACGCATGGCTCTAATTTTTAAATCTACGCCCAGTACTGCGACGAGGTCAACCTGCTGCCCAAGTCCGTGGGGATTGTCCGCTACGACGCCGAGGACCGCCAGGAGCCCTGGACCCCGCCCAGCGAACAGCATCGGGATCTGGGATGCAGTGACCCCGATCCGAGCCACCTCGTGCCAGTCGTGCGCCAGTCCGTCGGGCACGCGGCGAACCGCCTGGAGATGAGCGACTATCTGCGCACCGGACAGCAGGGCTGGCCCAACCCACTGAATTTCGACAGCGGCCTCCATAAATGGGTGCTGGGGGACGTCCCCTTGTTCCTCAATTGGTCAGAGCCAAGCCTCCAGAAGCTAGTCCTGGAGGCGAACGCCAGCTTCCCCCCGGAGACGGTGCCCATCCGCCTGAATTACGACACCGGCGACTGGGTCGACTTCATCATCACCAACAACTATACCTGGGAGAAGATCCAATTTCCGCGGAACCTGACCCCTGTCATGCACCCCATGCATCTGCACGGCCATGACTTTGCCAGTCTGGCCCAGGGGCTGGGCGAGTTCGATCCGAGCATTGTCCCGAACCTGGAGAAACCCACCCGCCGCGACGTCGTCAACGTCGACATCGGCGGTTATGTCTGGATCGCCTTCCGGATTGACAATCCGGGGGCATGGTTGTTACATTGCCACATCGCCTTTCACGTTAGTAGTGGGCTCGGTCTGCAGTTTCTGGAGCAGCCCAGAAAGGTCAAGCCACTCATGGAGGCTGCTGGGGCGCTGAGGGGACTTCAGGATCAATGCCGCGCGTGGTCGAAGCAATACGCCGCCGTGAACGTCCCTAACAACAACACCATAGATGATTCGGGAATATGATTGATTGAAGCCTGATACTCAAACACAATCCTCTCTGCAAGACTCCACAGTCCATTTTTCGTCTATATACACAAGGGGCTTTTGTTAAGATAAGGTGAGAATAGAAGAGAGAGGGGAACTAATCGAGAAGAAAGTTAGAGAATTAAGAGTGTTTCTGATATATCTGTTTTTCCATACGGATCTCTGTCTCTGTAGCTGTACTTCTATTGTCCATCCTTTTTATCGATATTTGAATAGATCTATAGATTGCTTCCTTCTTAAGATAGAGAGGACATACAAGTTCTCAGTAGAGATTAAGACCCTATAATCCGGATTAATCTGCAGAAATATTTCACAGTTTGATTGCTTATTTAGATGACTATAGTCTTGCAGGAGCATAGGACTTTTGTTGATCATGAGAATCAAACCCACTGCCTCTAAATAGTTGCCATAGAGCCGCCTAGCTTGGCCACTGACCGATGATTCGGGGGTCTAGCGGGCGTTGTAGGGGTGGAACTCCAGCAAAGAGGACGAATCACCATTGTCAATCCTGATTATGCTATAGTTATTATGAATCACAAGCGTCTAACGCAAGGCCATACACGCTGAGACATCCTCTTTCGTAATCCCTCTCGGGGTGATGCAACAGTGACATGACATTGGGCCGACTGGGGGTAGGGGGGCGCGCGGGGGGGACCACCTCATCCCAGAGTCGTTGAGACAGGGTCCTTAAAGACCCTGTTGGACTCTAGAATCCGTGCCGTTCCAGGCCTCGGCTCGCCACCATCCACTATCGTCCCTACTTTGCAAGTTAAAAGTGACATGGCTACGGCAACCCAGATCCGGCTGCAACCCCCAGCAGGCGTGGCCTGCGCCCGTGCCCGTCCCCCGGACAAATCCCTGGAGACGGCGAGCCGACTTCTGCAAAAGAACCACAATGATCACCATATCTTTTGGCGGCCCGTGGCCGGTCACAACCACGTAGCTCACTCCGTGCTGAACATCCTGGCGCTCGGCGGCGGGCCGCGCGATCTGCAACGGGCGTTCAACGACGGGGTGGATATCCAAGTGCCCATGCCCCCGCTCGATGAGGAGGCCGTGGCCCGCATGAGCAGCAACAGCAGCAGCAGCCCCGACGACCCCTTGCGCGCGTGGATGGGGCGTCTGGATCAGTATCCGAACTTCCTGCACTTCTTCTCCCGCGAGATCGAGGCCAAGGGAGCCCCCACCGTTATCCGCCAGTACTGCTTCGGCGGCACGTCCGTCGCGGAGACCATGTTCGCGAATCTGTTCGAAGGGTTGTACCACCCGCTGATCCACATGGCGCTGGGCGTCGAGTTCGAGCAGCCGGGCATCGTGGCCGAGGGCCTCGCCCAGGCCGCCTGCCATGATTCTATGGGCATTGAGCCGTTCCTGGTCCGCTCCGAGGCGCGAGCCCGAACCAACGCCGGAGCAGGAGCCCCTCTCCCGCCATTGATGGAGCTGTTAGATGCGGTGCGCGACAATGAGGCCCTGCAGAAGGCCGCTCATGGGTATGAGGATGGTCCGGCCCGCGTGCGCGACGGCATTCTGGGCGCGGCCGGGGAGGAGATCACCGCCATCGCCGCGGACTTTCGCGTCCCCGTCGAGCAGTGGGACCGCCGCGCGGCCGAAATGTACAGCTGCGCGGCTTACCTGGCCGGGGCGGCCCAGCGGCCCGGCAAGGCCCGCAAGGTCGACTTCTTTCACCTGCACACGGTTACCTCTGCGCTGGGGCTGATGGTCCTGCTCCAGCAGCCCTGGATCCGAGACATCGAGAAAGCGCGCCTGCTGGAGTGGAAGACCCGCGTGGACCTGGTGTGGTACGCGGCCACCGGGGCGGTCGAGCTCCGGCTGCAAGACGTCGCGGACTACAAGCCCCGCCACGAGGGCTGGGACTGGGAGCGCCTGTACCAGGCGACGCTGCAGGTTCACGATGACGGCCACTTGGCCAAAGTGGTCCGAGCATTGAGGGTTGGAGAACAGATTGTCAGACCGTGGGAGCAGGGGCACCAGGCGGAGTTCTTCCCCATTACAGGGCCCTTGTGGCTCCGCATCGCCCAGATGGCCTACGATTCGAGTGCGGGTCATCCGATCGAGGAGAAATGGATTTGGGGCGTGGGGTTTGACCAGAACTGGGCGGCCGTACCGGCAATATTGTAGGTACTGCATGGTACAGATCGATGGGTGGAGCTATTTATATATTTGCACAAATCCCATCAATTGATTCAGACTATTGTTTTTGTGTACTTGGATTCGTCTAATTCCGAGAAGTAGATGGTTTTTGGTTACGTAGAATTACGAAAGAAGATTACTCAACCCTAATCATGTTGAATCACACAACACGGCAAATCGCAGTTCTTCAAGCTTTGCGGCCCACGGCGACGATGGCGACACCCTTCATCGGCACAAGCCCATCCTTGCCATACTCCTCTTTCAGATATTGTAGCAGCGTCTCGGGCAATTGCGCCGCATACTGGTCACGCTGCCACTGCGTCCAGAACCTGCTGAGGACGTAGGGCAACAGAATCTTGCAAGCCTCGCTGAACTCTTGTATCGGTAGAGTACATTCCTTCTCCACGGTCGAAATGTCGACATCTTTGAACCCGGCCTGTTCAAAATACGCACGGACATGGGACTCAGAGTCCCATCCCTTGTTCAGCATCGCGTTGATCTTTTCCATGGTGGGATAGGGGAGATCGGCCTGCAAGGTTTTGACCACGGGCGTCATGATTGTGCACCAGTTGGCTGTGATCATTAATTTGGGTGCCTGTTTCTCTCCCCGGCTCTGCATTCGGACGACTACGTACCGTGTTTCCACGTCGAGGTAGCCAGCGTTCCGCCTGGTTGCAGTACTCGGTGGCATTCTAAAGCATAAGGCATCAGGTGGTTTCTACACCGCCGACGAGCTTGCGTCCGGCTTCATGGGACCACTCGCTTACCTTTCAGGGCGCCCTTGGGGTCCGGGAACATGTTGAAAGCTGAATTGTTAAGGACGAACAACAGTCAGTCTCGGGAATACAGAACTCAGCCCCAGCCCCCCTCCCAACTACCTCCTACCTCTTACGGGCGATGGGAACGCGTACCGAATGCTGTGAAGGCGTGAGTGTAGTGAGCACTCGGAAGGCCCGTCTCCTGGGCGTTCATAATCTTGGCCTCCGCATTGTGCCATCCCTCGGTCTTCATGCGGTGCTGGGTGTATTCGACCATCCCCCCGGCCAGATCACCACAGGTCAACTGCCAGCTCGTGCGATTCTGCTCATTCAGCGTCCGAGAGAGGACGCTTGCGACGGATCCGGTCCCACACGCATTGTCCAGCACGATCAAAGGCCTATGGTGGAATTCGGCAATGCCGGACTCGTCAATCAGTGTCTGGGCATACAGTTCACTGATTTTCGCGGCGGACGTATACTGAGCGGCGAAGCTCTTCCCTTGGAAAACAGGGTCCAGCATGGCTCTGGGGGGACGTCGGAGATTCTGACCTCTCTGTGAATCCCTTCGGAGGTGAATTGAGCCAACGATTTTTACAGAGGGGTATACCTGGCCCCATAATATCTCGTTGAGCAAGTAGGCCTAGAACGTGCGCGCTGCAGAAGATGACCTCATTTCCAGTTGCATGTCGGGGACAAGCTCAGACCCGCGAGCCCTGGGTTGGCCCGAGGTCCGAGACGGTACATTCGGGCGATACGATTCCCATGGAAATGAGCGCGGGAGCAAGAAATGCCCCGACCCGATGGGGATAGCATTGCTTCTTTCGGGAGCGAGCAGCCATTCCAAACCCTCCTTTGGGCGGTGCGCAGTCATTGCTTGGGCTTCTATCTGCGTCACCGGTTGGTGGAATTTCCTAATCAGACCGGATCTTTTATAGGCAAGACGGCGGGGGCACGTCCGCTCCTCATGGTCTGGCCATAAGCGCCTACAGGAAATTTCTCGACTCGCTCCACTGGTTCTATCGGAGAAATGGCCTACGCGGTGCTCGGCGCGACTGGGAACTGCGGCACGGCGTTGATCCAAACCCTACTCGGCACCAGCAGCACCAACCAGGTGCACGCCTACTGTCGCAACAAGCCCAAGCTGCAGCAGCAGCTGCCCGAACTTGTCGCCGACCCGCGCGTCACCATCTTTGAGGGTAGCATCCATGAGGTTGCACTCATGACGGCGTGCATCCGCGGGTGCCACGCCGTCTTCCTGGCTGTGTCGACCAACGACAACGTGCCCCAGTGCCGCATGGGAACCGAGGCGGCCACCACCGTCCTCCAGGCATTGCGCATCCTGCACACGGAGCAGGCGGCCCTACCCAAACTGGTGCTCCTCTCGTCGGCGACGCTGGACGACCAGCTCAGCCAGAACACGGCGCCATGGGTGCGCTGGATCCTGCTGCGGTCGGCCTCGCACGTCTACGCGGACCTGCGGCGCGTGGAGACGCTGCTACGGGCGCAGCAGGACTGGGGGGTGACCACCATCTTCATCAAACCGGGCGGGCTGTCGGTGGACGAGGTGCGGCGCGGCCACCGGCTGAGCCTGACCGAGGAAAAAAGCCCGCTGTCGTATCTGGACCTCGCTGCGGCGATGATTGAGGCGGCGGATGAGCCGGACGGCCGCTATGACATGCGCAACGTGGGGGTCGCCTACGCCGAGGGGGGGCCCGCGCGCTTCCCCCGCGGCGCCCCCCTGTGCATCTCCATGGGGCTCGTGCGCCATTACTTGCCGTTCCTCCATCCCTATCTTCCCGCCACGGGACCTATTTAGTCATTTAGTTGCATGCATGCAATGCAATCAATGCATTCCTGGTGCGGTGGCTGGTGCTGCTATCACGCCGTGCGCTGTCATTCTTGCCAGTCAATAGCTTTTATGTACCGTACCGTACAAACATGCTCCTTCTGACACCTCCCTTGCTTTCATTAACCCTTACTTGATCGGCCTTGGGTGCTTTATCCGCCGATGCGCCGACTTACACCCCCCACCACCCTCCACCATTACTATCCCCTCTCCCCTCCTTCTTGCTTTCTCGTAGAGTTCCATCCGCATCCGGGATCACTGCTAATAGCATGTAGATGTATAGAATTCAGAACTCCCCGTTACCCCTCTACCCCATCACTAACACCACAGCCATCCCCCCACTAACACCACCCCCCATCCACACAAACGAACCCATAAACAATGGCCCCCTCAACCTCAACCCTCGCCCCCATAAAGGTCTGGGGCAAAGGCGGCCCCAACCCGCCGCGGGTCGCCATCCTCCTCGCCGAACTCGGCCTCCCGCACGAGATCATCCCCCTCCCCCTCACGCAAGTCAAAGACCCCGCCTACGTGGCCATCAACCCGAACGGCCGGCTCCCGGCGATCCAGGACCCGAACAACGGCGACCTGATCGTCTGGGAATCCGGCGCGATCGTCGAGTACCTCATCGCCCGCTACGACACCGCCCACAAGCTCAGCTTCGCGCCCGGCACGCCCGAGGCGGCGCACGCCACGCAGTGGCTCTTCTTCCAGGCCTCGGGCCAGGGGCCGTACTACGGGCAGGCGGTGTGGTTCAAGAAGTTCCATCCCGAGCCGCTGCCGAGCGCGCTGGAGCGATACGTCAAGGAGATCAATCGGGTGACCGCGGTGGTGGAGGGGCATCTGAAGCGGGAGAAGGAAAAGCACGCCGGAGGGGATGGGCCGTGGCTCGTGGGCGGGCGGTGCTCGTTCGCCGATCTGGCCTGGATCTCGTGGCAGGTAACTGTGGCTTTGGCGATTACGCCCGAGGATGGGTATACGCTCGAGGATTACCCGCTGGTCAAGGAGTGGTTGGGGCGGTTGATGGCCCGGCCCGGGGTGAAGAAGGGGATGGAGGGTCTTTATCCGGGTGCTTAGATAGGGGTATTGGTTTGGGGGGTGGGCAGGGACGCGGTGGTTTTGCAGGGTAGCATGGAGTTCAATTCATTATTGATTATCGCGCTCTATTTACATATACTCATTTCTTCAGTTCGTAGAAGTGGATTGGTTGTTAGTCGGCCTGACGTAAGAATCGGATGATCTCTGAGGAGAGATGACTGAGGCGCCGGTGCAGCTCCGGCTCCAGCGAGCCCGCCACGGGGGGTGGTGGTGATGATGGTGAGGCATCCGTCCCCGTCGGCAGAAGATGCGGCCACAGACCGGAGCCCGCCTGGCCACCACCCTGGTACGTCGAGAGCCGCGGGCGGAGCTGGTTCATTACGCGCTGGATCCCATGCAGCTCTCCCAGGACCCGCTGGCCGGCGAGCAGCGGCGGCGGAGTCTCTTCGCTGTGGCTACTGCTGTTGCTACTACTGCTGCTGCTGCTCCCGCTGCTCCCGCTGCTCTGGGGCAGTGCTACTGCGGCATACCGGTCCAGGACCTTCCAAACAATGAGAGCCAGCAGGATGAGAAGGTAGCCGTCGCGCTGCGAGCATGGGCAGTGCAGGATCTCGGTCATCACGGTGGTCGCGTGGCTGTTCCCCGTCACCGTGGCGTCGAGCTCTATCCCGGCGTGCGCAGCGGCTGCTTCCTCGGCCACGAAGCGCTTCAGAAGCTCGAGGGCGTCGAGCAGGCACTGGCAGATGGCCGGGCGACGGGGATGCTCATCCGCGGGCGTCTCCCCACCTGCCCTTGGGATCGGAGCGCCAGGAAGGGAGGCAGCCCCGGCGGAGAGATCGGCGGCGGCCGGGCCAAAGAGGTAGATCGTATCCTCCTGCATCCCGGCGACGGAGGTCTGCTCCATAGCTGGTCCCCCGTCCAAGATGAGGTCCGGGGCCATCGCGCCTAAGCCGTCACCGCCGCCGCCGGAAAAAGCGTCGGGCGGATCGGTGAGCACCGGGATGGAGAAGAAATCGTCCAAGTCGTCGGGGCACCAGGTGGTCAGTGCGGTGGATAAGGTCCAGTCGTCCGTGGACGACGTCCAGCTGACCGGATGCAGGGTGGGTGTTCCGTCGAATAGGTCGGACGACAGGCCCCGGGGGGAGAGGCTGGGCCCGATGACCGCTGTATCCGGCGGAGGGTAGCCATGGATAATGGGGGTTGTGGTGACGGGAGTGGGGGTCGAGGACTGATCGGGAGACGGGAGGCTGCGCGACGCGTCGAGGGCAGGCAGCGGCGGCAGCTGCAGCTGTTGCTGTTGCTGTTGCTGCTGCGTCTGCCTTCCACCGCTGTCGCCCCCATCAGGGCGACTCTCCGGTTTGCGGCCCGGTCGTTTGATTGCGAAGTACTCACAGACAGTCCCGCGGCGGCGACAGCGGGAGCAGGTCGGTTTCTCCTTGGAGCAACGGACCTTGGACTGGCCACAGGCGTGACAGCTGTCACAGAGTTTGTGGAGAGCAGTTGCCCGGCGGGGGGACGCTGGCGACCGCATCCAAATTCGATTGCGCAGCCCGGTGGCATCCGATTCTGATGAGGGTGAGGAGGAGGCAGGGAAGGGTCGAGCGAGAGTGCGTGCATTGCCGAGGGGCAGACGGAGGTCAGCTCATCTGGCGCCAGTCGCATCTTCGAAAGCCATGCTTCCCTGCGATTTTGCATGAGGATATATTGTGTGAGACAGACAAATCTTTCTGATGAAGCGCGAACCGTGTTAGACACTGGTGACGCAATTCGATGATATCCTTTTGCAAAGGGGATCTAGAGCGATCTGAGCCTGTAAGCAGCATACATACTCCCCTGCACTGGGAAGGACTCACGGGCTTTGCTCAAGCTCCCCGAAAGTCAATTGGGCTAGTGAATGACTACATCGACCTTGAACAATACATGGATCACGTTCCCATCTGTTGTATGTGCGTCGCACCGTCATTACGGCAGGAAGTTAGCGAGTCAAGGGGGATAGGATGTCAAGAATGTAGGGAAGTGACAGGATGATTTCCTTGGTTGGGTGGTTGTCAGCTCAACGCCGAGCGGGAATGTCAGCTGTCATGCCAGCCCTAATCCGTCGAAAGATCTTCGTCCATTTCTCGGATCCGAACCCCAACAGTCCGTTCCCAGCCTCTCGGGAAAGGATGACAGAACTACTGCGATGATTTCTAATCCTAGGGTCTTATGAGCGGCCGGAGGAAATTATAGGACTGCCAATGAGGGGAAGACTTGTGCGTTTCCCCACGGTCACGACTCACTGCATTTTCCCGGCCCAGGGATGAAACAGTCGCATGAATCACCACTAGCTGACTCAAGTTGACGACAGCTGGCCAAGCCGACCGCAATCGTCATCCGCACCAAACATCGGTGTTGTTTTCCTTCTTCTTGTCTGTGTTCTCTTCGTTGCGATGAATTGTGTCGCATCCGATCGCGGCGAGTCTAGAACCTCAATTGGAACGGGCCTCCCGCAAGCTTGTGCTCCACTATAGCCTGATGTCACATTGCTTCTTTGTCCATAGTGGGGACAGAGAACAATCCACCCGCCAATGCGAAGCCAACCTCTATTTTGAACTGTCATCTTTCGTTCCGTACCGTGGTGCTGGTGGCTTTCAGTTGCACTATAAGTCCTACGGATACTACTTCCGGCCCGGGCGATTTGGAATTGCTGGGAACTGTGGATGCATGGAGGGCAAAGTCTGACATTTTCCATCATATTGCAACTTCAAGGCCCGTGCTAGACCCGATTCTTCGTGCAGCAGACAGACCAGCCAGCCGATGTCTCTCGCGCACAAGGGAGATTGCATAAGACGTAGATAGATACAGAAGTCTAACCGAGACAGCCCGCCTCTTGATATTTCACCCCCAGTGCCACGGTGGCCGCTTGCGGCAGGTGCAGGCGATGCATCACGACCAGTCGCCCGCCCGCGCTATCGCCCACGCTGTGCACCAGGGCCACCAACTCCGCCTCGCCCATCAGCCCTTCGTGGGCGAGCTGGAGGAGGGCGAGGTCGTGCAGCCGCACCGTGGCGTCGACGGTGGCATCCACCGCGGTGCCACCTGGGTCGGGCAGCAGCAGCCCCGCGACGACGATCAGCGTAGCCCGCCGGTTGGTAGCCAGGACATGCAAGTGGGCGCGCAACTCGGCCAGCACGGCGCTTGCGAAGACAGCGGGCGGCAGCGGATGCAGGTTCAGGACGTAGAGGGCGGTGTCGCGGACGAGGCGTTGCGGAGTGCCCAGTTCGCGTCGCTGCATTTGCATCTGCATGCGCGGGGGCACGCGGATCTTCTCGCTGCTAGCGTGGTTGGGGTTCTGCACGACCTGGACTATAAAGTGGAGCCCCGGGTGCAGCTGGGCGAGCGTCACGGCCGACGGGTTTGGGCACTGCGGCCCTACGATCTATGCCGGGGGTTCCGGGGGCTCCAGGTCAGCCTGCGGGCGGTAGACGATCAACCCCCTTTTGCCTGGAAAGGCTTCGTAGCCGTTCTTACCTCCACGACGCAAGTTTTGTTTAGATTGAACCAGTCCACGCGGGCGAGCACCTGGCGAGCGAGGTCGCTGGTGTCCGCTTCCGTGTGCTGCAGATAGGCCGACCAGCGACGGTGCAGCTTGGGCTGCTGGTCGCAGGCGGCGTAGAAGGAGGGTTGGGGCGCCTCGACGCCGGGGTCCGTTGTCGAGGACATGTGTAGGGCGCCGGGCGCGGCCGTCGCGGCCAGGAACCCCAGTGCGTCGCGCAGCGAGGAGCGATTGGCCACCGCGCTCGAGACAACGGGCTGTGGGCGACGTGACTGGGTGGAGTCTCCTGGAGGAATCCGGCGCTGCTGCTGGTGAAGCGGATGATGCGGGCCAGCTGGGCCTCGGGGACGCCAGCCAACCGCGCGAGGTCAGCGATGGGGACGCTGCCCGTCCGCGGCAGACACGCCAGCACCTGGAACTCCCCGAGCCAGTGCAGGCAGGCCAGCTGCTGCGTGGCCCCCGCCAGGCGCGCCACCAGCTCGCTCGGCTCGATGAGGAGCCTGCGCAGATGGTCCAGGTTGCGCAGCAGCAGGCGTCGGGTCTGTTGGATCGACCGCGGGGCGTCCGCCGGCACGATGAGCTGTGGCGACTTTCCATCCACCCCGTTCTGACGGCAGTAGGAGGCCAGCTGCTGGCCGGCTGCGGCGATCTCGGTGGTCCAGCTTTCCAGATGGGTGATGGTGTCCATGTCGTCTTGGTTTGTTTCTCCCGAATGGCAGGTGGGCCTTATAAGCCCCGATGACTATCTACTGCAAACGTCATATACCCGACTACCATGGGTCGCCAGCGCTCCAGATGAGAGGGCGCCATTACCCGGCACTACGTAGGAAAGGAAGAGAGAAGGAAGAAGGGAGCTAGAGCTACAGTACCATTCATGGCGCATGGGATTCAAGGATTATGATTAGATTAGTCCACAATTCAGCTAGCCAAAATACTTCAGCTGTAGTACTCCAGTAGCCAGCTCTTCAAGTCGCCCACCGTCGGGTACTCTAGGAACAAGCTGCCGGAGACGGTCACCCCCAGCGTCTCCCTAAACTTCTCCGAAATCACTAAACTCATCAGACTATCGACACCTAAGCTGGCGAAGGAGGCGCTGTCCTTGAGATCACCAATTGCAAGACCGGCCTCTGCCGCCACCAGGGCCAGCGCTTTGGCAGCGGTACTGTTAGCGCTGGGATCTGCTGTTTGGGCGCCTCCGTCCGTAGCCGGAGGTGCCTTGGCCGGGGCTACCTTGGATGGAGCTGAAGCGCTCGCTGGAGCTGGAGCGCTGGTCGGGGCTGGATCGCTGGTCGGGGCATGCGAAACCTTTGCGGTTGCGTCGGAGGAGCGGGCGGAGAAGAAACGATTCAACAGGAGACGCGGATAGCGCCGAAACTTGATCCCCCCGACCATACCCACAATTGTCTCCTTGTGGAAGACGTAGACATCACCGAGGAAGACACTGGGGTCATCAGGAGTAGCAATCATCTTGACATACGAGCGGTATCGCTCACCGGCGACGAGCGGGGCGGCGAACCGCATGGAGCCCCATCCAGGCGTGACTGAGAAATAGGTCTGGGTATCATGCGCGTCAGAGACGTTCATAATGAAGCCGGCCAGATGGGCGACGCTGTCGATGAAGTAGGGAGGCACCGTCCACACGCCCCCTTTCTCGCACGTCAGGGTGACCTCAGCGTAGGCTTCCAGCTCATGGAGCACGACCGACTGCATGCCGCGGTACTTGTCGGCGTAGTCGACGAGGCTGCTGGCGAAGAGCCCGTAGGCCATGCGCCGCGTGAAGCGGTTGGCGACGCCCGCGTCGGCCAGCTGGTCGAGGGCCTGGATCCGCCCCTCCACAAAGTGCGTCACCGGCCGCCACGAGGTCATCCAGGCGCTGGCCGCCTCGTAGTAGACGGTGGCGCTCGCGAAGGGCTCCTCCACCCGGCCCTGGACGACGTTGTGCCATTGCAGCTGCGCCTGGCCGGACCGGATGTCCGCCGTGCTCACCGACACTCGGATCAGCTGCGGCCCCTGTTTGCTCTCCTGCGCCACCAGCCCCTGCAGGACTTCCAGGTTGGCGATGTTCATGTGCGGTTCGCCGTCAGGGATGAGCTTGTGGTAGAGATATTCCCCTAAGGTGAACGCGATATCGGCGTGAATCGACTAAAGATCCTGTGGTCAGTAGGGTGGCGGGTGTGCGCGAGCGAGCAAACAACATCATGTAACTTACCGAGGTGACCACACCTCGTCCGTTCATTTTGTGGCCATGGGCTGCGGCCAGGAAGTCTGGCTGCATCAGATCCGACTGCATGACCACTGAGCCTGCATTACCGTCGAAATGCTCCTCGATGACCTGTTGGACGGTGGACGTCTTCAGGCTTGAGGTTACCGCTGCAGGGGGATTGGTCTCTGGGCCGGGCTCCTCGTAGAAGATGTTTCCCTTCGTGAGCGCCCATCGCCCGTTGTACTGGATCCAGTAGTTCTTATTGTTCCAGCTGTAGGTCGGGAGATCCAAAAGCCGCAGGGCGCGTTCGAAGGGCTGGTGGAAGGCATTCCAGTCGACCGCGACCCCGGCGCAGTGGAGTGCCCCGAGGCTATTCGTGAGCGTTTTCCAGTTATCTTCCCCGCGGCGCATCGATGGCACGGCTGCACCGGTCGATGGGAGGGAGGACCGGACAAACCCAACACAGACCGGATGCGGGCCGATCTCGACCCAGACGGTGGTCTCGTCCACGGTGCCGATACGCTGCGCTGTCTCCAGGGCGGCGACGAAATTCACACAATCACGCGTCGCACGCCGCAGGTAGGCGCCGTTGATTGTCTTCTCATCGAAGACCGCCTTGCCCAGCAACGGCGAGATCACCGGGATGTTCGGCGGGTGGAAGACCACACCGGTGGCCGCGAGCGCCTCGAACTCGTCGAGGATGGGGTCCATCTGCGGTGAGTGAAAAGCAAAAGCCACCTCTAGGATCATGTACTTGCATCGCTCTGCCTCCAGCAGCTTGGCCACCGCCGCTATTTCCTCGCGTGTCCCGCTGAGGACGGTGTCTTCAGGGCTGTTCAGGCAGGCGATCTCGTACGGCAGAGCGCCCGCGATCCGCTCGATCTGTGCCAGCGGGGTGCGAACCGCCATCATCTGGTGGCTCCCGCGCTGGCATTTGTCCTGCAGCAGGCACGCACGCCTTCCCACCAGGAAGATCGCGTCGCTGGCTGATAGAACCCCCGCCACGTAGAGGGCTGTATACTCCCCGAGACTATGTCCCACCACCACGTCCGGCTGGACGCCTAAGGAGGCCCAATATTTGGCGAGGGCAATCTCCGTACAGACCAAGGCTAGCTGGGTGACGACAGGGGGGTGCTCATAGTCCTGGGGATGGGATCCATCTAGGACAGGGATGATAGAGGGAAATCCTTGTCCCCGGGCGATGCCGTCTAGATGGAGAATCTGGGAGCGGAAGTATGGGGAGTCTGCGAAGAGCTGGAGGTTACATGAACGGTACGACGCTCCCTGCCCAGTAAAGGCAAAGGTAATAGAGGGCGGGCCGGTGGCGGGAATCGGCTGAAGGGTGTCGACTGATTCCAGGTGGGTAGACAGTTGCTTCTGCAAATGCGCGACATCCGAAGTCGGGACCACGACTCGGTGATTGTGGTGATATCGACGCGCCGTGGTCGTGTAGGCCAGATCGCACAGGACTAGGTCCTGGTGGGCTTCCACAAAGCCCAGGAGCCGCTCGAGATTCCCGCGTAGGGAGACCTTGCTTTTGGCTGAGACGGCAACCAAGTGGGTGCCACGAGGGTCTGTCACCCCAGCCGGCTTGGGTCGAAGCGGGCCCTCCTCCACAGCCAACGTGGAGTTTCCTCCGGCTGCGCTGAAGTTGTTGACCATCGCGATGCGCTTCTTGCCCGGGATGCGGGGCCAGGGCTGCTTGTCGTAAGGAATATATAAGCCGCGCTCCTCCAGATCCTTAGGAAATCCTGGGTTGATGCTGTGCTTGATGCCCACGTGGGGCGGGATAGTCTCTTTCTGGAACATCAGAAGTACCTTCAACAGTGCGGTGACACCTGCCACCGCCTCCCCATGGCCAACATTAGCCTTGACGGCCCCAATAAAGACCGGCTGCGTGGGCGACCGCCGCTTTGCGCGCGGGACGAAGACATCACTGACCGAGTTCATCTCCTCCGCGTCGCCGGCTTGCGTCCCAGTTCCGTGCATCTCGACGTAGCTGACATCCAGCGGATTGATCCCCGCACTACGGAGGACCTGTCGGCTCAGGAAGGACTGCGCGCCCGCGTGGGGATGGGTGATAGAGACCGCTTCCGCCGAATGATTGGTTGCGGCCCCGAGAACAACCCCGAGGATATTATCATTGTCAGCTTCCGCGTCCTCCAGACGCTTCATCACAATAGAGCCTACTCCATCCGCCCGGCAATACCCATCAGCCTCGCAGTCCCATGTCTTACAGGCATTAGGAGTCTTGGTCAGGAAGTGACCATGGCTGAGGCCGGCAAAGGCGTCCGAATTGGTCAGCACGTTCATTCCTCCGGCCACCACTGTGTCGGTGTCACCGTTCCAGAGCGCGGTACACGCTGCCTATGAAAGAGGGTTAGTCCGGCAGAGCACAAAAGTGGCAGGTGAGGAATATAGACGGACCTGAATGGTGGCCAAGCTGGAGGAGCAGGCGGTATCGATGCTAAAGCTGGGCCCCCACAGTTTGAAAAAGTAATTAATGCGGCCCGGGCCAAATGCCCGACAGCCGCCAGGGATGAAGTACGTGCTGATCTCCTGCGCTGAGTTGACCTCGCGGTAATCATCACTGGCTTGCCCATAGAACGTGCTCACCCGGTGCTTGTTGGACGAGGCGGTCCGGTTAGCTACGTATCCGGCGCGTTCAAGGGCTTCATAGGCCGTGACAATCGCGAGACGCTGCATGGGGTCGGTCTGTTGAGCCTCCCGAGGAGACATATTAAAGAAGGGGGCATCGAAGAGGCCGGGCTCATCGATAAAACAACCATAGGAAGTATGGCTGGCGTTGACCCGTTTTCCGGCAGGATCATAATGGCTGTTGACGTCGAATCGGTCTGGAGGGATCTTACGATGGACGTCCAGCCCTTGCTCGAGGAGCTCCCAGAATTTCTCCGAGTCTACCGCGCCGCCGGGCATGCGACACGACATGCCGACGATGGCGATTTTGGATTGAGCGGATCCCCGCGGCGCGGATCCCTCCTCATCGACCCTCTTCGTCGCCCACGGCTCCAGGTCCTGCATGGACACCTCAACGCCCTCCAGGTTGGCAGTGCGCAAGGCTGACATGAGGTCGTGGACCGGGAGTGAATTGCGGATCACCGTCACTTGGACCTCGGATAGAGGGAGCAGCTTCGCGCGCTCCACGAGGCCCCGGATAACATTGTCCCACTCGATGGGCTGGGTAAGGACTTCAGCAATGACGTGTTCGAAAAGCTCCGTCGCCGTGGCGGCGGTAGGATAGGGCTCCCCCCGACTGGTCGAGAGCACGGGGTACCTCGAAATATAGCGTTTGTTCAAAGCGGCCAGGGCCGGGACCTGAACCACTGCTCGGACATGCTGCAAGCTGTAGATGTGCTTTGCGTGGCACAGCCCTCCATACACGGGCAGCGTGATAAAGGTGCGGTCTCGAAAGAAATCGGACATACGGAAGAGGCGCTTGAGTCGAGCCGGTGGCCCACTGACTGTCACTGAGCTTCGACTGATCGCGCTGACGAAGATTCGACTGGTCTCCGGGGTGTTCTAGGCGCTGATTGTTAGCTGGTCGTATCTTAGACCGGGCAGCATAGTTCCATTTTCGGTGGTACCCACCTCACGCATATGAATCATTTCCAGCTCCTCATTCACTTCATGGAAAGCGACATTGGGTATCACATAGGCCCAGGAGTCTGGATCACCTGTCACGTCCGTGGGTTGGAGGTTTTGAGAGACGTCAGAAACCAGCATTCCCAGACGGAAGGCGATACGGACGACTGCAGCCCCGGCCACGGGGAGATCTGCCAGCGTGGGGGAGAGCAACACCGCCGTCGACACCAATAGACCCAGTCCCAGGCCCGTGAGATAGGTATGGGCAGCTTCAAAGCTGTATTCGGCGGGCGCGGCTTCGTAGTACCTAGAATGGGATGCATTACAGACCTGGCTCTCTCAGAGGAGGTCGTCTCGACTTACCCAATAAACGTTGCCAACTGGATCGTACATAGCAGGACGCCCTCGATCGACCCACAGAGCGGGCCCTTGCACAGCTCCGGCTGCTCAGCTAGATGGAGAACGCTCTCAAACGGGGGAATAGGGGCCTTCTGCCCGGGGCGCAGCTGTCGAATCTCATCGCGAACCGCCCAAGTGCTTTCCTCGATGAACCGGGCCAAATGCGGGTGCCGTCGGTCTTTGCTCAAGCTGTGCAATCGCTGACAGAGCTTCGGGAGACTATCGTGATTCAGCTCGTTGCCGAAATAGACGACCTTCATCCCCTTCTCGGCCGTGAGGGAATCTTCAGACGACGGAGTAAAGTCGGCTGGCCTCATTGTGAGGGATGTGGGATTGGTAATCATAGGTATCGGTTCCATCTAGTGCAAAAGCTGTCGTGCAGCTGTGTAGAACCATGGAGAACCTTGGCGGACAGGCATGTCTATATGCCCGGAGATACGTTACCCTTCCCCAAAAAAACATCTACTAACCAGGATTTTGGGTTAAACTTTTGTTCTCGAAGGTAAGGAGAGCTGCTCGGTGGATTTGCGTGTTGCATCGGGCGGGTCGGTCGAATACACCCGCCTCCAATTAGGCCGAGACCGACAACAGTGACAGTAAGACCAACGCGAACCCTAATTCCCCTTGGGGCGTCGACTCGCTTTTGAGTTTCCGTACTCTCCTTGTACATTCTTCGTCCATCGCAGCTGGAGTCATGGCAAATGCAAAACGAGGTGGCTATCGACAGATCAACAAAGCTCTCAACATATGTGCCTGGGAAGGGTATCTAGATGACCAACATGCACGGCTGCCCATTTTTCCGGATGTTGAGCAAATCAGCCCTCGTGTGTTGCGTGTTCTAGGCCAGAATGCAGGCAAGGTACGCTGAAGTGCTGGGTGGCTTCTCCCCAACGTGTCAGATGTACAGTAGTTGTTGGCTGATGATGCCTTTCGCTGCCAGTTCACGCTACAAGGGACCAATACCTACATCGTGGGCACCGGTCATCAACGTCTGATTATCGATACGGGCCAGGGAATTCCCGAGTGGGCGGACCTGATCTCGTCGACCCTGGCCGACGCGGGGATCGAGCTGTCACACGTCCTGCTCACCCACTGGCACGGTGACCACACAGGGGGCGTCCCGGATCTCCTTCGCTTATACCCTTCCCTGGCCGATTCGATCTACAAGCACACCCCGGGCAAGGATCAGCAGCCGATCCGCGACGGGCAGGTCTTCCAGGTCGACGGGGCCACGGTCCGCGCCCTGCACTCGCCGGGTCACTCGCACGACCACATGTGTTTCATTCTCGAAGAAGAGAACGCCATGTTCACCGGGGACAACGTCCTCGGCCACGGGAGCAGCGCCGTGGAGATTCTCAGCACCTGGATGTCCTCCCTCCGGTTAATGCAGTCCCTGCAGTGCGCGGTGGGCTATCCGGCTCACGGCACAGTCATCCCCGACCTACCAGCCAAGCTCGCCCTGGAGCTCAACCAAAAAGCTCGTCGGGAAGATCGCGTCGTCGAGACATTGCAGCGGATGAAACACGAGCGTCAACCCGATCGAGTCCGTGGCAAAGTCAGTGTCACCGTCCCTGAACTCGTGACGGCGATGCATGGAACGGGCCTGGATGAGCAGGTGCGAGCTCAGGCCGTGGAACCATTTGTAGATGAGGTACTACGGAAGTTGGCGCAAGATGATCGTGTAGCCTTCGAGGTCCGAGGAGGCCAGAAAAAGTGGTTTGCGATAGAATCCGCATGAATGTGAATTTCAGTTGATGCTAAACACTATCTTTAAGCTTGTACTGGACTGTACAATACCCGCTAAGCGTAGCCTTGCTCACTAGGATAGTCTCTGTTAGATAGACCCGGCAATGGACGTACGCACAATCAGATTGGACTGCTCTGATGACGTATACACCGCCCTTGAAACGCCCGCAATCCTTTTGGAGTGATCTAGATTCTGCGGTCAGTTCCGCTTGGTCGGGGGATCGGGGGAGGTGCCCCCCCCGCCCGCCCCCTCGGGGGGTTTGTCAACTGGATGGATCGGGCGGAAGTAGGGTTACCCTGAGCCGCCGGGATCAAAGCCCCTTCTACCCAACTCCATCCCGACTACAATGTAAGAGAACAAATAAGGACATTGATGCTGCGGCTGGCAGGGAATAGGAAACAAATCTTGACTAGCCCGCGTAACAGGATAAGCAACCTCAGCAGGCAGGATGGAACGACCACCAAAGTCTCTCTGTGACGCGGCACAACTCCTCCAGACCGCCAACATGATCTCCAGCACAGTCCATACCATTATTGCCGAGTGGTCGGCCGAGGTAGAGGCATCGAAAGACTCTTCTCGTCAGAGCGATGCTCCGAATCTGCCCAGCTGGGAGCTCTTCAATGCGCAGCGGACCATTCTAGCCGCCGTCGGCAAGCTGACCGAGCTCGTGGCGGATCCCAGTGCGAGGATCCTGGAGGTTGCCACGCAGTTTCAGGAATCTCGCGCCATGTATATTGCCGCTGAGCGTCGCATTCCCGATATCCTGGCCGCCGGCGATGAGGGCGGGGTTCACGTCGACCAGATCAGCCAGGAGGCTAAAATCGAGCCGAGGAAGCTTTGTAAGTCTCTGCTCTGCTTTGCTCGGGGCATCCGATCTGCCTGGGTGATGAGAGACTAAACTGACCCCGGCGCCTGCTGTCAGCTCGTATCCTAAGGTATCTGTGTTCGAGTGGTGTTTTCCAGCAGACCGGACGGGACCGGTTCGCCAACAATGGGATTTCTGCCGCCTTAGTGGCGAATGAGTCCTTGCGGGCTTATGTGCAGCTCGTGAACAGCGAGGGCTTCACGGCTTCCGATCGCCTCCCCCATACACTTTTAGATCCCGAAACTGGTCCCTCTTACGATGTGGCCCAGACGGCGTGGCAGAGTGCCGTCGACACCAAGAAGACCCGGTGGGAGTGGATCGAGGAGCGCGTGCCCCCCGAGAAGTTGCTGGAGACTGGCGGCCATTATCCGGGCATTCCAAGTCTGGTCCTCGGGCTCCCTGCCCCGGACGAGGACGGGCTGGTCGGGAGACCCGAGCTGGATATCATGGGCCTGTCCATGGTGGGTGGTGGGCGAGTCTTTGGAACAGCTCATGTTTACGGTAGGATTCTTCCTGCTGCTCCATCTCTCTTGCTACCTGCTAACGGGTTCGTTCCACCCACGGTTTAGACTTCCCCTGGGCCTCCTTGGGCGAGGCCTTGGTAGTGGATGTCGGAGGAGGCGTCGGTGGCTTCCCCCTCCAGCTGAGCAAGGTCTACCCCAAGCTGCAGTTCATTGTCCAGGATCGGGGTCCCGTCATCAAGCAAGGGCGCGACAAGATCTGGTCCCGGCAGAACCCCGACGCCCTGCGGAGTGGACGAGTCCAGTTCGTGGAGCACAGTTTCTTCGAGCCCAACCCCGCGGTGGGGGCTGACATTTACTTCTTGCGATATGTCCTGTATGAAACCTGGGCATACAGCCCACCAGCCCGCTAATCCGAACGGTTATTTGCTAATCTTTTGCATGCAGTCATGATTGGTCAGACGACTATTGCGTGCGCATCCTGTCCAACATCCGCAAGAGTATGGCGGCGCACTCTCGCCTCTTGATATGCGATCAGGTCATGAATACCACCGTCGGCGACCCCGACCTGGAGTCGGCGCCGCGGCCGTTACCCGCCAACTACGGTTATCACACGCGCTTTAGCCACAGCCGCGATATCACGATGATGTCGTGCATTAACGGGATCGAGCGGACTCCCGGGGAGCTCAAGGCCCTGCTCCACACTGCCGGGTTGAAATTGAAGAAGATCTGGGACTGTCGGAGCCCGGTGTCGCTGGTTGAAGCTGTGCTACCCGAGGTCAATGGCTACCATTGAGTGTAAGATGTATGTGGAGATGGGCATGTTATCAGTGCAGGAGATAACTCCGAGGTGGGATATCAGTAATGCACCAGACATGAGGGGGAATAGCAAATTGTATTGAACCCCACTTAATCTTCTTGCTGGGTATGTGCTTGCCTGTAATCACACTACCTAATACTGATATATCAAATATTGATATTAATTTAGGATCCGCGAGCTTTTCGCTAAGAATCCAACCAGGCTATTGTACTTAAACCGGACCAAAAATATATAACAGAAGAGGTAGGGTTTCCTGGCGGTCACCCACTGATTTGATGTCTTGGTATGATTTATCACTTGCTATTAGCTCTGCAACCTTCACTTCCTGTAACAACCCTCCTATAGTATAGACTATTACCTTCCCTCTCAAATTATCTGGCCATTGCTTGCACCCGGACATCCCGCCCATAAGCTGAAGCCTTGCCAGGAGAGGCTAGTCTGACCGAACCCCTGGGCCCCATCCCTGCCTGGCTGGTATAAAATAGTAGTAATTATACAAGTCCTGGTATTACCATCTAAAGAATATTATAGTAATCCTGTTAATTTTAATTTTCTATCTAATATTAATGATTTCTCTTTTAAAAAAATAGGTTTACATCTTGTCTGAAAGTGAGTTTATGAAAAGAATGGTCCATGCGTCATAAACGAGTGGGGAAGAGGGGTGGGGGAGTACGGCGGACGATTGCCGCCATCGGGCAAATGAGTTTTTGCTTGGTGTTCTGCCGGCAGAATCAATACATTCAGAGGCCTTTCATCAAGCACCTCTCACCAAGCACCTCTTACCAAGCACCTCCCACCAAACAAGTAAATAAGTAAACAAGTAAGCAAGGTTTCTCACTAAGCACCTTCCACCAAGCAAGTGAGCAAGTAAGTAAGCGAGTAAGCAAGGCAGCAAAACCTCTCACCAAGCACTTTCTATCAAGTAAACAAGCGAGTAAGACAGCAAGGCAGCAAGGCAGCAAAACCTCTCACCAAACACCTTCTACTAAGCACCTTCCACCAAGCACCTTCCACCAAGCACCTTCCACTAAGTAAACAAGCGAGTAAAGCAGCGAGGCAGCATGGTAACAAAACCTCTTACTAAGCATCTTCTACTAAGCATCTTCCATTAAATAAACAAGCAAGTAAAGCAGCGAGGCAGCGAGGCAGTAAAACCTCTTACTAAGTATCTTCCACCAAGTAAATAAGTAAGTAAGGCAGTAAGGCAGCAAGGCAGTAAGACCTCTTATCAAGTATTTTCTACTAAGTAAATAAGTAAGTAAGCAAGCGAGGCAGTAAAGTTTTTTATTAAATATCTTCTTCCCAGGAGCTGACCGACGCAGTAAGTAATAGCAGAATATACAGTTATATAAGTACTCTTTATTAAGACTAAATCTTATCTAATTGATTTCTATCTATACTAACTAATCAGCTTAATAATTAACTAATTAAAATATAGTTTAGAAGTCCAAAGGACAGGACCTAGTTTTTATTTACAAAGCGGTAAGAATAGCGGTGAAAGGACTTAGGAACTTCATTTGCCCGATGGCGGCAATCGTCCGCCGTAGGGGGAGTATCAGGATTTATGTAAAGTGCTGTACTTAAAGGCGTGCGTCTCCGGAAACCAGCATAACATTACGTGGTTTAAAACCACAGCTAATCTCGGAAGGCTCTAGAGGCCTAACATGATATAATCTGAAGTGCTTCGTTGAGGTGCGGAAATCTGTGCACAGCGTGGCAGAACGGCTTTTTTTTTTTAGGCAAAAATGTAAATCAAACTTTACACTTTGTTATTGCAGTAGTCGAGAATGAAAGGGATATACATTAATCTGGATTATAAGGTCGCGTGGTTAGACTACTAAATTTACCAAGCCCCGGTTTTTCTTTTTTTTTCTCTTCTTCTCTTCCCTTCTTTTCTTCTCGCTGGCTAATTCTTCTTCACTTTCCCCTATAACATTATTATTCCGTGAAGAAAGTACTTGCTCTTTACTGATCCCGCTGCTAGCCCTGCTATTCCTGCATTTTTATAGGACTCTCTGATTTCACTTGATGACTTCAGATTAGGCGTGTGCTTGTGACCAGGCTGTAAAAGCTTTTATTACTTTACTCTTATCTTGCTATTATTCTTGATTCGGTATATTACCCGAGTCAGGGCTGCTTTATGCTATCTTAAAGCCTGTGTGGGAGGGCGACTCGATTTATCAAGGGTTCCTTGTTTATATCTAGTAAATACTAGAACATGATTTCTGGCATAACCATGTCTTGAGGTTTATTCTACGAAGTCGCCGCAGTCATCTCACACGAAGTATAGTCTTGAGGGCTGATGAGAATGATGAGATCATCCTCCTGTTCGCCGGGCGAAGGGAATAGGATTACGTGTTGTCTAGACCTAAAGTAGATAATCTTGAGCTATTTTTGTGCCTTGGCATACTCAGTATACTATCTTCCACTAATTAATATCACTGATGAGAAATCAAGTGGTGATTAAAGCTTTTTATAGACAAGATTGCTTATGCCGCGTGACCGGGGTGATCACTCACCCTCCTTTAAAACACACTTACCCTAACTTACCCCCGATCGCGCGACTTTAAAGCGGCCTCACCCGCTAGCTCACCCGCACGGCACCCACCCGCCTTCTGGCCGCGTTCAAGCCACACGCCGGGAGGTTAGTGGTTCGGTGGGTGACCACCAGCGAATCCCTTCTGTTCTATGTTTTTGCCCTTTGATCATCCCCTCGGTCAAAGCAAGAACTGTTTCCTCCTGCAACCTCCTCCCGACGATCTGTACTCCCAATGAGGCGCCGTCTAAACAGTTAGCAGAAATCTACATGGGACAGTAGACCCAATTCTTACAGTCTTCATATACCACCATGTCCATCGTGATGATGGAGCATGCCGAGGTCCGCGTTGGGATGGATGACTATGATTGGGCTGCTCGTCTACACTATCATGCACACATATATACGAGGGTACTGAGGCTCAAACACCCATAATGTCTGTAAGATTCATCACAGCCCTTTCTGAACATGAGAACGACTGGTGACTATCGGGCTCAGAGCGAATACGCGACCGATAATGCTTATCTTCATCCCCCTTGTTTTGTCCGAAGTTCTGATTGCTGCTCCAAAACAGAAAAAAAAAAAAAAGAAAAAAAGGATGTTTCCTCAACGTCAATATGATAATGTCTATAACACTAAAAATCACAATATAATCTATCAAGTATGGCCAAAGCCCTCTCTCATCGTCCACACATAATCTTCATCTTTCCGGATGCCTTATCAGGTTTATTGTATCCAGCTCGTTGTAAGTCTCCGGGATCCGCTTGTGGCCGCTTCGTCGCGAGGAAGAGTTATAAGGCTCAAACGACGGGGAGGCCGACTTGGCTGGGTGCCGGCCCCGGTAGAAGGTCCACAGCGGACGCAACGTCGGCAGACACGCTAAGATAACCGCCAGCGCGGTCTCGATATTCGTCCAGAAGACGATGGGCGAGATATAGTCTGGTGATTTTGTCAAGTCCGTGATTAGTATTGCTCAAGCGCGACTACTCTCCTAGCCGATCCTCCTCCGAGCGAAAAGAACCGACTTACATGAATCGTCGGTGTAGTGGTCGAGGTAGGTGGAGCCGATTTTAACGTACATGGCTAGCCTAGTAATGCTGATCGCGATAACTCTGCCCGTTGTTGTGCTTTAGCTCTTCTTCTGAAAGTGGCATCTTTCTCCAACCCCTCCCCAGATGGACAAAACATGCCCAGTGCCCATAACGAACACAGCTGAAACAGCCACCTTTTGCTTCGGAGCCAACTGCAGCTTGAACACCATGGGTAGAGGCAGGACCATGATGATTAGGTCAATGAGCACGTCGGTGATGCAGCCGGCATACCACATGGCGAGGCTGTCCAGGCAGTTGTTATTGTAGTACTCCTCGACCAGGGCGGTAATCGGATAGCAGGTAAACAGGTTGCTGAAGAAGAATGAGACGGTCCAGGCAGCAGTGATGGCGATAAGGATGGCCGAAGCGAGATTGAAAGCTCGCGAGACAGCAAAGATGTTCCGGAACAGCACCAAAAGCGACAATTTGGTCAACCCGAGGCTGAGCACTCCCAGCATCTGACTGGAGAACTTGCACTACGGATGGCTCAATCGGTTACTCGCTTTATCTAGAGGCATGAGGGCTGGGACTGACTCGTTGATAGGTGAGGAACTTAGGATCTTGGAGCAGGGGCTGTCCGTGCGAGTCGACGGTCTCATGTTGACTCAGAAGGCCGTGAATTGAGCCTGAAGATTATCAGTTCCGACTAAGTAGCTAGTTTCTGGGGGTTGAAAGAACATAGAACATACCTATCAACTGGGTGATTGAACAAGCGACCGAAAACGCCTAGAAGAGAGGGCTAGTGAGTACTCTGTACCCCCAAGAACCGATCGCTGAACCCACCAGCCCCCCAAAGATCAGATAGTCATCGGCCTGCAGCGAGCGACGCGAAAGCCACTTGGCCCAGACTCGAAGGCCGACGAAGATACACGGAAGAAAGAGGAAGATCAAGCCGAGAATGATCATCTCTTGCTTGGAGTAATCTTCGACTCCCATGGTAGGCGAGAAGAACAGGGCACAGAAAACAATGGTCGGTCAATGGACCAACAAGCCCAGCGCGAGATTTCGTTCGGGACAAAGACTTTATTCTATCGTTTACGAACCCTGCCCTTAAGTTGAATGGCGCTGTCAGCACAGCCGACTGTCAATTTCGGCTGTTCAAATCCTTTCAATGGAAGTCATTGAGAGAGCGGCTCCAAGCCTTGCAGATCAACTGAGGGGCAGACGCATTCCACAATCTCAATCCATGGGGTTGGCTGGGGCTTACAGTTCACTGCCACTAATTCCCTCCTGCACGAGCCCATTGAGGGAGTCCAGTAGCCCAGACTTAAATCAAATTTAAGTACTTCTCGCCTTAATGGGTTTAAGCTACAAGCATGTATATTATACTGCGCGATGCGCCCTGACATCACCTAGGAAAGACTCCTTCCCACATTGTTCAAGCGACAATGCTTATTTACTTATTCTATCTACCAGGGAATCACTCCGTCTGGGCCATGAGCCCCGGCTGGGCTGATCGTCTTTGGAGCCTGTCACTATCGGGGGAGAATCCGAGCCCTGACTTCAGGCTCTACAGCCCCCATCTTCCGCAGCGCGTCTGCGTTTCTAGTAATCCTAGAACCTAGGGCCGCCCCCACCAATGTCACGACGGGCAAGGCCATATGATACTCGACCAGCAGCATATGTATGGCCGCCTTGCTGACGCGATACTCAACAGTGTGGTAGTCACTGTGGCGAGAGGTTGAGTCCCCATTGTAACTCAGGGAGCCCAAGGATGAGGACACGAAGACGAGGCGGGGACGGAGCCCTGCCTTCTCAGCGGAGTCTAGCAGCAGCAAAAAAAGTGCCTTAGTTACACGGGCCTGACCGCTGACATTCGTTGCCAGCGTTCGCTGTAGCAGCTAAGTGCCAACGGTGATGCTGGAGGGTAGCTGCTGCCTAGAAGACAGAAGATAGATGTCCGCGTTGTGGACGAGAAGTCCAGCCGCCCGAAAGAGGCCTCGATGGAGCGCTCCGAGGTCACATCCAGGTCACATCCAGGCTCAAGGCTGACACACCGTCCCCTAGCCTCGCGGCATCGTCCCCGTGCGACGGTCTGCGGCTCCTCACCATGATGTGATAGGTAGTAGTTAGAAGCAGCTCTTTGGCAATTGCGAAGTTGAGTCCGCGGCTGGCCCCTATTCTTCCATTTCCAGGAGCTCATACATACCGGAGGGATTCGTGTGAGTGGACTTGCTCCGGTCAGAGATAAGACCAATCCTCTTAGTTTGCATGACTGAGGGGTTGAAACCAAGTCGTTGTCGGTGTCCTGCCGGCGTGGAGAAGGGTTGTTATTCGTCAACTAGAATTACGTTGCGAAAACCAGGCAATCGGTTAACCGAACAGCTTCGTTTGATTCGATAGCTTTTCTTCCAATGAGGGCATTCTGTTGGTTTGGCGAGGTGATACAGGGCAGGTTGCATCAAATCGCAGCCAAGGCCGGGGTTCATGACCAATAGGCGTTCCAAGCAATCCTCCTATCTGCTCCTTGTTCGCTCACGCCAAAGCTTCAAGTTTAAACGACAAGCTCGAAAGATTCACGTCAGCGAGAGACCGGAATTGACCCCTTACAGATGACAGCGGCAAGGGGTGGGGAGATGATTGGAAACGCCCCAAGCTACACAATCAATTGCAGTCTGCTCGAGGTCAGACAGACGTTCGCTTTTAGATAAGTTGGACGAGGAAGAAAAAGCCAATCCGCAGCTAATCCTCTACGAGACGACAAAAGAAGCAAGAGGCTGAGCGAGATCAATCCATCGAATGTAACTCTGCGACAGGGGCTGGGGTGGTAAATACATGTGATGTGCATTGGAATGCTGACAAGGCCTGTATAATACACATTTACAAATACAAGTATCTGTCTTATGCTACGAACGGACGTGCTCGGCTGAAAGATCCCTGAGGATGGAAGTATGTGATAGCATTCGGTATACTAGACGGAGCTGATTCCAGCTTGCCTTAGGGCTCCGTTTACATACATTGGTGGCTTGGAGTACATGAGGTTTCCGCCAAGTGGTAGCACCAGAGCTTATGCACATGCTAGCCCATCATGTAGGGCAAAGTTCTCACTCAGACCAACTGTTCCTGATCAGATCATCTGCGTCTGCTCGCTTCTCAGACCAACCATTGCGCACGACTCCGTCCGCATCCGCTCTCTTCTCGGACCAGCTGTTACGCACAACATCGTCTGCGTCTGCACGCTTCTCAGACCAGCCGTTTCTGACCACATCGTCTGCGTCGGCCACTGCTTGGCAACCCAATGAGCTCATACCCCTGGCTAAGAACAGATTGGAAAAAACATACCAGTCGGACGGGCGATGCTGGCACCGGCCAGGAGGCCCAACACGGAGAGGTAAATGGAGAAGCGCATTTCGGGCTTTAGAATTGGTTCACTTGTGGTTTTTCGCTGCGATCTTGAAGTTCGTGTGCGCTATGTAGAGAGCTTGCTTTCTGATGAACAGATTGAATGGATGCATCATCAGTGTTCACTTCCTTTATATAACCATTCCATCGTACCTGAATGCCAAGAAGGTTGGTTGCGATGATGGCTTAGCCCACATCACAGGAATAAAAGCTTGTAACAGATGATGTTGTGTTGGCACTCCTCCGTCCAGCTTCATTGGCTCCTTCGATTGTGATGTTACCTCGCTTTCATCGGTGCCAAGTTTAGTTGTCTATCTGCCTGCTGTAGGTCTGAAAAACAGGATTGAGGATTCAATTAAACCTCGCCTGTGTCAGCGAGAAACCGGCGGTCAACAGGTCGAGGGTGACACCGCGCGTTATTTTAGGAAGAGCACCGGCCAACTTATACCAGCTGCAGCTTGCCTTCTCTGTAGTCGTCCTTTATACAACTCGTATCGGTGGTCTGACTTCGGGAGAGTCCGACAAGACAGAAATACCGCAATCATGGCCTCGTCCTCCATCATCAAAGAGCTCCCGTATCAACATCTTGACCCAGCATCAGAGCCCGACAATCCCGCTGCCATGCTCTGGTCGGCAAGGTCTTCCACCTCGTTGACATCCCAGGGTCGAGCGGTAGTAGAAGGCATTCGGCTGTTTGTGGCCCTCACCCTGGCGTTGACGATAGGTTGGGTCGCCGGCCAAAGGCTCTCCATCGCCTCGTCTCAAGATGGACTCCTTTGTAAGGATAAAATTCTCCCTCTCAGCGACACCATGCTCTAATGCTCTCAGTACCCCCCGGCACAATCCAAACGGTCTGGTCGCATAACTACACGTTCTCGCAACGCCCGAACCCAGAGTCGGAAGAGGCGTGGAGATCCCTTATTCCAGGTAAGTAGACAATAAATACACAAAGAGATGGGCCCGCTGATCTTGTAAACCCGGCGAAAATAAGTAGTCGGTCGTGGCTTTGTGCATCATCTTGAGCTCGCGCCATTCATTTCCAGTATTTCCGTCTTTCATCAACTGCACTGCTTGGTGAGTTCTGAGTTTCGGCCTCGCCCCGGGAAGTAGGATGCCAGGAACTGAATGAAGCAGCACGCAATCGTGGTCTCATACCACCGCGCCATGGAGGACGTCCAGATCGCGAAAGGCCAACTCGTCGAGGACGACTACCTCAACCGTACTGGTACACGCATGGGCCCATCGCATATTCAGCACTGCTTCGAATACCTTCGCCAGGCGCTAATATGCGCAGCCGACACAAATTTGGAAGAGCTGGATCCGGACACGCGCGTGACGACTGGCTGGGGGCAGGTTCGCCAGTGTCGAGACTATGCGAGCGTCGTGGCGTGGGCAGAGAAGTGGGCCAATTCGTCCGAGAGGGATATTCTGAGCTGATTTTTGAGAGAGACGGAAAAGTTGTATATACTTCGTGTCATCTAGGTGCGATTCCGTTGGAATTCGGCCAACGACTCCTAGAGTACGCATCCTTGATTGATGTATGCCTGCGAGTAGAACAGTCCGTCTACTGTATTATGTTCTTATCCCGTTTGACATTGTTTGACATTTTTTTTGTTTTATTTTTTGTTTGTTTTCTTTTTCCACTTGTGGAAAGGTGCTGAGCATCGAGTTGACATAGCACAGTGTCGCCTCGCACTGGTATTTCCTTCACAAGATGGGCGACGTGCGTCTGCTTCCACTCCCCTTGCCATTCCGCGGCGTCATGTCGGATATTACAGCTCTTCAGCGTTATTTGAATGATCAGGGGTATGCGTTTCGATCCACATAGTGTGTGAGGTGGTTTGCTTGCGGCGGCATCATTATAAGTCATTATGAGACCTGGTCGGAAGTAAGGAGGCATGTAGCATGAGGGGTTGTATCACTTAGTCATGTACAGCCTCACCTCAATAACCAGTGATAGCGCGGCCAGGGAGTAACACAGACCGGTCCTACCTGACCCATGCAAGGGGGGCCTTATCTTGTAAAGGTGTTTTCCATCGGTCGAGTCTCGATCACCTCTCTCTGGCACCCCACTCCTCCACGCTTGTTGAGTCTCTGACTTTCAGTTCACTACGAATTCAATCTCTATCAGAAAAGGGCCGCTAAGAAGGTTGACTCCGACGCGGAGCATAGCGGTGCGGCAATTAAGCAGTGACACGACCAACGTCTGGAAGCTAAACGTCAACGACGAAGCTCGGTACTGGCGGGGCTACCTTTCGACGAGGCCCAAGTACTCGAACGAGTTTTACAACCTCATCTACGACTACCATAGTGCACACAGCAAGTCATTTGCCGTCGCACACGACGTGGGCGCTGGACCAGGGCAAGTTTCGGCGAAGCTGGCCGAACGATTCGCCCATGTCGTCGTCAGCGACAACAACGCCAACCATGTCGACTACGCGCGGTACATGCTTTTAGGAGACACTCAGCAGCGACAGCAGCAACCTCGCTTCTCTTTCACTGTCGCCAAAGGCGAGGAATTGGGCGACCGGTACCCGCCGGGATCTGCCGATCTCGTGGCGTGCCCGCTCATGTTCCCCTTGATGGAGACGGAGGCCGCACTGCAGAGCTTCGCCCAGCTTCTCAAGCCCGGAGGCACACTCGCTATCTGGTTCTACGGACGAGCGCACTTCGCCGAGCCCACCGCTACTTCAACGCGCTGTCAACCTCTGCTGGACGCCATCATCGACCACCACTTCGCATCGGTCATCCAGGGCCAGGGCCCTGCCCACCGCGCCGGGTGGAAGCGTGCCGCCGATGGCATCGCCAGCTGGTTGGATTATATTCCTTTCGCCCCTACAGACTGGGCGGCGGTCGAGCGACACAAGTGGAACGCAGGCTGGGCGACCCTGGGGTTTTTCGGCAATCGAGCATGCGATTTCCCCGTCGAGCCTGTGAGTCGCGTCGCGCCCACCGAGACCATCCGCGACATTGAGGACAGACAGCTCTGGCGGAGGGACTGGACGATCCACGAGCTGAAGATGTTTGTAGAACACATCTTTCCCTTTCGTCACTTCGATGAGGAGGCGGTGCGGCCATTGTGGGCTCAGTTGCAGGCGGAGATGGGCGGAGGCCATATTCAACATGTCTTTTCATGGCCGGCAGTGCTGGTTCTGGCGTCTAGGAGGTAGGGATTTGGCATAAGGAGATCTGGATAGGTAGAAGCTATTCAAGGTTTCCAACATCGAAGACGTGTGTTATGTTCCCTCTGTGTCTCCTGTATCCTTCCATATTCAGGGTTTTGCAGTCTATTTTCTAATAGCCTGAAGTGTAGTAGTCTCTGAAACTAGGCAGAATGTGGTTCTTGGTGAGTATGTCACTAGGTCTGTACTAGGATCCCTGTGTACACATCCGACCTGCTGATCAAATTCTTGCCTTGGTTCTTTCATTCAAGAGCATCTAAAGAAGCAAGCCCAACTTGAGCAAACTGAAACTGTTGGCCTGACAAGAGCCGCATACGACGATGGGATGCGCTGGATGTGTCCGGGGAATTATTCAAGTATTTTATCGCGGGAATTAAAACGTCACGAGACGTTTGCGACAGGTCAAGCAATCAGACTTAGGTGCTCTATGTATGGGTTTGACGCTGCTACAGGGATCAATGGGGACGCGGGCATTATTTTCGGCAGCAATGAGCCAATAATGCATTAGATTCTTGAGTCACACAATATCCCGTTCATACATCAACAGGGAGAATAAGGTGATACAATTTGCTCAAATTGGTACATCTAATGCACACCGGAGACTCATCTGCATCTTGCTGGCCTTGGTGGCCAGAACAGTCAGAAGAGAGTTAGGTCGGATTATCCGGTTCCCTCCGGTCGCAGTTGTTTCTGGCCAAGTAGAATTTGGTGATGCTGTTCAATTCAACATTCGAAGCGTCAGATTGGAGAAAGACCCGAGGCTCACTCTCAGTCCCGTCGAGTTGTCGTTTTTGACAGTGAGTGCACCCGAAGGACATATCATCCCTTACTTCGGTGATCAGATCTAAGAAGTCTCTCAAACCGTTTGTGCTTGTGCGCGAGGTGGAATATTTATCATGACTCGGATGAAGTATGGAAGAGACGGTAACGCTATTCGTGTATATGCGTCTAGTGTGTTCAAAGGCTGAGCATCTCCTCAATTCAAGACCATTCAGCGCCACAGCCCCTGCACGACATTAAAAATTCTTACTTAGAAATCAGAAAAGCTCTTTAATGAGAATGTCCGAGAGGAGGAACCAGACCACCAACACTGCTGCTACGTGGGTTCGAACAGAAGGCTGATGGAGGCCGCAACCACTTTGACCAGAAATAAACCTGCCACCACAGCTCCAATCCAGCATGCACGGATTGCAATATTATTCTCCAGTGGCGATATCCAGCCGCGGCCAGACCGACGTGGCAATGGCACAAATGTGAGAGCTGCAGCGTCCTCGAAGATCTTGGTCACTTGCTTCGCCGGTAAACTCCCCGAATATGGCACTAAATGTCGCAGAATCAAATTGTACAACCAGACTTGTCGAGTTTGCACCCGCACGACCGCTTTTGACGCACGGTAGACCTTGGTCATCCGGGCGAGTCGCTTCGTGCTGAATCGCGAGAGTAGAGCATCAACCGCTCGGTCGGACAAGCTGGTGGGATTCTGAGCGCCTACCAGAGCGTCGCGGATCTCGTTGGCCAGTACAGCCGCATCTTCGATAGCACTATTGGCGCCTTGTCCCAGATTGGGAGTCATCTAGGAATTATCATCAACGGCCGCAGTGCTGGAAGTGCCACACCCGTTCTTCCCAGGGGTTCGTCTCACCTTGTGCACGCTGTCTCCAATGCAGACCAGGCGTCCGTAATGCCAATGCTGAAAGAGCTTTTCCTCCAGTGGGACCATTGCGATAGTCTCACGATTCTTCCAAACCTGTTCGAACGTGACGTCTGCCCATATCGCTTGATCGGCTCTCTGCTCACACCATGCATCAGCGTCGGCAGTCGAAAAACACGGCGCGGCTCCATATCGATACTGCCTGTTTAGCTTTATCACAATGAACCAGGACAGCCGTGCTTGGGGTGCAGGTGCAAGGATGAAAGAGTGTCCATCGCAGACGGTCAGATGCAATCTTCCCAGGTTCAATCCAGGCACCGCGGTGGATGTGCCGAAAATACATGCATAGTCGATTTTGATCCCTAAATTGCGGGTTACAGCGGCAACATGTTAGTTTTGAACAATTAAAGTCGCAAGGTACGGGCTTATCACTTTTCTCCTGGTCAGTGATCAGACCAGGCTGCAGCGTGTCGGCGATGCGCCACATCTGCGTCCGCACACGGCTGTGGACACCATCAGCCCCCACGACAAGGTCACCGGTATACTTGCTTCCATCCCGGGTATACACGAGGACAGTGTTATCTTGCTGTTCGATGTGGGTGACCGTTTTGCTGACATGAATTATTGGTGGCCGGGGTAACGATTCGTACAGAATTTGGAGTAACTGTTGTCGGCCCAAAAACGCCATTGGATATCCAAACCTAGCCAGCAGATTAATTTGCCGCAGAGACAGTCATATGTAGAGCAGAATGGCGCAAGAGCTAAAATGCACACTTACTGGTCATGAACATCTTGAGGGTAGCTGTGGCTGAAATGAAACCCGTCCGGGAATTGGAGATGGAAACGCCGCATCGGTTCAATGAGCTTCTCGACCGCAGCGTAAAGTCCCAGCTGCTCGAGAATTCGCCCACCATTGGGCAGTACTCCCACGAATCCTCCATCACTTTGTACAATTTTCCGTCGCTTCTCAAGGATAATGCAGTCGATTCCAGCTTTGTGCAGACAATGCGCGAGAGAGAGGCCCGCGATCGACCCTCCAACAATGATGACCCTGAAGGAAGAGCCGTCCATCTGTCCGCTCAGGGAGCACTGCCTGGTAATGTGGCGCAAGAGTTACATCCTGAGCGGAAACGGGCTGTCTTATAGGCCTACAAGTGGCGGGTTGTAGGCTCTGAATGCAGCAGGATGACGTCCATCCACCGCCGCTTTGTTGAGGTCTAAGCACAAAACGGCCATTCTCGCGTCGATTCCGCAGAGTTCGTCATTCTTATGAGCCGTGACTTAACTTAGCTATAGCGATGGCTTTGATCTACTTCAATTTTCATCCTAATAAACATACCCTTCATTTACTCAGGCTCTTTTTTATGTCTTTGTCGTTCCCGTCTAATCCGACCTCTCCCCGTTGCAAGCCCTTGACTGCCTTTTCTGATTGTTGGATTTTCCAAAGCAAGATACCAAAAGCCCCATCTAGTATAAAAAACGCGGCTCCTCCCCACCAGCCTAACGGACTGTGCCATACTACATTCGTATATCCGTGCTTATACCGCAAGACCTCATGTGGTAAGGACAAGGCGGTTCCGAAGAAGCGGGCGAACCTGCACACATGAAAAAACCTTGGTCAGTCTGCAGATCAATCAAATATGAAAATCACCCTCGTTCTCTGTCATACATACCAGATCCAAAGGGAGGTTCCGCGACTGCTTCCCCGGACTATAAGCTGACACAAACACCCGGCGCTCAGAAAGAGTTGACAGAACCAGGAGCTCCAGGCGGCGCCCTCGGTCGCTCCCACCTGAGCGACAATAGCCAGGTGCGCAGTCGTCCAGAAGACGATACTCAGAGCGAAGATCCAGCCGATATTTTGCTGTACCAAAGGTGCATGGCGCCACTCGCGCGGGGCAAACTTGATGGCAGCCACGATAACCGCGCAGTTGAGCACAAACCAGCAGAGGAAGATGATCTGATAGAGCGGGCAGTCCGGGGCATGAATCACGCCGTACACGAACTCACAAGCAATATTGCAGCATAGGGGCATCAGAGCCATTCCATAGGTCCGGTCCCGGAAGGATTTGTAGATCATTCCCATATAGTTCGCCAGCCAGCCCACGCACGTGCATACTCTCAGGAACGTGAGCACCCAGGGCTCGTCGTCGCTAAGGCCGAAAGATGAGTATGTCTCGTCGATCTGGGCCATATTCCTTTGCCCTTGTCGGAATGAAGTCAATACTTCAAGCTGGTCTCGTCGAGCAATTGCAAATTCAACAGAATAGAGCTCTGTCCCCGGTCTGTTATATGCAATAGTGAAGCTGCCACATTCCGATATCATGCAAAAGACCGTCTGGACCAAGCCCTGTCCGGGCTTGACATGTTCGTTCCCAAGCTCAGCATGGACATTAGGAGGAGTGAATGTAACCTCGTGACACTACCATGTAATAGAGAGTTTTTGGAGGAATGATAATGTTCCAAATTTACGAAGAATTGGGTGTGTCTAGGCCATTCTGCCGGCAAGCAAGGGTTAACCTGCCAAGGAAAATGTCATATTCCTTGATTCGTCTGTGTGGGCGGACTTCTTATCCACTCCCGCCTGAGTGGGCCAGACTTTACTGTCTTAGACGTACATTGATCGCCCCAAGAGAATGACACCGAACATGTGGGGGAGTGACAGCCGGAGGTGGAGATGACATGCGTCCTGCCAACCCTACCTTTCTTCCCACCTGTCGCCGATTATTCTATCTTGCAGCCTCTCATCCTTCGAACTTTAGGCTCTGCAAACGGCCACGCGTGCCGGCTCTAGTGAAGGCTGTCATGAATGTAAAGACGTCATGCTGATCCGCAGATCTGGCTCTACTTATCGCTCCCTTAGTGTTCATTTTGATCAAACCGTTGCTGGAGCAATCTTCACTGAGTTAGTCGATACCTGCGTAGACCTTGACGATGGGACTTGAATGCAGGGGTAATAATGATGTTATTTGAAGTCGGGTCCTGAGTCATGAGGTTGCACGCTGGGCTGGCCTCTCTCCGCCGCAAGCAATCGCTCTTAAGAATCACCTTCGGTCGTCTCCGATTCAGCATTAGTCATAGACAAAATATATGAGGAGTTTCAGATGGGAGAAGAACGGTAAATACATAAGAGACAACGCGGCCCTATGTTACTGTGGGGGTCTATAGTTCTGAAACTGAAGTTATCCGATACGGCCCGTTCGTACTTGTGCTAGTCTTGTAAATCCATTCTTCTGGTACCAATCCTATCTTTCTTTTGTTGCTCCACCATGTCTCAGACTGTGGAGATCGGATCGCCAGTAACAAAAGTCACCTGCCAAGCAGACTATGATCCCGTGCTCTCCAGGGTCCACCGTTCGCTTGAACTCAGTCTCCAGCATGCCCGAGATCTGATGCAGCCCGATGGGCACTGGTGCGGAGAGGTAAGAACCAATGCAACGACAACCGCAGAGCATATTCTTTTGTGTCAAGCTCTCGGGGTGAACCTCGAGGCCGATCGAGAGGCATACATCTCCTGGCTCTTTTCCACACAGGGCTCGGATGGAGGTTGGAGCCTGGTGCCCGACCATGGGGGAAATATCTCGGCGACAGTAGAGGCTTACCTTGCCTTGAAGATCTTGGGGGTCTCAGAGGATGAAAGAGAAATGCGCAAGGCGCGAGCATATGCTCTCGCAGCTGGGGGTGTGGCCAAAGTCCGGATTTTCACCCGGATATATCTGGCCTTGTTCGGCCTATTCCCGTGGGAAGCGATCCCAGAGCTGCCAGCGGAGTTGATCTTGATCCCCTCGCAACTCCCCGTCAGCCTGGATCGCTGGTCATCCTGGGCGCGCGCCACCGTGATTCCTTTACTGATCGTGTCGCATCATCGGCCAACCTATCCTCTCCCAGCGGAAATCTCGGACCACAATCATACCTACTTGGACAAGCTCTGGTGCGATCCGAGCAACAAGGTCATTCCGTACACCCCTCCACTCGCCCCTTCGTGGAACTCAGACCCGTTTGTTTCGCTGTTTACCGTCACTGATGCTATCCTGCATCGGTGCAATGGCCTAAGGTTCTTTAATCCCCTGCGTCGCTTTGCTCGGCGCAAATGTGTCAATTGGATTCTAGAGCATCAGGAAATTACAGGCGACATTGGGGACATTATGCCACCGCTGCACGGCGCCATGCTTGCGCTAACGCTAGAGGGCTATTCGTTGAACTCGGACCCGATCCGTCGAGGGCTGGAAGCAATCGAGCGCTTTGCATGCCATGACGCGTCAGGCAAACGAATCCAAACCACAGCCTCCGCCTGTTGGGATACCAGCCTAATGCTGATCGGACTCAGCGATGCAGGCGTGACCCCCGACCAACAGCCCATGATCAACAATTCATTATCCTGGCTCCAGCAACGCCAGATTCTCGACCAGCACGGCGACTGGAGAGTGTTTAATCCGGACCTGCACCCGGGTGGCTTTAGCTTCGGGTATTTCAACACTTGGTATCCGGATGTCGACGACACAGCATGCGCGATCCTCGCCATGACTCGGCAAGACGCGTCCCTTATTCACTCACCCTCGGTCCTGCATGCCGTTAATTGGCTGTTGGGGATGCAGAATGCGGACGGAGGATGGGGCGCCTTTGACCGAGACAACAACGATTGGTATCTCAACAAGATACCCTTCAGCGACATGGAGGGACTGTGCGATCCTTCGACGCCGGACGTAACCGGCCACGTCCTGGAAGCCTTCGGCATGTTTCTAGCCGTGGGTAGCTCTCGGCGCAAGCCCCCGTCCGCATACAGCGCCTGTCTGGATCGTATAAACCTGGCCTTCCGCCGCGCGATGTACTACCTCTCGGCCACGCAGGAGCCCTCGGGTGCCTGGTACGGGCGCTGGGGGGTGAACTACATCTACGGCACCAGCGCCGTGCTCTGCGCGCTGCCGTATTTTCTGCACGAGAAGCATTGCTCCACGTTGCTGGCCAGCGACGACAGCCTGGCGCAGGAGGTGGCGCAGGCGGTTCGGTGGCTGGAGATTGTGCAGAATGCGGACGGGGGCTGGGGCGAGACAGTTGACTCATATCGCGATCCCTCGCAGGCCGGGTCGGGCCCCTCCACCGCTTCGCAGACGGCCTGGGCCCTTATGGCGTTGCTGCCCTACCTTCGCCCGTCGACCGAGTTCATCCGACGCGGCGTAGAATACCTCCTGCGCACTCAGGTCCAGACTTCGTCCACTGGCGGGAAAGGGGCCACCTGGCACGAGAGAGCCTACACTGGAACCGGCTTCCCCAACCATTTCTATTTCGGATATTCTTTCTATGCCCATTATTTCCCTATGATGGCGCTGGGTCGATACGCCTACGCCGCCGGAGGCAGACCGTGCCTGGAGTGGGGGAATAATTGAAAAGTCTTTATATCATCCTTGTGTGTTGTTGAACCCTGTACTTTCGATCTTGTTCCTTGATATCTGGGTGTCTTCCCTCGCGTATATGTCTTGAGTAAGATATTTTTATGATCTGGTCAGAAAGCAGTATTTCCCACTGTGGTGTAAAAGAGAGAGGACATTAGAGCCAGAAAGTCATGGGAGGGATCTGATACAAGGCAAATTTACTAGGCGATAAACGATCTTGCTCGAACAGACCAGGCAGGAGCTATAGGGTCATTACATGAAAACTGCGGCTCATGTAGTTAATCACTGTGCTGCAAATTAAACGGATTCTTTCGCGTCTTCCCACGAAAACCCGCGGTGATCGCGGGACTCAACCACAAGTTCTCGTCATCATGCGTTGGGCCAGGATTCAGCGTGCTTTCGACGAGAGATCGGATTAGGTTACAATTGCAGAATCACTATCCATCTAAATGCATCTCCTCAAACCCGGGTGAGCGTTTGGCAATGAGGGGAACAAACAGTTCATGGAACGACAAGACAGGGGTTGGAAGCACTAAAACGGGAGAGAGGTCGGAGTCTAATTCAGCTAGGTGCTATCAGTGGCTTTAGTTATGACCAGGCTGCGTAAGTCAGCCAGCCATCCTGCGATAAGGTATTAGGTTGCTGCAGACTGCATATGCGCTCCGGTCAACGCCTGTTGCAGCCCGATGTTTGCCTGGGGACAGAGTCATGATAAAGCGGATAGGAATGCTTGTACAATACTTCGGCTGTGCCGATCTGTTTACCATCTGCAACATAAATACACCGTTGTCCATTGAATCTTTGGTTCCAAAATCGAGGAAGATTAGGCAGTTGACATGCAAGTGTGGGAGACCCACTGGTGCAAGACTACCGTCCGTCTCACCCTCAATCAATTAGGGGCCACCCACCCACCGAAATTCTCGATAGGGAGAGGGAGATTGGGCAAATGCTGCTCTTCCCATCGGCTCCTGTGGGAGAAAAAGGCAAAAACATACAACAGAAGGGATTCGCTGGTGGTCACCCACCCAACTACTAACCTCCTGGCGTGTGGCTTAAGTACGGCTGAGCGGACGGGAAGCCCTGTTTTCCACACCCTGTGGTCGTATGTGCTTATTTTCATTCAAGATGTAACTATATAGCAATGCACACTTAATAGCCTGAGTAGTAGTATTTGTTGACTGAGGCAGTGAGTTGGGATCTTGATAGGCGGTATTCATCGCTACTTTGATGAAGAAAGCGCCTTTCGACTGTTAGACGCTTCCCTTCACTGACCCTCGCTATCAAACAACACTACTGCGTGCCCGTCTCTTGATAGCATGATTCACAGAATAGTGGACTTTTAGACCTTATTCAATGTTTCTCAGACCCAAAATCTTCTATATTTTCATCTCATCCCCCCTTTCTCCCTTGCCGTCATTCCTTTTCGTCGCTTCTCGTGCCATCCTCTATCCACTCTATTGCCTCCCTTCCTCCCTTTCTTTCTGAACCAAGATAAAGCATCTTTGCGTCCCAGCAGATTTGATCTATTTCAGTATGGTGAGCACAATCTCCAACAATGCTAGAGACCTAGTAGTACGGCCCTTTCCAACTCTATTGCTGGGCTAAAATATGACGAGAAGCTCGGGAACAAAATCTATCATCTTCGACGATGACCTTTGCATGTAAGAACGATCTGAAAACTCATCATTGGCAGAAGGCTGTTGCTTCATGAATTCTCTGTTGCAATGACGTTTACACCAGTACATAGGCCAAGTAATGGGAGTGGTTTTCAAACCGCAGTAACGGACTCGGGTTTCGGGCATATCAAAACTGTTTTGAGCAAATACCGCAAATACCCGACTCTGTGATACGCAACGCTAGGGGAGATAGGATTGCTGTCAGGAAATGCAAAGTCCTTCGCGTGAGACCCAGCACTTCTCAGCTATTGAACAGGCGGAGTCGATACGGATACAGGCGACTGTACTGTTTGATAGAGTAAGTCTCCTGGCCACGGCATACCGAAAAAGCTAATGTCTTCTTGCAGGCCGGACAGCGCAGTATATGCAACCCCCGGAGCTTAAGCATGCATACCTGTCAAATTATCAAGAGACCATCTCCTTCGGCATGGAGGGGCTCGCTGGTCAACGGTATACTGTGCTATATTATGCGCCAGTAAACCTGAATCAAGCTTGCTACGGTGATAGAAAAACCACAGTGTGTGGATGGCTTGTTTTACTTCGCGAAAGTAGGCGACGAAAGACTGCCAGCACGAAATCAGATATCGAGGAATGCAGTGTGAACAGAACATATCACTCAATATATGGGGCTATAGTCATGCTATATAATATGATTAACTGTAGTTATGATATCATCCGTAGGTAGATTCCGGAGGAACTGTGGTGAAGTGCCGGAGGTGAGTTCCGGTCCCAGCCAGCATCCACCCGGTTACCATTCCATTCTCTAACCTCTCAAATTCCCGTATTTCTTCTTCGTTCAACCTCAGCTATTACATTAAGTCTTCCTCTTAGCCTCTGACTTGATATTACCTTCGCTTAAATCCGCGCCATCTCAACCTTCCTCCGGATGGCGGAAATATCTTGTTCTGGCTATCAGCCTGGAGCGATAGTTCGCATTGAGAGGTCAGAATGGACTGTTATACAGCACCGTGCGGAGCAGGCTATTGGAGATTTTCATACCGAGATTGCCGCATACGAGACGTTTGCCACTAAGCATTTGACCCTGTATCCCGGTCCTTTTGGTCAAAAAGCATGAACCCCAGGGTCAAAATGGAGCTGTACCTGGAGGATTCCACACGACCATTGTTTGGAATATTCTTCACGGGATATGGCTGGGGAACGAGCTCAATGATCACGTCTTCTGGAGTCTGGGACGCGAGATGAGGGATTTGATACGCAGCGCATGTAAACTGGAAATCAGGTAAGCCAAGACGTCTCAGCTCCGTGTTTCTTTTGACGGCTAACCAACAGTACAGAACTCTGCTTCGTTCCGGATTTGAGCTTCACGGCGGCGGGGGCAAATGTCTTCTCTGGGACCCGCCGACTGCCAAATTGTTCGTTCCTCTACAACCTGACGTCTGAGAACACAACTGAACCCCGATAGGTACTTCATCGACTTCTATAATTCTGTGTGTCTCTCTGGGGAGAAATTGCCCCTGGAGTCCTCACCTTTGGGCTCACTATGGACTCGCCAAGGCGCCGAAGGAGGATTTCCCCGACCTCAACTATGATGGTCCTAGAGCTATGACCCTAACAAGAAAATACCAACTTGGGCTGTACCAGAAACATCATTTGTAGCAAATTGATAATCACATCTCAGCTATGTCAATACCAGCAATAAGCAATGAACAACCTTAAACATACTCAGACAATGTTCTCCGACACGATTCCGTAGCACCTTCCTCATATCCTCTCCTTAGAATGACACCTGCAAATACCTCCAGCACATAAGTATCGCCAGGACATACTCTATTACACTCCCTTCCACTCAATAAAACGCTCCTTTCCGGTAGTCCATTGCCTCATACCGAGATCGAACTCTTCTTGGGCGCCTTCGTCGCCGGGGCGCAGTTTCAATTGAAAGGGCCACTTCTCAATGATTGTATGGCGATCTTTCATAGTCACGCTGAACGCAGTTTCCGCGCCCTCCGGAAGCCATTTTTCTTTTAAGAATCTACGTCACCAATATCAGAAGGAGCCTCTTTCCAACACCACTACTCGAGGTAGAACCCTAGTATAGGATGACCACTTACCTTTCGAAGACATAGTCATACGAGGCCATAAAACCCCGGGCAGCGGCAAGCTTCATAGACGATAGGTCAAAAGAGATAATGGCGGAACTTTGCTCAAATGTAGGTACTTCTGTAAACGTTCTTCGATCTGGGTGTCTGAAAATAGCTGGAGATGATCTTGCAGAGTTGCGGTCTTCCTGATGACGTTTGATAAGAGGGTTATACGGGCCGCATGCGGGTTGTGCGTGGGAGATCGAAGCAAGAGTTCCTCTGAAGAAGGACATGCCAAATACCCAGCTTCCCTATGTCCGAAAGGTGCGAGACCTAAAAGAGAGCCTTCAGTATACGAATCCGATCATAGCGTTTTTGTGTCAGAGTCCCTCGTTTGGACGTAATATTGAATTCTTCTTCAGCTTGATGGGCGGCAAGACGCATACACCCCTAAGAATCTGAAACAAGTTTGTACTCACCTCGATTCGGTCGAAAGAATTCCTGTCGAGGTGATCAACAAGTAAAGAGGTATCCTTATGGTGAAATTCGAAGGTGAGCTTCGCATCAGACATCCGGTTCAGGAAAGCATCAAGCAATCTTCGGAGGTGAAAATACAGTTTGCCGTAAATATCGGCCGTGGCAGCTCCACTCGAAGTACTTAAGACCTCTTTTAGAGACCATCCATGCAAAGGATCAGGGCGGTCTGTCATCGGCCAGTAGCCTACGGTCTGGAACAATGTTCTAGTCTTATATCAGCAATAGCTCTCCACATCACATCTTCTTGCGCTAACGCACGGGTTTGGCTTCACAAATTCATGTCGTGGATATCCAAATGGAAGCAATAGGCCATCCTGTCGAAACTTATAGGATGCAACCCTCTGACTTGGCGGAATCAAGATCATGTGAGAGTTAATGTTATCCCTCTTTGCATAGGCGAGGGTGCAACGACTACTCAGTCGTCCACAAAAGTGCTGGGCCATTCCCGAGTGTAAAGGCCATTGTAATCAGGCAGATTGGAGGCTCCGCAGATCCACCAGGGTGCAAGGCTCCAGACATCCAACCCGGTGACCCAGCCGGCAAGAAGAGTGTTGTTGTATTTTTGCGCCGCGGTTATGTTTGCTGCAACGACAACCAATGGTCTTTTAGCTGTGAGACCGTCGATGTACGCATCGATGCAGTCTCGCTTGTCCAGGTGCCTGAAATTGGCCATCTGTGCGTACAGGTCATGCACCGCAGACCAATCTCTGCCGGAGAGGGTTGCGGAATGGGGTCCAAGGCCCAATCACGGTCCACTTCCCGGAAATCGCTAGTGACTGTCGCTGTCGCATAGCTCGCGACGGGTGTTGAGGTGAAAGTGAGCGAGTTCCTGCTGGAGATAGAAAGACTAGAATCAGCACCATGCTCGTCCCGATATCCGCTTGCAAGACGATTCACAACAAATGCAAACAGAGAGACATAATCCCAAGCCCCATCCACTGGGGTAATCTGCGCGATTAGATCCACTTAAGGTTTCGAAGACTTTGCACAACAATGTCGAGCGAAACACCACGAGCATGTGCCGCATCCATTTCTTGTCGAGACGGACTTACTAGGACCTGTATGCAGTAGCTTCCGGCTCCGAGGAAGAGAGATGACAGAAAGTTCAGGGTTACATGCGCAATACTATTAATGCTCGTCATCTCTGAGTAATCGCCCATGTGGAGCGTCCCAATGCCTCGCTCGTTCGGGGGGGGAAGAACACCCAAAAACAGACCAGGGTCACGACATTTCCCAAACAGATGATAGCCGCCGTGATGAACTGGTTTCGAAGCATGATGAATTCCTTGGATGCCACGCTCTTGCGCGTCATCGACCGCACATGTTGTTCGTCAATCCCGGGGATGTATTGCCCGAGAATTTTCTTGCTGGCTTATCTGGCAAAGGAACCACCCAAAGGCTGGCCAGCCTGCGCATCGCTGTAGAATCTCTTTCTGTTGCCCTGAAGTGCCTCATCCTCGTTCAAAATGGACGCTCTTGGTGCCAAGTTAGTGGGGTCTCTCACGTCGGCGGTGGGTAGCAGGAGGAAATTGTTCTCATCTGCTGAGCCCGAGTCGGGCAGACAGCTCATCTCAATACTGCGCCTGGAATCCATCGGAAGCAATCACAACATCAGTCGATCAACGAAGATGAACACCATGGCGCTTGTTTAAACCTGACATCCCCAGCCACCGTCAAGGCGAAACACATCACTGCTGTATGCCAAGACCCCGATTTGATAGAACCCGGCACTATAGGTTGTCCCTCCCCCCGTCGCCTTATCATATCTATCATTCGTTAAGAAGCTAGCCTGATTTGCGGCGTGACGCGCTGAGCTTTCTCTGTTTTTGTCTGTCATGAATTGTGCACCCAAAATCCGTCCAGATACGGTGCTTAGCTCGGACTCGAGCCTCGCGGTGCTAAGAAGCCCAACGCCTCAGCGGGAAAGACTGTTGGATGGATAACAAGTCGGATGAGCTGAGTCCCTCTAGTTCATGGAGCGTATTTCAGAATCAAAAGTCACAAGCTCGATGTCATAAGATGTAGGCGACAATCGCGTTTACCCTCAAATTTGAATGTTCATTGAGTCGTCGCTCCGTCAAGAATGAACAGGTTAGAAAACAGGTGACTTATCGAAGACGGCGTAAAGAACGATGCAGAATGTTCATCTTAGGCCGCACAGCATTGCACTGTCAGACTCTAATCTATTGTTCACAGTGTTGTGTTTGCCTGTCAAAAGGAACAGAGCATATAGCTAGGGCGAGGTCCTCTTATGTGAAGCTCTATTAGGTGCATAGCAGAAGAAAGCACGGCTGCTATATTAGATGGTGTTGGAGCACCGACAACCGAGCGGATGGCTTGAGCACGAGCAGACTATGAGTTATACTACGGAGTGATAGTCTTTTAAATCAATGAGATACAAGTTATCTCAATCTCAGACAGGAAGGAACCATCACTGCCTGATCCTGTACAAGGCTGGCCGTTCTTCCAGCCTGAGGCATAAAGATAGCTGCCTCAGGTCTCTAGATCACTAATCTAATCTGGCGGGTGTGGATAATACACACTAAGCCATTCAAGGCTAGCGGCGGCCGACAAGGCAGCGGAACCCGCCGATCCCATGACTGACTGAAAGACGGGAAGTACTTCTTTGTCCTCCTTCAATCTTGCAACAACAACAACAACATCAACAACGACGACAGCAACAACAATGGTGACCTACACCTCCAAAGCGGCCAGCGTATGCCTCACCTGCAAAGCCCGAAAGAAAGGGTGTGACAAGTCGCTGCCACGCTGCCGCTCCTGCGTCGAGTACGATTCGCTTCCTGCTAACTCCACCTACTGCCACTGACCACTGATCTACTCTTTAGTCGCAACCTGGTCTGTCGGTATCGGAGCGCGACCTTGAGTCCCACACATCGATCGGTCCCCAATAGCCATGCTGACCAGAGCCACCGAAGAAGCGCTATCGAGCTCCCAGCCAGAGATCGCACGAGCGCTCCGACACACAACCTGGCGTCCAGTCCACCACATCCACACCTCCTGAAGGCTGTGCCGGCGCGAGCCATCGACCCTACCCTTTGTGGTCAGGCTCAGGAGATTCTCCAAGCAACCGGGCTGTACCTTGACGAAATCAGCGTCCGGTACTTCCAGGGGATTCACACCTTCGTCCCCATCGTCTCCCGACGGCGGTTCCACGCCCGACTCCTCTCCTTCGGGGCCGACCCTCAGCCCGACTTCGCGCTCCTCTTACTATGCATGGGTCTCCTCACACACTGGGTAGACTCGCCCGATCATTCTAACCCACAGAGGAATCTCCGCGCTGAGGATAAAGCGCACTACGTAGCCACCAAGTCCCTCCTGGCCCAGGCACAGGCCCTCTGTGCGCCCACCACGCATCTCATCCAGGCCGGCGTGCTGCTGGCGGTCTACGAGTATGCCCACGGCCACCCAGAGCAGGCCTTCGTCACGATCGGAAGCTGTGCCCGCATGGCGTATGCGGCCCAACTACGCTCTCAACCCTCGCCGACGAGCGCGGCTCACCCACAAACCGACCGGATCGCGGCGGAAGAGGAGATCAGCACCTGGTGGGGTATCCGGATATGTGAGCGGTATGAACCCCACCTCCACCCCTGAGCCCGACAAGGAACATTCGAGTGACTATCTGCTAACGCCCGCATAGAACATTCCTTTGCGAACTAGCGATCTTAGAGCAGCCGCTGGGGTCCGTGATGCCCAGCTCGGAGGTAGTGCTCCCGCTCGAGCCCAGCGTTCTCGACCAGGGTGCCCCGGCCGCGGCGGCTGCATCCCGCCCCGCGATCCAAGCGCTGAGTGAGGCGCCGCAGGTCGGCGGCTTCGGGCGCGCCGCGCAAGCGGCCTGGCTGCTGGACAGGGTGCTACAAGGGCTATCCATCACGGACCCCGCCCGCAAGCGGGCGCACCTGGCCGACTGCGATCGCACCCTGCAGTCGTTCCTGGGCATCGTAATGCGGCAACACGGCGGCGATTGGAGGGTGTTCTGTGGTGCGATCGCGCTAACGATCCGGTGTGTTTCCCTCTTTATCGTTCATTTTGGGATACTCTCTAACACAGCTACCTAACTGTACGCAGTGCACTATTCCTCCTCCATAGGCATCTCCTGGACCAACGTGCCTCAGATTCTCCAGATGACTACACCCCAGCCGACGGGTCCCAGTCGACTCTGCACACGATAACGAAGATGGTCATCGACATCGCGGCCACGCACGAGTATCTCACGATCAGCCAAATTGACCACCTCCCGCCAAGCTGTGTGTATATCATGCGGGAGGCGTCGAGACACATCCACAACTCTGGGTCGGCGACGCCAGACCCGCAGCTGCATAGATCGCTGAAGCAATTCGAGGCTCGCTGGAGACCGTGGGCTCCGCCACTGGCTTGGTAAGATGACCCTTGTACTTTGGCATGAGATCACCCGATCACGATGCTGCGCATACGCAACATGGAAAACAATATCGCATTCCCTATTTCACTAATCCCTAACTAACTCCCACTTCTTCAGCGTCAACCCCACTTTCTCCCCCCAAAGCCCCGACGTACACCCAATCCCGCCAACCTAATAAGTAGCGGGAATAACCGATAGGCGACCCCCGTCAGTCACAAGAATTGATCCATTCGAGTAGCTGCCCGCCCGACTAGCCAGATACAAGATCGCGCCGGCCATTTCCTCGTCGCCGCCAAACCGGCGGGCGGGGATAAAGCGCGGGTCCTCGGGGGCCTCCTCCTCTGGCTTACGATTTTGGGTCAAAACCGAGGCCAACTCCGACGGGTAGACTGTTCTCACACGTCAGTTGCGAGTCACACAAAAAGAGACGCCGGAGAGGGAGTGAAGCTGGTTTGGAGGGGGTAGGGGATGTACGTACTGCCAGGGGCGATAGCATTCACGCGTATCCCAAAGCGGGCGAGCTGAGTGCTTGCATGCTTGGTGACGTGCATGATGGCAACCTTGCTAGTCGTGTAGGGAGGCGAGGAGGACCAGTGGCGACTGAAGGCGGAGACACTGGTGGTGAAGATGACCTGGCTCTGGATGGAGGGCACATCCGACCCCGGACGAGCGGGCTTGCCGAACCCGTCGCCGCGCAGGGCATGCTGCGCGCCGGCGGCCAGCAGCTCGAGGAAGGCGGTCATGGTGAAAAAGGCGGCGGTGATGTTCAGGTGCAGGGTGTCGGTCATGTCCTCCATGGCGAAGTCAGTGAACAGGGTCTGGCGCAGCTCCGACAGCGTTGCCGACGGGTTGAAGCGCACGGCCGGCCCGATGCTGCCGGAGTTGGCGACCACCAGGTTCACGTAGCCTACTTCTTTCGTGATGCGGTCGACGGCTGCTTGCAGGTCGGCCTTCGAGGTCACGTCCGCTTGGTGCGCGATCACCACGTCCGGAAATTCGGCCGCCGCTTGCTCGAGCACATCCTGCCGGCGGCCGAGGATGTAGACTTTGTGGGCGCCGTTGGCGGCTAGGGCACGCGTCATGATCAGGCCGATGCCTGTGTGGAATTAGTATGGCTGGTCAAGATATGAGGGTCGATAGACTCACCACTGCCGCCGCCGGTGATGACGGCTACGATGCCGTCGACGCGGAAGATGTTACTGGAGTCTATTGCTGCAGTCATTTTGCGTAGCAAGGATTTGATGTTGAAAAGTAGACAAAGTAATGTCACGGAGATCGTGGATGCTGTGTATATGTGAAAAGTGAATTGATTCGATACAGCCGGATGAGAGCCCTTTATATATGTCGTGTACGGTCGCGAGCAAGTAGGTCATGCTTGAAAGGCAGAACAGAGATTGGTAAGCATAAGTGATGAAAGCAAGCTTAACATGATGCAAGTAATACCAGCGCAGGCCTCATTTCTTGGTCTCGCCCTGCAATCGTCCGGGTTCTATCCCCCGGCACGGCGGCCGCGATATGCGTATTGTACCCGCCTCCCGCGTCGGCGGATTCGACTACACCTAGGGCGACGGACTTAAGAAAGCTAAGGCCGGTACTTGGATTTCTGCCAGATCCGCCTCATGGGATTGGCACGTAAACTCCGGCGGCGCATCTCCGAGTCCGCCAGAGTTTACATAGGGCAGGTTTAGGTTTATAGTTGAGCCTAATAAAGTCATGTGGTGTCTGCGTATCACCTCGCGGACTGACCATTGGTTCCGATAAAATAACGCGAATTCAAGTCCCACGAACTTCGGAAGTACTTCTGAGTCGTTCTAGGAGATTTTCCGACAAAGTCCGCCGGAGCTATACCAGCACTGTACTTCGTATGCACTGTACAGTACATTTGCAGTCCAACCTCCAGTAGCGCTCCAGTAGCGGCGGGCGGGCGGCCGCCGCTAAGATTTGAGGGGAAGAACTTCCGTCGGCCGATGGCGGAGCCGCCGCCCGACGCCACCGAGTTTTCTAGGCTGGTTTAGCGTGTGCGGTGCATTATTACTCTATCGGCGATTCAGGAGAGCTATAGAGGTTGCTGCCTGAGGCTTAAAAATTTACTAACTCTGTCGCGACGGTGAGACCGACCATCAACAGAGTGGAGAATTATTCATTTGTATGTCTTTCTTCTGCTATATCATAGTGATCTGCGGTGCAATCTCATTGTACATAGGCATTCAATCATTATCTGCCTGGGTAATACTGAAAGTCGCGTTTCTCACATATGGTCCCGGTCAAATAGTTCTCTACGGTATACTTGCTACGGGTGACGATAAACCCAAGGACATGGGCTAGGGCTTGATTTCACAGCTTGCAAGAGTTCATCCAAAAGAGCTCCGTGGCAGGTAAAATCCGAGGGCTCTCCTTGGTGGTGCGGAGTCTGCAAAATGATACTGTTCTCCGGAAGCAGACCAGTACTCAACTTGACAACCTCGTGAGTTCATTATTATGGAGACTACCTATGCTAACTCTGAAGACTAAAGTCGCTCCACAACAACGGGAACCAGCCCGTCAATGAAGGATCTTCCCGCTCAACTCCTGCTCGGCAAGGGTACCGCGACGAAGGAGATCATGGATTGCTGAACCTATCAGCTGGATACACCCTCACTCTTTTGGAGCGACATACCTTCAGGCGGCGCCCCAACAGGCTCACACGGCGTGACCTTTCGATACTGGATCGGCGTCGCGGGGATCTGCACCTAGACGCCCATAGCATCAGCGCAGTCGACACACCATCACAAGCACAATTAATCACATTATGCTCCGCGAAATCCGCATACAGCAACTCCGCCTTCGCGCGGATACTATCCAACTGCGTCCGCAAGTCCCTGGTCTGTGGCGTGATGAACACAAGCGACAGGCGATACCGCTTGCGCAGCGAGCGGAGGCTATACCACTTGACGGCGGAGGCGGGGATGGTCAGGTTGAAGCGCAGCAGGGTGTCGATGAAGCCCATGTGCACGTAGGCCAGCAGCAGGCCGTGCTCGACGCAGCGGTGCGACTGCCGCGAGGCGTTGATCAGCTGGCCGTCGGACTCGGCGCGCGCCGCGTACTCCTTCAGGATCGCTTGGATGCCCGTCCGGTCGAGGCGGTTGCGCTGCAGGTTCGTTGCGACGGTGTTGGCGATCGTGCCTAGGCTGGAGAGCAGCTCCACGGCAGTTCGACTGCGCGGGGATTCCGTCATGCTTCGCTGGTGTTATGGCTTACTGGGTAGGTGGGTTTTGCTACTGGTGGGGTTGGTGGCTGATGTACTGTACTGTGTATGCTCGCGGTGGGCGCGCGGCGTACAGTTATCATTGCGCTGAAGCTGACGGTCCACCTGATGAGATGACGACACGAGGCTCGGGGAACCAAGGGTGCAACGTGAGATCCCATTGAATCCATCCTTGTACGCGGTCATGTGATCGCGATACGATATGCGTTTCATTGTACTCGAAGGTTAACCTTATTCGCGTGGCCAATCATACGCCCATCGCTATAGCTCTGAAGCAGCGATCCGACTGCTGGAGACGTGGTTTGTTCCATGGTTCGATGGATGTCCATCCGTACGGCCCATGGTTCGTGGTCGCAGCTCCTTGAGGATTGGAGAATGCTCTCTCTTATACTAGTTGTAAACCCCAGAGCACATTGTCACTGGCAGTGTAACAGAGGGCGGAATTGGCACCAGTCAAAAAGCAAAAAGTGAGTGCATCATCCGTGAATCGAACACGGGCCTCATCGATGGCAACGATGAATTCTACCACTAGACCAATGATGCTAGACGAATCGACCAGTCGGTTACCCGATCGGATTGTTGGAAAACTGGTGCCAGAAAACTCATATAACCCTATGTTGCACACAAACAGTATCGGCACCAATAATAACCAGCAGATATAGAGTCGCGATGCTCTACTCGGTCAAGATCTTCAGTATTGATGTGCATGTAGCAGATCTCACAAGCGCGCTTCTCCACAATGATCCGAGTCAAAATTTACTCAGTAGAAAAGTCATTAATTTATTTTGCGTACATCCCACCCAGTTCATCGGTTACCATACCCCAAAATATATATATCTACGGCGGAACATTATTCTAGAACTGTGACCAACGGCATACCTCCCCACCTCCATCTACCCATCTACAATCCGAGGTCGAGTTCCATACGGTTCTTCTCCATCGCGTTCGCCGATCCGCATACTACCGGGGCGCGCCGACCGTAGGAGTTTGGATTGCGCGTTGCTGACCAGAGCGACATACTCCAAGTCGGGCTGGCCGGGCGGTTGCAGAAACGCGATTCGTAGAGGTATATCTGGCTGCGATGGTAACAGATGGTGACTGGAATAACGCCGGTCTAATCAGGTAGTTCAATGGTGGTTGTCGATAGCTATGTCTCTCGGCGTGCAGCGAAACGAAGGCCAATGCAGGGCTGGGTCTGAACCAAAGAAATCTATTGCGGCTTATGCAAGTCATGACGGAAGAAGTATTATACACAGGATAATAGGAAAGTATGCGAAAGAGAGAAGATGCGGGGGGTCACGCCCGTCTGCAGTGTCAACGCGACGGGGGACAAGAAAGACATTAAGTATGGGTAGGCAGTCGGTATGCGTCGGATGCGGTGGCTGATAAGGAAGGGATGGAGAGATCAAAGTCGCTACAATCGTTGGCCGGGACCGTCGTCAGGGGCGCAGCACGAATCGAGACAGCCGCAGCAGCGACAGCAGAAACAGCATCTAGACGATTAAGGGGGAGGTGTCAATTATCCATGGTATATACGTCGGTTGATGTCTTGAACTTAGGGCTGGTTGGCACTCACCCGTCCTCACTGCTGTCACCACCGCGCAGTCGCAAGTCCATCCCTTCGCCGAGAATCTGCAATTTCCCTACAGTCAGTGTACTGCACACACCATTCCCACCAATCGCATCACCTGGCTCGAACATACCGGCTGGTCGGTGATAATCTCGTCTGTGGTGGGAGCGACCGGGCTTCTGGGTTGGATCATGGTCAAAGTGACGGGATCCCAGCTGGTCTCCTGCACAACCTCGGCATCCGAAGCGCGGAACCAGCTCAGAACTCCGTCGAACATCATGGTGTCAGTGCGTCGGATCACGAAGAAAAAAAAAAAAATCAAAACTCAATCAAGGCGTCACAAGAACCGTCAATGCCAGCAAAACGAAAGACCGGGGTGGGAAAAGCGAGTGGAATGGAGATACGAGGGAGAGAATGGAGAGCGAAGTGCGTGAGAGGGAGAGAAAATGGAGGAAGGGGTGGGAGCAGTAAATAGCTGGATCGACGCCATTCAAACACTAGGACTAATTCTTCGACCTCCCCCTCGTGGACTGGAGTCAGCATTTAGTGGTATAATTAGTAGCTGTTCTCTTTTCGTCCTTCCCATCCTAATTCCTGAATAGAAGCTCAAATGTTCCTGTTGTATTGAGTTAGTCTTCCGGGCTAAATCCGCACCCCGCCGACGGGTGCATTTCTCCGCCGCGACATCGCGCCCTGGTATACGTAACGGGCGGAGTCTTCGTCGTGGCTCGTCTCTATCTTCCTCCGCTGTTACTGCCGGGGTTACGTGGACAGCATAAGTGTTCACCACACTGTTCGTCGAGGAGCTGCTGTTGGTGACATGACCGGAAGTGCCTCGGTGATTGATGGTGGGTGTACAGCAGCAGTCTTGGACTCCTGGTGCTGAACTGACTGAGCCTGGGGAAAGACCGGACGCTAATAGTCAGGACACTAAACCCTCTTATTTTAATTGGACCGGTGGATTCCGAGGAAAGGAGAAGATTGTGGTAATTTCCAGAGAAGTACACCCGATCATCTGGATCTACTGCACGGAAGCTTGCAGCCGTGATCTCCGTCAGGAACCGGATTGGCGAACCGAGTCAACCGACAGATGTCAGACAGGGAGAAGGCTGATGGCAGGAAACCAAAGAGAAAAAAGGAAAAAAAAAAAAAAAAACCATGAATTGCCCCTGAAAGCCACCCGAAACCGATGGTCGAGAAATGATAGATCCAACCGGCAAAAGCTCTGTGATCTCCACTTAGTGTCCACTGGGCGCTTTAATCCACCATCCCACCATCCAATTCCTTCTTTAGGCCGCGTTGCCCCAATCCACTTCCATTTGAGATGATTGCTCGTGGCCAGACACTTCTTAGTCGTTGCGACAATCCGCATTAAGCTGTCAGTGGCGCACCGCAAGGATGACAATGAATCGGAGTCCAGAATCATTGCGCCGGAGGAGACAAGAGTCTCGGTCGGGTAATGCTTTAGCCCACCCAGATGACGAATACAAGGTGATAAAATAGCCCATGTATCCTTGTGGTTGATGGATAGCTGGAATCAGGAAGCTCTCTAGAATCAATCTCGCATCCGCCAGCTTGCCCATACTTGCTTCCTCTGGGAATGCAGGCTGGCATGGCCATACAGGGGGTTGTTTCCTCGTTCGTGTAAACCAAGGCAGCGAGTCTGAACATCCGTGCTTTCTTGACCTGGCATATCAATTAGCTCCAAATGACATCCAGCCATGGGTTGACCAAGCCAGGCTTCAGTCGTGAACCCGCGGGGTACAAAACCCAGGGATCGACTGGCACCACAGTTCAGCCATTGACAACGATGCAACTTGCGTCGAGACCGAGCCAGACATCCGGTTTCAGCCGATATAGGTATGAAATGCTAATTTCATTCATGGTCTTTAAATATTGGGAACTATCGCATCACGATGTGCAGGATGACCAGGCTTAGTACCTATTAAATCAGCTCAAGCTTTTGGGGCTCCTGTTGGATATTAATTGGTGCCAGGATGAATCCACTGTCGGACACTACCACGGCAGATAGCCGGAATTGGCGCTATCAATCGACGCTCGTGGCCACTATAAGATCAGACTCGCAGCTTGCACCACAGATGCATATGAAGATGTATGATCTGGATGCGTGGTTGGGTGGGCTGGATATATGTTTGGATGGAGATGAGCATTTTGAGGGCAATGCAAGCTTCCTAAATGTTCGCAATGAGAAGTCAACGCCCAGGCGCTTGTTGTTGGATTCTATCAGAGATGGCATATCCCATCATTCATCTGCCACTGCAAGTCTGTTTCAACTTACACGGCCTCCATGATCCGCCCATTGGAGCAGTTCTTTCTCTTCGGGAATAGCATCAAGTCACGTGATGTAGCTTTTTTCAAACCTGACCAATCACAAGCGGGAAGAGTCGAGCCGACTTTCAGGAGAATTTCCCAGCTCGGCAAGACGGTTCCCATCTTTGTGCACATCACGCCAATCAACTGCCTCTTCCGGCTCCAATTCCTCACCACTAAGCCCAGAGAGGCAAAGGAGGTTTCAAAGTGCTTCACAATGACTTCAAACTGGACCCGAACTGGAGCTTTTCCCATGGAACGGGCATGTTGCGCCGCCACAGCGGGTTTTGTGCGCCAAGAGGCACGAGCACCAGCAGTCAAATGAAGAACTCCATCTCCCCCTCGTCCCCCATCGCCCTGTCTGGGTCACCTCGAACGTGGTGTCAAACACTCATTTCCCCAGCTCGCAGGCAATAGCCAGGATGAGACATCTTAAAGAAGAATTCGAGCTGGGGTACCAGAAAGTGGACGAACTGGGGGGAGAAGACCCCACCCGGAAACGACCCTTGTCGACCATGCTGCTGCAGCCCCGAGCTGTCGGGCCCTGGGGTGCGGGCTGGCTGTTCGAGATCGTGAGCTGCGTGATTGCGGTGGGAGCCCTGGTGGCTATCGTGGTTGTCCTGCAGACTTACGACGGCAAGCCGATGCCCAACTGGCCCTACGGCATCACCCTCAACGCGCTGATCTCGTTGTTGGTGACCGTCATGAAAGCCGCCATGGTCTACCCCATCACCGAGGGCCTGTCGCAGCTAAAATGGTCGTGGTTCAATCGCCAAAACAAGCTCAATGACTTGGCCGTGCTGGACGCTGCTAGTCGCGGCGCCGTCAATGCCGTCTTCGTCTTGTTCCGCTTCCTCCCACGGTCTGTCTTCTTCTTCACACGCGCAAGGATCCGAGCTAACTACTCGATAGTCACTTGGTGACGGTCGGATGCTTCATCCTGGTCGTGGCGGCCGCCATTGCGCCCTTCGTGCAGCAGGTCATCAGCATCACCTCGCAGCCCATCCACTCGCCGACCGAGTCCTCCATTCGAGTCTGCAACACGAGCTCGTACGTCGACTACGGCGAAGGGGCTGGGCCCGGCATGAACAAAGTGCCTCTTTCAACGGCGGGCGCGATCTACACGGGGCTGTTCCAGAGCGCAGGCCCCAACAGCAACGCGCAGAGCGTCACCTGTTCGACGGGCAACTGCACCTTCGCGTCGTACCAGTCGTTGGGGCTCTGCCAGCGGTGCGCCAACATCACCGACGACCTGACGTTGGCGACGACCGACCCGGCCAGCACGATGAACATCTACAACTACAATCTGTCGAACGGGTTCAGCTTCCAAACCTCGTGGAGCGGCATGTACCTGATGAACGCGACGACCGGGCTGGACCTGGTGCGGGTCGACACATCCGACCTGCCGCCGCTGATCCTCAACTTCACCGCCATCAGCGCCGCAGGCTACGGCGTACCCCCGACCATCAGCGCGACCGAATGCACGCTGTACTTCTGCGTGAAGACGTACTCGGCGTCCGTGCAGGAGGGCCGGTTCAATGAGACGCTGCTGTCAACTGCCACGACGTCCAACACCTCAACGGCGCCGACAGCCATCACGACGGACCTGACGCTCTTCCCGGAGCGGTGCACCTCGAACCGCACGGCCGACTGCACGTACCGCGTCAGCTGGCTCAGTCGGCTGGCACTGGCCAACTCGCTCATGCCGCTGCTGACAGGGCAGGGCTCGCTGTTCGTGAGCAACCGGCCGAGCTGGTCGTCCGACACGGTGCAGGCGCTGTACGGCGTGCAGGGCAACTACACGGACGTGCATGGCGTGTTCGCGTCGCTGGCCGCGACGCTGACCACGCACGCCCGCACGGCCGTCTGCGCCGCCGCCGTCAACGGCACCACCTGGACCGTCGACTCGTTCGTCCACGTCCAGTGGCCGTGGCTGGCTCTGCCTATCGTCCTCGTCGTGCTGACCTTGGCCTTCCTCATCGCTACCATCGTCCGCACCCGCAACCAGTACATCTGGAAGTCGTCGCCGCTGGCGCTGCTGTTCTCCGATGTCAGTCTCGAGGCGCCGCATCAGATGCGCCGCAGTCCGGATCTGAATCATATGGTGGCGACGTCGCGCAATTTGGAGGTCTTGTTGGAGACGACGGACGGCGGGTCGCGGTTGAGGGCGGTGGCGCGGTGAGGAGCCCACGGTGGGTGCATGGATAGTGATGCATGGAGATAATGATAATGTTTAATGACTTGGTTAGAGTGAGGGCGCGATGGCAGCTGCATGGTAGTGTTAGTGTTGACAGTCGCGAGCGATGACCTGCATGAGCCAATCCATCAATACCCCGCAACGGACGCTGCAGTGAAACGCTCCTTACTCATCGCCCTGACGCAGCCTGCAGCAATTAGCAGGGGTCGAGACTACAAATAACCCGGCTAGACTCTGAATAAACTGGCTAGACTCTCCTCAGCATCCTTGCATAGCGCCGAAGCAGCATGGCTGGCTCTTTCCATCAGGCGATCCTACACTACGATAAGCCCGACCCCGCAGGATAGATTAACTACCCTTGTACCGAACCCCTTCGTCCAGCCAGGGGACGTTGATCTCGGCTCTTCCTGCCGACATGATAAGCAAACGGTGATAGCTTTCACTAGCTGCAGCTGGCATGGTACGGTGGCATCGCAACGCTGCAGGCTGCAGGTGGACGCAGCGTGCGGGGAACGCGCTGTGATAAGAGTAATATAATCCGGCTGCCGTCCCTCCACTGCCCTCACGGACTCACACATACACAAACCACCTACCTTCAAATTACCCTCACGCACAATGCGGCCTCTACTCCCGCACTTCGCGGCGACCCTGGCCCTCCTGGCCACAGTGCCCAGTACCACCGCGTCCATCGAGCGCAGCAACCTCCTCCCGACGCCCCCCATGGGCTTCAACAACTGGTCGCGCTTCATGTGCGACCTGAACGAAACGCTCTTCACAAGCACCGCCGACGCAATGCTCAAGACCGGCCTCCAAGCCGCAGGGTACACGCGCCTGAACCTCGACGACTGCTGGATGGCGACGCAGCGCCTGCCAAACGGTAGTCTAACCTGGAACGCGACGAAGTTCCCACACGGACTCCCCTGGCTGTCCTCCCACCTACGCTCCCTGAACTTCACACTGGGAATCTACCAAGACGCCGGCAACATGACCTGCGGCGGATACCCGGGGTCGTACGGCCACGAAGCCATCGACGCGGCAACATTCACCTCCTGGGGCATCGACTATCTCAAGCTGGACGGATGCAACGTGTTCCCCTCGGCGCCGCACCGCACCCTCGAGCAGGAATACCGCGCACGCTACGCGCTATGGCACCAGATACTGTCGTCGCAGTCCCACCCGCTCATCTTCTCCGAGTCCGCGCCCGCGTACTTCGCCGCCACGGGTAATAACACTGCGTGGTATGAAGTGATGGACTGGGTGCCGCGGTACGGGGAGCTGGCGCGGCATTCGACTGATATCCTTGTCTATGTTGGCGAGGGTAGTGCCTGGGACAGTATCATGGTGAACTACGGGTTCAACGTGCTCTTGGCGCGGTACCAGCGTCCCGGGTATTTCAATGATCCGGACTTTCTGATCCCGGATCACCCCGGTTTGACGCTCCTTGAGAAGAAGTCGCAGTTCGCCCTGTGGGCGGCTATGGGTGCTCCGCTGATTATCAGTGCGTATATCCCCGCTCTCCCGGCCGAGGTGCTCGATGCATTGAGGAACCCACGCTTGATTGCTGTTGATCAGGATCCCTTGGGCTTGCAGGCTACCCTGGCCAGTCGGAGTGCCGGGGTGGATGTGCTGACGCGCAGTCTGGCGAATGGGGATCGGTTGGTTGCGGTGCTGAATAAGAGGAATCAGACGGTCAGCACGGAGGTAAGCGTGGACAGGCTGGGGTTGGATGCGCGGTGTGCGTATCGCGCCCAAGATCTGTGGGATGGCGACGTGCGCACGGTGCAGGCGGCAGTGGCGCTGGAGCTGGAGTCGCATGCCACTGCTGTGTTTAGGGTTGCTATCCCCCCCGGGTGCGGGGAGGTCGTGCCCACCGGCATCGTGTTCAATACCGCGTCCGGGCGGTGCTTGACGGCCGGCGGCGCGGAGGTCGGGTTCGCGACGTGCGATGCCAGCGACGGGCAGATCTGGCGGGTCACGGCCGCGGGGACGCTGCAACCGCTGTCGAGTCCGGGGCTGTGCTTGACGGCTGAGGCCGGGAGGGTCAGTCTGCTGGCTTGTCGTGGTGGTGATGCGCAGGCCTGGTCGTATGCCGTCACTGGGAATCTGAAGAACAGGCGGACGGGCGAGTGCTTGACGGAGGGTTCTGGCCTGCTGAGTGCTTGTTTATTCGAGACGAATAGCCAGGTCTTTGGACTGCCTAGTGGAGTGGCGCTTGTTTAGAAAGGTCGAGGGTCGGGCTTGGATCGTCCGGAGGCAGCGGGACGGAAACGCTTGAGAATAGGGGTTTATGGGGTTCGGGGATGCCTATGGGGAATACCGTTGTTGAGGAGTGGTGAGAAATAGAACTAAGGCATTCCAGCGTGTTTCTCTGCATGATCCAAGCAAGTAAGTAAGTAAGTTACAGCATAGATTAAATTATTCCTTGCTAGCCAGGGGATCGTAGTCAGTCCTGCGTAGCAAGACTACCTGCAGTCTGCACCCACCACAAGTTGGTGGTATGACTGATCGACCGTCCAGACTGCCAGCTGAGACTGGTCTATGCTCCAACAGGATTCAAAGGCGGCTTGGTGATCAGCTCTCGTATAGATAATATGACAAGTCTGTTATGGGGGGCCTAACCAGACCCATTACTACGGCTGGGCCCAACCCCGAATTGCCGGTGGAGCAGACGCGGTTGGGTTGACCACTGAGCTCTACCATAAATTAATTCAAACTTTGAACTCGGTTGAAAACAAGGGTTCAGTGAGAGATGGACATGCAGGAAGTTTTATCCGTAAAATGAGAGGTAAGTGCTGGCTGAAAGGTTAAATGCATCATGGCTGGATATTCCGCTCAGATGAAGAAAGGACGGAATAAATGAATGCATGTTAGACCGCATGACTGCCAAAACATTAAGTGGAAACCGGCTCGGACTAATGCTTTCCCTAGCCGTTTCGACCCTTTTTTTTCTTATGTTTATTCCCCACCGCCCGTCTCTTTCACCGCAATAAGAATCGGGAGGTTATTTCGGACAAGGCGAGAATGGCCGTTGAGGCTAACCCTACCTTCCTTCTATCTGGTGGTAAGTGTTGATGATATGGTAGCTGAGAAGACAGCAAGCAGCCAATTCACAGACTTCTTGATGATCAATGTCCCTTTCCCACCACTCCTTCAGGGTCTCTATCCACTTTTTATCCAGGTTAATGCCTTTTTAACTAACTCCCAGGCGCGGGAACGAAGGAAGAAGCTATCCTGGGACTTAACCCCGCTTGGGCAAGAGTAAGCATCCTTTGGTTCTCACTAACAGACAGTCCGCCATATTGTGTCCACCAGCCTTCGTATTCTGAGGCAGTTGTCGGGCACTGCAAATCCACGACCCTCCACCTCGAAATCGTGAACTGACTCAAGTCACTCAACTGAGGACCACCATTGCGGTCCTGAGACTGATCCTCAGCTAAGCTCGAATTGTGAAACGGATTGAGCCTCACGCCCGACACGAGAGGGCTCTAGCCTAGCCGCATGAGCCACCAACTTGGCACGTCCCACCGTATCTACTTTAGCTCAACCCTTAGTCAGTTTAGAACTTTACTTAGACAAAAAAGCAGGCGGAGCGGCCCCGGGCTAAAATAGTGGCTGATGCCCATTTCCATTTCCAATCCCATCCGTTCTGCCTTCGAGGCTGACAGCCATTAGTCTGGGCGCAGATTTCCAACCACCACCCTGCCAATCATCGCCGGGCACGAAGGCTATTCTCTGCGGGCCACGCTTTTTAGGGGTCGCAGGCTCGTGATCATGTCCGAGAAATAAAATCCCCCAGCAGCGATGCTGACGGTGGGGCGAGCCAGCTGCTCATCTTCTTCTGGAAAACCCACGCCCACGCCCACGCCCCCCCGTCGCAAGTCGCAACCGTTCTGCAGCACATCAAACAAACCACACCCTAACCCTCCCATTTTTTGAGAACGGTCCTGCATCGCTCGCTTCTTCCCATCATGACGACCTGCAAAAGCGGTTCCTCCAAGGACTGCAACTTCACATGTCCCAACGGAGGCTCGTGGTTCGTCTGCGACACGGCGCCCTACTTCGTGGGCTGCTGTGCGTCCGATCCGTGCAACAACACCACCTCACCCGCCTGTCCCAGCCTGTACGCCGCCTCCTTCAACTCGAAACTGTACGACGAGATCCTGCCGAACCGGTGTCTCGACGGCCCCAGCTCGAACTGGTACACCTGCAACGGCACCTCGCCGACCTTCCTGGGCTGCTGCTCGAGCAACCCATGCGGGACCGGATGTCCCGATGACGACCTCCTGGCCGCCGCCTGGAGCTCGTCGGCCAACGGCCAGCTCGAACTCTTCCAAGACAACGCCAGCAGCACATCGTCCGCCACCCCGACAGCCACGAACACCGACGCCGCGGGCGGCGCCACCAGCCACTCGAGCCTGTCGGGCGGCGCCATCGCCGGCATCGTCGTGGGCGGCGTCGCCCTCGTCGCCATCATCCTGATCGCCTTCTTCTTCCTGCGCCGCCGGCGGCGCCGCGAAGCCCGCGCCGGCGAGGGCGAGCAGCAGCACATGTTCCCCGGCGAGTACGGGGGGTACGCCAGCCCTAACGCCTCGCCGTATCAAGGTTCGTTCCTCCGTCAAGTCCCTGCAGTTGCACCATACTAACCAGAGCATGGCGTGCATTAGATTCACACCTCAGTAGCCCCGACCCGACCGGCAAATACCCGAACGGCTCGCCAGCATTCATGTCCTCGCCCCCGTCACAACTGGGCTCCGACCGCCCCATCTCCGAGATCTATACCCACGGCGAGGGGAATATGCGTCCGCAGCAGGGGCTGAATATCTCAGGGTTGCAGGCCCCGCCCAAGGTGCAGGTTATCTCCGAGCTGGACAGCACGCGCGCGCCCGAGGTGCATGAGCTGGACACTCGTTAGCTGGGTTGAACTATCATGACTCTCCTGCATGCTTGCTGCGGCCGTTGCGTCTAGTGCATCGCGGTTTGGGCATAAGCGGAGACTTGGATTCTTTTATTCTTTTGTTTTCTTTACGATCGGCAATGCTCTCAGTGGGGTATTTTGTCTCCAAGAATGTAATATCAGCGACTACTAGTGTATATAATGTGGGGAAAAGTATAGAGCAAGCAAATTGCATGCATAGATCTGATCGTGGTTCGGAGGTTCTCTAGTCAGGGTTGCCGTCCGTTAGGTAAGGGGCCGCTGGAATGCTCCCGCCCTCGTTGTTGTGCAGATTCGGATTTACTCGTTCGTTCGAGACGTCTTCCGGTTGGTTGGAGCTTGGGGGTGATAATCGGGGGGAAATATCTGGTGTTTGAGCTGTGTTGAGTGGTTTGTTGCTGTATAGCCGATCAAGCTTGAACTGTCTTAAGGTGGATTAGTAAACTTCTGGTATACTCAATGCGAGTCTAGTATCTGTTAGCGTTGAGCAAGAGCAGTAGTACTCTGTCACTATGCTTATTTTGGTGAAAATAGAGAGCCTACAGAGTATAGAATAGATCTTTACAACGGTAGCTCACTACATCAATATCATGATGCAATAAACCATTCAGTTGGAAAGGTCAATTGAAAAACACCGGTCTTGATTGCGCTTTCTATCCCATCGAGCCCTAGTGACTGTCTACATGCTTGCCCGTAACCAACACCGTAGAATCCTTAGAAAGGGAGGTGCAGCCACCGTGACAGGTGCTTCCTACTGACAACTGCTCTCGACACTCGCTGTGACCATTCCAAACCAGCCAGAAACCGCTTATGTGAAGATATCGTGACTTTCTCCCACAACATCGGATTCCTATCGTCAATCTTCCCGACGGACATGCAATCTCCTTCGCGATCACGACATGCTCCATGCAGCTCTTATCCTCTCGCGGAATAAGAAGGTATCTTCCTCTTTCTTCGATGGCATTCATTGTAAACCTCGACTATAAAACCGGCATGTCTTCGAATGTATCTTGCATTATCACCAACAACACGACAGTAGTTAGTTTCAGTTTTGAAGATATTCCCCGTGTCTGATCGACACGGATTTACGATTTGCTAACCACGATAACCATGACTTGCCACAGAGATCTGGCGCGGTACGGGCAGTGGTTGCCCACTGCACGCATGAAGCAGGAAGTGCTGGTCGAGCCCCTGGTCCCGGAAGCCACCCGCGAGGGCACGGCAACCTGTCGCATGTGCGACAAGCTAGGCGGTAAAAGGCCGATGACCAAATGCTCGCAGTGCGATCATATCCACCACGAGAGCTGCGTGAAGAGACTCATCCGCATCGCTGCCCGCCACGGCCACCGGCTGGCATACGGGTGCCCCGGCTGCGGAAAGCCGTGGGTGACCCCTAGCCAGCTGGCGCAGCGCGAGAGGAAGGCGGCGGAGGAAAAAAGGTGCGCAGACTTGCTCGAGCGTATGCTCCCTGCTGCGGACCGAGAGGCCTCCAGGGAGTCCCTCGACCTCGAGCCTTACCGCGGCCCGGACGCCCGCTACCCCCATGTCCGCGAGGGAGACCGCTATATCTGCGCGTTTAAACTGACGCGCAGTAGAGACTGCTCCAAAAGCTACAGCCGCCTGACCAAACTCAAGGCGCACCAGCGCATGATCCACTACAGTGGTATCTCCCAGTGCCAGGAATGTGGGGGTGACTTCAGCAACCCCTCTAACCTCCGTAACCACTGCCGCCGCTGCCACCCTCCTCCCCCTCCGTTCTCTCCTCGCTGCGCCGAGCCCCAGTGCGGCGTGGAGTGTGCGGATCGGAAAGCCCTTGTCCAACACCTCAATCTTCGCCATGACCTCCGGGTCGATGGCAGGGCCTGCACCTGGTGTGGCCTCCGGTGTTGGTCATGGGTGGAGGCCATAGATCACTGTGGCAATGATCATTGGTATCGTCTTGAAGATGGGTTCCTCTACCGATGAGTACAGGTGCCGATACCATTAGTGATGATGTTCATGCATGATGATCGTCATGACTATAGCTAGTTACTCGTAGTAAACAACAACTGCATTTTTTACGAACCCAATCCTATTTAGTAAGAAGTAAATACAAGCAAGGGGCGATTCGACTCCACGTGGCGTGGAAGATCAATTTAACCCTGCATAACATTCTTCAACACCCAATATCAAGTGAATAGAGTGCTTATTGGCGGCCTTCCTCTTCTGCAGTCTTTGATCCACTCAATGGGCATTCTTTGAGGTTGGAAGTAACCGAAGCATTGACGAACAATGCGATTGTATAACAAGGAGCCAATTCCCCATTCCATGTGTGCAGAACTTTCTTTGTCTCTGCAGTCGTGCCGGAGAGTGTCGACAACCGTGCTTTGGGTCTTCAGGAAGTATACTTCCGTGATGAGACGACAAAGCGCAATGTACTGGCTTTCACTCCTGCTGGCGGCTTCGACAGCCCTGGCCAAGACTTCCACCACGACTTCATTTGAAATCTGTAATACGGTCTATGGCTCGACTTCTACCTTTGTCCGGACGGTCAACAGCCTTTCTACTGCCACGAGGTAGGTATCAATGAAAACTGGCTTGCGACGGAGATGTGTTGAAAATATGAGCTAATGGCTTCCTTTCAGCATCGCTATACTAACAACCACTTCCACCCCCACTGTAATATCAACTGCAGCTGCGAAGACCATCACCTCAGTGGTAACAGACACAGTTCTCGCGACCAGAATCCTCGATCAGAGCACCAGTACCTTTTCCACCACCGTTACATCGTCAATCATCGTGACCGTCTATGACACCGTTACGGATATCGAGACAGTGACCAGCGATACCACAGTGAATATCTAACCCCGTGGAAGCCATCCGACAACCCCATCTAACAAGTAACAGGTCACTACAACCCCGACCACAACTATCCCTCCCCCCGCCGACTTCACAGCTGCCTCTGCACTGAGCCAGCCTCCCCCAATCCTCCAAGGCGTGAAACGGACGCCTTTCGCCAAAGCTGCAGCCGCAGCCCCAGCTCCCCAGACGGTTACGATCCACGCAGCCCCAGCTCCCCAGACGGTTACGATCCACGCAGCCCAAGCCAGCGCCGCTGCTGAAGATGGTTTATACCCTAGCATCGTGACCTGTGCCGGCCTCGTTGAGGTCTACAGCACGAGCACCATCGTCAGAGACGCCACCAAGACCTCCACTGTCGTCGTCACCCCCTCTGCAAAGACAACCACGTCCACAACCCACCCCACCTCCAGTAAGCCAGGCATTCCACCCCCGGCAACCACTCCTCAAAGAGGGCGATACTGATAATAATACAGCTATAACCCTCGTCCCCGTTCCCGCCTCGACGACAGTAACCATCACTACCAACATCATCAAATCTACCGCAGTGTTGACCACCACCAAGTCCACTGAGGTATACCACCCCCCCAAGCCATACCCAAACCCACAAGAATTCAAGAGTCGTTCATGGGGGGAGAACCCCCCAAACCCCCCCTTTCTTTCAGCTTCCTGGAAGACCGCTCCCCCTCTCCACCTGCCAAGCAACATGACCCCCTTAAATAATCCAGAAACATTACCACACCGAACTAACAAGAGAATAGACCAAAACAAACACAGCGACGATCCAAGCCCCCACGCAAACAGAGTACGCCGCCTGCGGGCCAGACAACCAAATCCGCACCATCAACGGCCGCAACATCACCGAGGTAGTCGTCACCGGCACGTACGAGACGATCTCCTCCTCCACGCCGTACGACTGCTGCGTCGCGTGTCTCAACCACGACGCTCCTTGCGCCGGGTATCTCGCTGCTGCGGGCGCCGGGTGCTATCTCATTCTTCCGGGGAATGGGAATTGTACTCCGGGGTCGGAGTTGGTGAATCTTGGGGATGGGGTTGATGGGTTTACGGTTGGGAATTCGGGGTGTGGGGCTTTTGGGGTTGGCACTTTTGCTTGATAATCTGGTTGCGACTATGGGTTTGGGGTGGGATGTGGGGTTATCTTGTTGTTTAGGCTGTTGGCTGTGCTCTGAAGGAAAAGTCGTTGATTGTCAGGGTCCATGGTATCGGACTATGGAAGTATGAAATGTGGAAGGGCATAGGTTATAGAACTAGATATAGACAAGATTTAAATAGAGAGACATGTCTGACTTCTCAGAAGCAGTCACCATCCTCTGATAAGGATTACGGTTCCTGCATAGGCGGACGGTGCGGTGCGACTGCAGATGGAATTCCCTGGAAGGGAGAAAGAAAATGATCCGATCTCACTTGGCTGGAGAAATAGCCGAAATAGTGGGCTTGCTGCGGAAAAGCTTGTGATGAGCGACAATAGAAGGAGGGGACGGCGTTTCGAATATTCCCTGGCTGGATGTAAACGACTGTGGAAGAAGTGAGTAGTACGTTAGTACTAACCAAATTCTTGTAAACCGCTCACAACTTATGCTATTAACGTAGGAATAGTGCAGTGGCAGTAGGCTACCATAATCATAACTGGTCTCCTCTAAGGGAGCTCTGTCAACTCTAAAAAGGGAGTGAGCGGCACGCCTGGCTTTTAATACAGAGGTAGCTATCTCATATGACAGTATACACACAAAGAAATTCATACTTACTCTCCAACAATTTACCTAAAAAATGTCGCCCACCAAGATTTCTGTGGCTCCGGCAATGCTCGCATACACCAGGCCGATAGTCCTCCCTCAAAGGCAAAGTCCGCGGCACCCCACTTCTCCGACAGCTTATCCTTCCATTCTTCAATCCGTATCGTCTGCTTCTTGCCATCAGAACTTTCAAGTACCATCATCCCCTCCGGCACACGTTCGGAGGCCCGAAGCGGAGGGCCGGTATAATGAAACTCGTGCTGAGGATTGCAGATGCCTCTAGGATGGGATGTTGTCGACCGGATATCGCAGTAGCACTGTCGACAAAGGGCCGTCAAAGGGCAAGAACGACAGAAGTACCAGTGGCATATCGAGTTCATCTCACGCTTGCAGTTTGAACACTCGGCGAGTTGGTCGATTGAGAATGGAAAATCTTCATCGTCTGGTCCTTCAATTTCGTCATCGGGAAGATGCCGCTTCGCCTGCCGCAGACAGTCCCTATGCCAGACCTTGAGCAAATACAAGGCCCCGTTCAGATCTTCGTCGCTGTCCGCAGCTACCAGAAATGTCCTAAAGAGGCTCATGAACGCCTCATAATCATTGGAAGGACCATCAGCCGACAACAGGTCGATACTTCCTCTTACACGACCGCGGAGAGCTTCTCTGGCGTTCGTGATATCACCATGATCCCGCAGCCAACTCGAGATGACCAAGCAGATATCACTACATTCAGTCTTTTCGTCGAATCTCAAAGGGGGCTTTGTGCAGCATGGAACCTCTGGACGGTAAAGACACACGACTGCTAAGCGACTCATTGACCATGTCTGAGCCGCCTCGATATTCCAGCCACCCGGGTTGTCGAGGGAGATAACCTCGTACCAAGCTTGGATCCCTGCGCTGATCAGGCCGTGCTCAAACATCACTAACGCGAGCAGGTATTTCGCCGCCGCCAGGTTATCGGTTTGAGTCTCCCTTGAGGCCGCGACTCTGCCCGGAATCAAGGCAACAAGATCATTATACTTCCCATCGTCCCGCATCAGCGCATAGTGAAGGACCCTATACATTAGCCGGGGCGCCCAAGTAATTGCTGAAGTGAAGAATTCGACCAAATCATTGTTTTCGGTCCATCTAAGAGAAACGGCAAAATCGAACACATCTTGAACACGATGTGTCTGGTGCAGCTGCAGCAAGACCCAAAAGAACGAATGCAACGTATCCCTGTCTCGGTAATCATCCTTTTGTTCCACGAATGCTTTCCAGGCCTCATTTGCGGTGGCAACAGCCTTGTTCGTCATTTTCTCAAGTTGCTCCATCTTCGCAGTGTTCAGCAGTTTGCCGATAGGATCCTGCCATTCACGGTCCCGGGAGCCGTCGTACAGCGACTTGGCCAGATCAGAGTGTTCTAATGCCTCCTTGTACCTTCCGACCTTAGTACATGCACGAGCCATGTCTCTGTGAATCACAGAGAGCGCTTGTTTGCTTAAGAAATGCTTCCTGTGATGTTCGTCTAGCGCGATCTGGAATCTTTCGAGGGCTGCCGCATAGCTATGATGCAGGAGCATCGCCTGAGCGAGTCGGGCATGCCATATGGGCGTCTTCTCGAGATGCTGCATCTCGGCGATGCGCAGCATCTTGCGAGACTCGAGACCGGGGACTAACCCCTTAAGGTTTCCATCTGAGGTTGGCCCAGTGACTGCCATTTGAGCGTACACAAATAGCATGCCGGAGAGAACCCCGGGTAATCCATCCTCGTCTTCGATATCTTTCGGAACCAGCCAAAGTCGGGAGAAATACTCTGTCAAACGAGAAAAAAGAACCGTGAAAGGACAGGCATCGCTTGCCACCGTCGAAGACCGAGCACAATCCTGCAAGAGCTGTTTCGCCTCCGGGGAGAGCCAATTCAGTACCAACGCTGCCCTTTCGTTCGCCGTTTCACGATCACGAGTATTCCACCAGTAACGGGCAATCTCTGTTGGGTGGGACGACGGGTAAAAGATGTATTCAGAAAGGCGAGTCACGCGGGAATTTTCGATGAGCCAGTGCTGAGGGTCGAATACCGGCTCCTCGGTAAAGAGAGCGGCAAGGAGAGTTTCTATTTCTTCTCTCCGATTTGCTGCTTGCTCTGGATTTGCACGCGACAGATGCAGCGGTAGGAATTCCTGAGCATATCCATTCACCGGTCCTAGCCACCTTTTTGATACAGGGGCGAAGTTTCTTTGGAGGGCGTAGAGTAAGACGAATACAAAGGACGACTCGGCTCGGTCTGGGTCGACCTGGATGGTTCCAGCCTCCACAGGTTTGCTGAAGAATTCATAAAAAGAAGTATGACGCAGAGTTACAATGACCGCGTCGTCTTTATATTCTTCTTCATCCCCAGCGAACCGGAGCGAAAACAGGGATGAGTATACCGTGCGAAGATCGTCCTCAAGCTTCAGGATCTCCTCTTCAAGGATGACCTCCAAGATAATGTCGAGCTGCTCTACCGTCAGCGGCTTTTGAGCCTTCGTCACAATTGAAAGTAAGATGTTGAGCTGTTGAATCTGCGTCGCCGTTGCTGCCTCGGTTGATCCTTCCTCATCAGACAGCTCGTCGGGCAACTCATTAGACATCGCATCCGAGGCGGACAACTCTTTAGCCAGGCGCTCCAGCTCTGCATGCAGCATTGCACTGATTCCTCGGGGCATCCTCCGGACCACCTTCCGAATCTGTTCCTTGGTCCGACAGCACAAAACAGATTTGACCACAAGGTTGGCCCATTCCCAGAGGCCTTCTGCTTGCCGACATATATCTCGGACGACCTCGGCTTGAAAGTCTGGAGAACCACGAAACAACTTGGTCTTCTGCAGTTTCTGAAAAACGTATCCGGAAAGGTCGTCCTTGTTCTGGTTATTGGTGATTTCGATCTCGGGAATCCACCCAAGGGAGTGTTCTTCGAGACTTCCGCGTACCGAATCCCTACCCAAAATTACGACTCGAATTGATGGAATGCCCGTCTGGTCCGCTGTCGCGTATGTGCTCTCCAGTAGACTGTAAAGGATCTCTTGTTCCTCTGGATCGGCCTCATCGATACCGTCAATGATAAAGCACGTTCTGGTGTCCGGTGGAGACGCGACGAAGTAGTTGAGCAAGAGTTTTCTCCAGACAACGTAACTGTTGGCTGGGTCTTCTTTCAGACAGAATTCCTCCGCATGCGCCGCGAAGGTCGATCGCTGAACAACCGCTTGCCATGCCAGAGTCCGCAGCGCTTTGTTAAAAGAGCGCAGATCCACATCGTTGCTCTTGAAGAAGAAAGAGGCAACGATGGGTGCAGATGGGGCGGACGGTTCTGCTGCCGCGAGATCGTTTATGATTTTCGATGCCAGGTAGGACTTGCCCATCCCAGGACCACCGTGAATCCAGAGGAGAGGCTCGGGACCCTGCCACCAGGACCGGATCCTATCTTCAATCCAGCTGCCCGATCCAGGTATCCGGTTCTCGTTGATCGCGGAAAAGACACGACCGGATGCAGAGACGGGATCTAATGCCTTCTTCACTCTGTCTAGTCTCTCACGGTCATTTCTGTTGTCATCTCGCGCGAGTAATTCCGCGGTGTTTCTGAGCGCCTGGTGAGTGAGATCGAGCCCATGAGCGGAGACTATCTTGTGTTCCTGGCTCGTCAATTCCTCCAGCTCGCCCAGGAGCGAACTAATAGACGGATCCTCAACCAGGATGTTCTTTGTCCATTTCGTAAGTCTTGCTCTGAGCGACCCCCGACTTAGCAATTTCTGCGACACTGCGCAGGCACGAAGGAAATTGACCAAAACTTTGACAATGATGGTCTTCATCCCTTCACTGAGAGGGACATCCTTGTACGAGTCCAGGCGCAGAGCAAAATGACCGAGTTTGAGAAATAAGTCCGTGAGCATGTCGAACGATTCGCTAACTCTGCGAGCACCTCGAATCAGAAGCATCATAGCGCCCATGATGGAAGACGCTGGAGGAAAAACTGCTGAGGCTGCACCCGCAAGTAGATCGCCCCAGTTCTCAAAGGGCGCCAGAATCATCTGCATAGCATGCAAGAGCGGTCGTCTTTTCATTCGAAAGTCCTCAAAATGCTCTTTCTCTGCGTCGAGCTGACGGGTCAGATCCTCAGGACCGTGGATCTTGGGGAAGGCGCCATCGGTAAGTGCGACCCCGGTTTCTTTAGTATAGTCATCACAGGCAGAATGCCAGAGCGTGGACAGTCTGTCATCCAAAGGGTTACTTACAGTTCGAGGCATTGTGGTTAGGCGCGCAGACAGAAGGGATATTGAGGCTGTACACTCGTGTCCTGACAGGAACATGATACCCCTCATTTTATGCGGTAAGCTTCCATTTTAGGACTAGCTCGTGTCCAAGTGCTCTCGCAGCTCATAATAGCTTCAATATTGCCATTTCCGGTCATATTATTCTTTCCTGGCTTGATAGTAAAGCACATTGCCATCTCTATATACTACACGGTAGCATTGAACTATAATGATTGACCCGCTTCAAGCTTCACTTCCTCCAGGTAGAAGCTCAAATGCAGCGACCCCATGTACAGTACAAAACTGCCTTGCGCCTGCTGCACGAACGCCTTCCCATCCTCCCCCGGGGCAAATCCTACATCAAACGCCGTTGCCAATTTCACAGTGTAGTGCACAGATTCAACAATGCCACTGGCCGCCCGATGCAGTTATACGGACCTATAGCTGTCAGCACAGAATCACAGGCGGATCTGTACCCAGGGTAACCGGCGCGAAGCCCACGCGATCCTTAATCAGATCCGGGTACTTGTACCGTTGTCCAGGGATAAACTCGTCCGGCCACGCATAACATTAGATCAGCTGCGCGATACAATTAACAGTTCCTGACTTGTCCCACAACGGCCAAGTAAGGGTAGTAATACCTTTTTCAACACTTGCTTTGCAGTTAATGCTCAACTACCATTGCTTGTCCTCATACTCTCCGCAAGAAGGTCATACTATCCTTCTACTAGAGTTTCTGCAGCGCGATATGGCGGAAGGAAGCGGTCCATCCACTGCACCCAACCAGCCAGACGATATAAGCAGAGAGTTTCAATATTATAAACACTTCCTGGAACAGTCGATGCATTTTATACGCCATGCTGATCGGGCGAATGTTTCTCAACTTATATCCATGATACATCCCGATGCTCCCAACTAGCGAATTCTTAGCGCTATGTCCGAGGCCACGATCGAACATCCAGATCAAGACAGTTGTGACTCTCTCATGATAAAGAAGACGACAAACAAAGAGTCGTTGGGAAACAAAAAGAGCTGGAAAAGAAAGTCGGTTAATAGACTCAGACTAAAACTGAGACTCACGGCCCTGAGACGAGGCATGTACGAGAACTTAGAACTTAGTAGATGTAGAAGATTTCATAAAAATATTAAGTAAACAAGTTAAAAACTACTCCATATAACGATGAAACAGTTAACCAGCGGCCAAAAACGGCTATACTTAACGCCACTTTCCGAGTCCAACTAATGCTTCGGTGTTCTTAGCAGTACGTGCCATATCTACACACCACCAAGCTTACCACTACAGCCCAACACTGTTTGATTTTCCCCTGTTACTTGTGCTCATGGTTCCTGATATTCAACCATCATACCACCGTCCTCTGAGGCCTGGTTCATCGCTCAACTGTATCTCATTTTCCTGCCGGCAAGGGGGAGGAGCCATTTTCGGCTCCCCTGGCGACTATCTTGTTTGCTCTGATTCTATAAAGGCCTTAATGCTCATGGCCCTCTCACACCTCTCTCTTTTCACTTTCGAGTGACATATATATACCATCTATAGATCCATCTCTTACTGTTTATTTCAAAACAGCTGGAGAAGCTAGACTTATATTATTCTTAATAATTTCTAAATTCAAGTATCTTCTTTCTGTATGTTTTTTTTATCTAGTATATAGTATTTACCTCAGCTGATTAGATCTGATAATAACAGTAGTACAAATAGTAATATTCCGGATATCTTCTTAGACAGCACTACTGATAATTTCTTTTAATGTATATCTGCACTAGCCAGCAGCAGTAATAGTTTTAATAATTCTGATAATAATTGAATTCTAGATAATAAGAAGAAAGAACAGGAGCTTACTGTATTATACTCCTTCAAAAAGACTAAGTCTCTTATAGAGTGGCTAACGGCCAGGTCAGGTCAGGTTAATCAAAATTTTTATACCTGACTGCAGGTTAATGGTCAGGTATAAGAAATACATATTCCTGCCCAGGTTAAAGTTAAGGTATAACGTCAGGTTAAGCCACTCTAGTCTTGAAGCTGTTTAACAGATTAGGCTATTAACTGGATTATTTTAATATATTAACACAGGATGTAAATCTGATGGTCTTATATTTGTTATACAGGATAGAGAAAGTCTACTAGAGTAATATATTAGTTATAATTCATATTCCGCAAGATAATCATATATTGTATAGTATTCTTAATCGTATTAACTTCAGCTAGAGCCTTAGGGATTATTAAATACTTTAATTGAAAAGCTTATATTCAGGTGTATTAGCCCAGGCTTCCTGCAGCACTTACTGCGGTGACTAGTTACTCAAAGTATATAAATAAGTACTAATACTCCCTGGGTAGACTAATCTGCAGAGTATTCTCTGATATTAAAGTATTAGTCTATAAATATATTCTTAAATTTTCGTCTGGCTTGCCCCAACCTACCTAAAATAGTTAATTAGCGGAATACTAAAATTATAGTTTATAGCAGTACTGAAGTACTACCTAAAGTATACTTTATATTAGCAGTCTTCCTCCGACTCTTGTATCTATTACTACTTTTATTGAGGTTAACTACTGTAAATAATCTAAGATTAACCCGATTAGATAAAGTTATTACCCGAGCCAGCTTTATTCGGACCTGGCTCCCGATCCTGATACTAAATCTTATATCTTTGACTTGGAAGGGCAGGTAAATATCTTAAATAGAAAAAGAGAGACTTTCCTGCAGACTATAAATAAACTAGAGAATAAGAACTAGAAGTTAGTTAAGATTACTACTAAATTAGCTTCGGTATTCAACCAATAAGAGGAGACCGAGGTCTTTACCCGGGGGTATCTTCGTCCAGGCACAACCATCATCGTGGTAGAGCCTTTCATCAATGGCATGTGGAATGGAACAATCGGACTCCGAGTTGATCATCCTTCTGATCTGAGGATTCTCCCGGATCATGATATCCTTGTTCCTATGCCGTGGCGACAACAGGTTTCGAGTCCGGAGATGGGTGCCATGCACTGGGAAACCAAGGGTAATGACGCTATCAACGAAGGTGACTATCGATGCGCAATTGATTGGTCTCCCACCGCCGATGAGGCCGTGACGATCAAGCTCAACCGCGCGCTCGCCTCCCTGAGATTCCATCAGTTTGACTCAGCACTTCGTGACCTGGAGATAACAACCCCAAAAACCAAGCCTTCCGAGAAGGCGCTCCTCCGCAAAGCCCAGGCTCTCTACCATCTTGATCGGTTTCAAGAGTCCTGTGGGGTCCACAAAGTGCTCCGGAAAGAATATCCCGAAAACACCACCGCGCAGAGAGAATTCGCGCGCGCCATTGCACGGCTGGAGGAACAACGAAAGGGCATCTTTCCGGTTAAGAAGATGCAGCTCGAGGCCACGAAGCGTCGCACACCAATTTTGGACCACGCAACCTACATTGGGTCGGTTTCTGTTCGTTCAACCAGATATGCCGGACAAGGCTTGTTCACTACCCAAGCGGTCAAAGCGGGAGACCTCCTCCTCTGCGAGAAGGCTTTCGCGTACGCCCATCTAAACGTGGAGGATTACACTAAAAGTATAGTTTGCCGAATTGATCCAGTACGCGAGAGATTCTCCGCGGGTTCCGTTGTCGAGCTTCTAAGGCTCATGACTCAGAAGCTCTACAAGAACCCGTCTCATATGCCATTTGTAACCAAACTTTATCACGGCGAACACGAGAGTGACTCTGATGTCCGGGAAGTAGACCATTTGCCGGTGATAGACACGTAAGCCAATCGAGGGTATTGCTCTCAACCCAACTGATTCGCTTTAGCTTCCTCCTCGACAGAATTCGACCATCTAACGCCTTTTGATGCTGCCCTAGCCTTCGGCAGGTTCAGCTAAGCACCTGGGGATCCGAAGCGTTCAAGGGTCAGCCCGAGCAAGAAGATTCCTCTGTCGGCGTGTGGCCCTGGGCCTCCCGTATCAGCCATTCCTGCTACAACAACGCTGAAACATCATTCATCGGCGATATGCTGATCGTCCGCGCCGCGCAAGATCTTCCTCCGGGCACGGAGATCACCTCCCTCTATCGCCCGCGGTACCGAGAGGGAGACTGTCCCAGCGCTGTGGCGCTGAACCTGCGCAACTGGGACTTCGATTACACGCGCAACATATGCCAGGACCACGAAGAGACCACGGCCAAAGCCCTAGCTACAGGCCGAGCTATGGACTGCGTTCCAGACGCACGAGCGCGGAATGTCGAATTCAATCAAAATCGAATCCCTCCTCGCGAAGATTACGCGAGCCTATCGCCGGCCGGCCGCTGAGGTTCCGCGTATCGGCCTGGCAAGGGGGTATCCGTTGCTTGCCATATTCTGGGCCTCCCTCAACAATCCACTGAAAGCGATCGAGTTTGCATCGAAGGCCTTCGAGTCTCTCGGCTACGTGATCGAGGGCATCAATTCCCCGTACTCTTCTGGTGAGTGAATACTGGTTAAGAAATGGGGTCTCGTTACAGAAGGGTCCGTGCCGTGCTGGATGACGCTCGCGCACTCCTATCGCAAGGTGGCGCCTGGTCTTGCGCCGCAGGCGGAGGAGTATGCCAAGACCACGTATGGGATTGTCGTGGGCGAGGACGAGACCTTCGCGGAGACGTTCGGCTGGCCCGCCAAGCTGCCTGATGGTCTATTGTCTACGGCGCGATGAAGTACGCTTAGTGGTTTGTAACTCGGTAGGTGGGTTTACGCACGCATGTACAGTACTTCGAAACTCAAGCTCAGTTTAAACCCAATATATCATTCTGCTATGCGCTGGCCCCGTTAGACACATACTACTGTAGGCAACACCACCACTACTATCCATCTATCCCATTCCCCTTGCCCCTCCCCTCTCCTCTCCTTTTGACTCATATCCATGCGCATAACCAGCAGAATGCGATCGCTAAGCACTCATAGTAGGCAGCTAAAATTCCAACGTCAGCATCCCTCCTGTCCACAATGAAGCCCAGCAAAACCAACAGCATACTCAGTCCGTGACTGCTCCATACCCTGCTCCTGATCTTCCTCCTCCTGCTCCTCCTGATCCATGTCCTGATCCTCAGGCTGCTCCCCCTGCCCAACACAAACATCATCCCGATCAACCCCGTTATCCTGGCACGCGCCGCGACGGCAGGTATTCCGCCAGATCAAGAAGTCCTCGTCAGCGGTGCACAGGTAGAGCGAGTCCAGCATGTTGTGGGACGAGGAGACTCGGCCCTCGCGCTGGAGCGCGTTCTGCATGTCTTTGGTGTAGTTTCCTTTTCTCTCGCGTTAGCGTTAGCTTGAGTTTTAGTTTGGGGGGTCGGTGGTATGCTTGTTAAGCTTGAAGCTGGGTAGGTTTGAAGCAGGGGAACCGGGTAGGTACAGTACCTTTCTTGACCAGCGAGGTGCCGCAGTAGGTTAGGCCTTGGGTGCAGCGGATTGCCACGGCGCAGGAGGCGGCGCCTAGGATTGCGAGGATGGTGGAGGTTCTCATTTTTTGGTTGGAGTTTTGGTGGGTGGTGGGGTAGGTGGTTGGGTGGGGAGGTGATTTTTGGGGATTTAGGGTGATATTTATGTTCAATTTCGTGTGCTTATTTGGTGTTGGATGGCGTGGTTCTGGGGCAGGCGTTAGTGAGCTATTGTTAGCTTTTATCGCCTCGTTATCGAGGCTGACTGTTTCTATAGGTGACCATGGCACAGGTGGTGGTGCAACTTCTTCACGATATTGCTATAATGAATGGTTTGGTGTAATATGGATGGAGATACATACAAGCAATATTAGTCAAGAGGTATGACTGAGGCGGATATAACGATAAATTATGCCATCAATCTGGAGAACCGGGTTGCAGTAGGGCTTCATACTTCTCCATATGGCTTACAGCTGACGGGGCTTACCTCCATGGTTACTCCAGACGTCTCCTAAAGACCAATTCTGCGCACCATGCATGTCATGCGTATCTGCACCCTAGTCCTATAATAAAGCTAAGCCTAGAGCGCAGGACTCCCTAATCGGCAATCGATGTTCCACGCCAGATGCTTGGCAGTAATATTGGCTGCAGAAGGTGACACAACAACCCAACAACCATTACCAGACCTCTCACCCACTCCCCTCTCAAGCCAACACCAGGCCCTAATCCGCAGCCTGAACGACCTGCGCCCAATCCCCGAAGCCATACGCCCCCGGCACAACCGGGCCATCAAACAAACTCGCCAGCACAATGCGATCCGCCTGCTCGCCGCGCCACGGCTCACGCCCATGCTGCGCGACAAGATTATCAATAACGAGCACATCACATTCCACCCAGCGATGCAGCACACGTATCTCCCCCGTAATACTAGCCAAAGCCTCCAAATCCTCCTCCGGAATAGGCGACCCATCCCCAAAGAGCTGCCTCGTCCCCTTCCCTCGCGCATCTGCCACCTGCACGCGCTTCCAATACGCCGCTAGCCCCGTAAACAAGGCAGGGAGATTCCTACCGGGCTGCGTCCGTATAGCAGGCAGACGGTGCTCTAGCACCAACTTCATCCGCCCACTCCCATCCTGCAACCACTCCCAAGTCGTATGCTCCCCACGCCCATACCGACGGATCTGCGCCTCGACCTTCCTCCGCTTCGTTGCCTCATCGTCTCCAGCCACCCACTCCTTGCCAAACGCCTGCCGCAGCGTCGCGCCGCCGGGTTACTGGGGCTCAAGGGTATATGTCACGCGACTCAGGATACCCTTCTCGGCGATGTTATCAATGAACGACGGAATCTCGCGCTGCGCCCGCCGAAAGAGCTCCAGCGACGACGAGAGCGGCGTCTCGCCCCCGCTTCCCTCAGGGGGGGGGGGGGCGGTGCCCGTAGAAAAAGATGTATTCTGGTGCGTGAGGGACTTGTGGGGATTCGTTGTGGTTGTAGATTTGGACATCGTGTGGGGATTCGTTTGCTGGAGATACGTTTGGTGCGAGGACGGGCCGGTCGACTACGATTCCGATTATCTCGTGCGGGGCGAAGTTGAAGGCCTGCGCAAAGGCGCTGAAATCTTCTGCGTTGTGGATTGGGAGGTTGCGGAAGAGGAGCGCGCCGTGGCAGGAGAGGTGCTTTGTTAGGTGGTGTTCTTTTTGAAGGGTGTGGATGGTGGTGAGCACTGCTTCGAGGGTTGGTTTGGGGGTGCTGGGTGAAGGGCGGAGGGCGAGTGGGAGGACGGTGTTTGCTGGGTGCGGGGGACCCAGGAGTCGCTGGTTGCTGGCGGGGAGTTCAAAAGGTCTCGAAGGTGACGAGGTCTTGTGAGGATGGGTCGTTGAGGGCTAAGTTTTCGATTGGGAGTTCTTTTATGGTGATTGTCATTTTGTTATTTGGGAAGCTTTGTGGGGGTATCGGCGTAGTAGAGGGGAGGTCGTATGGTTGAGCATCAACATCCAAGCTTTCTTTCCGAGCGGGGTCGAGACGCTCTTATCAGTTCGGAGAATATCAGATGACGAGAACCCTGGTTTGATTCGTGTCAACGTACCCTGGACTGGGATCATTCGTGCCAAGTTGCCGAGGTTTGCTTGTGCCATCCCTGCATGAGGTTACGTGATCATGTTCTCGTTGCATTAACGCAACGCAGCGCATATATAGCCAGCGACATCTCTGGACTTAAATTGTCGGTAGCGCTGCATTGGATCTTATCGAGTCGAGTTTGATCGCTCATGTCACGACATTTGACCAACAGAAATGAAGACCACGGGAGCATGGACTTCGAAGCCCCGTATGCTGCACTTGGGACGCCAGACCCGGCCACTATGGCCAGCCGTCACTTATGTCGGGTAGAAAAGCAAGAACCCCAGACTCAAACCTTGAGGAATTGAGTATGTTGTATGCCGCCGATGTTGAATTGCAGTGGTTGTGCACTTTGGACGGCGGGTACTCGCCGACTGGAGCCTGTAATTCGAGCTACTATGACTGGTTTCCTAGCACAACTCTTAGAGACAACACGAGCAGGCTCTTCCCAGTGCAGACTTGCCTTATTTTCAAAGTCTGCACTGCCTTTCTTGAATGCTGTGGAACAGGATCGCAGCCTATAGGGATTGAATTGGCACAAATCAATCGTAAGGGGGCAAAACTTGGGAGTCGGTGGGAAGATCTCAATGCTTGAAAGGGAAGTAGGAAGTCTGGTGTAGAAAAGTGGACCATCGGCTCAAGGTGATTGAATTGAAGTGACTGAAAAGAGGAAAGTTGACGTTGGAAGGAAGTTGATGTCATCTGTTTTGTTTAGCTTGTTTGCTCGAGTTGTGTGGCTGTTGCATTGTTTGGTAAATATGCACAATCATCATCTTCACGACTACTTCTGCTTCTACCTTCATCTCCGGCCTTCAACCACGATTGATGCCTTCTGCCTCAAACTCACGTTTTCTTGTGTTACTGGTTCCTTTATCGAAGCAAGTTCATACCTCGTTTGAAAAAAGGACACATACTCACATGTCTATAGAATCTTCCTGGATGGGTTTTGCCTGCTTTAATGTCGGTGCCCATACTAGTACTCTGCAAAGACACTCCAGTTCCCACCCAGCGGTTTATATCTTGCGGCACTCGATTGACGATTCGTACAAATAGTATGGGAACACGCATCGAACCACCCTAATAGAACGGAATTAATTGAAAGAGAGAAAGTATCACCGCATCACTGCATCGAAACCGAAAACTTGAAATGCCATGCGTTGGTCGTGAGACCGCCCCAAAAAAGAAAAGCGAAGATAGAAAAAGGCCAGGTTGACAAAAGGCAGGAATGCAAAAAGATGGTCCCAGAGGGGCTCGAACCCTCGACTTTAACGTTATTAGCGTTACGCTCTAACCAACTGAGCTATGGGACCCAGTTGATGTATGGAGCCTCATTCTAAAACATTATTATGGAAACATAACTAGAGCAGATAACTGCCACACCGACTTGAATGTCGATCTCGTGCAGAATTGCTGGGAACGCGGGCAGTCGTGTTTATCCGATATCTTCACCTTGTGCGGCTGGCCGAGAGGAAGCGACCCACTGCCCCGAAACGGGCGGCGCGATAACTGGAGCAGAAGGAATTGCGCCGATCGCAACCACGCCAGAGTCAAGAAAGGTTAAGCATCTGACGCCGTGCTTGTTCGCCTTGGCTAGTTCATGCCGCCTTGCCGACCACTATCTGCTCGCTAATGACCCTGTTTTGCCGGCCACTTACACCTCGGTCGTCGTTGATGAGCGTGTTCATGGCTGTTCACCCACCATTGCTGACAATCCCCCTTCTCTCGAACACATCGACCCCACCCCTAATCCTCGCAACTGAGACATCTGCACAGGGTAGACCGTAACGAGAAAATGGCGTGGTTGAGCAGGACCACCCTGTTATCCAGCGGGGCAGAGTAACCCCGACGGACTCCGAGCGAGCCTCGAAAGCTAACAACCCCATTCTTATCACGACAATGCTTACCGAGCCGACCCCATACGGTCTGGGGTGCACTCGCCGTGATTGCACAACAAATAGGAACAATCTGCAGGTCCCGTTCACCTGCATTAGCTTCCCATATTACGAAATTGAATGATGGAACCCCGTCGGTGTGCCTGCAGGCAGCTTCAATTCGACCAATTTTCTGCGGCCGATAAGCAGGAGACACTTCGAAAGGCGATATGACCTCACAGACCCGCCCGCGCACTTATAACGGCGGTGTTTCCCCAGCATTTCCCCCATCCCAGTTGTGCACCTCGTGGGAAACACTCTGGCCCCTCAAGATGCATACAAACGGCCTATACACGGCACTTCTGTGCTCCCTGGCTGCTTCGGCCCAGGCTCTTGTCCATGAAAAGCTGGCAGCGGTCCCCGCTAGCTGGACTCATCTTGAGGATGCCGCTCATGGCAACACCATCAGCCTGTCCATTGCGCTGAACCGCCAGAATCTGGACAAGCTGGAAGCCAAGCTCGCGGCTCTTGCCACCCCGGGCGAAGCCCAGTACGGTCAATGGCTGGACCTGGAGGACATCAACAAGGAGTTCCCCGTGGCCAGCGCCGACGCCGTGATCAGCTGGTTGCGCAGCGCCAACATCACACAGATCTCGCAGGACGGCAGCTTGGTCAACTTCGCTGCGCCCGTGGGCACGGTGAACAAGCTCCTCAACACCACCTTCGCGTACTACCAGAGCGGCTCTTCCACGAAGTTGCGTACCACCCAATACTCCATCCCGGAGGACCTGGCCGAGACGATCGACCTGATCTCTCCGACGACCTATTTCGGCAAGGACAACACCAAGGCCGAGCTGTCGAAGCTGCCGCAGCAGCTCCCGCGCCACACGAAGCGGAGCTCCAACTCTTCCTGCGCCGAGGTCATCACCCTCTCGTGCCTGAAAGAGATGTACAACTTCGGCAGTTACACGCCCAGCGCCTCGTCAGGAAGCAGGATCGGCTTCGGTAACTTCCTGAACGAATCCGCCTCGTACGCCGATCTCGCCGCATACGAGAAATTGAACCGTCTTCCCTACCAGGAGTTCGACGTCGAGCTGATCAACGGCGGCACCAACGACCAGAACGCTACCACTGAGAGTCTGGGCGAGGCCGACCTGGACGTCGAGCTGATCGTCGGGGTTTCCCACCCTCTTCCGGTGACTGCTTTCATCACCGGCGGGCTTGCGTGAGTGCCGTATCGGAACTCGTGACTGCAATGCATGCTAACAAGAGCAGTCCCTTCATCCCCGACCCCGACGAGCCCACTGAGGCGGATGACTCGAACGAGCCCTACCTCCCGTACTACGAGTACCTCCTGTCGAAGCCCAACTCGGCGCTTCCCCAGGTCATCTCCAACAGTTACGGCGATGACGAGCAGGTATGCATATTTCTATCCCATTAAACACGCAAACCCCCCACTAATTGACCATAACAGACCGTGCCCGAGTACTATGCCAGGCGCGTCTGCAACATGATCGGACTGATGGGTCTCCGTGGCATCAGCATCATCGAATCCTCAGGTGACGAAGGTAAGCGAGTCAGATTCCCCGATGATCCAAGCCCTCTAACATTGTACAACAATAGGCATCGGCTCGGCCTGCCGCGCTGGAGACGGCAGCAACCGCCCACAATTCCAGCCGACCTTCCCAGCGACCTGCCCCTACGTGACAGCCGTGGGCGGGACGCAGTCATACGGACCCGAGATCGCGTGGACAGGCAGCTCGGGCGGGTTCAGCAACTACTTCGAGCAGGCGTGGTTCCAGAAGGACGCGGTCACCAAGTACCTGGACCACCACATCGCCAAGGACACCAAGAAGTACTACTCGCAGTACACCGACTTCCAGGGCCGCGGGTTCCCGGACGTGTCCGCTCACAGCTACGACCCTCCCTACGAGGTCATCTATTACAACAAGACCGCCGGCTCCGGCGGTACCTCCGCCGCGGCGCCCGTCTTCGCTGCGCTGGTTGGTCTCCTTAATGACGCCCGTCTGCGCGCTGGCAAGCCAGCTCTGGGTTATCTTAATCCGCTGCTGTACAGTAAGGACGTGCGCAAGAGGTTCACTGATGTCACGCTGGGCCAGTCCGTCGGCTGCGACGGCGTGGATCCGCAGAATGGTAAGACTGTTCCGGGCGCCGGGATCATCCCCTGGGCGTTCTGGAATGCGACGGTCGGCTGGGATCCGGTGACCGGGTTGGGGTTGCCGGACTTTGAGAAGTTGAAGGAGGTGGTTTTGAAGTATTAGGCTTTAGGTGCTGGTGGAAAGGCGAGGTTGTGATGAATTGTATTCCACGGGGTTAGGCTGCGGTATTGGTGTATATAGTTGATGAAATAAATGTGTTTATGTCGCTATACAATTGGAGATCTGAGGGTCCGTAGTCGCGGGCTTTCATCTCTTCACTCAGGGCGTTACTGTATGATCTCTCTACCCCTCTCTAAACACATGCTCAGCAATACCTTACTGGGCCATCGAATAAGCGCCCCCACAATGCAAGCTCACAAATCATTGCCCGAAAGTAGAGGTTCCAGGTATACTACAGTGCAAGACGGAAAGGTCACCCGTGACTTTCACATAGTCCGACAAGAACCCGGCCTATACGGGCAACGACATGAAGACTATCTTTCCTGAGTAGAGACCAAGGGCCAAAATGCCTGCTTTCCATGCAATGCAGGAAGGACGATATTTGGCGGGCAGCCATAGGATTTTTATTCCGTTGACACAGACCCATTGCTCTTCATAGATGGAAATCAAATTGTCTTTGTCAGCCCAGATCGCATATTCATGGCGGAAAAGTCTCCTGGTTGATTGCGCTTCATCAGCATCACAGATTTCGATGAAAGCGGGGTGAAAGTCGAGTGCCATCTTGCGGCCATCGGGAGAGAAGGAAATGGAGCTGAGATGTTCTGGAAAGCGCTGGATGGCGTCACTCCAGTGGCCCGTGTAGGGATCCCAGAATCGAAGTGAGCTCGGTGAGTCGGCCAGGACTAGCTGTCCGTCGGGTGAGAAGGTGATAGGGTTTCCTGAGCCGGACCCAAGCCGGCTGTAATGTTTAGGCTGGTAAGTCGCGAGGTCCCAAATGATAAGCGAGCCATCAGAGAAGCTCGAGGCTAGGAGTCTCCTGTCTGGCGAGAATGTCAAGTCCTCCAATATGGTCAGATCCCCCGGCGCATTGGACTCATGCCTCCATGTAAGACTCAGTTGATTTGTTCGTAAATCCCAGAGCTTAACACTTCCATCTTGAGATGCAGATGCCAGTCGATGACCACACGGCGAAAAGGCTAGCTTGTGGACTTCTGCTGGGTGAGCTCCTACATCCCGATAGTGACCTCCTGTCTTGCCATTCCAGAGCTTGATGGTATTGTCATCTGAGCTGGATGCCAACAAGTTCCTCTCGGGAGAGTATGTAAGAGACGTAACCCGCGTCAAGTGACCGACACGGTGCATTCGAGGCTCTGGACCCGAATGATTATCGCTAATGACGCTTCCGTCGTGGGAGACGTATTCCAGCTCCTGTGCTTGCGGACCAGATGTCAAGTCCCAGAATGTCATAGTCCAGGAAGAGCTAGACACAAGCATCTTGCCATCAGGTGAGAAGTCAAGGCAATATAACCCTTCCGGCTCGTCGTGCTCAATCCGATAGAACCAGCGATCTTCGAGATTCCAAATAAGCAATTCACTGCCTTCTGAGGCAACGGCTAGCATCTTCTTGTCGAGAGAGAACACAGCCAATATCGGTGTATTATAACCTGGCCGTAATCTGGATGTTGCTTCTGTACTCAGATCCCAAACATGGATGGTTTTGTCTGAGCCCATGTATGCTAGCAATCCGCCATCATGCGAAAAGCACAGGAACTGGATTTCCGTGGAGGCAAGCTCGATCTCACCTAGCTGGTTACCTGTAGCGGCCTCCCAGCGTTCGAGGGTGCCTTTATGGCGGTGCGCAACTAATAATATACCAGCTGATGTCAAAGCGACATATTGCTCTGACTCTCTACTGTGGGTGACAATGAGGCTATAGCCTGTGGTAAGATTGTAGACCCGAGTATCTCCATCTATGGAGGCCGATGCAAGAAGTAAGCCATCAGAGGAGAATGAAATGCTGCATATCAAATTTAAATGGTCCGCGAATACCACATAACTCTCGGTTTTGAAGTCCCAAAGTTCGATTTCACCAGACATGGAACCAGACGCCAATTTTCCACCGTCAGGCGAAAAAACGATAAGGACGGATGATGAAGAGGGTGTTTGGATAGCGTACTGATATTGGCCATTTGAGAGGTCCCAGAAATCGATTTTCCCACACGCATATCCGGATGCCAGTACCCTAGCTTGGGGTGAAAATGCGACTGAACTAATGAAGCTCGGTTCCGCTACCTCAATCATTTGTATTCTAGAGCTCCAGTATTTATCAACTTCTGGCTTCACGACCAACCAACTGGGGATATTCTTGGAAAATTCTGTTCGAATAACTGAATTTTCTGGAGTGAAGATAAGGCCCGAAGAGTAAATCTGCAAGGGTGTAAGATCGAGTAGTTGTATGTTTCGTAGAACAAAGCGCCGCGCATCGCCGAGAAATTCTTGGACTGCCTTGCTTTGTTCGTTCTTGATTCATGAGCTATCATCTTCTCAGTAGTATGGGCTCACCAACCTTATAAAGGGACTGTAATGAATCAAGCATTCCCACGACCTCATATATAAGACCTTGGACACCCAATGTCTCTAACCAATGAAGAAAATGCACTTGCAGAAATGCGAAAGTATTCTCCAGTAAATCATTGGGATTTTGGCTTCGTGCTAAGTGATGTATCCAATAGCGACATGCGTAGTTTAGCTCCGGAGGTAAATGGTTTTGAATAATAGTGATATCAAGTTCCCGTCGATATATGCTGTCGCCTGGCAAGTCATACATATTCTGCCGAAGCGCAGCATTCATAATACGCAGGCATTGAAGTGAGAGACATTGGTTAGTTTGCTTTTCGTCTATCCAAAACCGCTCACTGCTTGCTGTCTCTCTAGTCTCCTCATCTAAAAGGTAATCGCGAAACGAAATGTGTAAGGGTCTCACTGGTTGTGCGTGGTCGGTGGGAACATCGAGGACTGAATAGAGTCCACTCAGTCTCGTCCGAATCTTGGCGACTTTGTGACCTAAGATTTCAGCGAGTGCACTAGGTGAGAGTGGCTCCACGAGTGACACAATAGTTCCAACAATTTCCCTGAACTCTTGGACAAGCTTTTTGATCTCTATCTTGCTCTGCCCTTTAAAGAGCTGCCTGAGAACTGGTAAGTAGACTTCGGCCATTTTGGACACATAGTCAGTCTGGTCTGCAAGAACCTCCTCAAGGCGTTCCTCAGACTCCCATCTTGCCTCCTCTATGAACCGACACAAAGTGACAGCAGCAATAAACAGCGGCTTTGTTCGGTGAAGAAGTCTCTCCAAGGCCTTGTCTCCCGGCCAGCAGAGATCTAAGTCATTGTCCTCACGAATTCTCGTGAAAGTTAGCTCCAAGAAAATGGAAATATCACGGTCAATCTGCTCCTCGCGGACATCATTGTTGAGATCCAGACTCACTAGGCCATCTGACATTTTGTCGAACACCAGTCGAATTGTGTGTTCCGGCCTACTCGTCAGAAGAAATCGTAGCAGCAGGCGATTCGACTTCTGCGCCTGTGATAGCAGTTGCAGGATAGTTCTGATGTCGTCTCTGTGTGGTTCAGAGTCACACTCATCCAATGCATCGATCACGACAATCATGGTGCTGGCGCGATCGAGACCCAATGCAAGCACGGGCTGGAGTATCAGTTTGTCCCACTGTTCCCTCAGGGACTTCTCCACTATACCAGGGTTCTCTTTAATTGCTGTTATTACCAGTGGTTTCAACGGAGGGACGTGCCGCTTCAGCTGTCGCGCAATAGTGGGAAATAGTCGCTTCGCGTGCCCTCTATCACCACCACCGCGCTTGAAGAAGAAACTTGCCCCGAGAAGTTTTTCCTTGTCAAGCCTTTTTGCAGCTTCGAAGGCAATGCAGGATTTCCCGGTACCCGCTCCGCCATTTAGCCAGAATATGCATTCTCCCTGGGTCGACACTGCCCACTTCTCGATTCGGTCCAGGATTTCGGTTCTCGTTCCGTCGAGGCACCCTAGATGTTCGTTCGCGTAGGCATCATAGGTCGCTCCGTCTGCGATAGGAAGACCCTCTGTTCGAGATGGTGGCGACGTCAGTATTGTGCCTCGCAAACATCAGAAGTCTGTTTGTGCGCACCTGAGGCGGCGTGAATGTCGCCATGATTTATCCCTACCCAGAATCCCAAATTGTTGCCTTGGTACTGAACGGAGCCCATCGTTATAGCAAATCTCGATACCTGGCATGCGGAATCCGAGAGGGAAGGAAGAGTCTCGAGGATGTCAGCTAGAACGATGCTTGCTCCCTCCCGCCATCAGGTGACTGACTAGGCAATTTTAGCGCTGGCGTAGGCGCGTATTTCCAATTTTTGATTGGCCTTATTGGCAAGATACTCACTGTGATCATCAATAGCACACCGCATCGAGAGAGACTGCTAGCTGGGCTCTTCCTGCATCAAATTAATAGGTATGTCGGGAGAAATTGGCTGCGTAACAGGAGGGAAGAGAAAGGAGGGGAGTCAGAGAAAGAAAAATATAAACCGGTGAGATGACCGCCCATATTTACCGAGAACTTAGTTGTTCAGTCATTGTCAGACTTGGCGCAGGTAGGGTCAATTTATATCTGATGGAGATTGCCCATCCACTGGTCGAAAACTGGAAGATTAGCTACATGCACAAACTTCACCTTCTGGAATTACAACAAAGATAATATTAACAGGTCTGTTTGCTATCACAATCCGAGGTAGTATACAGTCTCCATATCCAGCATAAAGTTAAGGACTCCCCTAATCTATAGTATCCTTCAGGCACTCTGGGTAGGAGCAGCACCCATGGACCCAGAAGGCATGCCGCTCATGGAGCCGGAGGGCATGGCATCACCAGAGCCAGAGCCACCACCGCCACCGAAGGCAGAGCTGTCGGTGTTCTGGTGGCCACCGGTCTCATCGTAGTAAGCAGCGATGCTGTAGTAGGAGTTGTCCGTGTAATCAGCCGTGGTGTTGATGCCAATCTGGATCCAGGCAAACAAGCCGTCCTCCAGACTGTCACCGAGGTACAAGTACTCGGGGAAAGGGTCATAGGCGGACGAAGCCTGGAGGACACTCCACATATCCTCCGCGTTGGTGGTGACAGCCTGAGTGTTGGTGGTGTACGGGTAGGTGTTCTCGACGGCGGAGCGGAGGACCTCGTTCCAGAACAGCTGGCCGATGTGCGCGACGCTGCCGGTACCGACCTGCAGGGTACCGTTGTTGCGGTTGATGGTAGAGTTGAGGTGGGTGAGGAGATGGGTGTGGGTGGCGCGACCGTCGTAGTGACCGGGGAAGATGGTGTTGAAGGTCACGACGCCCTCCTCGTTGGTCTCCTGGATACCACGGAGGTAGGTCGAGTCCCAGCCGCCGGCGGCGTAGTTGCCGCTGGTGGAGATGCCACTGGTTATGTATTAGCGGGCGACTGGAAATGAAACAGATGAAACGTACCTGTAGACACCAGTAGCGTTGGCGTTCCAGATGTCGACCAATGCGCCCTGAACAGGAAGACAGGTGCTCACATCGATGTACTGAACCTCAAGATAGACATCGATACCGTTACAGTATTTCTCCTCCTTGACGTTCTGGCGAATAACCTCGCCCCAGACGTAGTAGGGACCATCGGTGATGGTAGGAGTCAAGATCGAGCTGGTGTTGGCACCGAAGATGTCGGCATCGGAGTTGGGACCGTAGTCCAGAAGACCAGTCTTGTTGTGGTTGATGGCCTCCCACTTCTCGAGAGCAGCGAGGTCACGACGCCACTTCTGTGGAGCTAAACAATCAAGTATGAGAGTCCGCAAGGTTTCCAAGGCGCACAGATGCTTCACTCACCAGAGGTAATTCCGCGCTTGGAACGCAACTCCTTCGCAGTCTGCGCGCGGCGGGCAATGCTGCGCTGCTGAACCTGCTGGGCGGCCTGGGACGAGGAACAAGCGTTCACACCCTGTTGAGCCCTGGCAGCCAAGGCATCGCGAAGGTGGATTTCGCGCTTGACGGCCTTCATGTCATGCTTCTCGCCGGGGTGGGCAAGGGCCAGAGTGGCCGCGCTGAGGATGAGGAACTTTGAGAAGTGCATAGTAGCGATGTCCGCGGAGAGGAATTTGGAGGAGGTTGTTGGTTGTCTGTTTTCTATATCACGTCCTCATCGAAGCTCTTTATACCTTCGCCATCTTCAGTGTCAACGTTGGTGTAGATGGGTTCCCATATAGCCGCGTCATCTGGACCAGGATTAGCCGTATGGGTCTATCGGAAAAGCTGGGGAGTTTGGCTCTTGGGCTGTATAGCTTGATTGAAAGAGACGTAAGCTCGCTCTCTCGGCGGCTCGCGCAGCCCTAGAACGAGGTCAAATTCTGGCCGGTCAACGCCAGGGTCTTGGCGCCGCGTACCTGGGATCCGCTCCATTTCAGGGAAGCCAACCCAAAACCGAGGGGTGATCGACCATGGCAACGAATCAGGTCACTTTTATTATCGAGACTGGATCTTGGAACCCTATAAACTCAGGGATCGGGCAGACTCCGTTGCGTCTGGGGTTACGGTCATCTTTAAGGCTTGGCTGGTGCTGTTGCCGTGTCGAGTTGCGAGCCAAACAGCACTGGCGTTTCATCTCTAGTATTGCACAAATCACTAATGTGGGATTTTCGTGATCCGCTTCCACTCAATGCATTGCTTCTTTCGAGGTGGAGAGAATTCACCGAGCACGGTAATGCTGATATACAGCATCTGGAGTGTCCGGCACATCCTACTGTATCCTGTCGCTGTGTAGGCCTGCTACGGCAATTGTACGGGAAAACTCAGTCATCACTATATGCTAAGGACGAGCAAAGCACCAACCAATATGAAATCACACGGTCGCATTGTGGACAAGATGCTGTCGTGATGCACGTTGCCAATGCAGAAGTCCTGGGCGGAAATGTGTAGTTCGGAGATGCCTTCTTCTTTTCCCAAACGGGCAATGATTGCTGCTGTCTTGGCTGCAACCACTGCTTATTTAGTTAGCGTCTCTTGTCCTGCCCACTGTATTACGCACGAACCAGTCGTCATCCCCAACAGCCTGCATACTAGCAGTCATCTCCCGTCTACAGGTCGTTTATCTTGGTGTTTCTGGTTGCATCTCGAGATTGGCGGACAATGCCATTATCCCGACGCGCCGGCACTTCTTCCTGCAGCTGTCTCGCTCGATCGGTCACAATCTTCAGCGATCTCGTCGAAGCTTTCCTGCCGGGTGAAATACCATGACTATTGTCCGGTCGCGGGCGGAATGTTCTAGAACAAAGATGTGCAGTTCTAATCTATTGCTCGGGAGTCAAATGAGAAGCCAAGTGACACTCAGTACTCAAGGCGTAGTCACAAGCAGACTTACCAATGCGGCTGCGGCCAAAAGCTTGATGGGTTCTTTGACAGCCTGCTGCGTGTCGAGCTAGCATTCAGCTTCGTAGTAAGTGGTCCGGTCACTGAGACCGTAACCGTGTTGCGTTCACCAACGTGCAGTAAAATTAGTCCCTAGAAAAGCAGCAATAGCGCAGCGTTAAATCAAAGCTAATCCTCCGTCATAAAAGTTGAGCACAATTCAAATTGGCGATAACAAAACAGTTGCGATTGTGTTGTGAACTTCTCATGCTGGTCTTAAAAATGCTGGAGTGGCAGTTCTGAGCCTGAGCTGTTGCTGTATGCACCAGGCATGATCGGATTCCATCCATGTGGTCTTGGTGTTCATTGACTTTATCCCTGCAAGGCACGAGACGCGACGATGGCGGAACAGTCTAGCATTCGTAGTTGAAATGTTTGTGACTATCAGAGGTCTCATTGCGGAGGCGGCGACGAAGCTGAGGATTCCCATCAGCCAGAAAACGCCAGCTTTCCTGCCAATGGTGGTCCGATGTTTATTCTGTCCTGTTTTACCGTGGAAAGTCCGGCTCTGGCACGTGCTTCATGTCAGTCTGGTTCAATGTCTCTCCACCAAGCGGTAGAAGGAACAAGCGCATCCGGTATGTCTTCTGGTCCTCTATATGCCTGAGGTTCTCGAGAATATTTGGGTATGGTGATGTCGCGTTCAGTCGATGTCGAATCGATACATGCATGATTAGAGAGTACACCGAACTAGTCGAGGGACCCTCAAAGGTGTGAGTTTAGCGAAGAAGAATATTATCCCGGCCCTCGCCAGATCTTGGTACGAAACGAGGCACCCTCAGCTCCGATGGAACTGTCGCCAGACCCGCGACGCATTCCACTTTGCAAACGCGATTAAGGAGAGCCACGCGCTGAAAAAGAGACCGAAGACGGGCACATAGCCTCATTGAGTACTTGCAGAACCACAACGCAAGTACTCGTGGGCCTAATCTACCACTTACCGCCGGTCTAAGCCGGACTTGTTGGGCAGCGAAAGAAAAACGTGGTGGCTAGCTGAAGAATGCGACAGCAATGGCCGGGATGTTCGGAGTAGCCTTACATATCTGCAGCTCTCTCGCATGACACTTGCTCTTAGCGATCGATCGAAAAGACCCGCGTCAAGCCGAGCGTAGTGATTGGACATGCGCATAGTTGATAACTGCAAGTCAAGATCCCAAGCGGGGAAATGAAGCGCGAAGCACCTGCGAGGCCTGAGCACAAGCCTAGCCTGGAACACTGACAACACAGCTGTGTGGCTTGCTGAGTTCATTCTTCGAGTCATGCTGCGAGTCAATATGTAGACACAACAACGGATCAACTCTTCAGCTGTATCAAAGCCCAGGAATGTATAGCGCGACGGGTTACCACCCCCTCCTCCTGATCTCCGCTAAGAGGTATAAGACCTAGTAGACGGTCAACCGTCTAAAAACAATGACAGTTTTCGTTCTCATCGTCTCCCTTACCTTTAAATCCCTTCCAGCATGGCCTCCACACCTTCAATGGACTTTCATCTCGCGAACGGCCGAGCCTATTCTCTCGGGCGTACCAACGCTGCCGCCTCTCGTCTGAACTACCAATTCTATCTGTGGAAGGAATCCTTCGGTTTCAACCTTCACCCAACCATAGCTTCATCGCTGAAAACCCCAAGCCCATGTATCGCCGACGTAGCCTCAGGTACTGCCATCTGGCTTCTCGATCTAGTCCCGGAGATACCGACCGCAACCTTCGAGGGTCTTGACATGAGCATGGCTGTCGCTCCACCAATCGAGTGGCTTCCCTCCAACATTAAGCTTCGGCAGTGGAATCTCCACGACCAAGTTCCTGACGATCTTGTGAAGAAGTTCGACGTGATCCATCTGCGGTTGCTGATCCTAGTGGTGGAGAAGAGCGATCCGTCGCCGATCGTCCGCAAGGTGGCACGCATGCTCAAGCCAGGAGGCTGGATCCAATGGGACGACTACAACTATCAAGGGACACACGTGGTCAAGACCAATCCCGCCCTGAAGACACCGGCTCTCGATCGTCTCTGCGCGTTTTTGTTTTCAGGGGGGCGGCAAGACTGGGTGGTGGGGCTTCCCAAGATCTTTGAGAAAGAGGGGTTTGAAGACACCCAGATCTTCCATTATCGGCCACGACGCGAGATGGCGAGAGCTAATGGTGAATTGCACCTTTCGACGATCGAGGAGTTTGCTGCCCGACTGCTCGAGGATGGGAAGGTAGAAGAGGGCAACGAATTGCTTCGGTTGGTTCAACAGGGGCTTCTCGAGGCTGCGGCGGGGGCTGCAATGTCAACTCCTCGAGCTGTTAGCATTGGACGGAAGAAGACGTCAAGTGCAGTGAAGTTGTAGTTTGGTCTTGGGAAGCTCATTTATCTCGCGTTTATTGAAGTGATGGGTAGGCAGGGCAGCATGTGTAGGTCAAAAATGCTCTTGAGCAATATAGTCTATGGTGATTAGATTGACTACCCTTGCATTGAGCCCAAAGATGGAAAATCTGAACAAGACCCGGGAAGTGTAGTATGAACAGAAGAGGTTGGTGTTCATCATCCGAGCAGAAGACTTACCCAGTGGGTGTTGCCGAGGTGCTGCCAGTTTAGGCTTAGTGCGCGTGTCTTTCTACTCTTCGCTTCGCGTTGTCCAACAGCCCGAATGAAGACTTCCTCCTCCCCCTTTCTTCTTTCTCCCTTGCTTCGCAAGGAGGGCTAGACTCCATCTTACTTTGCTCATCTCTTGAGTTTTGCCTTTCATACTCGAGGCTTGTCTTTTGTTACACTGTTCTTGAAAGACTCCATCTCCGGCTGACTGCGTTCACGCTAGGCTGATGAGGAATCCAGCGGAGATGCTCGATGAAGCCCATGGATGCGCCTTCGAAGTCTGGGATCGGCTTGAATCTGTACGGAGGCTGTCTTATGCCAGTTAGGCTTTATCAATCTATGATGTTAGAACTGAGCTAAGTGCGACCCAGACTCTTACCTCTTCCTCGTGGGATTGACACTCGAAACCCCACAATCATCAGTCCTTCGTCATTCCCTGGCACAAAGTCTAGAGCGTTCCTTCAAATCCGCCTGTCGAATTCTGGCCGAGTCCGGCGAGCAATCGAACAATGCTGGATTTGTTTGGGTAGAGAACGCCACATTGGACTGATCTGCCGCCACCTACGCCCATATTGACTGTCCAATGCGACCTCAACTACCAATAATTTGATTCCTTGCTGTGCGACCGCTGGCTGGGCTTTCCCCCGAGATTGCCAACTGTATGAAGCACAATAGCCAAATGTTAGGGAGGTACAATGAGCCTAGGGCACACGGCTGAGAAGGGAGCAAACCTTATTGGCAAGATACTGCCATCTCTCGGGCCGCGAAGATCTCTTCAATAAGCACGGGTGCACCTTAATCGAGCCACAGTCTCGTCCACTGCAACTAGCACACCTTGTAGCCTTCCAGATCCCCGTGGGGTTTCTTTCTGGGGTAGAGCCCGACAGAGTGACGGCTCACGAAGTTGCATTCGCATCTTCCATGATTTGACTTCACCCATGGTCGATCTGTCGCTTCTCCACCTTTCATGCTGTAAACAGAGCAGATTGCCAACCAGCGACCGGTTTTTGCAGCCATCATCCATGGATGTCCAGTATCACAAATCTTCCCTAAACCTACCCTTGTGGATACTCTCAGTGTTATTATAGGTTATCTGCTAATGACGGCATGGGATGATTGCGATTGTTGTAGCCGGTCCAACCGTCGACACGGCTGGCCGGCTGTTCAGTAGCAGAGCCGTAGACGCAGCACTATGCTCACTGAGGCCGTCGGCCTATCTCGGTCGGAGAGTTTCCAGTCCTATCATGCAATGCTCGCTGGAAATCAAATAAAAGGCTGTTTGTCCCCCGCGTCTCAAATGTCTTGATCCTCCTTCCGTGAGCAGGCCGGACTCTTATCACCCAAACAATTACAGCTGGAGTGTGTTCTAGTTGGACCGGAGCCTCGATTGCATTGAGCCTCCAAGCTCTTATTTTCCTGGTCGCTCGTACCCTCCGGTCGCCCAATCACTTAAGTCGAGTCACCTATTTTGATTCTTCCGCTTATACGCTTTCCTCCAAGGTATCAGGATAAAGCCGTGACAGAGCGTCTTCCGCAATGGATCAGGAAGAGATTACAGAGAAGAGAGTTTCAAAGGATGGAAGCCCAACTGCTAGCGTCGAGCATGCAGAGAAGCCCAGCAGCTCACATGCGATCTATGATGTTGAAGGCCGTACAACAGGCCCGAGTCACCTCAGCGCGGTCTTTGAGAATCCGCTGGCAGGCATCCCACGAGAGAAGTTGTTCGATGATGTCGAGAGATTCTGTCGGAAATATGGCCTCGAAGAGCATTTAGAGGACTTTCGAAAGGGGGCGCTCATCTCGCAGAATCCAGCAGGGGCACTCGACCTCCCGGAGCTGAGCGAAGAAGATAAAGACATTCTTCGACGAGAACAGACCCACAAATGGTCGCAGCCATGGCAGCTCTACTTCCTTGCCTGTAAGCTCTATCTTCTCACTCTTCTAAATTTCTGTGAGCTAATCTTGTCGGCTAGCTATGTGTTCCCTTGCTGCCGCTGTTCAAGGCATGGATGAGACTGTCAACAATGGTGCGCAGACGATCTACTTGAAGGTATAGCGATTAACTGGTCTACACCGTCGGGCATGGTCACTGACAGCTTTGCAGCAACTTGGGATTGACTCGCCTCGCTTTTCGGACAAAATGCAAGACTATCTTACCGGTCTTGTCGTTGGTGCACCCTATCTGGCCTGTGCAACAATTGGGTGCTGGCTGACGGAGCCCATGAACCGATACCTAGCCCGTCGAGGAACGATCTTCTGGTCCTGTTTCATTGCTGCTGTCGCTTCCATCTGGGAAGGCGTGGCGAATTCCTGGGTCAATCTGTTCCTCGCGCGGTTCGTTCTTGGTCTGGGCATTGGTTCCAAATCCTCCACGGTACCTGTCTACGCTGCTGAATGCTCTCCTGCACCCATTCGAGGCGCACTAGTCATGATGTGGCAGATGTGGACCGCGTTCGGCATTATGCTGGGCAATATCATGGGAGTGGCCTTCATGGGTCTGTCCGATGATCTCTCCTGGCGTCTTATGCTCGGCTCCACCGTCGTCCTTCCCATCGTCGTCTGCGCCCAGGTCTACTTTTGCCCCGAATCGCCTCGTTGGCTCATTCAACACGGTCGCATCGACAAAGCTTTCAGCGCCTTTCGCACTCTCCGGCCCACCGATCTTCAAGCCGCCCGAGATCTCTACTATGCTTACGTTCAAGTCGAAATTGAACGTCAAGTCAATACAGGCAGGAACTTCTTCAGCATGCTCCTCGAACTCTTCACCGTGCCCCGCAATCGTCGCGCCACTCTAGCCAGCTGGATCGTCATGTTCATGCAACAGTTCTGCGGCGTCAATGTGATAGCATATTTTTCCAGCACCATTTTCATCGAGGCCGGGTATAGCATCCAAGAAGCCCTGCTCGCCTCCATGGGCACCGGCATCTTGAATTGGGTCTTCGCCCTCCCGGCCTTCTTCACGATTGACACCTGGGGACGACGGAATCTCCTGCTGTTGAGTGCATTTAAACCACAGGGTGCATTTGGCTGGTACGCAGCGTGGTGTGTCATCGGCTGGGTGTTGGTGCTTTTGTTCGTCCCGGAGACTAAGGGTGAGTTTTTCTGATTTTTGCTGCCATTGACTCAAGCGTACCTCCCAGCTCCAGCCCTTATATTCCAAGTTCCTCCCTCCCAGAAATAGCCACATCAGCTAGCCTAGGTGATGATTGTACTAACCGAATATCACAGAACTAACCCTCGAAGAACTCGACCAAGTCTTCTCGGTCTCAACCCGCAAACACGCCCGCTACCAGCTCAAGAACGCCTGGTGGCACTTCCGAGTCTGGGTCCTCCGGCAGAAACTCGAACCCCTGCCTGAATTCTACAAGGGCGCGGAGAGATTGGCGGAGGTGGTTCACTAGTGGTAGCTGTAGGATGTCCTGTGGTCGGAGCATGTGAAATCCGTTTCAGGTTATGATATTCAGATATTTATCTAGGAATACGCAATACAGCCGGCTTATTCCGTTCCGTGATACAAGAATAGATGATAGTCAACAAAAAGAGGAGGGAGACGATGGTGTGATGATTGATGACCGACGAGCGGGAAAAGCAAAAAAGGAATCACGTGCTCACACTCGGACTCGAACCGAGGATCTCAGCATTACTAGTGCTGCGCTTTACCATCTAAGCCATGCGAGCTGTTGATGCGGAATCTTCTCTAAAGGTGCTTTATAATGGTAGTTCGGGAAGCCTTCCAAGAAGGATAATTTCCTGTCCCACCCGCACGTAAAACTCTCGGTCGCTGTGCTATTCTGGATGCATATTTTTGTCGCGTTAGATGAGATGATTTTGATGAAATTTTGACAGATCTTTTAGTATATCTGCCATTGATTCCAATCAATTACAATAATCATATTCAAGATATCAAATCATATTTGTGACGTTGAGGAAAGTGCATGTTCGAGTCTCAACCGGAAAGAAATGGCAAGTATATATCCGTTGATGCCCCAAGCACACTGATAACCAGACCCATCGATGGCACTCATAGGCCACTCTTATTTCCTTTCCAACGGAAAATGACAATAATTAGGCCCTACATTCCGAAAAGCCCGCCCCCGTTCTATCCTCTCCCTCAGCGCTCACCGGGAACGGCATCTCCACCTTGGTCTCCTCTGGGTCCGACAAGTATACACCAGCACCGGACAACGAGAACCCTCGTTCTGGACAACATTAATGGCAGCGACAAGCGCCTCTTCAGAGATGACACCCGTGACTGGATCGCGCATGCTTTCCTCCAGGTCGATGGCTCCCTGCGCCATGGCGATAAACGTGCTCGTGTGGTGAGGTCCCTCCCAGCGTGGCCACCGGCGCGCAGTCTTGTTGGAAGATGGCGACATTTCAAGACAGCCCAGGTGAGCGGGAAGATGACGACCAGGTCCATGACGACTGTTGGGAGATTCCTAGGTTCGAAGTCGGCTTCGAGGATGTTGATCGTGTCTTCGCAGAGGTCGATGGCCTCCGCGAGTGCTGGGCTTAATGCATCGTAGATGTCCTCCGACATCCGCAGGTCGCGGTAGATGTGCGACTCGAGGGCCCTGTGCTGCATGCGGATGAGGTTCATGCAGCGCGCTTCCTTGGAGGTGGGGGCCGGGTACCGGGTGACCAGCTCGTGGAAAGCGGCGATGTGGTCCTTGAGTTGAATTTGGACCTTGCGCTGTGCGAAAAGGATGGGGAATTGGTTGACTGTGGGGTCACGGAGGTCCATATGAGGGAGATCGATTATCTGATTGTGTAAAGCAGAATGTCGCAACGAAGCAAGTTCATCACCGTCTCAGCGCTGTTAGATAATTCAGCAGACCGGTACCCGAAAATTGGAAGCATCTTTCTGTACCGGTGCAATCCGATGGATCATTGAAGGGTTTCGCTCCATATCGGCCTTTTGTTCCTCAATGAAATGCCTTAATTCACTGAGATAGATATTGAGTCCGTTTGTTTCTGTAGACTATGTAGGTGTTATAAGGTATTCTTAGAAGGAGAGGCGGGACCAACGTACCGAAATGGAGGAAACCAGGCAAGCCAAATCTTCCAAAGCTTCATCGATTGTCCCAATCTCGGCCAATGCCTCGAGCCAGCGGAGAACGTGCCTCTCAAGAAAGAGAGAAATGGTGTCACGATGCTGGATTTCTGCCTTGCTTCCTTCGAGATGTTTCACCCAATGACGACAAGCGTAGCGAGCTTCGGGTGACCAAGGTTGAAAAGTGCAAGCATTTTCTGTTATAACGATGGGTTTGCCATGGTTAGCCTTAGAGGCCTCTCCCTCCTCCTCGATCCGGTCAAAAGTTCTCGACAACAAACGTAAGCAGCCATATAAAGCGTCATGGTGAGCCTGTCGCGGATCCACGATGAATCTTTCATCGACGCATCTTGTCGAGTCTGTCAGAAAGTGCTTGAAGGACGGATGATGAAGACGTATTAGATTCTTGTCATGTTTGCTTTCTGGGATATCCATAATAGGTTGAAGGTGTTTGAGGATCTCATGAACGTCTATACCCTCCACCTCAGACCCATGTCCGTCTATGCTGAAGAGTTCGTGAAGTGAAGCAGGACAAGTCTCCTCAAAAAGCACGATAGTGATGCCCAGATAGTGCCGCAGCAAGCCACAGCATATGTGGCTTTCCTCGCTGCTGAGACTCGGTGACACGGCATTTCTTAAGACGTCGAGGTATATCTCGTTAAGTTGCGCGTCAAGGGCAGGAATTGTAGCTTCGTTCTGCAACAGCTGAGATAGCCTACGGTCACAGAATCCAGGAACTTCTCGAATGTATCTAGAAGCCGCTGACGCCCATAGAAAGAGACCACTGGCTTTTTCAGTCAGCCATTGAAGCCTGTCCTCCTTGTCCCAGTGTGCTCTCAGCTGTTTTAAATCTTGTTGGAGAAAGAGAAGGATGTCCTGATCAACGACTTCTTTCGGAACTGTCTGCAGCTCGAAAGCACGAAATTGATCGCGATGTTCGCTTTGCCTATGGTAGGAGATGGTGGGGGTCAATCTACTACATATGAAGGCTCGGATATTGACCGAACTCATCTTCCTGAGCAATCGAAGGACAATCTTAACCATCGATGTTTCGCACTGATCAAGCGCATCGACAACAAGAGTAATTGGTTGGGGTATATCGAGCTTATCGACTTCCGACATTGTGTTCACAATCAATCTTTGGCATTGACTATCGAGAGCCTTGTTGCAGATATCGGGATCTTCCTCCAACACCTCAGATAGGAGGGATTTGAAAACAGGCGACATACTGGCAAGTTGATAAGCAATGGTCGTGATAAATTTGCGTGCCGTGCGCTTTCCGCCACCTGAAAGTCCATCAAAGAAGAATGTTGCTCCAAGGCGACCTCGAGCATTCATTGCACAAGCAAACGTGCGAGCTATTGTCGATTTGCCTGCTCCCGCCCACCCAGTCAACCAGTATATCGCCTCACCTTTGTCATTATCAGCCCATATGTAGATCTCCTCGAGTAAAGCCGTTCGAGTTTTTGCAAGACATACGGGCTCGTGTTGTCTACCGTAATAATTGAATACAGCGTCGGCAGCATATGGAAGCTTATCGAAGGGTGTTCGGACGATACTACTTCTCGTTAGTCCTGTGGAGGAAAAGGAGGTCATGAACTCACTGCCGAAGACTGACTGTGCCGTTATCTTCAACGCGCGCTGCTTGCATGTTTATCATGCCACCGCCATGCTTGAGCTCGTTGAGCTGTAAGAGGGTGAGCTCCTGTGAGGTTTGTGGGGTCGGTTTCTCCCATAGCTCCATAATTGCTTGCGCGCAAGCGGTGGCTGTTATCGCGGCATAGGTTTCCCGATGCTCAGTCCGAGGACTGTCGACATAGTGGCAGACGCCCTTGATGGGTATGCAGGGAACATACTCCCAAACTGCTGAGGCCTCGACATCGAAGCCTTTAATGTCTGCCACATTGTGTAGCCGGTTGCGGTCATTCGCATGCTGTATTCTGACATCTCCGGAGGCGATTGTCCCAAAGTGAATTATTGGATGCCTCCTCAGTTGATTTTCGAATTGTTCTTGAGACATGATATCTTGTAGCTTGCATCTCAGCTGCTCGCAATGCGTGGAGGCAGGATGACTGTCGCATTCTGAAGCAAACGGGCAGTCTTCGACATCGTAGTTCTGGGGCCCATAGTCTGACGTGGGAAAGGGACCCTCATGTAAATCTGGGTACCTTGCTTTCCACCGACCAGCTCTCGGAAGTAGTGTTTTGAGGTGACAGTCGATGCTGCTCTCTATCAGATCATCCATGGATTCGAGCTTTGCAACGAATGACCTTATCCGATGCCCCTGTCTTCCAGGATTATCCTCCACACCGGTTTTTCCTGAGAACCCATCAGGGTACACTCTACCGAAGTCATGCTGCACGGCTGATTTACCGATGATGATGTCTCCGAACAACATATCAGTGCCGCCAGGATCCGTAGGTACCCCGCCACAAAGTCCGACCAAGAAAACAACCTTAAGCCCTGGAAAATTCGAAGACAAGCGGGACGCTACGGTAGCGGCAGTCACTTGATCAACGGGGCAAATGCTGGTCATGACTATCCTATGATGACCGATTCGCCCGGTAGTGTATAAATCCGAGGGATGAACTGGAACTTTCAGATCGTCTGAGGCTAATAGAGCATAAAGCAGGGGGGTCCCCTCAAATTGTTCCTGGAGTAATTGGGAGACGAGGGTTGAGGAGGTAATGATCCCTATCTCGATGTCCGCGTGAGCATTCGAACATTGATTCGGCATATTTCTTGGTCACGATTGACCTGAATTATCAGATTGTGTGGACTTTGTCTTTATGGAATAGGTGTACCCAGGCCAGCAAATAGCTATATATAAGTCGTCAGGAGGAAATTTGTTGCATCAGGAAAACACACAGGATTCCGAGGCCGTGTCCTGTGTAGCACACATCCTGGGCGCTTGTTCGGGACGTCTGACTGGACTGCTGGGGGAGGGCGCAACCGCCCACGTCCGAGAATATGACATGTCATTCTGGTAGTCTGATTGAAAGAGTGTCGATGCAGGCACCGTAATCCGTACTTTTGTAGCCACTGAATGTAGGGAATTTGTGGAGCCGACTTGAAGAGGAACCGGTCAAAAGTTAGGTTCCTTCCAGGCTCGGAGGCTCGGAGGAAGCGGCGGCAATGAATTCATCCCGGTGGGACATTCGTTACCCCACAAGGCTTCTAGACCATTACCTCATCCCCGTCTATAATTATCGCTGCCTGCCTCTTCTCTCGACATAAAAACAACATACACCATACTACACAAAACAGCTCAATTGCACCTACAATGCCTCCCCCACCGCGTCCCCAGACCCCCGAAGGCGGCAAGACCCTCGTCTACTCGACCGTCGACGGCCACGACATAAAACTCGACTATTATCTCCCGCGCGGTACCACCAGCGGCAAGCTCCCAGCCATAATCTACTACCACGGCGGCGGCATGACAGCAGGGTCACGTCGAGGAGGACACTTTCCCACCTGGCTCTACGGTACAGTACACCCTCACCCTCCAGCTCACCCCCATTCAACCCACCAACTAAAACAACCTCACAACAGACCACTGCCAAAAACGCAACTACATCCTAATAGCGGCCGACTACCGCCTCTGCCACCCCAGCACAGCCCTCGACCAAATCGCCGACGCCAAAGCGCTCCTCACCTTTCTAACCAGCCCAACCTTCCAATCCGCCCTCTCCTCCTCCTCCTCCTCCTCCTCCTCCTCAAACCCCAAAACCGAACCCCTAAGTCTCGACCCCACCCGCATAGCGGTAACAGGCTTCTCCGCCGGCGCCTACTCCGCGCGCGCCGCCTGCGTGTACGGCACCCCCAAGCCCGCCGTGCTAATGACGGCCTACGGTACGGGAGGCAACCTCCTCCTAGACCACTGGACACAGCCACGGCCCCCGACCTCGATCGCGAAGCTGGTCAACCTGGACGACGTGCCGCGGCTGCTAGCCGACAAGCGCGTGGTGAGCGACGACGCGGACGCCGGCTCGAACCGGTTCGCGTTGACGGTGCGCTGGGAGATGGACGGGACGTTTCTGGATGGGTGTTTCGGGTGGCCAGGGCTTGGGGCGGCGCTGAATAAGGTTGAGTATGCGGAGCGGGCGGCGGCGGTGCCGGCGGAGTTGAGGGCGGGGTTCTTGCAGGAGTTTGTGGGGGAGGGGTATCCTCCTGCTGTGTTTGTGCATGGGACTGCTGATGAGGTGGTGCCGGATCTGGAGAGTCGGTTTCAGCATGAGCAGCTGGGGAGGTTGGGGGTTCGGACGCGGTTGTTGCTTGTTGAGGGCGCGGGGCATGGGCTCGTGGATCCGGAGTCTGGGTGGCCGCCGAGGTTGGCGGAGGGGGCCATGGAGGCGTATGAGGAGGCGTGTACGTTTATTGATGCGGCGTTGAAGGGGGGGTTGTGAGTTGTGTTCGGTAGAGGATTTGTGTATAGAGGGCAGCATAGATTGCATTGTATTGGAATAGATTGTTGGTTTGGTTAGCTCTTGTGGTCTTAAGGGGCGTGTTCAGGGTGGCTGGTTCGTAGATTGGTTGCGGTAAATTCTCATACTAGCTTCATTTCGGCATTATATACACCTTCCCGTCTGCACGTCTATACACGAATTATATCTATATTATGATGAAATCTTGTGGGTCATGGTCCTCCTACCTTCCCCGCATCGTACATGCCCCCGACGGTGCACACCTACGTATTTCAACACTGTTGGCACCGTCGTGACCAGAACTACATTCCCAACTGGCCTATGGGCGGGCGCCTCCGACGACGTTGTAGCGGATCTGGGCCAGCAGCGCGGTAACTCCGTCCTTTCCGAGCTTGTAGTAGATGAGACCACCCAGAGCGATCGCATAGCCAAAGAATTGAAGAGGCGTGACAGGGTCGCGGAAGATGACCATCGATGCGACCACGAGGAGGATATCCTTGAGCACACCGGATAGGGTAAGCACGAGAGCAGAGGTTTTGCCGATCTGTGAGGTACGTTAGTAAGGCTTCTCCTTTGAATGGGAATTGAATTCACCCACCAGGAAGACAACAGCAACGTTGAGTCCGAAAGCAACAGCAGCGTTCAAGACAAGAGTGCCAACTCCAAGGTTGTAGATATCCGACATATGCATGGTTGGTAGTTCCACCACGGCGGTGATGATCGCGTTCATAACGGCGCAAGCGGGCGCAAAATAGTAGAGAGAAACCAAGGGATCCATCTTGAACTCGGAGGAGCTGAGGAGTCGCTGAACCATGACTAGGCGAACGGACTCGAAGATGGTGGCGAAGAATTGGCCTGCGAAAAAATGAGCATGCGATGAGCATTACGAGGAATGAACGAGGCGCTTACAGATAAAACCGATCATGGTGAACTTGATCTCGCCGATCGAAGCGATAATAACACCGACCACAATGAAGGAGATGTTGCCGAGCAAGCTCAGGCGGACGGGCGCAATTCCCATCGCCCAGGTCGCGAGGAGAGTCGCAACGGAGTTGGTGGCCTGAGGCTATTAGCGATTTTGCTTTGTGGAATGGCTTCCATGTAGTTACCTTGAGCATCTGAATGAAGGAAACACTGAGATACAGGTATGCCAAGTTACCGCAGATCAGACTCAGAGAGAAGAAAGCACCGATCGGGACGATAGCGCGCCTGATTGTATCCTTCCATTAGCAACCGAACTACCCAATCCGCAATGCAACGGAAACTGACATGTAGACGCGCGAGGTCATTGGCACGTTATGACGGGAATCGAGCAATGTTGTGAACCGCGCCATCAGGCGGGTCATGATGGTAGCAAAAACCAGATGCCATGTTGTCAAGAACAAAGCTGTAGCAGAAATTCTTAATACGGAGGAGATTGGACGGGGATTTTCGAGCACGAGAAGACGTACGAAAACCTATCAGGAAAGGTCACAATTAGCATGGCCGCCAAACAAAGCACACGTCGCTAGTACTCACTGAATCCAGCAGTGTGAAGAATCCACTTGTTAAAGATGATGACCCCAGAACTGAGCGCAATCCACGTTCTAGCGCTGCATTAGTATTTATCCGAGCTGTAGAGAGCAGAATACGCCGTACGCGATGTAAATGGCCGGGTGCAAAGCAGCTTTCGCAGGCTCCGCGGGGGTGTTGACCGTTGGCAGTGGTGATTTCGAAGACATGATGCGGGGAGGTAGTGCCAGAAGAGTCGTAAATCCGAGAACGGAGGACGATGAGGAGAAGGAGAAGGAGCGCCAATGGCCGATTCAGCAGAAGAGCGTGGTGCTGGATAAGGAGAGAAGAAGAAGAGATCTCGTCAGTAGAGGCCGGAGGGGGAAGAAGAATAATAAAAACGAAGCGTGACTGACGGACCTGAGAAGGAAGAGGAAGAGTGGGGCCGCCGACCGATGATCGGCCAGCCGGTCGGTCCCTGGCAGCTCGACTCAACCAACTGGCTGGCACGACACGCGGCCCTGCGGTTCCAGCCGCGCCCCTCCACGTAATCGCCTCCATCGCATCAGAAACCTGGCCGATGGCGTTCTGCCATTCGCTCTCTCCCCCAGCTTCTTCTTCAATGCGATCAATGATGAATGTACGCGCCAGTGGATCCCTCAAATGAGGGTCCCAAACTCCAGCCATCTCTTCTTCCGTGCGTTTCACCTCACAATCCCCTTCAGGGACTGGGCTAATCTCCGCGGAAGTGACTCTTATCGATAACTAGACAGGCCGCCCTATTGGCAAGGTCTGGCCCTCATGATGGCCCCAAGAGGACCCTTCTACCTGTCACATTACCCTGCATCTCCCGTCGGCCTGAAACCAAAGTCGAACTGAACCACCACACCGGGTGCGACGGTACTCCAACCGGCAGCAGAGGGAAAATCTGCCTGTAACAGCTTTTCCGAGATTCGTCGCAGAATCCCCACACATTACCCTTCATTCGCAAAGATCGATGACAGTCAAGCTTTACTTTATCTGCTGGTGAGCCTTGGCGGATGCTGAAGCCTGTGCGGTTTGGTGTCTCCGTACCACGCCACACGTGATTGTGTCACCAGTACGAAATGGCCATTTTTGAACTCAGCGTCACTTGAAAAAGATCGCTAATTCGCGGACTACGCATCACTGAGTCTACTCTGGAGCGCCTCTCCGTGGAGATGAGCGTGTGTGCTATCTGGCGTTTGACTAGATTAGTATATTTTGCGTGACATTACGCTAATATCAATTAAGCCTTTCTCCCTTGCTGACGTTCCAGGCTGCCACCTAATCGAGCGTTAAGCCACGGAGCTCGTGAGATGGCAGCGGATAGGTCCCATCGAGCAGCCGACTTGGCGGAGTTGTAGGCTCCGACGTTTCAGTCTTGGCTGATGTGCTTGGAAAATATTCGACTTTCAACCGCGCGTCAAAGGATGATTGGATACGTCAATGGCATTCAACTTGTGTGGGAGCAGCCTACGTTCTACCTCAACTTGCTATACATGTCACGTCCGTTGGTGCTGGAACTGCAGTCCGCAAAGCAGCGGCTGTCAAACAGAAGAAAGAATGCAATTGCCAAAGATCTCATCGATTGTCACATGTCTCTTAATTATCAGTGAGAACAGCATTTAAATCACAGAAGAGAGAAGCGATCATGCTCTTATAAATTCAGATCCCCGTGTCAGGTATTAGGTTCCATATTATGCATCATTACTAACATCCCAAGAAAACGCCAAACGACAATCTTTGCCCGTTTCCAATACCAAGGCCGCCGCTTCTACCTCGCCCTATGCCCTTCCCCCAGCAATCCCATATTTTAGAAGTGGTCATCTCTCATGGAAAGCGTTATATCGTGCAGAAAGCGGTGCACACCGGAAAGTGCCAGGTATCATGTACGCGACCCCATGCCTCGCATCACTATCTTGTGGTTAGCAGGTTGATATAATGTGTCGCCTTCAAGAGTGGGCAAGAATCAGGATCAAAAGAAAGTGGCCGCTTACTGTACCGCACGGAATTGTAATCGATCTCGTCTTGATCTTGAGTGTTCCCTTTCTTCGAAGATTGTTCGCCTTTTCGAGGAGCGAGGGTAGTGGCATCGCTGAGCACCGACGCGGAGTCATCATTCGTAGATTTGCTTGAGATTTCCGTGGGCCTCTTGTCGTTTTCTTGTTTCGAATCCTCGGCGTTCTTGGTCTTCTTCGGGGACTTGGACCTGATAGCCCGGTACATGCTGTTCAATGGGGTGAAAGGCATTGTTGCGAGGAGGGAGAGGCAGTTGGAGTTGATTGAATCACGGTGAGAATGGCAGATGAAAGTTGAAGAGTAAGCTTTGTGCTGTCACTGCTGGGTGCTATTTGAACGTCTCCCATCATGCAGTCTTATATACCTGATGGTGATGGAGTTGTATACACTACCGGAGTACTCACGTCTGCACTGGCAGCCTGGCGTCGGGGCTCGGAGTCAACGCACGGGCCATCGGACCAGGCCCGAGCGATCCTGTCATCTTCGCCCAAGCTTATCTTCCCTTCGAGACCCTCTTTCTGACACTTGCTTTCGGACTTCGACTCATACCGACTCATCACTGTGAGTCACTTTCTCAGTCAATTTGTCCCCTGCCATGTCTGCGCCTCGTCGCAACGGCCAGTTGTCGTCATGCGAGCCGTGCCGCAAATCCAAGCTCCGATGCGATCATTCGACTCCGACATGCAAACGCTGCGAGCGCCGTGGGAAATCGGAGCTCTGTGTTTATCACCCTGCCCCACTGACCAAGCCGCGCGAGTCTGGCCAGATCCTCAAGGCAACCAAAAAAATCACGCATAGCCAACCGGTATTATGCGCGAAGACCATTTCCGTCACCAATCTCGGCAGCGCCGCGTCCGTCAGCCTGCTGGGAGCTGCGCAGTTCCCCAGTGTCTCCAAACGTCATCTGTCAGGCAGCGGCTTTCTAGGTCCGACGAGCTACTCGAGCGTGTTTAGCGAAGAGATCGAGCTCGAATTGGGTGGTCGCACTTCGCTTTCCCACACAGATGCACCTCTTGACCCTCAGCGGGTGACTCAAGGGGCTCAGGTGCTCTCACTGCTCGAGCATCTCCCGCTCTATGAGAGGCTGATTGAGAACCGGTTCAGATTCGCTACAGGATGGGTCTTTGGACCCCCGTTGATGCGGGAGCTGAGTGCGCGACTGAAAGCCATCTACCGCAACGCGACAGACGGGTCCGACAACAAATACCTCAGGCTCATGGACATGTCACGTATCTTGTTCAAGAACACAGCGGCTCCGATCCAGACCAAGTCGTCCATGCTTCTGCGCGATTACATCTCTCAATTAACGCTCCGGTGGGATATGGTTGGCCTTCTATTCTCATTTGCGGGCGCCGCAACCTTTCAGGTGCCGCATCAGGAGCTTGACAAGATCCTGAGCGATTATCCCGGAACCACTAAGGAAGGACTGCGACAAATTGCAGTCCAAGCGACCGAGTCATGCCTGCAATTCTGCGACTATCTTGGCATGATCAGCGACCCACAGTCCTGGACTATGGTCCAGCATACGATTGTCCTCTCCAATTTGCACGGGAGTTGTGGTGAGTTCTTGTTGTGCTCGCTGTGACCCCAAGCCCACCTGTTAATGCTATTGCAGATCATCGAACATGGCAGATGCTCGGAGATCTCACGACCCTAGTCTTTGCCCTTGGTCTCCACCAGCCTGCTGCCGACAGTGACATTCCGTTCTTCCTGTCCGAGATGCGCAAGAGAGTCATGGTGGCCGCCTACGCTCTAGACAAGGACATCGCGACCTGCCTAGGGCGACCGCCCCGCATATGTTGGCGCTACTGCAACATCCAATTCCCCCTGGACATTAGCTACGACGAGTTGGTAGCAGAACCGCAGGTCCGAGATGCAGCGATCCAGTGTCTCGATGCCGCAGGCTGGAATGTCGAAGGACGATTGGACAAAGGCGCCCGGGCGAGAGGCTGCCTGATCTCCAGTCTTTTTCGAGAGAGTGTCCTGGAGGTATCATTAAGCCACGAACTTGACGGCCTGGAGGAGAGAGTATTGTAAGAGAACCGCCACTGTACTATCAAACTTCCCACTAACGATATGCAAATAGGGAGGTCTGCCGTAAGTCAGACGAATACCGACTCAGCCTGCCCGAGCACCTGCAATGGACAGACGACAAAGAAGACACCTCGCTGGCATCGCTACACCTCGATTTCTCATACCACCACTTCCTCCTCCTACAGACTCTATTCAAGCGCACAGGCAAAGGACTGGACCTGCTAATCCGCACCTCATCAGACATCATCACACTGCTGCTTAAAATGGTCTCAATGCAATCCCGGCTCGGCCTCGTACCTCCCCACGTCATATTGGACGTAAGTCAAATTATCCCACCCACCCAAACTCATTGACCCCACTAACCCAGATTCCCCCCCAAATATAATAGTTATGCTACATAGGTCTACCAGTCGCAGGCGTCCTCTCCATCGAACTCCTCCGCCGCTCCCAAACCCAACCCCTCAGCATCCTAACCGCTCCCAACCCCACCGCCTCGACCTTCCCCCGCTCCGAAATCATCCAGAAACTCTCCGTATACCTCGCGCAATTCAACACCTTCGTCCCCCAGAACGAAGGGGACTACGAGATCTGCAACCGCGGCCAGAAGGTCATCTCCCAGGCGCTGGACCGCGTCTTGTCGGGTGTTCCGTCCGGCATCTCGGCCTCTGACGCGCTCATGCCGAATGGGATGGCCTTCGGGGATGATATGGAGTTTATGGCGTTCTTGGAGAACTTTGATTGGGAGCAGGAGGTTCGGTTGACTTTTGGGTAGTGGGCTAGCGGCTGGCAGTGTGTGCTGCTTATCGAAGAATCGTCGATGACAATGCTGGCATGGGAGCTTGGTGAGTGATACCTAGCGTGCTATGGCTACCGCAGTATCATGGCTTATATACAAGACAATGCTATACGGATAATGATATCTCAACTGGGATCAATTACCTATACTCTCGTCCAGATACTTTATAGAGGGACGATCCGCTAGTCGGGTCTCAAAACAGATTTCCCGATCGAGCCCCGGCCCCGCAGGCGGATCGGCCCAAAACAGCAAATTCCCGACAATGACCGACTAACCATAAAAGGCAAGTTGCCGCCAAGTCCACACCCACCCCGCGCGGGCCCACGATGACCGAATCTGATCTACACCGGATACGTCATGGGAAGATTTCTCCAAAAATGGATTGAATGCCCGTTGTTCGCTATTGATCCTACTTATTGTAGTAAAGTATGTCATAACACAATATCATTGTCGCTTAACCAGAACCAAGACTTTACCAACTCTATACCCATCTATCAAAAACAGAATATCAAACACTCCGCCAGCACAAGCTATAATACAATTCCCCCTGGTCATCATTATCATGTAACCTCCAGAAATTAAGCTCCCATAGGTTGCTCCTCTCCTCTCGGAGCATTATTGATGAGACTCATAAAGCAGTTCCAGCCTGTAGCGGTAGCAACACCGTTAGCAATCCGCAATGCACCATGCACCTTTTATAGCTAAACCCAGGAGAGAGGGGATAGTACATACCAACGTTAACCACGTTAACCACCAACACGCGGTACTGCAACGGTACCAGGAACAGGTTCACCGCTTGCACCGCGGGCCACACGGTCCAGTTGGCGCGCAGCGCATCCCAGTACGAGCGCTGCAGCTTCTCGGACGGGCTTTTGCCTTCGAGCAGGGACATACTGCTCAGAAATACACCGATCATGGTGGGCGCGAAGAGCAGCTGGTCGGCGCCGACGCGGGCGGCCAGGGTCGTTCCGGCGGAGCGGAGGGCGACGCGCGCTTGCAGGGTCTGGTACCATTTCGTGGCGATGGGGCCGAAAACCGCTGGACCCTGCGGGTTAGTTGTCTTGTCCTGGAAGAGGAGAGTTGAGTCGAGGAAGATAGGTACTCACCTCCTCCGTAGAGGGCCATGCGGCTGCTGCGCATTAGATCATAGTCCGCCAGGCTGCGCTTCTCGACAGCTGTCTGGGCGAGGCCGTCGCCTAGGGCGAAGAGGGCCTAAATGTGGTGTGAGTTATGCATGATACAGAGACTGGGAGATGTTGGCTTACTGCTGTGGTTAGACCCTGTGTCAGGTAGGGACGCTGAATGAGACTCCTTTGGTACCTGGGCGGTGGTTAATTATTGTTGTGGTCGCATAGCATTGGGTGAGCTTACCAGGCGAACATTGTGACTGCTGGCGACTTCTGGTGTCAATTAGACAAGTTGAATACAATTATGATACGGAAAGACGAGTGAAGAGTGTTGCAATTGAGGAGGAATGGTTTTTTCTCCCACGACGAGAATGTGGAATGTTGCTCGGTTTGTGAGTGGCGGATGTTCCGAACAGGAAATCGGCCCGCCGTGACGCAATGGGGTGGAATGCGGGATGAACGCATCTTCCGCGGTACTCATAGAGTCCCCAGTCCCTCATTTCGCGTGCCAAATCTTGATTTGAGTCAAATAAGCTTAATTGCCGAATCTTGGGCGGAAATGGTGGGATTGGTGCTTAATAGTGGTTTTATAGTTCTCTGAGCTGCCGGGTATTTTATGCTCCGTTGCGCGACGTATATATTCTTGGTTCACGGGCTAGACAGGAAAACTTCTTCTCCGGACCGGGAGCAGAAAACGCTCGAGTTGTTTCAACCGGACTTCCCCATGCTGCTGTTGGCTTCCCTAGCCTGGGTTCAGGGCTGTATAGTACCACGCAAGTTGCGTTTCAACATGGATGAGATGTCACAGGGAAGACGGGACCGGAAGCGAGATCATCTTAACTGCAACCCTGAGATTGCGCCTGGTTCAGTTTCCATCCTTGCCATGCATTCGATCCAGTGATCTTGCTAACCACCAGTTTTAGGAGGCTGAGTTACCGGCAAGTCTTACCCCAACTCTCGTTAAAGTCGACAAAATCGGAAAGAGGGGCAATAAGACATGCATCCTGGACCAGCTTGGCAATTAGAGTGACAGCTGTCAAGAACGAATCAAAGTCAAAAGACTCATAAGCATGAACGAGGGACCCAATGCAGAGCCACTCCTCAGAACGCATGGAGCCGAGAAAAATGAAAAGTTCATCAAAATAACCCTGTCACCCAACACTTGCAGAGCAATGAGGTTATTCCCAGAACTTCCGATCCATCGGCACCACACCCCCTGACGGCCCGCAACGGGGTCAATAGTCCGTAATCCGGAACCCTAAAAGGGTTCGATTTTGGCGCCAACACAACAACCGAAATTAGAATCCCCCGTTGGTCCAATGGCAGTACCCCTAATACTTCCTCTTTTAGCTTGTTCTTGACTTGCCCACCCCACAAACACGAACTCTCTTGCACTCCTTCGGGTAATTACGCACCGCCGAAGAGAAATTCGGCCCATGGCGTTGCACGAGTGACACACGCTAAGACGGATTGGCGTGAGGCTTGGCTGCTTGGTTCATGACTTAAGATCTCCGCGTCAGCCCGGATGACTCGGGTCCTACCATTCCTTCCGTGACAACTCAGACTCTGGGTGATTGCGAATATGGCGCAAATCACTCTTCAGAACGTCCTGAAAGCGGCATATGCTGTTGCCCTTGTGGCAGGTACCGTGTCTGCCATTGAACTGGACATCAAGAATGAACGTGTGTCTTTCGTTGAATTGTCCACTTGTTTCCCGTTCATGCTGACCCACTGCGAACCACAGAGTCCATCAAAAATGCGGCCGCAACCGCCGTGTTCAACACTATGCAGCACTACGACGGGAACAAGACCGGCGGGATCCCAGGTGTCCTCCCCGAGCTTTGGGGTGAGGGCGGGATTCTCTTCAACCTGATGATCCAATACTGGTATTTCACCGGCGATGCCTCCAACAACGCCGCAGTTAGCCAGGGCATGTATCAACAAGTTGGCAACAACAACAACTACATGCCGTCCAACTATAGCTCATACATGGGTAATGACGACCAGATGGCCTGGGGTCTCGCCGCAATGACAGCTGCGGAACTGGGCTATCCCGAGGATACCGACCAGACCTCGTGGTTGACCCTTGCTGAGGGTGTCTTTAACACCCAGGTCGCAAGATGGGATACCAGCAACTGCGGCGGTGGACTGCGCTGGCAGATCTGGCCTTACCAGGCGGGATACAACATGAAAAACTCCATCAGCAACGGTGGCCTGTTCCAGCTTTCTGCCCGATTGGCTCGGTACACCAACAACCAAACGTATGCGGACTGGGCGGAGAAGATCTGGGACTGGAGCGCCAGCGTTCCGCTCCTGAACAACAAGACATGGAGTGTTGCAGACAGCACGGATATCGACAACGACTGCACCACACAGGGAAACAATCAGTGGACAGCGAACTACGGCCCATATATCAGCGGTGCGGCCTATATGTACAACTTCGTAAGTCAACCTTGCAGACTCTTTCCCCAGATCAACTCCCAGACAAAGGCGACTAATAAGACCATAGACCAACGGTCAGACCAGCAAATGGAAGTCCGGGCTGGACGGTCTGCTCAACGCCACGCTTGAAGAGTTCTTCCCCGAGAAATACGGCGGCTTGATCCTGTCGGAAATCATCTGCGGGCCGGAGGAGGTCTGCAACTCGATTGAGAATACGTACAAGGGGACCTTCGCTTCGGACTTGACCCTTGCGAGCCTTGTCGCTCCGTATATCTCTTCGGAGATCTCCTCGCGTCTGCAGGCGTCGGCGGTTGCAGCTGCGAAGCAATGCACGGGCGGAAGCAACCAGACAATCTGTGGTACTCGCTGGTACTCGGAGAAGTGGGATGACACAGATGGGATGGAGCAGCAGCTCAGTGCAGCAAGCATCTTTTTCTCGAATCTGGCTAGATCTAATGAGAAAGGGGTTGTTAGTGGATCGACTGCTAACCTGACCACGGGGCAGAGTGGGACGAACACGACCACCACCAACAGCACCGCTATTCCTGTTGCTTTGAATAGTGCCAACCAATTGTTTCAGGGGCAGCTTGGTACTGTTGCTGGTGCCCTGGCAGTTGCTGTGTCTCTCTTCGTGCTTTGAAGCTGTCACTGAACGATGATGGTGGATGTTGAGTGGGGGTTGTGTTGATGGTGGGCTTTTCAATCGATCCCAGTCTTTCCGTTCCATAGTTATCTGCAGACTCATTACCAGAACACCACTCCTGTGCATTCAACAGTTTTCAACTACTATCATGATTTTGAATCCCCAGCAATGGAAAGCTTAATGTCGCCAAACGGCACACAAGCGCATGAAGCGGGAGGAACCGGAGAATACTTCCACTCTGGCCCGCCTCTCTTCTCGGATGCTGAGTTTGATGAACTCCTTCACTCAATAGACGAACACGTGGAGCAATCATATACCACCTCATTTGATTCAATCTCTCTGTTCGCACGCTCGGAAGGCTCCCTTGCTTGTTTAGGGGCATTGGGACAAGGAAAGGCGCTCGTACACGATGACGACACATCCAACACAGAAGCTGCTGCAAATCTGCAACAATTTCAAATAAAGCTTCTCAGCTCCCAGAGAGAGAATGTTATACTTCGAGAACCAATACCTTTGGCTCCCTACTGTCGCATGACTTTGCTGGAATGAATGGGGCGGATCAAAGCACAGCATTTCCCCAGACACTGAGGAACAGCACACTCGGCACATACGAAACTGAGCTCGGTAGGCAATTCAAGACGTCGAAACTACTGGATCGCGAATTACAGAAGTCCTTTATTCGACATGACTCAACTCTAGGCCCGTTCGACAGATGGAGAAACCCCCCCCCGAAGCTTGAAGCTGCATCACTGGAAGATATCATGAACGCAGTGGCAACTAGCGAGCAAAATGAGTTACAGGGTATACTTCCGCCTGCTGTCGTCATCCCGCAGGGGCAGCACGATGCGCAGTCCCAGACTTCCTCACAAGCGTCCGGGTCAGGCGTTTCCAGTCATTCCGAATCATCGGCCTACAGCTTCGCATCGAAAAACTCCCAAGGCTCGTTCATCCAATTCCATAGCGGCCAATCGCGCCGTCGGCGCCGGCGCCGAACGAAACCCACAAGCGCGGCCACCAAGCCTAAGAAAAGCTCCACTCGAAAACGAATATTCCAGTGCACGTTCTGCACGGATGCTTTTGCAACGAAGTACGACTAGACGCAGCATGAGAAAACACTGCACTTGTCGCTGGAAAGCTACACCTGCTGTCCCTTCGACGCAACGTACAGTGACCCAATAACCGGCAGTCAACGGTGCGCATTCTGCGATGAGGAAAGCCCATCGCGTGGTCATCTGGAGTCTCACCGGGTGCGCTCGTGTAGTATAAAGCCTCAGATCGTCCGGACCTTCTTCCGCAAAGACCACTTAGTGCAGCATCTGCGCTTGGCGCGCGGAGTCAGCCAGATGCTACCATCGATGGAGACCTGGAAAGCACATATGACCAAGATCAATTGCCGATGCGGCTTCTGTGGACAGGCTTTCACGGATTGGTCGGAAAGGACAGATCACATTGCCCAACATTTCCGTGCAGGATCTCTAATGGCGGATTGGACATGCTGCCGTGATCTTGATCCGCCCGTGGAGCTTGCTGTAGAGAATGCCATGCCGCCTTCTTCGATCGGGATCGAGTCAACTGGGAAAGACTCCTTCAACGCCTCCAGGTTCGCTGGCAAACACGCCAACGCGGAGTGCAACTCTGGTGGCGCTGGCAGGAATGGAACGACGGCAATTGAACCAAATCAGTTTAAAACCCTCACATCCCAGCTGAATCTATTTGTGCATGAAGTCCAGGCTTCAGGGGGAATGGTAACAGATGAGATACTGCAAAGACACGCACGCAGCATTATGTACGGCGACGATAATCCTTGGAATCAGACAGCTGCCGATAATGCGGAGTGGCTCAAATTATTCAAGCAAGGGATCGGGTTAGACGCTGCGCCTCCTTCTTTTCAGTCCATTTCTCTCGACCAACCCAGTTTGAATAAGAATAGCTTTCGCCTTCCTTGGTCAGCTGAGGATTGGGCTCCTTGTAATCCGTCCTCGGGTCCCGAGGATTACACTGAACATGAAACGGAGGACGCATGCAAACCCTGGGCATGGCAAAGTCCAGAATGTCTAGTTAAATTTAGACAACAACAAATGGCCCAATCGTTGACACAGCCACCTTGCAGTCATAATCAGGGAAGTATATGATACACTGCGATGGGATAGAGCAATGTCCCTTGCTGTCATCAGAAACATTACTCGTCGGGATCTTCCTCCCGGACGCGACCAGACACCCCTAAAATCTCTGCTTGAGCGGCAGTCGCTGCCTTCAGCACAGTCTGCTTCTGAAGAGGGGTACTCAATTCAATTGTGTGGGAACGTTCAGGCGTTGTGATGATGAGTTCATTTTCCAGAAGTATACAGCTCCAAAACTGTCGCAAACTAAAGTCGAACCATAGAGTGAACAAAGTCTTCCATATCTCATAGTCGACATCTGGAAGCATATCAAAGAACTCAGCGTGCTTTCGCAGAGCACTTTCGGCACTTGAGACTACATCCTTCAATGGAGATCTCAGAAACGAGATCAAGATCTCTAGAATTTTGGGCGTCAAACGTCTGTGCTGACGAAGGAGTATAGCGACTCCGTACGTAACTCCAACATCCGAGTCTGGCAAATGTAGGCTCACCAATTCCAGAATATCATCTGGTAATACACAGTCAGATTTCCACGCACAGCTCACGAAACTTACCAGAGAGTGATCATCGGAGCCGGACAGCATGGCTGTACAAGGCTTCGTGGCACATTCGGGGAATGTGGACTGACTCGCGAAAACCTCCCATATGGAAGATTCTATTTCCACGGATCGTTGCAATAATGGAATCAAAGACTCCAGAATATCCTCACTCAGGTTACGATATCGTCTAAGGATACCCAGAGCACCTGTGGCATTTTGTTCATCGGCGTGCCCGCAGAATGCGACTAGCTCTTCCAAGATCTCATTGCAGAGCTTGGAGTGACGAGAGTATCTGGAGAATATGTCGAGGACAATCCTCTGTTGCGACAGGTCACCACCCTTCAGTTTCAATACCAAATACTGTATATAGTGGTCAGAGATCGGCTGTGACGCAATAAATCTAATCGCAGCTGAGCGAATATGTGGATTCCCATCATCGAGGAAGGAAATAACACTGCCGACAATGTTCTCGGACCGACTGGCATGTTTTCCCCACGCTTCCAAGATCCCATTGCATAGCTTGGAGTGACGAGAGTATCTGGAGAATATGTCGAGGACAATCTCATGTTCCGACAGGTCACCACCCTCTAGTTTCGACACCAAATACTGCATATGGTGGTAAGGGATCGGCTGTGCCGCAATGAATCTAATCGCAGCTGAGCGAATATGTGGATTCCCATCAGCGAGGAAAGGAATAACACTGTCGACAATGTTCTCGGACCGACTGGCATGTATTCCCCATGCTTCCATTGCCGCACTTCTTATACTGATGTCCTTATCTGCTATCATTCTGTGCGCAAGGGAGTCGAGGATGCTCGGTGGGAAAGTCTTTTGTGATCCCAGGATCTTGACAGAGGACCTTCTAGCCTCCACATCCTCATCATTCAACCTTCTGCGTAATAGATCAAGGATGCCTTGTTGCTCATGAGGTTGGTCTTGCCCAACGTATTGCTTTACCAATGTTTTGAATGCCGCTTCTCGTACCTTAGTGTCCTCATCCTTTATCATCCGAAACGCCAAGGAGTTAAGAACTTTCCGCGGTAACGTCTTTCGCGACTGCAATGCACGAGCGGAGTGTTCCCGAACCTTCGCGTCTTCATCATTGAGAAGGAGGTACAATGCATCGAGAGCATCTTGTCGGTCCGGGACTGCCTCGCAAGCATGTATTACCGCTAACCTCACCATTCTCTCATCATCACGCTGGTGGCGCAACACTGTGGAAATTATCGCCGTGTTTTTAGAAACCTGGTGCGCCAAGATTTTGATCGAAACCTCTCTGGCATATGGATGTCGACTTTCTGTTAGTGATACAAGCTTTGTAATACTTGCTTCGGACAAAGCTCTTTGTTCTTGCAATAAGAAAGCGCGAGAAAGCGAAAATGAGTCTCGTGACTCTTCCAAACCGGCTATCAGAATCTCAACAACTTGCTCCGGTAGTCTGCGATTGGTCAGGGTGAATAAAAGGCCGTCACCGTGCCTAGAATCTGAATCTATCATAATTTCAAAAATAATTTCTGGACAAGATTCGCAATGTGCCGAAAGAACAGCGAAATATTTCCCCCTTTCTTCCACTCTAGCGGTTTTTGCCAAATTCGAAATCTTTTGCAAAAGCTCCAATGATACTTGAGCACGATCTCTCAGGATCCAGAGAGCGTGTTCTTTCACTTCAGTCACCCCTATATCTATGATGCGTTGAAGCAAGTGTTCAGGAAGTTCCATCTCGTACCATAATCTGCAACATTCGAAGAGAGTCTGACCAACTCTTGCAGTCAGAAGATCATAAAGTCCATCCTCCATTCTGCGCTTTATCCGCTGCAGAGCAGGATTTGGAGGAGTAGGAGATAGCTCGTTGAAGCAATACATCATAATGCCGGGGTGGGCAGCCGCCAGTAGATCTCTCGGCTCGCTGTCCAATACTTGTATAAATTGAACCAGCATTTCTTGGCTCTGACTGCTGAGAAGTCCTGCTACAAACCGCCACATGATGTTATAGCGAGCATTATACTTCTCGCGGTGTACGAAGTCTGTCAAGTTTAGGCCATGAAGTTCGGCCGATTTCATCTCAACACAGTACAACTGCGTATCATTTATCCAACTGTGTGCAAAGTAATGAGCAGCGAAGAACTCTTGAAAGGTCATGTGGATGAAGTAATAGGTTCGGTATCGGTCATTCTCTGCGAAGTGAGAAGTTCGAAGAAAGGAGAGGTCATTCAGCATGTTGTCTGATTTACCTGCCATTCCGGGAAGTTGTGTGTATAATTCCCTCAAATGGTCACGCGTGAACTCGGCAATTCCGTTATAGAGACCACTGAATGCAAGCTTCTGCACCAGGTCAATATGATCAGGGATCTCATGTTCAATTTGCGACCGCAAATAGATATTATTGACCTGGTTTTCACTTAGTTTGGTCAACGGCATCATATCCCTTTTCCACAGTTTCACTTCAATTGCCTGGTACAGCTCAGTCATCGTTCTCATGGTATTTGAATTGAACCGATCATTCCAGGCAAAGCACAAGGCATCCAGCTGAATAGGAATTTGAAGCAGGCTTTTGATTAACCAGTGGCTGTTGATGAAATTCGTGATTTCAATGGCAGATTGTTTGTTTTCGCCATTGCCGTTGACAACCCGGTCCACGTACGAATTCACCTGATCAGGGCGGAAGCCAACAGTCTCAAGCTCAAGGTCAAATGCCTCTATTAGACTGTCGAAGTTCGCATGTGGCCTAGAAGTGATGATAACGTTCGGTTGATTGAGAAGGTCCAAGACTTGCTGCGACTTCACGAGATCCCCACTGGGTGTCTTCTCGCTGACGATTTCATCATACCCGTCGAGTAGTAAGAGAGTTCTGTTGTCTGCAGGATCAAAAATTGTCTCCAGAAGAACGCCAAGAAAATGTTCCTTCTCTGCATGCGTTGACCAAACTTCACGTCGGAGAAAGTTCTCGATACTTGGATTCTCTTTCAGCTTGCGTAGTGGTATCCATAGCACTCGCTCAAATTGCCAGGACGGAAGTTTGCCGTTGATGAAGTCGTGAACAATTTTCTTGCACAAGGTTGTCTTTCCAATTCCAGCACGACCTCTGATCAGTATGCGCTTCGGTATCCCCTGCTGGCCATCACACGAACTTTTGTGACTTCGCAACTCACGAGTGTTAAAGAGCTCTCCTAACTCAATTGCTTTCCCCTGGGGTGGGGCTTCAATCTTCAGACGCTCACGGAGGGAACATTTAGTATATTCCTGGCTCTGTGGCTCTGAAGAAGCCTCAACGATACCAAGATTTATGTAACAATTCCCAATGTCTAATATGTCATTGGACAGGCGAAGTATCTTGAGTCTGTTTTGTTGTAAGTAGTGCCCGACTAATGCAGCATCGGCGTAGAATCTTTGGGCTTCCTTGCAGGAGCACCATGCATCAGTTAGCAGCCCTGCGCTAGTAGTTTCAGTCGTAATAGGATCGAAGGGCTTGTTCAGTTGTGGCTCCCGTGTTTTCTTCTTGAGAAAGCATAGCGGAAACGATCGGTGTGCCTTTGGTGAAGATTTTTTCCAATTACCATGGCCAAAGGTCTCTGAGATCAAATTGATCCAGTGCTGAACATGTGGCTCCTTTGCTTCAGATTTGCGCAAGGATGGCAACGATAAAGTCGTATGAGTAAGACTGATGATCTTCTCCTTGGTCTGTTCGTCCCCTCTTAAATAACTCTGCTCAAGTTGAGCATAAAGGCCACACCAGAACTGCCAATTATCTCCGCAAGGCACCTTCGCCAGTATATGATTGAGTGTGTCAAAAGAGCTGCCCTCAGCAGCGATGAGCAACCCGGTGTAACGCAGCACGCCATACCAGATTCTTTGCTTTGGTAGTCTCTGGATGTTTTCAACAAACACTTGATCCATATTCTTCATAGCTTCCACCATCTCTCTGCCCTCGCCATAGATCTTCTTGAACCACTCCAATAATTCCATCAGGTTTGGACCTGCCTCTAGTAGCTTTTCCGGATTCATGGCTGAGACAGCTCCAGCTGTCTTTGCTGCCAATGCAAGCACCGTGCCACTGGTATTCCAAAAGATGTCCCAGGGTCCTTGATTGTCTGACACTCCTTGCAGGGCTTCGAAGGCGTATGCAGCTGCCTGGGCCAACCGTGGCTCGTCTTTATCCTTCAACCTTCTGAGTTGCTTGAGAAGTGGGTCTCTCAGAGATTCTTTATCGACCTCCGAGGCTTTGATATCGACCGCGACATCTAGCAAGGCGCCTAGTGAATGGCACAGGATGTATTGAGCAGTCAAAGCGTTCTCCCGATCCGCCCAGTCCAGTCTCTTGCGCAGACCATCAACAGCTGCAAAAGGCCCATGGCGTGGATACCCCTCAGGGCGACTGTGGAGAATATGGACGAAACTGGGAAGCAAATCTTGGTCCAAAGCGGTGCCTTTGTCGGCGTTGTTCACGATCGCATGCGCGAAAACTTGAGTCAACTGGTTGTATTGTCTTTCCGTCGTTGCTGGTGACAGACGCGACGCTTCGAAATAGTGACTTGGACGACCTTGATCACGAAATCGGTCAATCATCGATGAGACGAGGGCTTGCAAGGCGGCCTTTTCTTTCTTGTCACAGGCAGGATTAGTCAGCCGTGAGAGGATCTCATCGACATCTTTCGGTCTGGAAGGGTAGTGTAACGGTGGAGCCATGCTGGCTTGGGAACTAGAGGACTGCTTGCTCGATACTGCCAGAAGGAGACACAAGAGATGAGGGGGATGAGGTAGGAGCGGAACCAAAATGACCAGAGCGAAAAATAAGCCCAATCTTAGAGCGTATGCACGATGAATTGTTCCAGCTGACTTCGGCCGCGCCGGCACTTAGCGCCATGCGAAGAACCCTGCTAGCTGCTGACATGCTTGAATCCGGAAAAATCTGTCAATCAGGGAGTGAGTACGAGATTTTGCTTTTTGTTCGACGGGTTCCTTGCTGGACTGGTCTTCTTGTCACTAGGCTGTCAGTCTTTCTTTCCTTATTCCCCTCTTCTCCATACTAAGCATCACCACATTGTTCCTTCCCGCCTCATAACTACACTCATTATCCACCTTGCCCTGGATGTGGTCACTAGATCTATTCTCAGTTACTCTTGCTTTTGTTATTCTAGACGCTACTTGGTTCTCGGCTACTCAGTGGCGGGTATCGGCCGGCTCTCGATAGAATCGGCGAAATTACCATGGCTCTCCATCCATGCGTCATTTGCGAACTTGATAAGATAGTTCCGGAGACTATCTGCCAGAATCAACACAACCCTCTTGTCTTTAAAGGTTGAATTCCGGACGCAGCTTGAGAAACTCGATCAACCCTGCAAAGGCCGCCCGCGACGATCCGCCGCGAAGTAGCCCCTCCTTACTCACCAACTCCCTGGCACAATTGAAGGAAGCCTCATCGGTAGTCCTGACCCATAAACTTGGCGCTGCCTGGTCAAGCACTCCAGGGACAAGGTCATATTCAATCCCCTCGACAAGGAACTCGCTCTTCAGTTTATTGAGAGAGGGTGGAGCTGCCAGAACCGAGCCCACGGGGTCAACACCAACAACTTATACATCGGGGTTCCTCTTCCTCAATCCCTTGGCGACAACGGTGACTGTACTGCCTGTTCCAGCTCCAGCAATCGTGATATCTACTTTGCCCTGTTTCTAGTACTATATCTTCTCTGCGGGTCCGAACTCATCAGTGGCGGGGTTCTCCGGGTTGTTGTATTGATCCAAGATCCAAGAGTCAGGAATCTCTTCGTTCAAGCGCTTCGCCCCACTGAGGATCGAGTATGGCGATTCAATGGAACTCCTGCGGGTGTTCGGACCACTCTGACACTGTGAGCCAAAAGAATCTGTTCCTTCTCGAAGGACATCTTCTCCGAGAATGTGATTATGCATTTGTAGCCCTTAACGGCTGCCATGAGGGCGATGGCTATCCCGCTAATCCTAGTATCAGCGTAGGCTATCACGATAGGGTTGAAATAGCATACTTGTTTCCACTCGAGGCTTCAATCAAGGTGTCGCCGGGCTTGATTTTCCCATCTCGTTCGGCTTGCTCGACCATGCGTCTCGCTATCCGGTCCTTGACGGACCCACCAGCATTGAAGTATTCGAGCTTTGCGCAGATGTTGGCCTTGGTACCGTGGAGGGCAGGTAGTCAATTGAGCCTCACCAGAGAGAATGCACCAATATGTTCAGCGACAGAGTCGCTGAGGAGCTGGCCTCGATAAGGGTTTATGATTGCGTTGTGGTTGCTGATCGGTAGACTTGGGTCGAACCAATGTTATTGAATCTACTTTATCTGACAGATATAATCCGTATAAATATAGGTAGAATCCTGAGAGAATATCGCAGTCGCTTAGCTCTAGCAAATTCTGTAGAGTATTGGTATGTTTACACGGGCGACACCACGCTTTTGTCGGCGCCTTTGATATTTCCACATTGGGAAATGGTGGAGTTGGTCACGGGTCAAGCCACTGACTCAGCATCATGAGCACGGACCACTATTCCAAAAAGGGTCATGTCTAAGGCGTGAACCATTTTTGCAAGCGACGATGAGAGCACCACATTCTAGATCGACAGTCATTACAAAGCTTGAACCATAAAGCACCCGTGGTATTTATAGCGATCAAGATACCAGCTGCTCATTAGTGGAATATCACTCCATCACAGAGCACGATGGCCTCACCGGAACAAATGCAGACTGCAGCCGGCCAAACCCGCCTGGTCCGGCACTTTGCAGGACAGTATGCGTCTCAACTTCCATGGACTTCGGACTATGCATACGAGCACACGTGCTGATCCAGTCCTCTGCACTTTAGATCAATCGACCAGCATACAGACGGCTGGGCCCAGCTCTGGGACACGGACAACAGTGACCTCTGGGACCGAGGCAAGCCGTCCCCGGCGCTGATCGATCTCGTCGAAGAGCGCCGCGATCTAGTATCCCCTGTTAGAGCCGATGGAAGTCGGAAGACGGCTCTGGTGCCGGTAAGTTCGCTCTTCGCTGTTCGAAACTGCGCCAATTGGCCCATAGACGCAGGCACTAATCAATTCGTCTAGGGCTGCGGCAAAGGCTACGACGTCGTCATGCTCGCGCTGCACGGCTTCGACGCCTACGGGCTCGAGGTCTCCGCCACTGGTGTGTCTGTCGCGAAGCAATACGCTGAGAGCGAGCTCGCGAGTCCGCAAGCGTACAACCGCGGCGCAGCTTGGGTTGATTGTCAACCTGGGAAGGTGGAGTTCATCCAGGGAGATTTTTTCAAGCGGGATTGGGAGAAGCCTGGTTTGAAGTTCGATTTGATCTATGATTATACGGTATGCTTTCACTTAGACCCTCATAGCGGGGTGATTACACATGACAGTCTGACTAAATTGAACCAAGTTCCTCTGCGCACTCCACCCCAGCATGCGCTCCCAATGGGCCGCCCGGATGGCCGACCTCCTGATCCCCGGGGGTCAGCTTATCTGTCTTGAGTTCCCGCTGTGGAAGGATCCTAGTCTCCCTGGACCACCCTGGGGACTAACGGGGGTACACTGGAATCTCCTCGCCGAGGGCGGCAACGGCATCGTAAATTCGGACGGAGCCAACGACGAGTCTGCGGGCCAGAACGGCTTGTTTACACGGACCTTTTATATGAAACCCGCGCGGTCGTACGAAAACGGGCGCGGAACTGATATGTTGAGCATATATACACGCAAATAGATTCACTAATGCTAGATTCACATATTCTGAAGGTGCAAGGGGGTGTAGACGCCCCACCCGTAATTACGCATGTGTTTCGCGGCACATTTGTAGCTTGGGGGTTCCTCTGCGCCTGCGGCGCGAAGAAGACGGACACAGTCTGTATGGCCGCCGCGTATGGCATAGTGAAGGGCTGTCCATCCGTGGAATCCGGGGTTGTTGACGGTTGCGCCGCGATAGATGAGGTGCTCTGCTATGTCTGTGTGGCCGTATCGGCAGGCCAGATGGAGCGGTGTCCAGTTATGGGTGGTTGTTGCGTCAATTGCGGCGCCGGAGAGGAGTAGAATGCCTACAGCATAGAGGTTTCCGTGACGGGATGCGGCGTGGAGGGCGGATTCGCCTGCGCTGTTACGGTGATTGACTGGGGCTCCGCGGTGAAGGAGTCTTTGGAGGATGGTTGCATCGGAGGATGTGGTTACGGCTCGGTGGAGGTGGAAGTGTGTGCCTTTGTGGATCTCGTGGATGAGGCGATCATCGGCGTAAGGGACTGCGAGGGCTGAGAGCTGGTGGCAGACGAGACGGAGGGAGAGTAGGTCTGTTTTGCTGAGTAGCTGGTGGGTTTCAGTGACTATTTGCAGAGTATGAACGTTGGCAGACAAACCGGGAGGATAAGATAAAGGATCTCAATCGGTAGGTCGCTGAGAGACGGCATGGTAAGCTATTTTTATTTGTATATTGGAAGCAGACTCACATGGCTGGCGTAGGCACTTTATACGATAATCTTGCCCTGTAGAAGCTCTCGGTGAAGGTTGCCTGTTTTGTGAGGATTTGATTCTGCAGTGTCATCAAGCCATAACAGTGTCCACTATAAGCGACAGGTAATATATCCGATTTTCTTGATTTGTTGCGTTAGAAGGGCGTTGGCGGAGCTGAAACGGTAGTCCTGGGCTGGCTGAAGTAAAGTCCATGGTATACTGGAGGGAGCCTTCGCTCTTTGATCTGTACCGACGTGGAGTCCTGGAAGAATAAGAATAATTCGATTGAACCAATTCTTCATTTACCTTGCCCTCAAAGAAGCGAAGAATATGAATCAGTGGTGTTTTCGGTGCTGAATGAATGATGTGGAACTACTTTCAGGTCGCTACTAAGCAGACGGACTTATCTCGGTCGGCTGCATATCACTAATTGAGGCCATCATACTTAGCATGGTTACTTGTGTCTGTGGCAGTGCTAGCTTGACTCACATAAGGTTGGCGCTTGCTTCAGATAGTATTTCTGTTCATTTCGGCCTCATCAAATCATCAAAAGAAAAACAACTTAAAATGTAGTGTTGGATGTTGTTCTTTTTCTACTAGAGTAACCTAAAGACCCCATTAAGCTAGCCCAGTGGTCCAGGCAGCACCCGACCCAACCTTAGGCAACCACCACCCAACACAACTCACTCCAATACAACCGACATCCTCTTCTTCAGCGCTGGACAACCATTTGTCCTTCTTCAACGACATGTGGAGGCCATCATCTGTATCCCGCCGCTAAGCATCCTTCACCGATTTCCTCGTCGAAGAAACAGACACTATGTGATCCTCCCGATCCCTCTCGGCCTTTGCGGCTTTTAGACCTGTCTATAAAACAGCGAGCAACCCAGCAACCCAGCAAGCAACAAAGACTTCCTTCTACAATTTCCCCGCAGCACAACCTATAGCACACAATGGACGTCAGCACAACCCCCGAGATTACTCTCTACCGTGGCTTTCCCTACCCAGGGCAGTATACGTGGTCTCCCTTCGTCACGAAACTCGAGGCCCGTCTGCGATTCGCTAGAGTCTCGTATCGCACGGCCACGGGCTCGCCGCTCCGCAGCCCCCGCGGGAAGATTCCCTACGTGGACATCACACATCCCAAGACGGGGACGAAGACCACTATCTCGGATTCGGCTCTGATTGCCAGGGGACTCGTGGAAGATGGGGTTCTACCTGATATCAACGGTGATTTGGAGCCGCAGGAGAAGGTGCTGGATGCTGGGGTAAGGGCGATGCTGGAGGATCGGCTGTATTTCTTCCAGGTATGTTAGACGCAAATTGAGCTGAGCTCACTGTGAGTTGCGGCGGACTGACAAGGCGATAGAGCCATGAGAAATGGGTGGAGAATTACTACGAGATGCGCCGGCATGTTCTGCAGGCCCTGCCCTATCCGGCGCAGATTGCGGTGGGGTACTTTATTTATCGGAAGCAGACGCAGATGCTGTATGATCAGGGCACTATGCGGTTCACGTCGGAGGAGCTGAAAGGGTTCAAGGAGGAGATCTGGGCGACGTTAAACGAGTTGCTGGTGTGGGAAAGGGCGAAGAAGGAGACTGACGGTCCGTTCTGGGTGCTCGGGGGCGAAGAGCCGACTGAGGCTGACGCAGCCCTGTTCGGTTTCATTGTGGGGGTTTTGATCTGCTCCGCGTGAGTGCGCCAGTTTCTTCCGCCGGTCTATGCGAAGCTAACTCTTGCAGCTGTCCGGAGAGCCAAGCGATCGTGAGAAGCTTCCCTGCTGTGGTGAATTACGCCAGGCGCATTCATGAGCGCTATTTCCCGGAGTACACCTATTGGGAGTAAGACAAGCGACATGCGATGTTTCTTATTGGATGTCTGCTCAGTCTACCCTTATTGATTTGCCCAGTCTACCATGATAATTGCACATAAATAGACGCCCTGTATATCCCATTCCTCGCCCGCCGTCGGCCAGCTCGACGACAACAAAGATGGTTGAACAAATAATTTCTCTCCCACAGCGGGTGCAATCAACTTGAACCGAATAGTCGGCGCATACTTGAGTTCTGGTCGTAATCTACCTCAATTCGATCTAGGTGACTTACAGACATAGAGCCACACCAGCCTTGGAGGCATTGTAAAGCTGGTGGTGAGACGGCCAGCCTATCCGCCTAATTGACGTTTCTTGATACATTCAATCCACCACCAAGGTCATCCTTTTTTAAACAAGCACCAAGACAGCAAGCACCAAGACAAGAAGTTCAAGGGTATAAGCACATCTCGATTTTCCCCCCGCAGTGTTAGTACAACCAGCACATACGAACGGTATGATATTACGGCCAAGGGTTGGTTCGTCGCGGCTTTCGTGTTCTACTAAAGGTTTGACACAGACTTGTTCGCTTATTTTGTAGCTGACGAGCAAACCCCTCGTCTGAACGTTCTTCCAAGACCATTATCGCAGAGCACAGCAGTACAAAGGAAGAAAAGTTTCCGTTGGGTTCCCTCGTGTTCAAGAGGATTTCTTTTCCTCTGCGGTCATGCCCCCAATGATGGATCGACCGTAATCCGCAACATACACTCCAAGATCGTTATCTGTTTCGAAAATCGCGCTTAGTTAACATGTTCTTCCACTGCGACCGTAGCAGAAAGGAAATTGCCCAGAAAACGTACAAGTATCAATGCCATATTCCATGACATCCTCGGTGTATTCGAACTGCATCAATTCAATAAATCACCAGGTCTCAGCGAGATCTGTGGTGAAGGATAGTTGTTTCTTACCGCGGTACCGTCTTCCACGTAATCAAGGAGCGCGAATGTGTCCGCCTTGATTCTCGGCCAAAAATTATCCACAAGAATGATATCGGCCGAGATAGTGTCTAGATTGGAGTCCCGCAAGGTCGTCAGGATGGACCGGGCTTCCTGAATAACCTTGATCTCTTTTTCCTTGTCTTCGATCTTGCCTTCCGCGGCGAGAATCTCTCTTTGCAGCCCTATTATTTAAGGGTGGATACAATTAGTCATGTGTAAAGACCCAAGGGGTCAAGGATGTGCAGAAACTGACAAGCGATCTTCTCTTGCTTGGCCGAGATGGCTACGGCCGTTGCTGCAACGCCAATTACGCCTACAAGCTGTATGCGCGCCGCCCTTTGTTAGCAAGAAAAAGGGATAGGGCATCAAGCCCTAGGGTAACGCCGAATCAGATCGGGGGGCTTATCGTGGCCGGTGTATCACTGGCGTCTACCACGGCCATCATGATTGAGATTGGCGGTGAGTTTGCCCCTATTCCCCGACTACAGCACTTCATCTTTTCACTGTGATTCACTGACCCAAGGAAACGGTAGCTGTCAGGCAAGAGATTGCCGACAAGACTAGGCAGAGGGATCAACTCGAGGCCGATCTAGAAGACATACGAGAGGCCCGGGAGCAGGTTCAAGCCATGAGCTCAGCCGACCTTCAATCTTTCGGAGGAACAATCTCGTCAATGACTAGCACGCCGAATGCTACCATCAAAGATGCAGAAGATATCCTGACATGGCTAGATAATGGGGCACCAGATAGTGTAAGAGAAAATCACCATTCCCTCCATCTGCCACCAGGTTTCCGCAACGACTTCCTACTCGATCCTCATCAAATCCTTTCCAAAACTTTACGCCAGGAGCCCGACTAATATAAAAAACCTCTTCTACAGGGCCGACCGTCTTATCTGACCTTTCGAACTAATAACAACGCGAAAAGCTGTGAGGACCCTGCTCTCCCTGTTTATCACCTAGAACCTCAATCCACTGCTAGAAGGCTAACTTCAGCTGCGATACCAGATGCGTCCATGGCCAACTATCTGCGCGAGTACGGACGCGGTGTCATGCCTTTCTGCACTAATCCGACGTCCGTCCCCGAGTAATATCTGTTTGTTGGCCGAGAAAATACCAGGGGTCCTTGCAAAGATTCTCCGTTGAAAGTAGCTTGACTATAGGATTAGAGACTTTTAATCCCCCCCCCCCCGCCGGTATTACGTCCGATCATTCTGGATTTCAAACGTCACTCCAGCACATATTTAACGATTGATATCTTGTACTGTAATTTATCTCCGTATTTGAATCTACCAATTAATCCCCGCCACGGCTGAACAAGTCGGCAAATGGCAGTACAGCAAGAGTCTGTTCTACTATGTAGTAATGTATCCGATGCCCCTCGGGAATATTGTAAGGTGTGCAAGTAAAAGTGTGGTTTATTGTATTGGAATCGTGGGCTTGTGGGGGGGTGAGGCCTCAGGCTGCGTACTCACCGCCTCAGGTGCACGTGTAGGTACTCTAAGTAGATAGCTTCGCCTCCGGGCCATAAATCCACCACCTTCCACGCCTCCTTCTGATCTGGAAAGACGCGAAATCCGATGCGGACGCATGGTTAGCTTCTTATACCAGAAAGTTCGAAGAAGATTTGGCTCACAAGCGCCGTTACATGAAAACTAAAAAGTGAACAGCAGCTCATGTTGATCGAGAGTTGACCGAGATTCGACAAGCCTGCTTCGCACGTCATTGAAAACTGGGGCCAACGCTTAAAAGCGGCGTGCAACAGTCGGACCTCCATACCCCGGCTCACTGTATCCAGCCCCTTCTCCTCCAGACACAGACGGTACGGTGCGTCTGCTAACCAGACAATCTTCCAGTGTTTTCTTATCTAGGAAGACCCCGCGTTCGGATCCCAAACCAAGCTCGTATCCACAACTCACGAAATCTTGTTTACGGAACGAATCCCGATCAGCTGACTCGATAGTTGATGGGCTGATGGCGAATCACCCCTGCAGGTATCGGGATCTGCGCTTGATTGTGAACCATCTAGAACGTGCTTCCCAGCCGGGCGGCTGGCCAGGACCAGACTGCACTACACTATATCTGCCAAGTATATCGTCGATAACCAGCAGCCAGCCTCGGCAAGTCCGGGTCTTATCCTGATTCCAGGACATTCCACGGCCACAGACGGGACCAACCCAATCACGAGACCTTGAATTGAGTCAGAGACCCCTTCCACTAGCGCGAAATGCGAAATGCAAGATAATCGTCATGCGGCCGGAGCCGACTGCTCCCAACGGTGACCGTCAGTCAATCCCGAGAAATCGTATCCACATCGGGCCGACGTCACACTTAGGTCAAAACGAGGATTCACCGGCCAGCCCTGAATCGCCGCCCCACACAAGGGTTGATCGCCAACTTTAAGGTGGTCTGCGCCCTCGTGGTTGGCTGGGAGCCCACCCCGACGCATGGATTATAGTCGGACTGCTCTCCTCCGTTCTTCGTTCTCTCCAATGTTCTACCCACATCGGTGGTCAAGGGAGATGTCATGATAAAGCGGAATTCCGGTTTGGATGCCTGCGTGGGATGAACGCGCAATGACCCCTGTTTCCCCTGCAACGGGCTATATAACATTGCGGAGGTTCCTTTGTCCGTCATTAACAACAAGACCTTGCCATACACCTGACTCTACGTTCAAATCTCACTCCACTTTACACATTAGACCACCATGAAGGAGGCCCAGGGAGCTTGTGCCCCCGATGCACCTGTTTCAGAGGGTAAATGCCTTTGGAAGCGCCGACTGGTTCCCGTACTCACACGTGACAGGTACCTCAGACAAGGTCTCGCAAGATGTTGGTCGCATCTCAGATAAGGTTACGCAAGAGGTTCAGCGTATCGCGCAAATGTTCACTATAGACGGAGCCACTCTTCGACGCATTACCGATCATTTCGTTCATGAGCTTGAGAAGGGTTGGTAAGCCCCGGTACAGCACAATCAAGCAGGAGACTAACCCAGCACAGGTCTCAGCAATGAAGACAGCGACATTGTATGAACTCCTGTCTCTTCCTTCCTCTTCTTCTGCTGACGGTCTTCTAGCCGATGAACGTGACGTGGGTGATGAAACAGCCGACCGGGTACGAAACCGGCCGATATCTCACCGTGGACATGGGCGGCACGAACCTGCGCGTTTGCAACGTCATCTTGACCGAGGAGAAAGGAGGATACGAATTGACGCAGGACAAATTCAAACTCCCCAAACACCTGAGGAACTGCACCGCAGACGAGCTGTGGGCGTTCGTTGCCGACCGCATCGGCGACTTCATCCAGGAGCATAACCTCACGCCACCCGAGTCTGAGAAACTCCCTCTCGCCTTCACATTCTCCTACCCAGTCACCCAGGACAACATTCGACACGGTGTTCTACAGCGCTGGACCAAGGGATGGAATATCTCCGGCGTGGAAGGACACGATGTAGTCGCACAGCTGGAGCAGGCTCTAGACCAAAGAGTAAGTATCCTGCACATGATGCCCATCTCACGCCCCGAAGCAATCTTACCAACCCAATAATACAGAACATCCCCGTGCGTATCGTGGCACTCGTCAACGACACCACAGGCACGCTCATCGCATCGGCCTACAAGGACCCGGAAGTGAAAATCGGCAGCATCTTCGGGACGGGCTGCAACGCAGCATACATGGAGAAATGCGGGCGCATCCCGAAGATCGCAGGGCATAACCTCCCCGCCGACCAACAGGTGGCCATCAACACAGAGTATGGGGCGTTCGACAACAGCCACCAGGTACTGCCGCGCTGCCCCTTCGACCTGGAGATCGACCAGGCGTCGCCACGACCGGGGCAGCAGACGTACGAGAAGATGGTGGCGGGGCTGTACACGGGGGAGCTGGTGCGGCTGATGATCGTGCACCTGCACGAGACGGTGGGGTTCCTGGGCGACTGCGACCTGCGACAGCTGCGCGACATCCACGCGATGGAGTCGTCGTGCCTGTCGCGGATGGAGGAGGAGAACGCGGTGGCGGAGAGCACGATGGCCGAGACGCGCGCGATGCTGAAGCAGGAGTTCGGGATTGAGCCCACGCTGCCGGAGCTGAAGACCTGCTGCCAGCTGGCGGAGATGGTGTGCACGCGCGCCGCGCGCCTGTACGCCTGCGGCATCGCGGCCATCTGCAAGAAGGAGGGCATCACGCGCGGCCGCGCCGGCGTCGACGGCTCGGCGTTCAGCAAGAACTACCAGTTCAAGGAGCGGGCGGCGGCGGCGTTGCGCGAGATCCTGGAGTGGCCGGCCGACGAGGAGGACCTGATCACCTTCTGTCCGGCCGAGGACGGCTCGGGGATCGGGGCGGCGTTGATCGCGGCGCTGACCATGGGAGACAACTAGGTTGTTGTTGTCCGAAATCACGACTCATGACCGTACACGATGTCATCTTTTTTTTCTCTTCTTACCATGTACAGTACTACACACATTCTATAGTTGAGCGTTACCAATATAGCATGCGGACTCTTTGAATGAACTGAATCAGATTGTTTCAAAATACCCCTCCTCCCATACTATTTCTCCTACATAGCTCCTCTATCCTAACTCCCAAACGCCTTCATCACCACCCACCCCCCTTCGTCCATATGCGAACCTTATCCCCAACGCCACCCCAGCCGTAGGCTCCTCCCCCCGCAAACCTCACCATCCCGCAATAAAACTTCGAGCGCCCCAAGCTCTGCTCAAACCACGACATGGCATGCGTCCACGCACCCCATGAAACGTCTCGTCCAGACACCCTACGAGAGCCATCGGGCGCACCTCCTACGGGATAACAGGTGATTTTCGTCGACGCGCGTGGGAGGCCTTGTCCCGAATGGCGTGGCGCGTGTGCTGAGCTGCGTAGATGTGTCCTGTGATAATGCTACTCACTCTCGGCAGGTAGTATACTCAGTTTCAGAAGGTTGCTTACTCTCTTAATCTCCATTTTGGGGCGAGTATTGCCATCTTGCGTGATTAGGGGGCCGGGGCAGGGGTTACTTCAGATGAAAGACTGAATTGAAATATGGATTGATTACATCAACGAGAAATCGACAATCTAACTATTAAAAAGAAAATATACCAATGGGAATGGATATTGATGTTCCTGCACGCATGGAACGGCGGGCTAAACGGGTACAGTACGACTTGCATTTTTTATTGTATTTACTCGTGGCTTTATCTATAGTCCAATGTGTATGAGTATCCTGTTTATTGGGAAGGGTTTCATGAGTGGAATGTTTAATACTAGCAGCGGGCGGGTAAGAGCAGCTACGTTGCAGGGAACAGCCTGTGACCGAGAATGGAATACTTCAGGTTGGTTATGTAAATACGATGCTGTAACTTGAGTATATAGATAAGTTGTTTCATACGAGTCAGCAAATGACCAATCGTGAAATAACGGGATCTAGCAAGCACTCTCTACTCCCGTCCTCGCGGCGAATGCTCAAGCATCCAGATCACTCAAAACAGCCTCAATGGCAGCAAAGATCACCTGCACCGTCTCTTCCGTGATCCACATCCGATTGCCCTCGAAATGCAGAACCAGTTGGCTACCGCCCCGGCGCGGGGTGGCATATATCTCAGGCCGGTCCCTCGGCGGCTGCTCGGTCTGATAAGTCGAGACCGCGCCCAGAAACTCGGTACCACTCTTGCTCCCCCCCTCCTCCTTGCCATCTTCTTCTTCCTGCTGGAATGCGGTCCGCCACCCAAAATCCCGCACGCCCTGCGCCCATCTATCTGAAGCACAGTGGTGGATGATCTCCTCCATGCCGGCCCATTCGTGGGCCGCATCCTCGAGGAATTGGCGTTGCAGCCGCTGCGCGACGGTAAAGAGCGTGTCTTTCTGTCGGTCGACGCGGGTCCGGACCGGAACTTCGGTTAGGGTCGGTCCGACGGCGTATTGGAGGACGCCCGGCAGCATCACGCGGCCTGTCACCAGGCGGCCGAAGACGACCTCATGTTGTCTTGCGTGTTGGGCGAGCACGATACCACACGCTGCGTGAAAGAAGGTCGCGGTGGAGATTCCTTCGTGGTCCTGCTTGCGACTCTGCGGCATTGGGATGGTTCTTGTGACCGTCAGTCGGTTTGCGGGGTCGTTGGCCCGGTGGGCGGGTGCACTAGGCACCGAGGAAAGGCCGTTCAGATAGTTGGCCTGGTGCAGTCGGCAGGCCCAGTACTCCAGACTTTGTTGCTTGCAACGATGGTGGAACGCAAGCACTTGGCGATACGAAGGGAGCTGTGGCAGAGCGGCGGGTTGGTCCCTGTACAGCAAGGAGAGGGCTTCGAGGACTTTTGCCCAGGTATAGTCGTCGAATTGGGCGTGGGAGATCCGGAACAGCAGACGATGCTGGCCGGACTGATGGCGAAGAGCCATGAAGCGGATGAAAGACTGCCCTAAGCGACGCGGTCGTCGGCAATCGTCCTTGCAAACCGTATCGATGGAGAATTGGATGTCGCCCTCGACGTCAAAAAGATCATACAAAGGCTCCAGTCCAGGGAGTAAAACCTGCCAGAACCGATCCTCGGCTTGCAAGAAGACAGTATGGAGGATTTCGAAGTGACGCACGAGGGCAGTACAAGCGGACTGGAGACGCGCGAAGTCGACGTCGGGAGGGAGGTCCAGGATCCAGATGGGCAGTCTTCCTGGAATATCCTGCAAGGCATCCCGGATGGCACAGGCTTGGAAATCTGTGCAAGGAAGCACATCTTCGACGGAGCAACCTTCATGCATACCACCATTCAGCAGAGGCTCGACGTACTTTCTCATGAAAGCAGAAGGACTATTGTCTTCGGGCAATAACGAGAATGCGGGTGGAATTTTCTGAAGCACCTCATCCTTCTTTGCCTCCGCGGAAATCTCCGTGACGAGCAGGGCCATCTGGGACAGACGTGGGGCCTTGAAGATTTGTGCCACCGTGAGCGAAAGATTGTGAGCGCGGGCGTAGGCCACGAGTCGCATCGCCGCAATGGATTCTCCCCCAATTCGGAGGAAGCTGCTCTCTGCGCTGATACTGGCCGCCTCTACCCCCAGCACCGATGCCCAAAGGCTTTGCAGCCGTTTCTCCATTGCGGTAGATGGTCGACGCCCTCCCCGTCCACGAGCCTGCAGTTCGGCGAGTCGCTCCAGGGTGTAGGTATTGCCCAACTCGCGCAACATACGACGGTCAGTCTTGTTGGTCACGGTCATGGGAATCTGATCTATGGGAATATAGGCCCCAGGAATCATACTGATTGAATTAGAGGGCCTGCTTTAGCTTTGGGGGTTATTGTCCGGGCGTTGACTTACTATTGTGGTAGACGATCCGACAGTTTCTCCTCCAGCTCCTCAACAACTTGTGCAAAAGCGAGGGAAGCTTCTTCACTCCCGAGTTGTGTCGAGCCACATGCCAGGTGAAGGAATAGAGCCAAAATTGGAACTCCATTCTGTGGAGTTATGATTTCCGCGACCAAACCTCCGTGGCGCGTCTGGGACTCCTGCAGGCACGCCGCGACATGGAATTCCACCTCAGTCAACTCAACTCGTTGACCGCGCAGCTTCACCATACCATCCATTCGGCCAATGAAGTCTAATGAACCATCGGAGTTGTAACTCAATAGATCGCCCGTCTTATACAGAATCCCGGATCGTCCGGGATGCCCGGGGCCTCCGCGCACTAGCCACTGGGGATTGACGATATACGCGGCCTGGGTCTTTTCCTGGCTGCCAAAGTACCCCTTGCTCACTGTGGGCCCCTCGATCAGAAGCTCACCAACGGCTCCGACAGGGGCCAGCCGATCCGGACAACCGGGGACAACCAGCCAGGTATTGGCCCCGTAGGAATGTCCGACATGATGATTGCGACAGGGCGCGCCACTGAGGACCACGAACGACAACGCCTGCGCACATTCGGCTGGCCCGTAGATGCCCAGGATGGTCTCCGCTTGAGTCCAGCGCGCGACCTCGGACCGCTGGATGGGTTCGCCGCCCATGGCCAAGCATTTGAGACCCGGCATCGAGGAGGGTTGGAGCGATCGAGCCACCGAGGGTGTGAAGTAAGAGTAGTCGCAATGCATCCGATTGAACGTCGCGGCAATGTCATTTTTCCGCTCCCACTCGGACGGGATACATAGACAGCCCCCGCAAATCAAGGTCTGGAGATGGTTCGACCAAGAGACGTCGAAACTGTAGGACACAAAGTCGAAGACGCGCGATGAGGGCCGGATGTGCAGGATTTGCTGCTGGTGCGTCGCCGCGGAGGCAAAGTTCTGATGGGTGGTGATTACACCCTTGGGAGTACCGGTTGATCCACTAGTGAAAACAACTGCTCAAATCATCAGTCAAAAATGGTCTCGTGGGAGAGAAAGATAGTTTAACAGACCGTATAATGTATCCGAGGGGTGAACTCTGGGTAGCGGTGGGATACCTTCAACCACAGGAGGAAGAAGCAGGTGATCTCGATCGACGATGACGACGGTCGCGTCCGACAAGGTGCCGACTAACTCTTGATTGTGAAGCGATGTCAAGATCACCGTTGGTTGAACCTGCTGGACAATTGACCGAAGCCGCAACTTGGGTTGTGTCGAGTCCATGGCTACACAGGCCGCAGCAGCCTTCATCGCGCCCAGCGCGGCCACAGCGTGCCACATTGACTTTTCAAAACAAAGTGGAATTATAGAGCCTTGTTTGACCCCAAGGGCCAGGAGCTGTAAGGCTAGGCGGGTGGATAAATCATCCAGTTCGCGATATGAAAGCTCACCGTCCCACGACGAGATAGCCGGGGAATTGGGCTGTCGCTTCACGGTGTTGGTGATCATTTCATGGACGCACTGTTCTCTGGTCTGAGGGACAGTCGCGTTCCAATGCCATAGGGTCTCCAGGTCCTTGGGACTGACAACCTCAATCTCCTCCACAGCACCAGTACCGGCGGCAGAGACCTGGCGTAGAACATGTTCGAATTGCGCTGCAATATGCTCCATCTGCGCCCGGTCGACGACTTTCGAATCAAAGCTGATCTCCAAACTCACACCATAATTCCCTCTGAGTTGGCAGAGCACCATGACCGCATTTGGGTTATAGTCATCTAAGTCGCCGACCGCAGAGGTAATCTTGCTCGAAGATGCAAAAGGACCACCGGGGACCTCCTGGCCATGGGCCTGTGTCGAAGGCTGCACGATAAGCAGAGTGTTGAATCGACTCGCCCTGTCGGCATCCGCACTGATTCGTCTGATTTCTAGGAGGTCGGTCTGCTCGTACACGCTCATCTCGATAGCTTGTTGTTGGATGTCACCCAGAAAGCTATTGACCTCTTGTTTGGGGCCGACCTTTACTCGCACCGGAACGGCATTAATGAGAGGCGCGATCATCCGGTCAATCCCAGGGAGAGGCGTCTGTCGCCCGGTGACCATTGTCCCAAAAATGATATCGTCCGTGTCCAGATAGCGAGCTATGAGAATCGACCACGCCGCTCGTATCACTACGCGATGTTAGAGATTTTGCACACCAGGCATTCAAATGATAATTCCACGATGTCGACTTACTGGTTGCAGCGGTTACATCCCGATTCGACCCTTGGGAGAATTGAATTTCTCGCTTGACAGTGCAGTCTGCCTTCGGCTGGTAATTCTCATGGGCCAGTTCTGGGAAGGGAACAGCCTTGAGCCCTGAAAAGTAATGCTGCCAAGACTCTTTAGCTTTCTCAGCATCAAGGCCCAGAATATGCTTGATAAAGAGCTGGAAGGGCGCTGTCAGGGCACTGTTATCGACAAGTCCAGCATAGACCTTTGATACCTCCTGGATTAGTAGCGGCAGCGAGTAGCCATCATAGACCGCGTGATGCTGGGTAAGAAAACAAGCAAGGTCATTGCTGGACGCATCTCCCACGATTGCCAGCCGAGTAAGCGGAGTTGCCAAGCCCATGGAGTGCCGGTCGCTTTTCAGATATGCGGTGGCGGTCTCGCAGGTATCCCATATCAGGGGCTCTTGTATTTGAACCATCACAAGGCCTTCTTCGGCCGGTGTGTCTACAACGCGGCATCGGAGTATCGGAGCCGTTGTTTGGCTGACATCCTCCCATGCCTGCTTGAGACGAGCAATATCGACGCCGTCGGCAAGCGGGAGAAGGAAATGGGCAATGTAGGACTTCTCGCTTTTGGCCGTCATGGAAAGGAGAGACTTCTGGACTCCGGTACAGGGAAAGATGTCTTGGATCTGGGAGGTACTGATGTCGCACTTGCTGGCAATATCACGCAAGGTCGCGCTTCTAGCGTCAGGTTGCTTCAGGAGGGAAAACGGAGGGACGTTTAAGCCTGTCTCTAGAGTTGGATTCAGGGCAACTATTTTCTGTGACATGTCAAATAGCTTGGGAAAGCTCATAATGTTCTGAACAGTCAGGGAGATGCCTTGGCTACGGGTCCACGAAGCCAGACGCATTGCGGAGATAGAGTCGCCCCCGAGTCTCAAGAAATTGCTATTAATGGAGATCAAATCTGGACGCACTCCGAGCACCAGTGACCATCCTTTTTGTAGCATGCATTCATGCTCACTGGAGGGAGGTCGACCTCCGCGAGCACCTGGTCCGCTTAATTGCTCCATGCTCAAACTGCTTCCGATCTCACGTACTTGCCGTCGGTCCGTCTTGCCTGTAGCCGTCAGGGGAATGGAATCAATGGGGATGTAAGCGGCTGGGACCATGTATGAAGGCACCCGATCGGACAGGATGTCATTCAACCTCCCGACTATCGGATCCATTTTTTCCCGGTCAGTTCCGATGAAGGCCAATAGTGCCGCATGTTTGGTCACTTGAGGAACAACCACCTCCGCGATGACAGCTGCCTTGATAGACAGACTGGTCAGGGCCTGCTGAAGATGATGCTCTACTTCGGACAGTTCAATGCGTTGGCCCCTCAGTTTGACCTGAGTATCCTTTCGTCCCACAAAGACCAAGCTTCCATCCGCCGGGTTGTATTTGACCAGATCCCCAGTCTTGTATAGTCGCCCTCTCCGGCCAGGCACCTGAACGCTGGGGGCTCCTTTAAGTAGCCAGGACGGGCTTTCAACAAACGAGCTCGCTGTTTTCTCCTTCTCGTGCAGATATCCCTGCCCGACTAGAGGGCCTTCCAGCCAAAGTTCGCCCACCGTGCCGATGGGAGACAGACGCTCGCCGGACCGAGGATCAACCACCCAGGTCGACACACCGACACCCTTGCCAATATGAATACTGGTGGGAACCGGACGAGGCACTTGCCAGTAGACAGTTCCCACGGTGCATTCTGAAGGACCATAGCCACTGAAAGTGGTCGCATGCGGCGTCCACAATTCGAGAACCTCATGCGTGACGGCTTCGCCACCCAGGAAGATGGCTCGCAGGGTCGAAATGCGCGTGGGATCTACCCAACGGGCCGTTGATGGCGTCAAGAACAGGTCGGTAGTCCGGAACCTCCGGATGCTCTCGGTCAGGTTGCTTTTCCTTTCCTCATCGCTTGGGACACATACGGTTCCGCCTGCAGCCAGCGGCTGCAGCGCATCCCAGTAAATCCCATCAAACGAGTGAGAGGAGAACGCATACACGCGGCTCGAGCGGTCGAATTTGAGAGTGGACCGTTGATGCACGAAGGAACTGCAGAAGTTGCGATGCTGCACCAGACAGCCTTTGGGGGTTCCAGTGCTCCCACTCGTAAACACGCAGTAGAGCAGATCCGACGGCTGGACAATGGGCAATGGTCTATCTTCCAAATTGTGACCGAATTGCTGACTGAGGGATTGCTGATCGATTACCACAACAGTTGAAGTCAACGTGGAACATAGTCCCTGACTAGCTGTTGAGCTCAGAACTAAGATTGGCTGTACTTGTTGAAGCATCATCCGCAGTCGCGTTTCTGGTAGAGAGGGGTCAAGGAAGAGTCCAGCAGCCCCAGCCTTGATGACCGCAAAGAAGCCCAGTATCGCAAACATCGACTTCTCGAAGCATAGAGGGATAATCATACCTGTACCAACTCCTTGTTCGACCAGATGGTGGGCAATCGCAGTCGACTGTCTATCTAGCTCTTGGTAGGTAAGTTCGCCATCCCATGCACAGATGGCTGTCGCATCTGGCTGCTCCCTCGCTCTTTCAGAGATAACGTCATGAACGCATCGTTCGACACTCGGATTGATCTGTTCATTCCACTGCCAGATGCGACCCACATCAGTAGGACTGGTCATATCAAGCCCACCTATGGCGACTTCATCGAACTTGTGGCACGTCAGCATGCGCAATAGGTGCCCAAACTGCCCTGTCAGGATTTGAACTGTTGGAATATCAACCACAGCTTCATCAAAGCAGAAGATCAATTCCACTCCATCATCTAAAACGGTACAACCCAGTGTGAGAGCGTAGGAGTTGAATCCGCGATAACGATCTTTCTCGCTCTCCCGGCTTTGTGACTCGGGGGTGAATAGACTAATTTTGTCCATCCGCTCCTCCGGCTGTTGCACGATTAGCAGCGACTGAAACCGACAAGCATCCTCTGCCTCTTGGCTGACCTGACGAATCTTCGATAGTCCACTTTGCTCATAAGGGATCATCTGCGTTGCCTGACTTTGTATGCTCGCTAGCAGGGCCTGAAGGCTCTCCTCCTCGTTCAATCGCAGTCGGATAGGGAGAGTGGCGATAGTAGGGGCTGCTAATCGCTCGATCCCCTGCACCGGGGCACTGCGACCATTGACAATGACTCCGAACACAACGTCCGACGAGCCGGAGTACTGCGAGCAAAGCATTGCAAATGCTGCACGAACTGTCATGGAGGGGGTGAAATCATCCAAGCGCCAGCGGATGTTATGAATTGAATGTGTCAACGTCGATTCCGCTTGGGGCTGGTAGGTCGAATGTGGCAAGACTGGAAACTGGGCTGCTTCGAGACCTGCAAATTGCGAAGTCCAAAAGTCGAGTTTGTGATCTTGAGGAATGGCTTGGATGTATTGCACCAAGCCTTGCAACGTAAAGACATTGCGCGGGGTGGTGTGGTGATAGCAAGCGTCCAGGGTTTCCATGATGAGACCTGTGGTAACCCCGTCGTAGATTGAATGGTGCATCGTCAATGCAAATGAGACGCCACAATCTTTTTGTTCTCCTTTGCCGCCCGCGGGGAAGAGACTGTATCGCATCAAGGACGTTCCCAGGCCCATGGGACGCTGATTATTCTGTTTGATGTAGTCCTCGCGTCCGACGGCCGTCGTCCACCGCGTGGATGTTTTGGTCACAACCTGCACCAGACCCTGGCCTGGAAGATCGATAATGCGTGTTCGAAGGATGGGAATGCGCTCCACGGTCTGTTCCCATGCATGTCTAAATTGGTCTGTGTTGACGCCGGGACTGAGATTGATGATATTATGACCGATGTAGTCTCCCTCATGCTTCATTGTCAGTGATAGCAGACCTTCCTGCAGCGGGGTGCAGGGGAAAATATCTTCAACGCTGGCTTCGTTGAGGCCACATAGTAGTGCAGCCTGTTGACGAGCGTGCTGAGCATCCAACCCTGGACTCAGCATACTGAATGGCCCAATTAAACCGCCGTCAGCCTCTCCCTGGGTGTGCAGCACGCTTGCCATATCCGATAGGACTGGGTGTTCAAAGATCTGCGCCACAGTCAGCAACAACCCTTGCTCTCTGGCAAGACCGACCAAGCGCATTGCGTCGATCGAGTTGCCAATCTGGAGGAAACTGTCTGTCGCGGAGATATCCTCAGCAGAAATACTCAGTGCGGCTGCCCATAGCTTTTGCAGCACAATCTCTGCTGGGAGAGTAGGCTTGATGTGTGGGCCGCTGCTAGATTTTCGCACTGGTGTGAAAGCGGCACCAATTTCTTGTAGCCTCTTCCGATCTCTCTTCCCGGTCGGCCCAGTGGGGATTGAAGGTATGGAGATGTAGTAAGATGGAACAGCATAAGGGGGTAACGAGTTCTGAAGTTTTTGGTCAAGCCCCTGTGTGAGGTTATCGACGTCGTCTGATACGATGAAGCCCACCAGCGTCGGCGGCTTGCCATCAGGGGGCATAATGGCATCAACGACTACTTGAAGATCATCTTGGTCCAAGCATTGGCGAATGCGGCATTCAACTTCTTCGGGGGCCACCAGTTGCCCCCGAACCTTGATCTGGGCGTCCCTTCGCCCAAGGAAGAGGAGACTGCCCTGGCTATCATATTGAGCCAGGTCGCCGGTGCGGTAAATGCGTCCCTGCCGTCCCGACTGATTCCCCACAGACCCGGCTGTCAGGAAGTCAGGATTGTCGCAAAAGGCTTGCTCCGTCAGAGACGAGTCCCCAATGTACCGAGTCGCACACGTCGGGCCCTCAAGCACGATCTCGCCCGGGACACCAAACGGCGCCAGCCGGTTGTGATTTTGGGGATCCACCAACCAGCAGAGGGGCAGGTTGGGGAAGGTGATAGATTTGACACCGCTCGCAATGACCCCCGATTTCCAGGGAAACAGGCTCGCCGCGCAGATCGCTGCGACTGAGCACTCCGCCGGACCGTACCAGTTGAAGACTGTGCATGTCTCTTTCCATCTTTCGATATCGTCTTGGTTTAGCTTCTCTCCGCTGAAGACGAGGGTGGAGAGGCTTGGCACCTCCTCCGGTTGCAATAGTCGCACAGTCGATGGGGTGCAATGCAGCATGTTGGCGCCAAGTTGGTTGATCACTGCCGGCAGGCGGTTTAGTCGCTCGGACTCGGAGGGAATGCAGAGGCACCCGCCGTATAGCAGAGTCGAGACCGTCTCAAGCGTGGCAACATCAAAGTCGTAAGATGCAAACTGAAAAGCGCGGCACGTGAAGTTCAAACTGAGTGTCTCCCCAAGAGCTCGGACATTCGCGGCCAGTGTCCGATGAGTCCATAGAATCTGCTTCGGCTTTCCAGTGCTCCCCGACGAGACCAGGATAGCAGCAGGATCTGTCAGGCCCACACGGGGTAGAGCCATAAACGCAGCCCTGCGAGCAGAAGTGTTGGGAAGCAGATCATTCTCTGTGAGACATCGTGTATGCTTTGCAATCAAGTTTATCCGAGACGGCGAGATAACTGCAGCGGCCACGCCGAGATCTTTGCATACGGTGGCCATGCGCTCTTCTGGCACTGCGGCTGACAGAATCAAGGCAACGCATCCAGACTTCCAAATCGCAAGCTGAATGACAGGAACCCACTTAGATTTTTCTAGGCACACGGCGATAATGGAACCGGGAACGAATCCGGCCTCCATGACATTCCGGGCAACCCCGGTAGATAGCTCATCTAGTTGCCCATAGGAGAGTTGCCCGTCCCAGGCATTAATCGCGATCGCGTCCAGTTGGGATCTCGCCAGGGCCGAGATCGCCTCATGCGCGCAGATGTCCGGCTCTTCAGGCAATTTGGCATTTCGCTCCCAAAACAGGGCCACGTCCGAGTCCGAAGCTGTTTTTATCGCGCCCAGAGACATTGTTTCCGGATTGCTCGCACAGATCTGTTGCAGGATGGTTTCAAATTGGAGAGTCAGACGGTGAACTTGCGTGCTTTCGATAACCCGATTATCAAAACTGATATGGAGTTTGACGCCCTGGGTGGTTAGCTCGCAGATCAGCATCAGTGGATAGACATTGAAAGGATCCGTTCCCCGGGTATCGAGATTCGAGGAATGGCTTCGGGCTTTAAACAAGAAGCTCTCCTTCTGCAGACTTTTCCCCTCAGCTACCGGCTGCACAACCAGTAACGTCTGGAAGAGGCCGTTGGCTGGCGCATTATCAACAGTGCGCTGGATCCTCTGCAGACCATATTGCTCGTGTCGGGTGATGCGGACACTTTGCTGCTGGATCTGTGCCAAGAACCCCTGAATGGTTTGACTCCAGTCAATGGAAACCGCAACAGGTACGGTTGCAATGGTCGGGCCTGCACAGTGTTCAATGCCCGGCATATTTGCCTGCCGGCCGCTCGTAGTCGCCCCAAAAATTACCTGGTTAGACGCGACATACTGCGACTGGAGGATTGCCCAGGCAGAACGAATTATTGTTGACGGCGTCATTCCCGTCGTTCTAGGCCAGTCGACCAAGATCACCTGATCCAGTTGCTCGTTCGCCTGGGGGATATACGTTGTTGAGGGCAGAGCTGGGAAGTGTTGCATTTCGATGTTCGAGAGCTGTGTCTGCCAGAACAGTTGCGCCTTGTCGAGATCGCACTGTTGCAGATATTGGATGAAATTGTGAAACGGAGTGACACTTATCTCGTCCTGTTGCCCCAGGTACTGGGCCTCCAGCATCTGGAGGATCATCTCCAAGGAGCTGCCGTCGTACGTACAATGGTGGATAGTCAGATTGAAGCTGCCATCGACAATGGCAGCCCGACACAACGCTGTTCCCAGACCCATAGACTCCTTTTCGTCCCTCTGTAGATATCCGGCTATCCCCATATCGTCCTTTTCTCCAGCGGGCGGCCAGTTAGCTGCCGCATCCTCGTTAAGCAAGACTTGCACAAATCCTCGACCAGGCAGGTCAATGATCCGGGTCCGGAGTATGTGCAAGCTCTGCACCGTAGACTTCCAAGCGCGTCGCAGTCGATCGAGGTCCACGTTTCGTTGAATCTCGAGCACACTCCGCGAGATATACTGGCCGTGATTCTTGACCCCAAGGGCAAGCAATCCTTCTTGTATAGCGGTGCATGGGTAGATGTCCACTATCTCTGATTCTGAAACTCCACACTGCCGAGCGGCATGTCGCCGGCTGTCATGCGCACTTACCCCGGGACGCAGCAGTGAAAAGGGAAGCACGTCTTTGCTGTCGACGGTACTTCTCATAGTCCTGTTTGCCATTTCCTCCAGCATCGGGGCTTCGAAAACATCAGCAACGGTGATTGAATGTCCTGACTGACGGAGAAGAGCAACGAGACGCATCGCGGTAATCGAGTCTCCCCCTAGACGGAGAAAATGGTCTGTCGCAAAAATGCTATCCGGTGACAGGCCAAGAACCTCCGCCCACAGAACTTGAAGGCGCACCTCCTCATCAGTAGAGGGGGTTCTTGCCTTCTGGCGGGAGGGTTGCATCTCGACCAGCCGGGCAGACGTGAGAGAGCTGCCGATCAGGCGGAGACGTTGACGGTCAATCTTTCCGGTGTGACCGAGTGGAATCTTTGCCACGGGGAGGTAGAGCTTTGGAATCATAAATGAAGGCAATAACGGTATTAGATGCTGCTCAAGGTCCTCCACCGGAATATTGCGCCTGCTAGTGGTGACGGCTTCATCGCCGCAGCTGAAAAACACCGCGAGAGTCTCCTTCTCACTGCGGGATGGAATGAAGATCTCTGCCACGACCTGAACTTCCTCCATGCCCACCCCAACCAGGAAGGTTTGAATGCATCGCTCGATGTCGCCAAGATCCACCCTCTGTCCGTTGATCTTCCGCTGCGCCTCCTGCACACGGCCGAGGAACAGAATGCGGCCATCCGCGCTGTATTTGACCAGATCTCCCGTTCGATAGACGCACCCATCCTGCGGCAGCCAAGAAGGAGGGAAAAATGCCGCTTTGTTGAGGCGAGACCCGCTGCTTCCTGCATAGGTGGCCAAGATGGGGCCCTCGATGCAGAGTTCGGCGATCGCCCCAATGGGCGCGAGGGCATCAGTGTTGTTGGGGTTGACAAGCCAGGTTGATGCGAAGGGGCTGCATTTTCCGATGACACCTGGCTCCCAGGTCCCCCATTCTACTTTACAGGAAGTAGCGACAGATGCTTCGGCGGGTCCATACCAATTGTACAGCACATCCACTGACGCCGCCCAAGCCGAAGCCATCCCTTTTTGCAACTTCTCTCCGGCTAGAACCAAGGTCTTCAAAGATGGAAGCCGCGTAGGCTCCAGGGAAGCCGCGACTGAAGGGGTCAAACATGCCCAGTTGGCACCGCTATTCACGAGGCTCTCGGTTAACTGGTTCGTCCTGTCCAATTCGGAGGGAATGCAAAGACAACCTCCTGCCGAGAGTGTAGCAAATGTTTCCACAACGCTCACGTCAAAATCATAGCCAGCAAACTGAAAGACTCGACTGCTAGTATCGAGGCCGAAACATGCAATGGCTGCCGCGGTATTGCTGGACAAGACCCGCTGACTCCACTGGATTGGCTTTGGAGTTCCAGTTGATCCAGACGTGAACAAAATGAGCGCCGGCTTGGACAGACTGGGCGGTAGCAAACGTGAATCAGCGGAGGCTGAAGGACTGTCCTTGAGAAGATCCAGAATTTTGACCGTGGGCATCTTGGCGGAGAACGGAACCAGCTCAGGCTCAGCCATTGTCAAAGTAAGCTTGGGCTGCAAAGAATCAATGATTTGACCCGCCCGTTGAGGTGATGTCGAGGCAGAAACCGGCACGGCGATCGCACCAAGCTGAAAAAGCGCAAGCATGCTTATAACATGCCAGCAGCCCTTTTCCAAGGCCAAGACAACGATAGAGCCGGGTTCAACACTAGCATGCGCTTGCAGGCGATACGCCAGATTCACAGACGCCGTGGCTAACTGAGCATAGGAGAGATCTTGATCCCAAGCCGAAACAGCAATCGCATCAGGTCGCTCAGCAACGTGGCGGGCAATCGTGGCTGATACGGATTCAGTGGCTGCTACCTTGGAACCACAATTCCACTCCCTGATCTCCGCACAATCCTCTTTCGTAGCGAGATTGAGCTCGTCTATCCTGGCGTCGCGAAGCTGCTCGGAGCATAATTGTCGAAGAAGATGCTCAAACTGCCTCGCGAATCGCTGCACTTCGTCCTGCCCAATCGCCCCGGTATCGAAATTGATCTTAAGCTCCACCCCGGACTTTTTCAACTGGCAGATAATCATCATTGCATACGGGTTGTACATTGCCATGTGGTCAGATTCCCCGTCCTTGACGACCAGAATGTAATCATCCTCGTCTGTAGCGGAGACGCTCTGCGGCGTCGAGAAAATAGCCTCACGCGCCTTGCTCCGGCTTGCACCTTGATCTTCTGGCTGCACGACCAGCAAGAGCTGAAATTGACTGGCAGCGTCGGTATCCTCGTCAATGCGCCGGATTTGCTGGAGGCCGAACTGCTCGAACGCCGTCATCTCCACTGCCTGGAATTGCACCTGCTGAAGCAGCCCCTCCACCGTCTGAGCCCTGTCAATTTGCACTCGGACAGGAACGGTGGCTATCGTCGGGCCCGCGATGCGCTCAATCGAAGGCACCGGGGCCTGCCTTCCGCTCACCGTGGCTCCGTATTTGACATCCGCGGCGTTGGTGTACGATGCGAGCAGCACTGCGAGAGCGGAGCGCACCACTGAAGATGGGGTAATATCAGACTGCAGCCACTGCAATCCGGTGACGGCATGGCTGTAATCCAGCTTTCTGTTGGGGCGATACTCAGCGGACGGAAAAACCGTGGCATTGCAGCCGGCCAGCTGATGGGACCAGAAGTTCTTTGCCTTTTCTGGGTTTTGATTAAGAATATACTTCACAAATGGTTGGAACGGACGGAGTACTAATGATTGCTGGGACGAACGATAAGCAGATTCCAGAGTCTCCAAGACTAGCATGGAGGTCCATCCATCGAAAATAGAGTGGTGCATTTCGACGACGAGCCGTTCAGGTGCACTGTTAACGAGACCGGCGCGGCATAGCGGTCGCCCCAGCACAGAGGTCTGGGCATGATCCATAAATTCACGAATTGTCCCGTACTCCTGCAATTCGGCAACGGAGCGGGTGACAACCTGGACCAGCCCTTCCCCCACTAGTTCGAGGAATTGAGTCCGGAGAATGGGCATTGCAGCCACGGTATCTACCCAAGCCTTATCCAGCCGGTTCGTATCGACTTCCTCCGAGAGCGCAAAAGCAGTACGAGAGAAACAATCGACTCCGGTCTGCCTAGCGGTGATTGCCAACATGCCCTGCTGCAAGGCTGTGCACGGATAAATGTCCTCAACCTGAGTGACAGCGACTCGACAAGCTTTGGCCGCTAGCTCGCATACTTCAACCTTGTTGGTCGGGTTTCTCAGCAGAGAGAAGGGAACCACCGCTTCTTCTCCTTCTTCCCTCTCCACGCGATGCACCTTCTGAGCTAAGTCCCGGAGAATCGGCGTTGTAAACACATCCGCGACCGTCAGGGATAGCCCCTGTTCCCGCGCTGCGGCCACCATATGCATGGCAGCAATCGAGTCCCCTCTTAGCCGCAAGAAGCTCTCGGCCGTGCTAATGCTACTGGCATCTATTCCCAAGACCTGTGCCCAGATGCATCTGAGTTGACTCTCCGTGTAAGTTGTCGGTTCGTGATGGTCGACGGGGGTGATAATGGTGGCTTGAAGCTGGACAAGCTGACTCCATTCCAGCTCATTGCCCATGTCGCGCAGTCGTTTTCGATTGACCTTACCCGTCGCGGCGAGTGGAATGTCCGGCACGGGGATGTACACGCTGGGAATCATGAAAGCCGGCAAGGTCTCCTGCAGCTTACCCGGCAGAGAGTCGAGCTGAGCCTTAATCTGATCGCGACAGTCGGGCTGGACCTGGACATACAAAGCCAGCAGAGCCGTGTCGCTTCCGCGGGGCACAATCACGTCGGCAATCGCCGCGGTGTCTTCATCCAGATATCCCCGAACGTGATACTCCACATCGCCTATTTCAACCCGCTGTCCTCGGATCTTGACCTGGGCGGTCTCCTTCCGACCCAGGAAGACCAACCGTCCGTCGGGTTTGCATTTGACCAGATCACCCGTCCGATAAACTCTGCCGTGTCGGCCAGGAACACTCCGACTCCCTTCCAAGAGCCACGGGGGATCATTGATGAAGGCCTCCGCGGACTTCTGCGGATCCGACAGGTAGCCCTGGCCCACCATAGGCCCTTCCAGTAAAAGCTCACCCTCGCCGCCAACCGTGGCCAGCTTACTGCAGTCGCCCGGGTCCACTATCCAAGTGCAGAATCCGACGCCACGGCCGATATCCGGTCGCCCTTCGAGAGAGGAGGACGGAATCAGGACGGAGAAGGCACATTTGAAAGTACACTCCGTCGGGCCATACGTATTCAACAGCCGGACCTTTCCCGCCCAGCGGGTGATGTTGTCGCGGTACGGCATCTCGCCGCTCAGCAGAACCGTTTCTAGCGTGGGCGTCCGCGCCGGGCTAACGGTGCGCAGGATGGTGGGGGTCACATTGATTAATGTTGCGCGGAAGGAGGTAATCGCGCTCGAGAGGTCGTTCAGCATCTCCTGTTCGGTCGCGATGCAGAGACACCCTCCCGCGCAGAGCGTGTGGAGGAAATTACTCCACGCGACATCGAAGGCATACGGCGCAAAGTCCAGGACCCGCGACGTGGGCTCGAATCCCAGCGCTTTTCCTTGGTAATGCACCGTACTCCGGACATTGGCATGACTGATGCAGGCGCCCTTCGGCTGCCCTGTAGTTCCACTGGATCCTTATGTGAGTCAATGTGCCTAGGAAATCCATCGCACGGGGCGGGAAAATTGAATTACGCACGACGTGAACGAGATATATACAATATGCGACGGCGACACCGCGGGGAGTTTCAGTTGCCATTCAAGGTCAGGTAGTCGCGGTAGGGTCTCGAATAGTGAGTCATCCAGTTGAAGGATTGGCGCATCCGTCAACTGGGCGGCCTTTGTTCTCTGGCTTGCTGATGCGATCAGAAGCTTTGGTTGGATTTGCTGTACGATCGATCGCAGTCGGGCGTCTGGCTGCGTGGTATCGAGTGCAACGACCGCGCATCCCGCCTTGATGATTCCCAACATGGCAACGCAGGTCCATTTGGACTTTGGGAAAAGCAGAGGCAGGTTGGTTTGCGGAGCGATTCCCCTGTCCAGAAGGCAACCGGCGAGTCGCGTCGCCAGGGATTCCAATTCTGAATATGTCAGTTCGCCATCCCAAGCCGAGACGGCAAGGGCATCGGGCTGCTTGGCCGCGATGTCGGCAATGAGATCGTGCACGCATCCTTCAATAGCGCTGGGAACCACAGCGTTCCAGTTCCAGATGGTCTCGAGATCCAACTCAGTCGCAGAATTCATACTCGGATTGTTATGCTCAATAGATTGTGACATGATGGCCTCTCTGTGGTGTGGTACAGGTTTCATATTGCGCTGAAAGAAGGGGAAAGAACCCGAGAATGGTGTGTTGGTGTGTGTGTGTGTGTGTGTGTGTGTGTGTGTGTGTGTGATCAAATAGCACATAACACTTAAAATCGAGAGAATGATTGTATCAATACACAGAGCACTTACAAGGTACGTGAGTGGAGAATCCGCAGCTCCAGCTTCAGCCTGACCCTCTCCAATTCCGACGGCCCGCACAGCTGCAGTGGGGTTTAATGTGGGTGGCGGCCAATGTTTGTTGAGGAATCTCAATAGTTTCTCCCTCGCATAGTTCATGCAGGATGTGATCGGCCTGCCAGCTGGGTGAGATGTTCTGTTTGCCAGAATTGCAAGCTCTCTCCCCCCACCTGCCCTGGATCAAGCACGTCCCAGTAGGTGACCGTAGTCCCGGTCCCCGCGTCATCGTCTTCCATACTACCACCCCCAAATCAGTATATTTACATGTTCGTATCCAGTGGAAAGAACACGTTCTTGTGCAAATTCATTCGAGGCTTCGCTATTTGAACAATTCCCCATGTTCGCGACACTCGATCTCGCTCGATTCTATGATCCCGCGCAGAGGGATGCATTCTGTCGCGAATTAACCTCGGCACTGAAAGACTATGGCTTCGTTAAGCTGATCAACCATGGCGTTTCGTCCAGTGAAGTTGACGAGGCTTTTACACGGGTTTGAATTCTCCGACGTATACCTGTAGGTATACTTACGATTGCACCCAGCTGATTCGAAATCAGGCGTGCCAGTTCTTCCACCTGCCCTTGAAGGAGAAGATGAAATCGCCTCATCCTCCGACGGCGCACCCGCATCGGGGCTTTAGTCCAGTTGGGCTGGAGAACATCTCGGCTGTGTCCAACTACGGGCGTGGGGCGGCGCACATGCCGCTGCTGAAGGACATGAAGGAATCGTTCGACATCGGCTCCGAGGCTGATCCCCGATACCAGAATATCTGGCCGCCTGCGGGGGTTGCAGATACTTTTCAGCCGACGTTCACCTCCTTCTTTCAGTCTTGCTACCGCGCCGAACTGGCGATCCTGGAAGCGATCTCGATTGGAGTGGGCCTCTCTGCGCAGACCCTCGGTCAAATGCACGCATTCCAGACCAACGAGCTGCGGCTGACGCATTATCCCGAAGTCGCCCGAGGCGAGTTTGCCCACGCCACCCGGATCGCCGCCCATACCGACTTTGGGACGATCACCTTGCTTTTTCAGGACCGGGTGGGAGGCTTACGTGAGTTTGGAACTTTCATCACAACGAACCCCCGGTGTTTGTTCCAAATTTTCTGACGGATGCCTAGAAATGGAGGTTCCCCCAGGCAGTGGGTGCTTTGTGGACGTCCCCAGTGGAGGACGATCGGAGTGCATCGTCAATGTCGGGGACTGTCTCAACAAATGGACCGGTCTTCACAGTGCCCGCCATCGGGTCCATTTGTCGGAGCAAATGACGGAAGATAGAGTGCCTGAGCGGTTCTCCATCGCATACTTTGCCAAACCGGATCGTGACGTTCTCCTTCGTCCCCTGCTCTCGGAGTGCAGCAACACGGGCGACAAGTACATGACGGCCGACGAGTTCCAGCACATGCGCATTGCTGGAACCTATTGACGATCCTCTTTCATTTAGCTTTGTTAGCGTACTTCAGTGCATGTAGTAAAAGACCAGGAAGAACTTGTGGGGATAGATCGATCGATCTTCAGCCGTACGGCTGAAGATGCATGGTTCAGCTATAGTCTTGACAGGTCAATTTCCAGGTGTTCACCGCCACTTTAGCGGCATGAGTCAATTAACCCGCACTTGAGGTCTGAATTGGAATATGCATCGCAACCCTGTTCAGCACATCTCCTTACGCACTTACCAAGGTGATGGGACCCTTCGGTATCGTAAATATGGAGTTGAGGTCGAGACCTTCAACAATGCAAGAGATCCGCCGCGTTCCCCACATAACAAAAGATCCAAGGAATTGCCCCTTGTAGTTTCTCATCGTACAGGAGGTACTGTTACTAGTTAGTCAATGGAGTTCCCTGTCCCAGAGTGAAAGGAGGGGGGAGGGGTAATTTCAGTTGCACCCAGGGGAAAAGAACCAACCTGACTCCTTAACCAAGACGTGGCTTCCCTTCTCTTTCCCCCGCCCCTCTCTTCCTTTTTCAAAAGAAACCTATTGTACCACTAGTCGAGGCAATGAAACAATGGTGCAATACACGACCATTCTCACATCCTTAGGCCTTACAATCCTGACCACTCTCGTGATCAAGATTTACCGTGCGCTCACCACGCGTTGCCAAGGTCTTCCCTCGATCCCGTTCGTGGCCACCGTGTACGATGCCTATCGCGGGGTATCGGAGATCCGATTCCACAACACGCGGCTTCGGCCCGTGCTCGAGGCGCATGGGGCGGTCAATTTATGGAATTCGGGCCAGTGGACGGTGCTGGTGACGCGACCGGAGTATGTGGTGCGCATCCTGCGTAACGAACGGATGGTGGCCAAGGGGGGATTCTACCGCAAAGTGCCGGGGAGCCGGCTGGCGGGCCTGTTCGGCGAGAACCTGATCGATTCGCACGGCGAGGTCTGGAAACAATTCACGACCATCATGAAGCCGGGAATCCAACGGGCACACAAGATCAGCACGCTGCAGGCCGCGTGTAATAAGCTCGTGGCGACGGTGCAACGAGAGCAGCAGAAGGCGGCAGCGGCGACGACGACGGCGACGACATCGAAGAACCCTGAAGGGATCGTCATCAACGATCTGATCGAACGCTGGGCCATCGATGTCTTCGGCGAGATGTTTTTCGACGTGCAGTTCGCGGCCCTGGATGATGTACAACGGCCGGTTCGCGCGCAGTCGGCGCTGAACGCGATACTGTGGAGTCTGGGAAATCATCTCACCGGCGCCTTCCCGCTGCTAGAACGCATCGGCGCGCCGCTGTGCCCTGCGCGGCCGCATTGCTTCGCTATGATCCGCGAACTGGAAGAGGCGTTGATCGAGATTACCGACGCTCTCCCGGACCCGAGCGACAAGAACCAGGCCGACAAGCTGATCTATCGGATGCGGGGCGCGCGAGACAGCGGACAGATGTCGGACTTCCATTATCGGTCGAATTTGAAGATGTTGTTCTTTGCCGGCCACGAGAACGTCAAATTCGCCTTCATCGCCGCCTTGTGGGAGCTCTCACAGAGTAGCCGCATTCAGGACAAGTTATATCACGAACTTGTGGCAGCGACAACACGTCATCAGGGTGATCATGCCGATGATGCGAGCGACGACGACCTCAAGCACTTACCCTATCTCACTGCCGTCGTCTCCGAAACCCTACGTCTCTACCCCCCCGTGAGCCAACTCATCAACCGAAAGACCCTGGCACCGGTTCCGCTGGGCGATAACATCACCATCCCAGAGGGGACATGGGTGGGTTGGACCGCATACGGCGTGCATACGGACCAGACAACATGGGGACCCGATGCACATGTCTTCCGGCCGGAGCGATGGGGTGACGATGTCCAGGCCATCCACAAAGCCATCAGCCAGCATCAGGTGCGCGGTTCTTATATCCCCTTCAACGCGTGGACGCGCAGCTGTGTCGGATCCGAATTCGCCCTGTTGCAACTCCGCATCACGCTGGCCGGCATCGTGCGCAAGTTCAAGATCACCAGTGCACCCGGCTACACCTTCTCCATCGCAAAGGTAGGTAGAAGAAGAAGATTTCCCTTGTCTTTGAATCCGCTATTGGAATCCATCCGTCGAGCGGAGTTGTTGGACTGACCATCAACTCTAGAATGGCTCTTTGGAACCCTATAATTGCCGACTTATCTTCACGGATAGGACATAAGGACGGGGAGTATTAGGACTGCGTCAATTGCGGACTTTGGGTTCCAACGTACGGAATCCTCGTCCTTCTGACGTCCACTTTGATAGCCAATGCTTCCCCAATCTCGTTCGGCCATCACCTTCGAACCGTCCTACTACCTATACCCCCCAACGTAGATAATACTACCTCTGATCTGCCCGACCGTAATTTCCCACAAAGACCTACACCCTGCAGCGTAGTATACTGTGAAGTGGCATTCCTGGGAGAATTTCTATCTCATCTTCACAGGCTCCACTACGCGTCAAACAGAAAGAGATCGAGATCGATCGGGCCGATATGACTGACTGCCACCTAGTCAACTAGAATCCAATGCGGAGCTGAAGAGATTCTGATCTGCTCAAGGGCTAGTGCATGGCGTCATCTGAGTGGATCAATCTTATGTGGCTAATGAGTTTCCTTTCACACCGGCCTGCGGAATCTGCAGGGAAATTCGCATGTCGGTCTCGTAGCCCCGCCGCCACCCTACTTTTACAGCAAGTATTTGACATTGAGCTGAATTCCTGTGCCAGAGTGATCTTGTGACATGTCGATCTTCACGATGTGACAAGCTGCATTAGCTGCATTTGATCTGCAGAGGGTCTTCACCAAGACAGCGGCGACGGGTAAGACCGGGAAATCAAAAGGGGGCTACCGGCCAAGTTCTCGGGCTCTCAGCCAGCCACCCGGTGGAATATGTAATGCAGATCCATCATCATCAGATGTCTGTTAGTATCTGGCTGGAGTAAGCAAGTCGCAGATTAGGTCGGGTTCTTGACCATCAAAGCACCAGAGGCGCGGTCCCATCAGTGCTTGTCGGTCGCGCTAAGTTCATTGCAATTCCTATTCCAGGCAGCTTTATTACGACATTACATTGAAAGTAGTCCCTGTCTGAACCGCTGCTGTACCGTTCAAAACACCGAAATAGAGTCTGAGATTGTGCCTCGGAAGAGGGGCCAGGAACAGGTTAAGGGGTCTGTTGTGCGCATGTCCTCAACCCTAGCCCAAAGGAGCTGCTGTAAATACCTGGGTCCTAGATGCGTACGGTACGAAGACCACTTAATTGGGTCCCTAGAATAGATAATTAGCAAACACTGCAGTCGTCATACCATAAACCTACTGAGCACACGTCAAATCAACTTCTCTTCCTCTTACTTACGGGCATCGTCCGAACAAGCTGGGCATTAATCCGCTGCTTAGACCACCATAGCCCCTCTGTCAACTCGCAACAGCTCCAACGTGAATCACAAGCCGCAACCATCCAGTCGATGGTCAACTGCCCCTGACTTGTCTTCTGATGTCTCGGAAGTGGCGGTTCTGGGACTGGCTCGCCGTCCACTCTTCGCGCGGTCGGTTGGAGTGTGAAAATCCGGAAGGGACAGAGTCCGAGTGGGTTGTCCTTCCGGATGAGAACGAGAACGGATTTCACGGCCACCACCAGCCATCGACGCGACTGTTCCCGGGGGGAGGAGAAGAGCCAGATACATTTCGCGGTCGATGGGCTAGAAGATTGACGCGGGCTCGAATGCTCAATGAGATCCAGATTGCGTCTACCCAGATCTCCCAGTGTGAGTTGGCACCGGCTGTGAACATGGACCTGCCTGGCATGAGGCAACCGGGCCTCGCATCCTCCTTGCCCGAGCCCCCTCGTGTCCTTGCAGCTGGGCTCAAAGATTCGAGCAGCGAGCCGATCAAGATCGGGATCATCGGAGCAGGGATTTCGGGGTTGTTCCTCGCGTTGCTCCTCGACGAGCTGCAGATCCCGCGGCTGGAATACGAGATCTTGGAGTCCAGCAATCGAGTCGGGGGCCGGATCTATTCCTACGAGTTCCCCCCACGAACAGCAGCGAACGTTAACAATGGCACGGATTATTACGATGTCGGCGCCATGCGCTTCCCGGATGTGAGTATCAGGTCCGCTAAACTCTTTTCACTAAGTATAAGACGATGGGAGTCCGAGCTAAGTACCTAGTATCGGGGGTCTTGAATGCAGATACCGCCGCTGAGAAGGTAGGTTTTCGGTTTTCACCTGAGGACGTGTCCGAATTGTCGGTTCGTTTTGACTTTGGTCATGATATCCTAAGTACTGCCTTTGTAGGACGCTCGAGCTTTTCCGCCGACTAAACGTGGAATTAGCACCATATCAAATGCATGGGCAGAACTGTCCCCACATGTTCAACTCGATCGCCCAGATCTCAACCCGCAATGACTCCGACCGAACGACGGGGGATCCTTTCCGGTTCAGTATCTCCAATGGAGGGATGGTACCTGACGAGTGAGTCTAGCACACCCTCTGAGACCGTTGGTGTTCGTTAACATCGAACCCTGTAGCACCGTCAGGGAAGGCGCCGGCGCAATCATGGGGCGATGTTTTCAGGATCTGACGCGACGATTAGTCGAGGACTTCGACGCTGGATTTGCCGAGTTGGTCAAGTTAGATTACTTCACCACTCGAGGATATCTGCAGACCGAAATGTGCGTAGTTCGATTGGGAAAGACCTTCTGAGGCAAGAATCACATCACTTATCAGCAATGGCATGGCAGTGGTTATGACTTCTACTCCATCTGGTACTTAGAAACAGTTTTCAGGTCCGTTTTTCTCCTTTTTGTGGCTCGATGCGGAGATGCCCCCCTCCCGCATTTTCACATGCATGGTATTGAGCAATCCGCAGCGCGTCGGGACTGTACGACCAGTCACTCTCGGAAGCCGTGCTCGACTGGCTCGACTTCGAGTATCCCAACCTCGCGGGCACACAGACACCATGGTACCGTGTCCAAGGTGGAACGGGGCAAGTGGTAAGGCAAATCACGCGGAGGCTTTCACGGCAGCCAAGCCGCAGCAAGCGCGTCGCGAAGATGGTGTATCAGCCTGGGGCCAATCCGTCGTATCCAGTCTCAGTGCAGGTGGAAGGGGAGGAAGAGGGGCGAATGCGAGAGTACACGGCGGTGTTCAACACGAGCAGTCTGCCGTGTCTGCGACGGATGGAGATGCAAGGCGAGATCCTGAGTGCGGGACAGAAAGCAGCAATCCAGAGCGTGCATTATGACGGGGCGACGAAGATGGCGGTGCGGTTCAAGTTCGCGTGGTGGTCGCGTTACTGCCAGATCCAGGGCGGGCAGGCACTGACCGATCTGCCCATCCGCACGTGTGTGTATCCGTCCGACCCGGACTCGCGCGTGCTGCTCTGTTCCTACACCTGGGCTCAGGATGCCCAGGCGATGGGCTCGCTTCTATCCTCGTCGCCATCGTCGTCGTCCTCCTCTCCCGATCAACTCCGACGACTAGTCGTGCACAACCTCGCCGTACTGCATCAAGGCTACCTCGACCCCCTCACGAACGGCACGCCGTACGGCTACGAGCGCATGCAGGCCATCATCGATAACGCCTACGACTCCCACCACGCCTACGACTGGGCCCGCGACCCGCACACGGCCGGCGCCTTCGCCTACTTTGGCCCTGGCCAGTTCCGTCATCTGTACCCCGAGTTGGTCAAGCCCGCCGCCGACGGCCATGTCTACTTGATCGGCGAGGCCTGTAGTGCCCACCATGCCTGGATTGCCGGTTCCCTCGACAGCGCCTATCGCGGTCTGTGTCAGCTGCTCACTAAGCTAGCGCGCCAGGGTCGCCTGCCGCCGGACACTCTACACAGACTGCAGCGCAGCTGGGGGGAGTTGGAGGAGGTCGCGCCCGACGTCTTACAGTGGGAGGCGTTCTTGGGTGAGCTTGCGCTGCAGAGCAGATCTCCCGGGCAGTGACCTGCTCACTTCATGGTGACTTGGAATGACAGCCGGCCCGAGTCAAGCAGGAACTATCCCATTTTGAGGCGAGTCCGGGTTATTGACAGCTGATAAGGCAAGTCATGATTGTATAACAATACTGATCGACGGCGTACAGTCATAGTGAGTGGTTAAACAGATTATATGCCCAATTATGGCCAATATGACTGTCGATGGTGGTTTATGGAGCACTGCCACGGAAGGCAGGCGTGCTGGGTATAGAAATAGGTGTAGAACGACCGCCGGATCGACCCTGAAAGTCATATCGCAGGAGAAAGCAGCGCTAAGGTACGAGGTGAGGTCAGTATGAGAAAACTCAATCTTATCTCAACAAAGTATAATAAGCAACCAATGCACGGGTCAAAGGCATATAGCCACCTTAAGATAACGGAGGAAACGAGAAAGTGCCCGAAAAGCTGGCCAAGTAAACACTTCACCGATCCCTGGCGACCGGCATAATGACCTGGAGGCCGATCAAGTCCTATCTTCTTCATGCGATCCAGAGACACGGTCACGGTCTAGATGTTTTTCTTCTCTGCTTTCTCCGCACAAAGCTCTTCAGGATAATGCTATCGCTCGCTTCACCCCGCCTACGGGGCCGTTTGATGAGCGCCCGCGTCGCGCCTGTTGTGCACTCCTTTCTCAACCCCCAAGTCTTCCGCACAGTCTCAATTCAATGCACAGCACGAACAGCTGGCACGCCGACGGACCAGCGGCGCAAATTCCCGAAGACTAAGCCTAACCACTCTGCAGCCGCAGCTACCTCTCCATCCCGTCCGACAACCCCTGCCGCGCAACCCCGACAACCCCACAGAATCGAATAGCAACATACAAAGGCAGCCGCGCCGAGAACAAGGTACAGTACCCTAGTTCAACTAGCCTGCTCCAAAACTCACGTAATAATCTCAGTGCAGACCAAGATGTCGCACCAGCGCCAGCGCACCGCCGAGCGGCTCAAGCAATCGCAGAACACGGCGGCTTTCGCGACGGTCTTCGACGAGGTGGACATGAGTCGCGTGATGGCGTTGCGCGCGCAGAACAAGGACGCGATGCGGCGGCGTCACGGCGTCAAGCTCGGGTTCATGAGGCCCGTGGCCCGCGCGACGACCCTGGCGCTCAAGGAGCTTCCCGCCGTGAATGCGTCAATTCAAAACGGGGATACGACTGTGTTTCGGGATTATTGACTTTGGTGAAGAAGTACTTGGAGGATCCTGCTTACAGGTTGATTGAGTAGCGTGGATGTAGGGTATATAGAAGTTGTAGAGAGTGGATTTGTACAGCAGTACTATTGGCTAACAGCACTAGTCATGCAAGGTGCGAGGAAACTATATGGAGACATGTTGCTTGTCCATCTTTCATTATGGCTATGGCAAGCCATCGGGATACGTGACCATCGCCGAGCATTGCGTACCGAGTATGTGGTTACATTGTAGTGAATGTCCATGGGTGTGTCTTAGCGGGGTCTCCGCATGGCGGTTACACCCGCCGCATCCAGGAAAGACCCAGCGATGGTCTATAAGTAAATCCCCAAGCACGTCGCTGACGACTGTCAGTCCAAGGCTCGGGTTACCTTTTTCGGAACAAACCCGGAACTGACCCTCGGTTGGAATAGCCCGCCATGGTATTAATAGATGACTAAGTTATGTATGCACTAAGAAATATGTCTTGGAATTCTGAATCGGCCATTAAGGCTAAATGCGTAGCTGCTTTTAGGCGTTAGCCAGACCGTGTCGGGCTTGACCGCCCGGCCCGGTGCCAATTCAGCCCCCAAGTCAAACCTCTGCACGACATCAGCAAGCCTCCCCGGCTGGAAAAAAGGATAATAGATTGGACGTCTTAGCCCAGCGACGCCATCCCGTGCCCCGGACCACCGGCATCATCATGCAGCAGCTTCGGCTTACGCCTCGGTAGTGCGCGGTGGCACTGAAGCATCATCCAAGTGCATCGTCTTTTCCGTCATCTTCTCTCCGGACGCGTCCATCTCACCACGCAACAAAGCTGTAAGACCGATGTCGCGGTCGATTCGCTGTCGGAGAGCCTCATCTTCGGCCGCCATGCCCTCAGACCCGAAAACCTCGTCCATCTCCTCCAAGGTGCGACCCTTCGTCTCCGGGACGAAGAACAAAACGTACAGGAAGCCGATCACGGTAAGGCAGCCGAAGAAGATGAATGTACCGTAGGCGGACGTTGCGATGAAAGGGGAGGTTGCCAAACCGACGCCAAAGTTGTTCAGCTATCAATAGGTCAGCATGGGATTGGTCAGACAGAAAGAAGAATAAAAACGTACCCAGTTGCTGCTACCGCCAATACTGACCCCCTTGGCACGCATGCTGAGCGGGAAAACCTCTGACACCACAATCCATGCACATGGACCTAGCAATTGGTTAGAGTCACACTCATCGCTTTAGTCAACCGAGACATACCCCATGAGTAGGCGAAATTAATAATGAAGATCCAGACAAACGCCACGGTCGCCCAGCCCGCACTCCTGTGGCTTCCAAACTCGCCTTCGAACGAGCCGATGAGTCCGGCACAGATGAAATGGCAGATTGCCATACCTGCAGCACCGGCCAAGAGAATCTTTTTGCGACCGATGTTGTCCACCCAAAGCACTGCAGGAATGGTGAAGACGAATTCGAAAATACCAGCCACGCCAGTCGCCAGCAGCGAGGTGGTGTTGCCGCCAAGCTCGAGTCCTTTGAAGACCTGGGGCGCGTAGTAATTTATGGCGTTTATTCCATTCCATTGCTGGAATGTCATGATAAGGCACTAGGCAATGATGAGCTAAGTCTGCTAACTCGCAAGGTATCAGTTACGTACTGCGACTGTAGTCCGCTTGAAGAGTGATTTGTCCGTCACCAAGGAAGCATAATCTTTCACCCCGATCATAAACCGGCTTTTGAAAGAGTCGTCCTGGTATTGGGGGTACTTTCTCTTGGAAGTCTCCTGCTCGAACATCTTCAGTGATTTGATTTCGAGATACTCGATCCGGACAAGGATGTCGTCGGTCGAGGCATCACGCAACCGGGCCAGTGTGCTTAGGCACTCCTCTTCGCGGCCTTGGTTCATCAGGTGACGTGGTGACTGAGGCATAAAGAAGACCATTCCGATCGCCAAGATAATGGCTGGAAGGATTTGGATGCAAACTGGCACCTCCCAGGCTGCTTTGGATTGGCCGTCGCCTGTCCCGCCGATGTAGTTGGTGCCGTAGCAAATCTACCCTCGTTATTAGTACTCTATTAGTACTGGGAATGGAAAGCAGTGTATCTATCGACCTACCCAGAAGCTGACCATGATACCAAAGGTAATTGAAAGTTGTTGAACAGCGACAAGGGAACCGCGAATCTCCGGCGGTGCCTACACTTGTTAGCGCACACAGAACAGCTTAGCGAGTCAGTCCCGCGTGTATAGGATACTCACCAATTCCGCATTGTACAGTGGTACAATCATGCTCAGACTACCCACTCCCAAACCGGTCACAAAACGGCCACCGAACACGTAGCTTGGGGATGTGGTGCAGGCCTGCACAATCACACCGACACAGAACACCACCACGGCCACAACAACCACAAGCCGACGACCCAGCGAGTCCGCAAGATATCCGTTAGCCAGGGTGCCCACCCAGGCACCCAGTTCCAGAATCGATGTGAGCATGCCTTGGGCGGTACCAGTCTGTTCCGCGTAGTGTTGTGTCTACTATTGTTAGAACATGCGATGCCATAAATACAGCAGGTGACGCGCATACCGCAAGGATGAAAGAGCGCATCGTGAGAATTCCGGAGAACATGCCCTGGTTGTCTGAAGAATGGTAAGCTATTGCACAATGCACTTTCGGTCGGATTACCTACACCCGTAGACGAAACCCCCAAGCGACGCAAACAATGCGATGGAGAAAGTCTTCTTGCTGCTCAGCAGGCCGCGCCAGCCTACACGGTTGCCCGCGAGCTCGGCGCGCTTGCCTGAGACAGCCTCAGCGCCCACGCCAACACCCATCCCGTTAGATTATTTGAGTCCTGGGGGTAGAAATTCGATCTTGGATGAAGCGAATGGTCGAGTTCAGTAGCACGAAGATGCAAAATGCCCCAGGTGTAGCATGAGGAGAAGGTGAGTGATCGGCGAGCGGGGAAGAGGGGACTTTATAAATCGATCTGCGAGGCCATTGCATGGGTAGTCACGTCCTTCATCAGCATGTTCGTTCCGCGTCCTTGTCCTGCAAGTTCCCTGCTACTGCATTGTTGGTATAATTCTGGACACATGCAGCGTCACCGCATGTCATGCGATTTCCTCGTGGCCGGGTATATCGAGGCTTGATTGGGTGCAGCATTTAGCCAGACTTTGGGCGACGGTTGTCTCCGAGGCGTACTCGAAACAAGGCACTTGCAGTTCTTTTCCTTATCCGTTTGCCACAACCCCATGGGGGGTGCGCGGCGTTGTGGTCGGTACGGCGGGTTTAGTCTCGGTCTAACCCCGGACAGCCGGCATATTCGGTATGGACTTCATCCGGCGCCTGGGGACAAGCTTTTGTGCTGGACAGGGTTTCGGCAAGCCCAAACCTTCAGGCTTATTCTGGCGGCGTTACAGTTGCAATTAGGCCTCAGAATGCTATCCGGCTAATAAGGTCAGAAAAGAAATGGGAAACTGTCGAAAGGCGAGTTTCGCTGGCTAGTTCCGGGGAAGCAAAGGAGCGGGGGAAGAGGAGAGTAGGTAGACGGCGGTGGAAACAGACATCGATCGCATTTAGCCGGAAACTCCCAGTTGGACAGCAATCAGCCCACTGAATTCGAGCCCCAGTCAGTCCCTGAGCTCCATCTGGTTCCCCATTCTTCTCCTCGCTTTCCCCCGTGGATCGGCTTCTGGTTCTCCGCGTTTTGAATCTGATGAAAAGGTGCGACAACACGTGGTGTATCGGGCACGTTGTGTCTGCCCGCCCAACCGCAAAATTTTCCGTTTCACTCATTTTCGAGAAGCATATCTTCGTCGATAGCTGAGGATATCCGTAGCTTCCGAGCTCGAGTAAGGCCAAGACTTGTTCGAGCCAGGATCAGGCTCCGTGCGTGCCGTGCCTGTGAAGCGCGCCTGTTGCGCATGCCGAGTCTCCTAAGAGTCCCAACGCGGCGTTGTGGCTGCACTAAGTGAGCCATCGTGTCACTGACCCACTCAAGACCTGCCCTAGATGATTGTTCTGGATGTCACCATCAGCTTCTGTCTGCCGCATTTTTGATACGTCAATATGGTTGTGTTTTGCGTTGTGGAAGTGAGTCGAAGGAGCCCGGGTGAGAAAAGCGGTAGGAAGCCTGAGGCAGGAGCGTGTGGGGCTCCACAACAAGTGCCTGGAACTGTCATACCTGTACCTATTATAGTCCAGAGTATGAATTTCCCACGGAGCTGGAGATTATATAAAAGCAAAACAATCCAAGCTGAGAGCGCTATGTGTATCTCGCGAGACGAGCGTCGGGTTTTCGATTCAGATGCTGTAGAAAACCCGCTCATGTTCTTTCGAGGTTGGTTGTTCCGGTGTGGTTCCTTGCGAAGATATATACTCATGCTCCTGGCGAACAGAATATTTCGCCCCAAAGATAGACAGCCGCGCACCAGCTGTTCAGAACATTGAATATGGTACACCAGTAAGAGTCTATCTATTCTTTGGTAAGTAGAGAAGCAAAAATAATAATTTCTTGCATGGGCCGAGATGGAGGTACCGTGGAAGGTAGCCGAGGTAACGGAAAAAAAAACATAAAAAGAAACGACACCTGTGAGATTCGAACTCACGCGGGCGAACCCACTGGCTTAGCAGGCCAGCACCTTAACCACTCGGTCAAAGTGTCCAATTGTTGAAATTACACACTTAGCACTGGCCTACATATTACGCAACCATGCCCCCGACAGCCTGCTTGACATTTCTCCCCGAGCGGGCCAACCAGTCTCATAAGTCCCATTATTATCGGCGAACTTTGTTTTCCATTCCCCGATGCATCCCGCCACAAATATACAGGAAACTTGACGCGCAGGACGTAATATTTGGTCGGCGCTGCAGTACGAGAAGTATCAGAAAGTGAGAAAAGGTCGCGAAATCATACGTGACTCTATACGGAGTACTCCCAGTTTGATTCGGCTGCCGCTGAAACGGACCGCCGAAATCTCGGCACATGCTGTCGCAAGGCGCGGACCGCCCATATCTTCAGCAATAATTAATGCAGTCATGGTGTCCCTTGACCGACAGTAGCCAACAAATGAGAATGAAGTTGACCATCAATCGCGCTTTTCTGGATGTAAACCGAAGTGGCAGCGCGCGGACACCTATACGCCACTACCATCCATACACTCCCGTCACCGAACATGCCATTTTGACCTACGATACTTCCATCATTTTCGATCTGCTTAGTGCGCTCTTATTCTTGAAGATATGAGCGATAATAGTGACCCGAGAAAGGCAACTTGAATACAATTTTCCCCCGACACATAAACTCAGATATCTGACCCAGTAATGACGAGGCAAACTGACTGTCCAAATCTTCTTACTATCCCCTATAATGATAACCCACACCATGCAAATTGCTATTAACAACGATAGCCACTCCCCCGACAGCAGGACCCAAAACACTGATCACCTTTTCAGTATCAGCCCAGCATTTTCCTAGGATGAGTGAGGACTCAGTGGATGAGACATACCGTTGTAAATAGCAGGAGTAGTCTGACGGGCTGCCTAAGGTATGTTCCTACTCGCATCTTTCTCGACCCTAAAGATACAGGTGAGCAAAGACCATAAACTTAGTCTTCACATACTCACCTGTCCATCAAGGTGGCCGTAGGAAGTTTATCTTCGTAGACGAGCCGTCGACTGCAGTATCGTCCCAAGGATGAAGAAGGGACCGGAATTTCGATTTGATGCTGCGTGCTTTATCCTCCGGAGCCATGTTGCTGGTATTTCTGAGGATGCGATATGGAGTAGCGAACGTGAGCATTGCAGGAATCAAATCAATTTATATCTCAGGTATGATGCAGAGAGCATGAATCATTCTATTACCATGCAGTAGTCGACTAGAATAGCTCCTCTTGGACCATATGAGTTACTCGGGCAAGCCTCGGCGAAATTGGTCAATCAGTGGCTGGAAGATGTAGCTCAGAGTGTTCTGCAAATCTGAGGACTAGGGACACTTCGCCCCCTGATGCCTGTTCGCCGAAAGCGTTGGTCATGCGTCTGTCCGCCGAACATTGCCTTCATCGTGAATCCTAAGCACTGAGCGGAGCAGATTGTTTCTGTCATACAACTACATGCTTGTGCCTTATATGGTGGTAATTGCTCTATCCTTGTTATTCTTGGGACCCTGGACCTCTTCTTGTCGTTGGAATGCTCTCTACCGACTTATTTTGCAGATTGGACCTCCTGCATACGTACAAGGATGTGCCCTCTTCCCAGACCTCCAGACGCATGTGAATAACATTGAAAACCGTTTTCTATTTCCCCACGGCTCATCAAAACATCCCACGAAGCATAGTCTATGTCAATCTATACAAATACTTCTAGAACAAAGAAAGAGTAGACCAGTCCAAGACAAGATATCCAAATGTTCAAAACCGCGTTTTAAGAGCCCATCCGGTGTCTGGTATATCTGCCTCGTCTGAGGATCCTGAAGGAAATGATAGTTTGGGTGCTTTGTCGAGCATTTGGATGGTTGCAAGGTCTGAACGCCCAGATAGTCCTAGAAGCATCCACCCTAGATGGTGGGATTTCGGGCCTAATAAAGGGTGCGGTGGGTCGTAGTTCGATCCAAGACAGTTCCATTATTTTGGGTGATATGTGCTATCACTGTCGTAAGTGTTCTTTCACTCATGTTCGGTTGATCGGAAATCATTGCAGCCTGTTCCATCCACATGCTGGGACTTCGCCGAGTGTCGGTGAAATCGAACGATGATTGGTCGAGGTGAGCTGTGTCCGGCGGAGCGATCCTCCATCTCTGATCGTCAGTATTAGAAATGGTATCATGCATGACAACAATCGATAACATGTTTCGAGAGATTCGAGTAATCGAGTGTAGAGCTTCAAAGAAGCTCTCATTTTCTTATAGAATGTTATAACATCGCTAAAGCGGAATAACAACAACACCACAATTCAACTCTTGCCAATGCATGGTGAGATGTTTTTTTCCAGCAAGCAAGATCAAGTTCACTAGAGGCATGCATTCATACCCATGAAAACCAAAAGCCGAGGGATATATGGCTTTGATGTAGAGGTGAGCCCAGAAAGAAGTCACAACTCCCACTCCGCACGTGGTGAAGTGCCCATGGGTGCCACTCTATCAAAGCTGTTAAACATCCTTATCATTGGACTTGAATCCTTTAGGTGTTGCGGCTGTATGAGAAACTCAGCTGAGAGAGACTCAACGTACCCCTGATAGAAGCAGTCACCCTGAATACGAAGTGACCCCAGAGTGACCTGAAATTAATGCAACGTTCTCTTGAACAGTGAGGTCAAATCATTTTCATCTTGCTCAGCCTGGCTTTACACCCTACTACAAATAGGTCTCACATCTCTCACCTTCTCCACAAACTCACTAGCAACCTACACTTTACTCAACCCTACCAAAGGGACTTACAGTTACCAATACCCTCATCAAGAACCACCCCTCTGCAAAACCTCACCAACACCCCCACATCCCCCACACAACCCAGCAAAATGAAAGACGCTGCACCCCCAAGCAACACCAGCCTAGCCGATCCGGCCTTACTCGACAAAATCGACAGTCTATTCGCCTGCAACATCGGTGAATACATCGACCTCCCCCAGCTGGTCGTCGTGGGCGATCAGTCGAGCGGGAAAAGCTCCGTCCTCGAGGGTCTGACCCGGCTACCGTTCCCACGCGACAGTGGGCTATGCACCCGGTTCGCAACCCAGCTTATATTCCGTCGAAACAAGAACCTCACGGCCAGGAGGATCTGCTCGTCGATTATTCCCGCGTCGAATTCGAATGCGGCTAGGGCAGGCGAGTTACGGGCATGGGGTGCGACCTTCGAGGGGAGTCTTAGCGCGGGCCGGTTTGCTGAGATTATGAAAGAGGTGAGCTTTGCTATTTGCTTCGGAGAAATATCTTTCATTCAGGAAAGGGGACTGGCAATGTGGGATAGTTTCGTTGTTGTTACGATTGCCCTTGAGTGGGCCTCTCCGGAAGACTGTCAGTGCATGTGATGGGGTAGAGCTAACTTGCAGATGGATGTTCCAGGCGCACAAACTGATGGGCGTTTCCACCACCGACAAGCCGACTCAATTAACCTTCTCAAGAGACGTCTTTCGACTAGAAATCTCTGGTCCGGACGAGGACCATCTCAGCGTCATCGATGTCCCGGGCATCTTCAAGTTGACTACCCCGGGGCAGACAACAAAAGCCGATATCCAACTTGTGAGGGACATGGTCCTGGGCTACATGCGGAACTCACGGTCTATCCTGTTGACGGTCGTTGCAGCCAATGTGGACGTGGCAAACCAGGAGATCATCGAGATAGCACGGGAGCTGGATCCCGACGGCGAGCGCACCTTGGGGGTTTTGACCAAGCCTGATCTAGTTGACAAGGGAGCCGAACAAAAGATACTGAACATTATCGCCGGGCTAGAAATCCCCTTGCGGTATGGCTGGATCTTGCTGCGAAATCTGGGGCAAAAGGAGATGGAGCAAGGGGAAATTGACAGAGACGCTGCAGAAACTGAATTCGGTAAGACGGAGTTATGGAACACAGTCGCTGCCGACAGATTTGGCATTGCGTCCTTGAAGTCCCGCTTGCAAGAGACAGTCACTGAGAATGCCAGGAGGGCATTTCCGCATGTGAGTCGTGTCACTCGCAACCACAACTCTTCCGTGCTAACCAGTTTCAGGTCCGGGCGGAAATCAACAGAAAGCTCAGGGAAGCTAAAGCCGCTCTGCGCGTGTTGGGTGATGAGCGAGATACCACCAGCCAGCAACTCAAGTACCTCCTAGATGCGGTGACCAAGTTCAACGAGATGACGACGCAAGCCCTGGCCACCAATTATGGCGCCGACACAAATTTCGATCGGTACACTGAGCTCCGCCTCGCAACATTGGTTGTCAATCGAGACGATATGTTTGCCAGATCGTTTGAAATCTGGGGTCACAAATACGAATTTGAGATGAACAGCATCAGTGACGCTGATGAAGGTCTCTCCACTGGTAGCGCAGGGGAGGTACCGACACAACACCCAGCTACTGCATTCCCTGAGCCATCGGGCGCTCAAAATGCTACAGATGGCGGAGCCGACAGTCATATTCCGCGCCGGACCACTTTCAAGACGCGAAAATCTCCGCACGTCGAAGACCTTGAGGATATTCTCATCGATCTCGGCCAAGTCGAGAAACCCCTGAGACAAGGCATCCACGAATGGCTTAGAGACGAATACCACAGCTCGCGCGGATTCGAGCTCAACACGTTCAGCACCACAATGCTAGCCAACGTCTTCAGAAAGCAGACGATCAAGTGGGAAAGCGTTGCGCTGGGGTATCTGAGTGACATCATCGTCACCGTACACAAGTTCATCATGCGGAATCTGGAGCTATGCCTTTCCGACAAGCGGGTCTTCCGCAACCTGGTCCCATTTATTATGTTCGACCTCATGAACTCGTACCGGGGCGCGATGGAGCATCTGCGACTGCTTCTTTTCATTGAGCGGAAGGGAACGCTGAAGACCTTGGACCATTACCTCAACGAGAACCTGCAGAGAATGTGAGTTTTCACATCTAATATCCAGGCTTCATCAAGCCATAGATAACCGGCTGACCGTGAATTAGACGACAGGAACGGTGGAAGACCTATGCGGCGCAGAAAGAGATCAACGGAGTGCTTCATGTGCATGACCTCGACTGCCAACAAGAGATGAGTAACGAAGCGCACACGGTGCAAGACCTCCACGATGTGCTGGAGTCCTACTACAAAGTGGCGATGAAGCGGTTCGTCGACAACGTCACCATGCAAGCGGCGGATTACCATCTGGTGAACGGACCCCATGCACCGATGAAGTTGATTTCGGCCACATTTGTGCACAGCTTCTCTGCTGAGAAACTGCAGGAGGCTGCCGGGGAGGACCCGATGGTTCGCAGACGACGGGGTCAGTTGAAGAAGCAGATAATGGAGCTGGAAGAGGGGAAGCGGCTTTTGATTTAGGAGGGAGTGGCGGCGAAATAATCATTGGCTATGATACTGGTGTCTAGGGGGTGACTGACTTTGAATTAAATCCTATGGTATCAGAGAGAGTCGTACCACCTACAGAAATCTAATGCAATAATATGCTCGTCTATCAGGTTGCCATCCCGATCCATGTCGGAGCTAAGCGATCACACCAATGAGGCAGTCAGAGCGGGCGGTGGTCGTGGGGGCCTGAGGCCGGCCCCATCCTCGGTTCATTCTTTGGCTTCTCGATCAAAGCACGCCAGGCGTTAAGTTAAATTAATTAACTTCCCCCCACTAGCACATGGCTACGCTACCATACATCCGCGGTTGCTTGTGCTGTTCTCTTAAGTAGAAGTCACGCCCCAGCTTCCTCTCCCCGCACATTCTATCCCCTCCCTATCAACTCCAACCACCGACCCGTCCTCGACTAGTCGATACCATGGCCTACACCACCGAAGCCGAATTTGACGAGGTAAGCAGCTCATTCACCAGCCTCCAAACCCACCACTAAGAAAAAGAAAACCAGGCCCTCGCAACCGTCCGTGCGACCTTCGCATCGGGTCGAACCAAGCCAAAGGCATGGCGGCGACAGCAGCTGAAGCGAATGTGGTGGATGCTCGAAGACAACAAGGAGCGGATCTACGAGGCGCTGCACGCAGACCTACACAAGAGCCAGGTAGAGACGCAAATTGTGGAGATCGCGTTGATCCAGCAGGACATCCTGCGCACGCTGGAGAAGCTGGACGAATGGACGGCGGACATCAGGCCGACGCGATGGGACCCAGTCAACCTACTGGGCGGGACGGTGGTGCGCAAGGAGCCGCTGGGGGTGACGCTGATTATTGGGGCGTGGAACTGTCCGGTGCAGCTGGCGCTGCAGCCGCTGGTGGCGGCCATCGCGGCGGGGTGCGCGGCGATCGTCAAGCCGTCGGACGTGGCGGCCGCGGCGCAGGACCTGCTGCTCGAAATCATCCCGCAGTATGTGGACGGGGACGCCATCCGCTGCGTCGCCGCGGGTCCCCAGCAGATGGACTATATTCTGCAGCAGCGCTTCGACCATATCTTCTACACGGGATCGCCTAACATCGCCAAGATCATCTATACGGCTGCCGCTAAGAACCTCACGCCTGTCACGTTGGAGATGGGCGGCCAGGGCCCGGCTATCGTGATGCCGTCGGCCGATATTGATTTGGCGGCGAAGCGTATCGCAGCGACGAAGTTCATGCTCGCGGGACAGGTACGACTTTACTATTCAGAAAACCCTCCTCCCAACCCTACCTACCTACATACATGCATACTACACAACACTCGTTCCCAGAAGACGTTCCGGGGGAGAACCCCCGGACCCCCCTTTCTTTCAGCTTCCTGGCCCACCTACCCTC